CTCGTACTAAAGATACCTCTCATCTCTTCTACCTGGCAACTTTCCCAGCTTTAGCCAGGGTCTGCCTTACATGTTGTGAATAGTTTTGGCTAATTGTTTTTACGACCGGCCGCATGCCTGACATCCACCCTCTTTGGGAATGACTTAATCAGTGATGTCTAAATAGTCTTATAAAGTACATATGACTTGGAAAAATCACATTGGTACCTGCCAGGATCGAACCCGCGTCCTGGTGCATGAGAGGCGGGCCTTTTAACCACTAGGCCACCACTGACAAAAGATAGCTCTAATATTACATGTAAATAATGATAAGTATTTTCACAATTCACAAATCAGTACACGATAACTCAAATAACAAGGCAACTGAGACTTCTTTCGGAAGATGCAGGATCGATTCCTAGTTCATCACAACATTTTTTATTGAAAGTAATCTATATATATAAAAGAAAGTCGTGTTAGTGACTGCACTTATAACCCAAGAACGGCTAAACCGATTTAGCTGAAAATTGGCAGGGAGGTAGTTTAGAGCCAGGAAATTGCAATAGGATACTTTTTATCCCGTTCGACAGCATTCCCGTGGGACTTGACATGAAACGTCAGTCATTATAAAACGTGGAATAACACAATTGACAGCTATGCAATTAACGTATAATGACAGATATGTAATGATGTATGGATGACAATTAGATATTTGTAAGAAATCTACTATATAAAAATAAAAATATTTAGGTATTGTGTTTGTAGTTTGAACTCTTAAAACCATTTAGTATTTGCGGGATAAATTTAGAAAATCATTGTTTTTCACATGGGCAGTTATATTTTGCGTGTTCACGAGTTTGAAAACCATACGCTTTATTTGTGTTAAAATTAGACCAAAAAACAAAAAATGTGGTTTACAAAGAAGCACTTCAATGAAACGGATAATTTGCGGACACGTATTACGCTTCTATTCGGTATCTACTTTGGATTCACTTTCATTTACTTAGAGAAGTTCAACTAAATAACACTTCATTTTTGTATTCGAAATGAATTCATTACTGTTGCGAAATGAAATAAAAAATTTCTTTTTCAAATATAAAACCAAAAAATTCTTCATCTTTTAATCACCAAACGAAATGTTATATAAAAGCCTTCTGGTGGCGAAACGGAGTTCGCCAGGTTTACTAGTTATATATTAAAAATTATTACGTCGTAATCATCATCATCATCAAAACCCACTGCTGAGCTGCCTCTTCTCACATGGAGAAAGTTAGAGCATTAATCACCACGCTCGCTCAAGACGGGTTGGTGATTTTAAACTTATAATTGTAAATTATAAGTTCATGTTTCCTCACGATGTTTTCCTTCAGAGTCTGTCAGATTAACAAACTGAAAACTCTGAGTGTAGTTTGAGTCGAACTGAGAGAAAGAGTTTAAATAAAACTATTTTTTTGTATACTACCCTTCTTCTTATACCTGTCAATTTGCCAGATATAGGCAGGGTCTGACTTACATGTTGTTAATTGTTTTTACGACCGGCCGCCTGCCTGACATCAACCCTCTTTCATATACTGTTAGTTTGTTATTAATTTTAAACGTGTACTATATTAAAAGCTTATAATTTTAAATTATTATAATAATTATAATGTACATTATAATTACATCACTTGTTTTACAATCGTGATTCGTGAACTCTCATGTGACCTGATAATCTCATATCTAGTGTGAATTATTACAATGTCGAAGTCATTTTAATTTAAGTCAGTGGTGGCCTAGTGGTTAAAAGGCCCGCCTCTCAGCACAAGGACGCGGGTTCGATCCTGGCCCGGGCAAGTACCAATGTGATTTTTCCGAGTACTTTCTAGGAGTATTTAGACATCACTGATTAATGCTGATTCACAAAAGAGGATTGATGTCAGGCAGGCGGCCGGTCGTAAAAACAAATAGCCAAAACTATTCACAACATGTAAGGCAGACGCTGGCTAAAACTGGGAAATTGCCAGGTAGAAGAAGAATGTCGCAGTCAGCTTACCACATTCAAAAATGAGAGGTCGTTGTTTTCAAATGGTGCATCTAACGTTCCAATTATCTAATACTAGCTTTCCGCCCGCAGCTTCGCCCGCGTGGAGTTCGGTTATATCGCGTTTCCAAGAGAACCTTTCAAAAGTTTGGGATAAAAACTATCCTATGTTCTCTCTCAAGGTCAATACTATGTCTGTACCAAATTTCATTAAAATCAGTTCAGTGGTTTAGGCGTGAAAACGTAACAGACAGACATACAGACAGAGTTACTTTCGCATTTATAATATTAGTAGGGATTTGGCGATACCAGTACATGCGATGGTGTTTCTGGTGGTTGGTTAAAGTATGAGGAATCGATTTGGTACAAATCTTTCTGACCCATAAATGTTCGTGTAATATTTTTTGTACTTGACTCATTAATGCCTAGGCTTGAATCTGATAGGTCAATCTCATCTTTCTCTATTATTGCAAAGCACTGATGTTATTTTCACTAGCTACTGTAAGCGGTAAAATTGTGTGTTTTTTTTAAATATCTCACCCCCCCCCCCCCCTCTTGGTGAGTTGTCGTGAGTTTTTATTCAACCCCTTCTCCCCATTCCCCAATCTACCGTGGGATTTTTCAAAAGTCTAAAAAAATTTTTTTTTGAACAAATTAGAGACTGTTCATCATCATATTACAATTACGCTTAAGATTAAATCTTAAGCGTGTACAATCTAAAATAAATTTACCAAAATAGTATAAAAAAAAACAGTTTTTTCAGAAAAGAAATGACTATATTTTTGCCGAGACCCTCCCCCCTTTCAACGTAAGATTAGATGACATTTGACTCAACCCCCTCCCTCTTTAAACATATTACGTATTTTATGAAAGCCCCTTTAAAGGAAACTTCTTAAAAAAACTTCTTAAACCAATTGTAAATAGTACATAGAAATAAGAAAAGCTTATCCCAGCCTACCATAGATTTTTTGTTGAGTAAATCCACAACGAAAGTGATAATCAATCATTGACTAAAACTTTTCTATCGTTAGGTTTATTGTCAAGTGTAAAAATATTTAGATTTGCTACCAATTCACAAAAACAAATGACAAGTGAATGCAATATATTACATTGAGTTACCAAAAAAATATGATTGAAATTCAAATAAAGTTTTCATTACCAATGTTGCTGGCCGGTTCTAAACATTTTCAGTATCACCCATTCTTCTTCTTCTTCTTCTACCTGGCAATTTCCCGGCTATAGCCAGGGTCTGCCTTACTTGTTGTGAATAGTTTTGGCTTAATTGTTTTTTTACGACCGGCCGCCTGCCTGACATCAACCTTCTTTTGGGGATCAGAATTAATCAGTGATGTCTAAATATTCTCAGAAAGTACATATGACTCGGAAAAATCACATTGGTACTTGCCAGGATCGAACCCGCACTCTCGGCAACGAGAGGAGGCCCTCTAACCATTAGGCCACCACTATACAGTATAACCCATTATTTATTATTATATATAATTTGGCGGAATTGTATAGGTACATTATCGACCAGCCTAATTATAATATTTCCAGTATATTGTTCGTTTCAAATTGTGTTAGGTAGAGAGAGGAGCTTGTACGGTGGAGGTGAGGGTTAAACGCGTTAGATAGGGGTCCCTTAAACCTACTCCTGGGTCACAAGTCACAGTCACTGTTGAAGCTCCTCTCACTACAACGATGGACCCGACACACGCACCGTGAATACATTGAATGATGAGAGGTTTCGTCTCTCTATATATATTAAACCTACACCTGGGTCACAAGTCCCAGTCACTGTTGAAGCTCCTCTCACTACAACGATGGACCCGACACACGCACCGTGAATATATGGAATGATGAGAGGTTTCGTCTCTATATAATTAATGATAACAAAAGCATTTATTTTGGCACTTCTTGAGTAGGATCTATTCTGCATCATGAAGTGCTCCAAAGTCGATAAATTTTAGTTTCCTTAGACATTATATTTTTTAGTAACTTTATATATTTCAACAAGATTATAACAATAATTTATCATTAAACCGTAATACATTGCAAACTTCATTTCCAATTATTTTCGGTTATTAAAAATTGACCTGGAAATATTTCATATAAAGCAGGTGATGCAGAAGTCTATTTAGCATATACACGATTATATTAGAATTTGGTCTACGAAGTACAAAATTAAAATCTAAAATTACATAAAAATACATAACATAGTACTTCCAGATGTTCTGAAACAATGACCAGGTGAAAATACTGATATTTTATTTGTAAATCTGATTATTTCAAGAGAAACCTGGATTTTAAACAAGCTTGCTAATAAGACAATTACTTTCAAAAACCTAAAAATAATTCCACTCAAAACAAATAACTATAATAAAGGAAACATTAAAAATCACTTATATTTTATTGTCAATTTATTATTATATATAATTAAACTTAATGTACCAAAATATATATTTAGAAGGTAAAGGTTAAATGAGACACGAATTATTACATAGATTCAGGGCCTTTAATACAAAAGAAAACTCGTAATGATGAACTTATTATAATAATTATTTTAATATTCACGCTTCTCAAAGGTTACATATAGTGTATTGTATCTTAAAAATAAATTGCCCATCGTAAAAAGTGTTGTACTAATGCAATAAAAAGTCAAATTTTTTTAGGTATAAAAATTTTGATAGATTTCGTAAAATTACGTTATTAGAAATATGAATTCATTAATAATATAATTTATCTATATATTTTGGTTATATTTATTGATTGTCATCAGTATTTATATTTACAAATTATATATATAAATCATTTAAATGAAACTAATATTATTCGGATTGCTGCAAAGTAACCGAAACGTCGAAAGCATGCGGTTTTTACAATAATAAAATACTCGTTGTATATCTCACCAATATTAGTTTAATTTAAATTAATATTCACGAACTTAGATTAAAATAATTTTCGTGCATATCAAGATAAATGATATATTCTTTTCAGATCCACAATGAGCACAGATACTCCAATGACGAAAACTTCGAATTGCAGTAATTGCAATGAGAGTGCAACTGAATCACTGCACAGTCTTTTGGAAGGAGAAGAGGCTAGAAGTAGAGAAGACAGGAGTAAGAGGAAGAAGATTAATATATGTTGCAGTGAGTATATAAACATATATACATATATACTTTAGACACTACACATTATATACATTTCACTTTTTATAACTGAAGAATTAATGCCTGGATTTTTTTGCAAATTCCTGAAAAATAGCTATTACAAGGGAAAAGATAAAATATACTTTTCAACCTATTGAAAAAGAACAAAAATAAGTTTATCAAATCCTAAATCTTATCTACTGTCTTTTAGAGGTAATAGAGTTCGCCCGATCAGTTATACATTCCTAATTCTGAAACTAACGCAGACAAAGACGCGGTCAAAAGCTAGTTAATAAAAAATAAAAATACTTATATTGATACGAGTTAAAGAGAAATTAATTGTACCTTAGTCTTCGTACATACAACAACTGTAGGTGTTAATTCAGTAATGCGAAATCGTACTAGGCACTCAGATATACATATACATAAATCCCTACTAATATTATAAATGCGAAAGTAACTCTGTCTGTCTGTCTGTTACGCTTTCACGCCTAAACCACTGAACTGATTTTAATGAAATTTGGTACAGACATAGAGTTGACCTTGAGAAGGAACATAGGATAGTTTTTTTCCCAGACTTTTGAAAGGTTCTCTTGGAAACGCGATATAACCGAACTCCACGCGGGCGAAGCTGCGGGCGGAAAGCTAGTATGTATATACTTATGAATTTTTGTTTCTTTTCTTTATAAAAATGTACTGCTTTTTATTAAATAAATATACAAATATATGTCTCTTTAAAATTTAACTCGTCTGTTTGTTCCGATTAATCTTTGACTTTGGTTTGGCTAAACCGATTTTGATGAAACTTTAACCGACAGATCGCTAAAGTAACAAGGAATAACATTATATTCATTTTGATATACGATACATATGTTTTAATTATATTTTTAAACAAAAAATTTAAAATTAATATTAAGGTGTTAAAAACCTTCTCTGGACATATACATATGATGTAATGTCATATATATATTAGAGTTCAGGTGTCATATTGCTTACTATGTTACCAAATACTTTTGTATGACAAGTTTACTATGTTTTTTGGAGTTTATCAGACTTCGGATATTTATATATATTTCGACTTGAAGTGAAAGTCAGTGGTAGCCTAGTGGTTAAAAGGCCCGCCTCTCATGCACGAGGCCGCGGGTTCGATCCTGGCAAGTACCAATGTGATTTTACCAAGTCATATGTACTTTATAAGAGTATTTAGACACAACTGATTAATGCATTCCCAAAGAGGGTTGATGTCAGGCAGGCGACCGGTCGTAAAAACAATTAGCCAAATCTATTGACAACATGTAAGGTAGACCCTGGCTAAAGCTGAGTAATTGCCAGGTAGCAGAAAAATATATATACACAGTGTTAACAATACAACTCAAATGTATATAATATGGAAAATCTATATATAAAAGAAAGTCGTGTTAGTTACACTATTTATAAAAGCTATAAGTAATTGGCTGAAAATTGATAAAGGGAGAATTAAATTTAGGAGAAGAACGTAGCTGCTGAAAAATTAAAAAATATTTATTGAATAAAATCCAATTTCTGCTTATATAGCTATACATTTACAACTCTGAAAATGACGTTGATTATGTCTCGACCAAAGAAGATTATGTAAATTAAACTAATATTAAGATTACTAAGCGTTTTTTATTATTTTAACTACATACTCTCGACGTTTCGGTTACTTTGCAGCAACCGTGATCATGCAGACCAGGTGTATGTAATTTACGGGCCCTTCAGACTACTTAATACGGGGCCTCACTAATGGCCCACTCTCCCTGTCACTTTGTCAAAGCAGCTAGTACAAACAGAAATATCTATATAATATAACTAGCTGACCCGGCAGACTTCTTACTGCCTCAATCGATAAATAACCTTTAAGCCATAAATCTCCGTGTTCTGAAGTGCGACAGAATGATTGACATATTAGTTAGTTGCCAAATCTAATGTCAAAAAAAAACGTTTGTATGGGAAATAGAAAAGGGCCGTTTTTAGGGTTTTCCCGGAAATTAATAATTTTTTTCAGCTTTTATACCTTCCCTGAACCTCCACGAACATTTCAAGACTAAGATAAGATAAATCCGTTCAGCTGTTCTCGAGTTTTAGCGAGACTAAGGAACAGCAATCCATTTTTATATATATATATATATATATATATATATATATATATATATACTAGTATAAACAGAAATCCCTCCGGGAGGTAGAATAAAAACTTCGTAATATTGGAATGAAAACAGGAAAAGCTAGAAATTTATTCTTAAACAATTTTTATTGTTTCTTTAAGACAAACATTATTAACATTACTTACGTTAAACGTTTAACGCAACCTTGTTGGAAGTCACAAAAAAGTTTCACTTCAAAAAAAACTAGTATGTAATAATAACTAAGCCGTGACCTTTGATGACGTCACTGCCTTTGATGACGTCATAGTCAGAAGGTGAGCCTCCAAATTAAGGTGACGTATTATGTATTCGTGATAAAGCAGATTCATAAGGTTGCATACAAAAGTTAATCTATACTAATATTATAAAGCTGAAGAGTTTGTTTGTTTGTTTGGAAGCGCTAATCTCCGAAACTACTGGTTTGAATTGAATAATTCTTTTTGTGTTGGATAGTCCAGTTATCGAGGAAGGCTGTGGGCTATATAACATCATTAATAACTAGCAAAAAACAACTAGAAATTAAGAATTAAACTTTAAAACGCAACTGAATTTAACAACTTGATAAAAGGTTCTGATACAATAATTAAGTCAAATATATGTATATATATACTAGCTTCTTCTGCCTGGCAATTTCCCAGCTATAGCCAGGATCTGACTTACATGTTGTGAATAGTTTTGGCTAATTGTTTTCACGACCGCCTGCCTGACATCAATCCTCTTATACTGTAATGTGTGAAAATTTATAAAAGAAATACTTTTAACTCTTAACTCTGCGTATGTAGTTTCACAAAGAGAACTTATGGTAAGCACACTGACAATTACCTATTACTAATAATACCTAAGACTTTCGCGAGTATTCATTTAAAAAACTAATATTTTCGAATTACTATGTACGGGTTTTTTATTATTTTTAACTACATACTATCGACGTTTTGGTTACGGGCATACGAGATGAGAACTTTTGGTAATTGAAAAATATTTTACTTACATATGTACTACAAAGGTTTTTTTACTCCATCGAGCGTATATACAAAATTAACACATTATTTTAACATTATTAAAAAGACAAACAATTGATTTTTATTAAAAAAATAAACAAACATCCGTTTCCTCCGTCATATGTTTACATTAATATTTTTAGTCAACACACCATCCGGTTACTTCAATGCTAAGATAATTTTATTGGTAATCTTTTGAACATCTTCTTAACCGAATGTACTCATTACTTCCTGTTTCAATTATGCTATACATATAATAATTAATTACATAACTTTTGGTTAACTTTACTTAGAAGTTTATTAATATTTATGTTATATTAATCTTTATTTTGTCATATATGATCGTCAAATATCACGTCCTCAAATATCGATAGTAATTCACCAGTCACCCTGTATATAAAGGAAAATATTAAAAGTGAGCAAAGTTGAGTGTAGAGCTTGTCATTCATACAGAAGGCGCTCTGTTTATAATATCATTTAACGTAATATTATAAAAAACTGTTATTTATTTGTAAATTCTTTTATATTTGACAAAGTTTTTGAGATTAATGTATTAAAACAAACACACATTCTATAAAATACAATTTATTTCATTCATTTTATGAGACAAAACGAATAGCGTATATATTTTATGGGAATCAGTTCTAGAAATATTCATTCAATTTAGAAGAATATATTAGCATAATGAAATCTAAGATTTTCGTGAGTACTTATTTTAATAAATAGCACTTATTTAATTAATAATTAGCTGGATAATACCTAACACCTAAAATAATTTCAACTAAAATATTAAATTCTACATCTTGATACTACTAGTTCATTCTGTTTGCATCCAGAGCAGTTCAAAGAATAATAAAAATAGTTGACATATGACGACACTCACACACTCGTCTGGCAAAGAAGACGGTTTATGGAAAATATAAGAAATATAGGCTCAAATGTAAATAAATAATATAGTTATGAAGAAAACATACTGCATTGAAGGTCTAATAATGTAATCGAAACAAATGACATTTGCTATTTGATTAATATTTAACTGTCACTTAGGAAATAATCATATATATGTACATATAAACACACACACTACCTACACGCATATGCATACATACATATATATATATATATATATATATATATATATATATATATATATATATATATATATATATATATAAAAAAGATTCTTCTGCCTGGCAATTTTCCAGCTTTGCTAGGGCCTGCCTTAAATGTTGTGATTAGTTTTGGCTAATTGTTTTTACGACTAGCCGCCTGCCTGACATCAACCCTCTTTGGGAATGCATTAATCAGTGATGTCTAAATACTCTTATAAATTACATATGACTCGGAAAAATCACATTGGTATTTGCCAGGATCGAACCCGCGCCCTCGTGCATGAGAGGGGGGCCTTTTGACCACTAGGCCACCACTGACTCCTCGTAATAATTATTTAATGTAAAGATATGTGTACATGAATTAGATTTTGAATTTCTTTCACAGTAATAATTGCTTTTTATTAACCGTACACGTACGAATTTAAATTACATTAACTAAACACTTTCAGTTTTGAGTATAATATTAATATATCCATTAAATTAATATAGAAGACATTAACGAGTGTTGATTGATATAAAACTAATATTTTAGTATACATATACTACGCGATTTTAATTATTTAAACAACATACTCCCGACACTCGGTTGCGACGAGAAATATTCACTAAAACTTCTTACAATATAAGATTACATGAAAAACTTCCAACTCTATTTATCTATTTTCGAAACGTGATCAGCTGATTTTGACAGATGCAGGTTTTGCATAATGCCTTCTCCATGTACACATACACAGTATTCTGCCAGTGACGTACATAAATAATTGACAGCTGTCAAATTGACACTGTCAAAATGTATATTTTTGACATAATATAGCATGTGTTCATTATATTCGGTGTGCGTGTATCCAAGGTTTTCTCATTATTATAGTACCTTGGGTTTGAGTGGATGCGAAATTCTATCAAGGTCAATGAACTTGATTGTTGATAAAAAAAATCACATGCCCATTATATTATAGTCTTCAAAAATAATCGTTTTTCAATAGAATATTGCTCAGTACTTTTTGATTTAAACTAAATTAACTAAAGATCGATTAATTAAACGTTTTTGGTTTAATTTAACTGTTACGATAACCTTTAACTTTATCGTGTTCTTGAAGAAACAAACGATAAATTATTCGAGTACATATTTGTCCAATATATATAAAATAAATGTAATATAATCGCATTTATTACTGAAATATAAGATTATATAGTAAAAGAAATTTATTTTATATAAATTATCATTTTTTTAAAAAACATTGTATCGATTATATGATTATAAAGTATTGATTTATTATCCAAGAAATACAAGTTCACTTATCATTTTAAACTAGTCAGGTGTCCTCAAGGTTTAGAGAAATAGACGTAAAAAAAACATACATTCACATCTAGACTTCATAAGACACGTGACTTTACTTGTGTTAATAAAAACTAGATGGAAAGGAATATTAAACAGTATTGATTAATACGCTCACATAAATACATGTGAAAACATAACACTACATTTACCTTACCCACAGTCGGGAAATTATTGTGGTACTACTATTAATATTATAAATGCGAAAGTAACTCTGTCTGTCTGTTACGCTTTCACGCCTAAACCACAAAACTGATTTTAATGACATTTGGTAAAGACATAGAGTTGACCTTGAGATAGAACATAGGATAGTTTTTATGCCAGACTTTTGAAAGGTTCTCTTGAAAACGCGATATAACCGAACTCCACGCGGGCGAAGCTGCGGGCGGAAAGCTAGTAATTTATAATTTATATTTAATAAGGGTTAATTATTAACAAAAAGAATAGTTTTATAATTTTGACGTTAACGGATATATAGTGTTTGCATTTTATAACCACAATTTAAAAAAAGGAGACAAAAGTTTACTGTGTAAAAGAACAATTTAAAAACTAGTCAATTTTATATAAAACTAATATTAATGTATTTTTTAATTATTTTAAACTACATAGTGCCGACGCTTCAGTTACTTCTTAACAACCTTGACTACGGGCATACGAGATTTCATCTCAGAACATCCGAAAATATTAATTTTATTTAAGTGAATACTCGTTAAAGTCTTAGTTACTTTAACTTAACAGTTAATTTCAACTAAGACTTGCAAGAAAGAGTGTTTTATGTATAAAAACTACAAAAAAAATATCTTGTATTCATCTTATTGGGTTCTTGCTATAAATCTAGACAATCTATCTATCTATCTATCTACTAAGGTTCATGAGATATACTGTAAGTAACAAACACACAGACAGACGGACAGCAGTGTCTTAATAACAAGACTCGGTTTTAAACCTTAGTATACGGAACTCAAAAAAATACATTAATAAAAGTATTCCGTCTTACCCTTAACATACGGAACCCAACAAAATAAGTTAATAACAATACCTCGTTTTAACTTACTAGACGGAACCAAAAAAATACTTCAATAGCAGTATCCCGTTTTACCCTTACTATGCGGAACACAAAAAAAAATCAAAAACAGTATCCCATTTTACCCTTAGTATACGGAAAGCAAAAAATACTTGAATAACAGTACCCAGGTTTACTCTTAGTATAAGGAACCAAACGAAATACGTCTATAACACCCCATTTTACCCTCAGTACACTCAACTCAAACCCAAGTTAATAAACTCATAATATCACGTAACAGTAAGTCAGTTAGTTAGTTAGTTTAACTGATTAATTCGGTGAGATTCCTTCCATGTGTGTCATGAGCCAAGGTCCATTCATGTATGGAGGCCGAGGGTCACTACTCACTGGCAAGTGGCATTACACTTACTATATAATTTCTTTGATTTATATATTTTTTAACTATAAATTACTTGTGAGAATTGTTAAACGTAAAAAAAGTGAGAATATTTGATAAATATTGTTATCACTACTAATATTATAAATGCGAAAGTAACTCTGTCTGTCTGTTACGCTTTCGCGCCTAAACCACTGAACTGATTTTAATGAAATTTAGTACAGAGATAAAATTGAACTTGAGAAAGAACATAGGATAGTTTTTATCCCAGACTTTTAAAGTTCTCTTGGAAACACGATATAACCGAACTCCACGCGGGTGAAGCTGCGGGCGGAAAGCTAGTTAATATATAAAATCTTGATAAAATAATCTGAATATTAATGAATCCGAATGAAATTATTTGTATGAAATCGAAAAAGACATGAATCAAAATTTTATAAATACGTATATAATTTCTTTAATTTATTAGTCCAATTATTTTCTTATTAAATTGAACATACATACATATATGTATATGTGTGTGTTTTTATATTGATTTTACTGATAAAATAATCCTTCCCAAAAAGTCAGTTAGTTCAATAATAATTAGAATTATGATTGTCATACAAATTGAGAGTGTTATAACTACATATAATATACTAGTTTTTGCCCACGACTTCGTCTGCGTTAGTTTCAGAATTAGAAATGTATATCTAACTCTGAACTCTATTCCTCCTTAAACAGTAGATAAGATTTTGGATTTGATCAACTTATTTCTTTTTAAATCGTATGTAAAGTATCCTATGTCCTTTCTATGTTCTAATCTATCTCTCCACCAATCTTCATCCAAACATGTAGAGCCGTATTTGAGTCATAAATAGTGTAACTAACACGATTTTCTTTTATCTCTCTCTTCTCTCTTCTACCTGGCAATTTTTCCAGCTTTAGCCAGGGTCTGCCTTACATGTTGTAAATAGTGTTTACGACCGGCCGCCTACCTGACATCAACCCTCTTTTGGGAATGCATTAATCAGTTATGTCTAAATACTCTTACAAATACATATGACTCGGAAAAATCACATTGGTACTTGCCCGGGTCAAGATCGAACCTGCGCCCTCGTGCATGAGAGGCGGGCCCTTTAACCACTGGGCCACCACGACTTTCTTTTATATATAAAGTACTAGCTGACCCGGCACACTTCGTACTTCTTTCGTTTGTATGGGAAATAAAAAAGCGCTGTTTTTTAGGGTTTTCCCGAAAACAAATAAAAAAAATTCAGCTTTAAACCTTCCCTGAACCTCCACGAACATTTCAAGACTATGATAAGATAAATCCGTTCAGTCGTTCTCGAGTTTTAGTGAGACTAACGAACAGAAATTCATTTTCATATATATAGAGTATATAGGCCTATAGTTTCCTATACCTTTCAGATCCAGTTAGCCAGGTTGTGTGGGGCGTTATATTTATCATTATCAGTATCAGCGGATACATATTCCCGCCACGGGAGGTCATGCTTTGGGAGAAACTTAATATGAGGCCTGGTGAGTACACGCTTACTATGAGTCTGTACATCAAACTTAAAGTATGCACGTATATGTACGCTGCAGACTTGTGTAGACTGAACCGTCCTTAACTATGAAATATGCTGTTATTATATAAATTTTTTATGACCGTCTATCACAGGCATTTTTCAATCATTATTCATTGGAGTTTAACTAAAAAATATTAGAAGAAAAATTTGTTGTTTTCAAACCCAGAGAAGTGGAATTATAATAATATTTAAGTATATAAATGACTTCAAAAATCACTTCAAAAACGAATAGTATCCGAAAATATTAGTTTCATTTAAATGGTAGTAGTACCCCTCGTCCTATATATAAGTATAACTCGTCCCTGTCTCCCTACCCCGCCTAGAGCGACGCACGTCCCCGTTCTGCGTCACGCTAGTCGTGAGTCTGCCGAGCGCATGCAGCCCCTCCAGTGGGGTACCTGAGACAGTGTATTATATATATTGTATCGATATATCTATAGTTTTTTTCAATACTAAGGTTTCCCGCCTTACGACTGGTGGTCGGATCCTCCCGACCAAGTCAAGATGAGAGCTTACATCTTCAATGTCACCAACCATGAGAGGTTCCTACAGGGTTTGGACCCTAAGATAAATGTGGAGGAGATAGGACCCATTGTGTACTTGTAAGTTATTTCACACACACACACACACACACACACACACACACACACACACATATATATATGTGTAGACCACGGAAACGTTGTTCTACCATTAAAAAAATAGGGGTTGGTGATAAAAAAGTAAAAATTTAGGGTTGTGTGTATTTTTTAATGCTATATTATAAAAAAATAAAAACAAAAATTTCGTCCGCAAATAAAATAATTAAGGGTGAACAACCCTTATAACTTAGGAATATGAAAAATAGATGTTGGCCGATTCTCAGACCTATTCAATATGTTTACAGAATTTCATCAAATTCGGTCCATCCGTTTCGGAGGAGTTCTCTGTCTAACAGCGTGACACGAGAATTTTATACATAAGTTATATTTTATACTAATATGAAATTTCTCTATAGACGATTACTTAGAGTATATTTAATTATAATATTTTATTTCTTACATATAGAACCTATAGCTTTCAGAAGATTATCAGCTTTTAATGATTGATTACATTTAAAAATAGAGTAGAAAAATTATGATGATCAAATAATTTTAACAAAATATACATATAGTGCAATTATGGCCCGGGCAAGTACGAATGTGACTTTTCCGAATCATATGTACTTTCTAAGAATATTTAGACATCACTGATTAATGTTGATACCCAAAAGAGGGTTGATGTCAGGCAGACGGCCGGTCGTAAAAACAAATAGCCAAAACTATTCACTACATGTAAGGCAGAACCTGGCTATAGCAAGGAAATTGCCAGGTAGAAGAAGAACATATAGTGCAAATATTTATATTTTCAATACTAAAATTCCCATTTAATACATTCTAAATTAACAATTTATTACAAACAATAAATTAATTATCTGTCAATAAAACCTACAATCGGGAAAACAGTTAAATTCAAAGTATAGGTATACAAACATCCCAACGGTCAAGGCAATATATAATTATCGGCGAGGCCCCTTCACTTTAGGTGCAGGGCCGCAGTTAGCCAAAACATATTTAACACATTAAATTTATTACTACATCTAAACTTAACACGAGTTACAATCGAAATACTTACAAACTGACAGTTTGTAAGTATTGTAATATTGGTATAATGAATTCACTACACAAATTAGGTTCCAGTAGAAAACTATTTTCCAGGAGAAAACTATGAAACATACTTATATGTATATTATAATAAGAACATATTAAAATTTATAACCTACACCTAAGACTACATGATTGCCCCGATGTTATGATAGCAATACCATTCCATAGCTTGTGTGTATCAGGAATCTTCTGGTTCACACGGCTTGGTGTTCGTTCCGCGGAGTCAGCGGCGTCATTCGTTATATATTTTATACATACAACGATGTCGCCCGGCGATGTTCATTTTTTTTCTTCATATGTAGCGTATACGACAAAAAAAAACAAAAAACTAAAACTCACAATTTTTTCGACAACACAAACAAGTGGTAGGTTTAATAAATCTCTTATTTCTTTGTAAAATTCATGTAGATTTGAGATAATTATAATTTATTCATAATTGCTTAAATTACCGAAATTAGTGAAAAGAATTGTTGCGAAATTTTGTTTTTGAAGTAGCTACACTTGAATTAATTAGATTAATTACATTATAGATCAATAAAACATATACATATTTATATATAATAACTGCTTAAAAACTAAATATTATTTGCATCTAACAAAAAAAAAAAAATATATATATATATATAGACATTTCGTTGTAATTGTAAGAAAAAATTTATTAATTCTTTATTTATCCAATGGCTTGTCTATAAAAAGAGAAAATATCTCATATTTTTCATTAATATATAATAAACATGAATAATTTTCGATAAATAACTATTCTTTATAAAATTAAAATACAAATGAAAACCAGTAGGCAATACTAGTTAAGCACAAGTAGCAACATTCATACATACGGCTCGCCTCCAGTGAAAGTTAAGTATTAGCTACTAAAATATATATATTTATAAGTATTACTTTTGAAAATATAATAATTACTTTTACTGTTGATATAAATTTGAATTCTTCAATAATTAGATCTTCTTATTTTTCTCTATCTTCTATATATATATATATATAAAAATGGATTGTTGTTCCTTAGTCTCGCTAAAACTCGAGAACGACTGAACCGATTTGGCTAATTTTAGTCTTGAAATACTCCTGGAAGTCCAGGGAAGGTTTAAAAGGTGAGAAAATTGGAAAAATTGCCGGGAAAACATTAAAAACAGCCCTTTTCTATTTCCCATACAAACGATTTTTTGACATTAGACTTGACAACTAACTAATATGTCAATCATTCTGTTCGATTGAAGCAGTAGAAATTTAATAAATACCAATACCGGGTTATTGAAGACGGAATAGAGTTTGCCCGGTCAGCTATACCTATATGTATTACTAATGACGAAATTAACGCGGACGAAGTCGCGGGCAAAAACTAGTCGTATATAATTTCTATTCTTAAACCTAAATTACTATCAAAATAATATACAGAGATTTTCGCGTTTACTCATTTTAATAAAACTAACTTTTTAAGATAGTACGCGTTATAAATTAATTAAAAAAGAGTAGTAATACGAAAAACTTAGTTACATTTTAAACTCTTACTATCAGTGCGCCTCAGAAATTTCAGTTTCTTAATCTGACAGGCGGTGAAGGAAAATATCGTGGGGAAACATGAACTTATAATCAAATTATAAGTTTGAAATCACCAACCCGTCTTGAGCGAGCGTGGTGATTAATGCTCTAACCTTCTCCATGTGAGAAGAGGCTCAGCAGGGGGCTCTGATAGGCTGATGATGATGATGGATCTACCTTTTTTTCACAATACCGACGTAACCACATTACGATTTAACCGCAAACTACCCTTTAAATTGACTTACAAATTCTTAGTAAGATACATAAATATCGAAATTATGTAACTTATAAAGTTATCACTTAAATTGTATACATTAAATTGATAAACTGTTTATGAATACATTGAATATTGCTAGAAACACTTTTCCTTTGCGTGTAATACTGACGCCGTATAAGAGAGAAAGGGATAGCAAACTCAGAAGCGTAACGCGTTACGTTACGAAACTGTTTACTTTCACATAAGATGTTATCACTTGAAGAAAAATCAGCTTATCAGAGCCCACTGCTGAGCTGCCTCTTCACATGGAGAAGGTTAGAGCAATAATCACCACGCTTGCTCAAGATGGATTGGCGATTTCAAACTTATAATTTGATATTACAAATCCAGGTTTAATCATGATGTTTTCCTTTATCTGTCAGTGATGTCTAAATACTCTTAGACAGTACATATGACTTGGCAAAATCACATTCGTACCGATTTCGAAGCCGAACCCTCATGCATGAGAGGCGCCTTCAACCTCTATAAGTAATAAGTAATAATAATAATAATATATTTTAGGGAAAAACTAAATCATTTGGACATCAAATTCAATGAAAACAGTACAATGACGTACACAGCCAAGCGACATCTCATATATTTGCCTGACGACAACCACATAGACTTAAATGGGACCATCATTGCACCAAATTTGGCATTACTGGTAAGTACATAAAGTTTAAACGTTTACCAAACGAAATACGAGCAGTTTAGAGTTTATTTATAGTTAGGCGAACGTGTGGTAAGGTGTTGTACCTAAAGTTAGTAGATAATTTAGGTATAAACAATAGATATATTTTATAGATTAGGTAAGTAAGAAACATTTACTTCAATAGCCATGAGTTCGTTCGTTGAAGTCAGCAGCGATTTTTCTATACAGGGTGACTGGTGAATTACTATCAATATTTAAGGAGCATACTCGGTACATGATTCTCATTCGAATTATGTAAAAAAAATAGGTACTTAATTTTTGACCAAATTTCCGTATAAATAAATAAAGTGTTGACACGTTCCAAGTGTTCAAGTGTGGACGCGTGCGGCGGCGTGCTGATACAACACTACGCCGCCGCCGCGTCTGTGTGAGTGTGTGTGTATACCTAATCTGTAGGGTGTTCATACGATGCGTAATTAATTACACAACTTTTGGTTGACTTTACTTAGAAGTTTATTAATATTTATGTTATATTAATTTTTATTTTGTCATATATGATCGTCAAATATCACGTCCTCAAATATCGATAGTAATTCACCAGTCACCCTGTATATTTAATGCATACAACGTTGTTACCCCGGCGATGTTCGTTTAATTTTCAATAACGCTACTCGTGCGCTAGTCATTTCTATACTGTGATCCAAATTTATAACAAAACTATTATTTATTTGTTATCTAGAGTCAGATAATACGCGTTTTTAATTACTTAAAGTACATACTCCCGACGTTTCGGTTACTTCACAGCAACCGTGATCACGGACAGACGAAATGAAAATGAATTCACATTCATAAGCTCAAAATAATAAAAAAAACGTCTCGTAATAATATTAATTTCATTTAAATCGATACTCGCGAAAGTATTAGATTTCATTACGAAAATCCATATCAAATGTGACTCTGTAAAGTTAAATATAAATCTATACCAAGATTTCAATTGAATACAAAAAGTAGACAACAGACAAAGTCACAGTCATACACTAGTCATATTCACAAGATATATTTTATAATAATTATCGTCAATTATCACACAAAAGAATAATGTTTATACCTTTTAACACGATCTGTCATCTAAGACAGTCATGGCCATTACAGTGTCAAAAGATGTAGACAGTGACATAATGACGTTTTAAGTACAGATTACGAAATTTATAGTCACTTATATATATATATATATATATATATATATATATATATATATATATATTAAAAAATATATTTTATTCGCATTGAGACGAATATACTCATTATTCAATTCACGGTGCGTGTGTCGGGTCCATCGTTGTGGTGAGAGGAGCTTCAACAGTGACTGGGACTTGTGACCCTAGTGTAGGTTTAAGGGACCCTATCTAACGTTAAACGATCACCTCCACCGTCCAAGCTCCTCTCTCTACCAAAATTGAAAATAACCTACTAGGGCTGTCTTTAAAGTACTTTCTAAGAATAAATTGATATTCGTTCTGGACAAGCCCAAGTCTTTTAGTAGGTTTATATACAAATATTTTTTATTTGTCATATTGGTACAAAACTAAATGAAATCGAAATATTTTTCATACTAATTGAGATATTAATTTCTTATAGGGCATAGCCTCATATCTCCACCATGCAGATTTTTTTATACGCAGCGGTTTCGTTGGTTTGGCTAGCTTACATTCGTCTAAGTTTTTCGTGAAGAAGACAGTATACCAGTATCTATGGGATTTTAGAGATAGTATTCTGGACACATCACAAAGAGTCGTCCCGGGAATGGTACCCACAAATAATATGGGCATGCTAAGTCGGGTAAGTTAATAATGAAAATGTATAATGAGTTTGCCAATTGCCTCACTAAATATCTACCTACCCGCAATTTGTTGGGAGTGAAAATTTGTATTAAACTAAAGTGGGTTACTAGTTTTATGTAAAATAGATTCTTGGATCGTTTCCCTTCCATGTTTTATAGCTGATTATATACTCAAATTCAATTCATTAAGATTTCTGTCTTATTAACGTAAAGAAAACTACCCTCAATTATTAGTTATTCAAAAAATAAGAATTGCATTTATATATATAAAATTAATTTATGTTTATTATGTTACATAAAATTAATTATTGTATATAGGTTTGTCTTACTTTCACTAAATATAAATACATTTTTTTTTTGCTTTTAGATATACCCTCTATATTTCAACTCGAGCCACAATATATCGAAATTTTCAACAAATATTTAACAAATATAATTTAAATCAATCTATTTCTTACATATCTTTAATAATAACAATGCTTATATATTATATAATTTAAGATATACGACGGTTTTTCTGACAACTACACCGTGAAGATAGGCCCGCAATGGGGCCACCACGAGTTCTTCAAGATAGACAGACTTAATGGAGCTCAGAACTTTAGGGAATACGACATACATGTGAGTTATATACAAGAATATTGTTAGTAAAATAATTATAATAAAAAATATTACTGTGTAAATTCTATAGCCGACCCCACGTAACTTGGGAAGAGGCAAAAAAACTATGTAAATTATATGATATTTAATAAAAACATTACATTTAACTTTATTTATTAGTATAAAAAATATTTCATATCAATAAATTTAACCCGATTTCGGAACATTTATAAAATTTTATTAAAAAAATACATTTCCATTACAACCTCCTTTTTGAACTTGATTAAACGCGGGAGATTTTTAATCTGTGCTTTATATAATTATTATATTTTTTCTCTATACAGAAATGCCAAGATCGTGTGACGGGTGCCACTGAGGGTGTTATGTATCATCACCACATGTCAAAAAGCGACGTCCTTTACGCCTTGAGGAAGACCGTCTGCAAGCCTTTGCCTTTGTACTTTGACAGTTAGTAACAATAATAATGACAGTTGACGTAATATTAATAGTCACTAGCAGCCTAGTAGTTAAAAATCCCGCATCTCATGCACGAGGACGCGGGTTCGATCCTGGCAAGTACCAATGTGATGTATCCGAGTCATATGTACTTTAAGAGTATTTAGACATCACTGATTAATGCATTCCCAAAGAGGGTTGATGTCAGGTCGTAAAAACAATTAGCAAAAACTATTCACAACATGTAAGGCAGACCCTGGCTATAGCTGGGAAATTGCCAGGTAGAAGAAGATTAATGACAGTTAATGTCATAGTTTGCAGTATGAATGACATTTGACGTTTACACCTGTCACATTTGACAGGTCAAAACAATATTAATCCATAGAATATATTCTACTTAGATTAAATTAATCATATTTTTATGTCCAGAGGAATTAAAGATGGACGGCGTGCCTGTATACCGTTACAACTTATCAGAGCGAGCGTTCGATAGACAGAGGAACGGAAGTGACTGTTACGCGACGGACGACCCACTTCCGGATGGCGTTAGTGATGCATCCAAATGTTTCTTTGGTGAGTGTAACTTCAAAAACCGATTATAATGTAGTTTACTATATCTTCTATCTTCTATATATATATATATATATATATATAAATGGATTGCTGTTCCTTAGTCTCGCTAAAACTCGAGAATAGCTGAACCGATTTGGCTAATTTTAGTCTTGAAATACTCCTGGAAGTCCAGGGAAGGTTTAAAAGGTGAGAAAAATTGATTCATTACTGGGAAAACCATAAAAACAGCCCTTTTCTATTTCCCATACAAAAGTTTTTTTTGACATTAGATTTGACAATTAACAAATATGTCAATTCTGTTTGATTGAAACAGGAAAACCTGATTATTTATGGCCTCTAAGACGGAATAGAGTTCGACTGGTCAGCTACACCTACATATATTACTCTTGACCAAACTAACGCGGACGAAGTCGCGGGCAAAAACTAGTATTTATTAGTAATGAATTATTATTATTAGTGGTAATGCCTTAATGTAAGGGACCCTGAAAATATAGTGGCGTTGTGTATAAGCTTGGGAGTGATTTGTAATAACTAATATCATTTAGCTAGGATAAGTTATAGTGGTTTTTCGGTAGAAAATTTGGTCGCTAAAAAATAATTTATTCTCAAAGTGAATTAATTTCGGAACTTCTATTTTAGATCACTACGAAAGATGTATCATTACATAGTTATTGACTCCTAGCAATTTTTGCATTACTGTGATTATTTAATGATTATATTTTTAAAGAAAATTAACTTAAGATAGTTCGGAAAAAAATTGTTCTGTCAATTTCACAGTGAGTGTCAAATGTCAATAATAATAAATGACAAATAGAGTGAATGTCAAAGTGTCAGTGTCAAATTATACAGGGTGACTGGTGAATTACTATCGATACTTGAGGACGTGATATTTGACGATCATATATGACCAAATAAAAATTAATATAACATAAATATTAATAAACTTCTAAGTAAAGTTAACCAAAAGTTATGTAATTAATTACGCATCGTGTGAACACCCTACAGATTAGGTATACACACACACTCACGCGCGTGCGGCGTAGTGTTGTATCAGCACGCCGCCGCACGCATCCACAGTTGGAACACTTGAAACGTGTCCACACTTTATTTATTTATACGGAAATTTGGTCAAAAATTAAGTACCTATTTTTTTTACATAATTCGAATGATAATCATGTACCGGTTCCTTAAATATTGATAGTAATTCACCAGTCACCCTGTATATTTTTTAAACCCCTACTAAAAATCACTAAAACCAATATCGTATTATACAGCTATTATATTTTCGATAAAGATTTTGCAATAATTTAAAAATATCAAATATGTACGTTATTGCATTCCATATTTTTATTTGTCACTTAGTGTTAACATACTAATAAACTAAGACATTATTCGATTCTCTATATTTTTCCATCCTACTACATATTATTTTTGATGTAAGATAAATAATATTTTGCATATACATAGTTAGATTAGATATAATTTAATACGTTTATTATTATATGTCCACAGATTTCCCAATGGTGGCATCCTACCCTCACTTCTACACGGGGTCACCACACAAGGATACTTACGTGACCGGCTTCAAGCCTGACAGCGAAAAACACAGGTCATACGTTATAGTGGAACCGGTGAGACATATATATACATACATATATATATATATATATATATATATGTATGTATATATATATATATATATATATATATATATATATATATATATATATATAACGAAACCTCTCATCATTCAATATATTAAAGTCACTGGTGGCCTAGTGGTTAAAAGGCCCGCCTCTCATGCATGAGGTTTTTCTGCCATAAAAAAAATAGGGGTTGGTGATAAAAAAGTAAAAATTTTGGGTTGTGTGTATTTTTTAATGCTACATTATAAAAAAATAAAAACAAAAAATTCCGTCCGCAAATAAAAAATTAAGAGTGAACAACCCTTATGACTTAGGAATATGAAAAATAGATGTTGGCCGGTTCTCAGACCTACTCAATATGCTCATAAAATTTCATCAAAACCGGTCCATCCGTTTCGGAGGAGTTCTCTGTCTAACACCGCGGCACGAGAATTATATATATAAGACTAGCTTCCCGGCCGCAGCTTCGCCCGCGTGGAGTTCGGTTATATCACGTCACCAAGAAAACCTTTCAATTGTCTGAGATAAAAACTATCCTATGTTCTTTCTCAAGATCAACTCTATCTCTGTACCAAATTTCATTAAAATCAGTTCAGTGGTTTAGTCGTGAAAGCATAACAGACAGACAGACAGAATTACTTTCGTATTTATAATATTAGTAGGGATATATTCAAGACTAATATGAAATTTCTCTATAGACGATTACTTAGAGTATATTTAATTATGATATTTTATTTCTTACATTTAGAACCTATAGCTTTCAGAAGATTATCTGCTTTTAATTATTGCTTATATTAAAAATAGAGTAGAAAAATTGTGATGATTAAATAATTTTAACAAAATATACATATACTGCAAATATGGCCCGGGCAAGTACCAATGTGATTTTTCCGAGTCATATGTACTTTATAAGAGTATTTAGACATCACTGATTAATGCATTCCCAAAGAGGATTGATGTCAGGCAGGCGGCCGGTCTTAAAAACAATTAGCCAAAACTATATATATATATATATATATATATATATATATATATATATATATATATATATATATATATATATATATATATATATATATATCAGAATATTCGCTCTATAGTATAAATATTTTCAGATAACCGGTACTCCATACGACGCGGTTGCCAGGTTACAATGCAACCTTCGTATCAGCGACCTTTCCGGTTTCTATTCAAGCATGTACGAAAAGTTTTCAAATCTCATCTTACCTATTGGGTGGATAGAATACGTAAGTACTCACATTATATAACAATTAATTAGTTACAAATAATAAATAAATAAAATAAATAAATATATTATTATCAATATAAGTATTGCTATCATAAAAAACTATTTCTTATCCTGGCAATACTAACTGGATAGCTGTCAAATATATCCAAAATAAATAAATAAATAAATAAACTATATACTCCCGACCCTTTATAAGTTAGAGGCGATATTTTCACCAAAATGATTTTATTTTTATTTCGTCCAGCACTCGTATTTTTTTACTCAGACAACTTTAATGATTGTCAATAGACAGTTTGACAGATATATATTTATATATACATATGTTTTTACTTCCATTATATACACTAAACCATCATCAATTTTGTTTTTATGTCCGTTAAAGGGTTAAATATTGAAAAAACATTAATTAATTATTTCCAGCACCAAGAAGGTCTGCCAGCTCGCATCAAGCACGCCATATACTTCATGGTCGTCATACTCCCGCCTCTATCAACAGTCATTTTCATAATGACCTTCCTACTCGGCAGTTCATTAATAATAAAACAAATTATAACACAGAAAATAAATAAAGAAATACTACCTTCTATAATAAATTTTAAATCACAAAAAGATAATAAATTAACAGACAATAACATATATACGTACGAAAAGGAATTATTTTTAAGGAAACCACAGCTGTCTAGATGATTTTGTAATAAAATAATTAGATATATATTATTAAGATCGTATGAAAAAGATTTTTTAAGATTTACAATGTCCAGATCTAAAGAGGCTGTGATTTCATTTTTATATGTGAATAAATAATTATGTGTTCAAAATACATTACATAGTGCTTTATAAGAAGATATATATATTATATATTATATTATACATATATGTATATATGTTAAAATCAGTGATAAGACTGAAACCATGATTAAAATAGATTTTTTTAATTAATTTTAACGCCTGGATGCATTTAGTATTTCGCTTATCCCAAAGAATACAATAAAGTTACTAACTGAAAATGAATTGGGTAAAAAAAACATATATTTCTTAATTATTTCCTGTTTATTATTTTTATATAAATAATAATATCTACTCTATTTTATAAAAAGAAGTAATTACATTAAAATTTTATTGTAATATTTGACTTGTTAAATATATAGAATTGTTTAGTTTAATTTAATTTTAATCACGCTTGGTTCCTAATGGTTTTAATTATAACCAATTGCTCATATACTTAATTTTAAGATTAATTATATTTTGTATAAATAAATAAATGTCTTTCATAATGAAAATGTTTTTTTATTAAATAAATCTCTATACAAATGTTTTTATTTAATTAAACTATAACTGGAATCCAAAGCTGTCATCACATTGAGAAGCAATCGTATTGGTATTTTTTCAATTGAACTCAAATTTCGCGGGTAGCATCAAAACTTTACGTGTTACTTTGTTACTTATAATTATTTAGTGGTTCATATAAACTATTGTTTCAAATTACAATGTATCGTGTATAAACTGTAGTTTATAAAACTATTTATATTAAAAATGTTTAGTTAGTTCAAAATTGTGATCAAGCATGATGAATAAAGGGACTGATAATGGATGGTTATTGTGTCCATCGAAAAGTTTTCCTGGTAAATTCTATTATTTCAACATACACAATGGAGAATCAGCGTGGAGTTTGTACGACAGTGAGGTGTGTAGCGTTTTATATCTCATCATTTAGGCTGTTCTTATAAAATATAATAAAACTTAAGTCAGTTTTAGGATTGCTACTAATCGGAATCTCGCAAAGCTTTACTAAACTACCATATACTCATATTTTTATGACGTTGCTAATTAAATTGATACATTTTTATTAACATTCAATGTTTTTTATTAATATACAATTAGTAATTTCGTTATTATATTGATAAGTTTATTCATTCTATGTTTTAGAAGGGAATGTTTAAGAATGATGCTAACATACAAAATAAGGTGGTAAATTCTCCCAAACCTATTATTCCGCCAGACAACCGAAGTGCTAGTACTTGTTTAACCCATTCAAGAAGATACTCATCAACATTTGGACCAGCAAAATTCCCAAAATACATTGCATCTAATAAAGATGTAAATACTAAAAAAGACCAATATATTCAAACAGATACATATTTCAATCAGGCTACTTCAACACCTATTTACAAAAATTTTCAATCAAAACCGAATACTGCAATAAAAATAACAGATTGGTCAAATTCATCCATTTGGTCCGATATTAGCCAAATCACTTCAAAATCAATACCTAAAAGAAGTATAGATACAAATAAACCTTTATTAAAAGAATCTACAAATGATACACAAAATGGAACCATATTGAATGGACACAAAGTACAAAATACAGAAAGAAATGATTTAAAACGTTTGGGTAGTAATGACTTGAGATTACTATTGAGAGCAAAAAGAAGAAAATCTAATTACACAAACGGTTTGTATATTATATTAATATAGAAATAATATATAACATTAATGTAACATATATACATACAAAAACATAATAATGACTGTCTTTCAGTTAATCAGTAGCTATTTGAATTGAATTTTAGCGATACTTAAACTTTTTACATACAAAATTAATTAAAATTATACAGGAGATGTTTTTAATTATTTTCTTTAATATATACAATATTCCATATAATTTCCAGACACAATTGAGTCATCAAAACCAACATTTAGTAATGACTCCAACAAAGTGAGTATTTAAAATATAATAGGCAATTAAATAATTTATCAATATATAATACATATAATGTATATATTTTCAGGGAACAAACACACAAACGAACACTGAAAGTACAAAAGAACGGTACATTGTAGTGGATTTTGATGTGCTGCTTCAAGAATTCGATTTTATTATGTCCTATATAAATAAAGGTATTTATTATTATTAAATTAAAATACATATATACATTAAAAAATACATGAGAAGGAGTCGAACCTACAACCTATAGTTTCCCATTTCAGTTATTGTTCAAGCTATAGTTTCAGTCTTGATGTTTAATGTTCATCGTTACTTCCAGTAATGTGTTACAAAATGACTGAAGACAGTATTTATAGTTTACAAATACAATGATACTTATAGGTTGCGATAAAATAACAATGGTTCAGTATTATGATTAACTAGCTTTCCGCCCGCAGCTTCGCCCGCGTGGAGTTCGGTTATATCGCGTTTCCAAGAGAACCTTTCAAAAGTCTGGGATAAAAACAATCCTATGTTCTTTCTCAAGGTCAACTCTATCTCTGTTCCAAATTTCATTAAAATCAGTTCAGTGGTAACAGACAGATAGACAAGAGTTACTTTCCCATTTATAATATTAGTAGGGATTATAATCAGTCATAAAAATAATTGTAAGGATTAAAGTACACAAAGTTTTTCAAAATGTCTTTTACCGTACAGGCTATCCAACTGTGGAATGCTTTACCCATTAGCATTAAGCAAGCGCAAACACTATTGTCTTTTAAGAGTTTGGTAAAAGAGCACTATCTGGCTATGGAAACTTAGTCGCTATATTATGTTCTTGTATAGTATTTGTTTTATTTGTTAATTTTATTTTGTTTTTATTTATTTATTTTTACTTACTGTAATTTATTCAACTTTTGTGTCTATATTATTTACGTAAATATTTGAGACGACTTATATATTATTATATTCATTTATATTAATATGTCTAATTGTTCATTAATATTTATTAGTATATATATTTATATATATATGTATATTTGTATGTATTGTATGTATCTATTTATATATGTATTAGTGTATATATAAGGATTAGACACCACCTACCTTTTCGCTGCACTATTTCCCCAAATCGAAGGTTGTCTGGCAGAAATCGCTGTATAGCGATAAGACCGCCTTTTTGTACATTTCAATTTATTTTATTATTTTTTTTTCCGTGTAAAATTTACTGTTTGTGGTGTGCAATAAAGTATATTCTATTCTATATTATAATTAGTACGACACAGATGGCGCCACTTGTAACTATACAGGGTGACTGGTGAATTACTATCGATATTTGAGGACGTGGTAGTTGAAGATCATATATGACAAAATAAAAATTAATATAACATAAATATTAATAAACTTCTAAGTAAAGTTGATCAAAAGTTATGTAATTAATTACGCATCGTGTGAACACCCTACAGATTAGGTATACACACACACTCACACATACGCAGCGGGGGCGTGGTTTTGTATCAGCACGCCGCCGCACGCGTCCACATTTGGAACACTTGGAACGTGTCAACACTTTATTTATTTATACGGAAATTTTGTCAATAATTAAGTACCTATTTTTTTTACATAATTCGAATGAGAATCATGTACCGAGTATACTCCTTAAATATTGATAGTAATTCACCAGTCACCCTGTATAATGTATTGACTCAAATAGGAATTAAGACTTCTATACAATGATATCTTAGACTCGAGTATTCATTTAAATAAAACTAATATTTTCGAATGTACTGAGATGAAATCTCGTCATGATCACAGTTGCTGAAAAGTAACCGAAACGTCGGGAGTATGTAGTTAAAATATTAAAATAGTGCATGGAACCCATCCGCGTGGAAAAAGTGAATCTTTGCAATATTTAAATGAAATAGGAAGGGGTAGAAATTGATTTTTAAACAATTTTTATTGTTTCTTTAAAACAAACTTTATTAACACTACTTACAAGTCACAATTAATTGCTCGCATGCGTTCGAGCGACATACATTCCCTCTCGCTCTGTCCCTTTCTATAGTGGCGTTAAAGATTTAACGCAACCTTATTGGAAGTCGCATAAGAAGTTTAACTTTATTTATTTAAAAGCATTCTATACATTTTATTAACATATAGCTACATCAATAACTCACATTACATAATTACTATTATTTAAGACTAGCTTTCCGCCCGCAGCTTCGCCCGCGTGGAGTTCGGTTATATCGCGTGTCCAAGAGAACCTTTCAAAAGTCTGGAATAAAAACTATCCTATGTTCTTTCTCAAGGTCAACTCTGTCTGTATCAAATTTCATTAAAATCAGTTCAGTGGTTTAGCCGTGAAAGCGTAACAGACAGACAGACAGAGTTACATTCGCATTTATAATATTAGTAGGGATTTAAAATCTATTATTTTATTTAGAATAACAAACCATTTATAATATATAAATTTCAGATGACACTTGCAATCTTTATATACCGAAAATTGTTGAAACACAATTGAAATCTGCTACGATCGGGAATACAAGTGAATTGAAATCTGACGAGATCTCGGAACACGGACGCAATTTGTTGGCTGCTAGACGTATATATCGACGATTGGAAAACTATAAATCAAAATGTAATTATATTTTATCATTATTATCATTATTTTCTCATCTAAATCATCATTTTATAATCATTAAACATTGACTGTCATTATTTTTTACTTAATTTACAGTAAATTTATCCGAATGTATAGAAGATACAAGAATAAACCAAATAATAAAATGTTGTTCTGATATCAAACAGCGAAATAAAGATGTGGTGAGTTATATATATTAATAAATAAAAATATTGTTAAGTTAAGAAAAATAATTACAAAAATATGAGTCTATAATTTTAAGTAAAAAAATAAAACATTTATATCTAGATAAATATATACATGCATACTTAATTTTTTAATTTATGTACAAGCAATAATATTGTTATGAGCATGTTTTGTTAGCAATATAAAACAAAAATATTCTCTTTATTATAATCGCAGGTAAAACTGACCTAGCTTCCTTTAATATACAAAAAACCAATTACTATGTAGAACTTTCCAATAAATTCTTATTTATATTTCTACTTGTTCACTTTAACAATAGAAATGTTATATACATATAGCTAATAGTTCATCCACTCGTCACGAGATGGCGCTTTCGCTAAATATAAAGAACATTCAACAATATTCCCAAAGTATTGATAAGTAAAATAACATTTTTATACATATAAAATTTGTTTCCTTCAGATGCTCATCACAAACGATGAAGAATTGCTGAAGATCGCCAAATCCCATCAAATAAAGGCCAGCACTATACAAGATCTGCAAAATGATCTATCTTTTGATAATAATATAAATAAATTAACCAAAAATAAGGAAAATCTCTTCCTACAAGATGTTACAATGTCGGAACCGCTGTCATTAACCAATTTACTTGAAAATAATAATGATTATGATGAAAATGATAATAGTGATGATGATATATCATACATAACATCTGATATAGATAATCTTAACATAACAAATCCAATATTAAATATGAGAAGAAAGGAAAAAAATACATACAAAATAAACAAATCAAATGATAATGACATTACACAATCATCATTAAATAATGACATTATTAATGAACAGAAAATGCATAATCAAGAATTAATGATAAAATCATCAAGAGAAACAGAAAATACGAATCATTATAATGAAAAATCAATTAATTCTGAATTGAAATCATTTTATAAGAATTATGATATTGTTAAGAATAATCTTTGTTCAAGATCAGAGGAATTTGTTTGCTGTTTAGATCAAATTATTGAGGGATTCGTACAAATAATATTACAGGTACATTGAAGATTATTAATATATTTTCATATATACATATATCGTCGGGGATAGTACAAATCCGCGTAACTAGCATTGTATAATTCCACGTATATACAATGAAAGCAGATTATCAGAAGGAAGTTTAAGCTGAAATATTTTCTAATTCAACGACTTTTAAGGTACTTATTTAGTGTTTAATTTATTGCTAATTGTGAAAAATTTAGCTTAAAATTAATTAATATAGAAAATATTTCATCTTAAACTTTCCTCTGATAATCTTTTTTCGATGTATATACGCGGAATTATCCAATGTTAGTTACTCGGATTTGCACTATCCACAAAGATATGTTACAATTAATAATTGAGATTTTTTTATATCATTTAAAAATATGTTTAATTATCTATATAAAACATTTCATTATATTTATATCAAAGAGGTTTTATTTACTAAAAATATTGAATCTTTGTAATAAAGAGAAAATATTATTATGTTTCAATTTACATACTATGTATTTTATAATAATACAATTTCATTGTATTTTCATACTGAAATATATTTATTAAGTATGAAATATATTGAAGGAAAAACTACAAGATGTCACAAAACCTAAGATATGGTTGAAGAAAGAAGGATTAGAAAGTGTTAAAGAAATTTATAAAGATGACAAAAATATTTGCAATATTATTGAGAAGATTATTGACTTATATACATCACTACAGGGAGGTAAGGATTATACATTGGTTTTAGAGAATTCAATAGGTTTTTCACATTCAGAGAATTTTAAAAGTCACTTAATATCACACGCAAATATATATGTATATCATTTTTTAAAGTAAATCAAATCTTTGATATAGAAATATTGAGATTTATTTCTATTTTTAAGATTAAATATACAATACTTCTAGAACCTTATCAAAGTGTCTTTGTTATGAAAATAATAATTAATTATCAATTAACAAAATTGCAATTTCAAGTTGAGAAACAAAGTATTCTATCTCTTGAGTTCAAACAAAGCACAAATTTTGAAAACAAAACGTTAAAATCGGTCCAATAGTTCAGGAGTTATACATTTATGAATGAATACATACATTCATCCGTGGTGGCCTAGTTGTTAAAGGTACGCCTTGCATGCATGAGGGCGCGGGTTCGACTCCTGGCAAGTACCAATGTGATTGTTCCGAGTCATATGTACTTTATAAGAGTATTTAGACATCACTGACAGATGAAGGAAAACATCGTGAGGAAACCTGGACTTATAGTCAAATTATAAGTTTGAAATCACCAACCCGTCTTGAGCAAGCATGATGATTAATGCTCTAACCTTCTCCATGTGAGAAGAGACTCAGCAGTGGGCTCTGATAGGCTGATGATGATTTATATGTATATTTTTGTTACAGATAAAAACATACAACCATACGATTTCATGTCATTATTTGAATGCTGGTATCGATTGATTCAAGCTGTTGAGGTAAACTATTATAAAACCATTTCAATACATAATATTTGAACACAAACATATGTGATAGGTTATTTATAGTAACATGCATCTATATTCAGTATTAAGTCAGTGGTGGCCTAGTGGTTAAAGGGCCCGCCTCTCGTTGCCGAGGGCGCGGGTTTGATTCTGGCCCGGGCAAGTACCAATGTGATTTTTCCGAGTTATATGTACTTTCTAAGAGTATTTAGACATCATTGATTAATGTTGATTCCCAAAAGAGGGTTGATGTCAGGCAGGCGGCCGGTCGTAAAAACAAATAGCCAAAACTATACACAACATGTAAGGCAGACCCTGGATATAGCTGGGAAATTGCCAGGTAGAAGAAGATACAGTATTAAGCAGATTTTTGGGCCAATAATTATTGTCTAAAGTTTAGGATATATATATTAAATCCCACATATTGACACTACTAGTTCATTCTGTTCGCATTTAGACCAGTACAAAGAATAATAAACAACAATTGACATACTCTTCTGGCCGAGAAGACGGTCTATTTAAAATAATAATACATACTTATAAATATATAAAGTACATTTAAAACACCCAACCAATAAATAACATAGTTACATTTAAATGTATTCTCAATCTACATATGATTATACAAATATATATATTAACGAAATTTCGATAATGATAATCTTTATATATTAAAATTTTTAATAGGAGAAAAAACCAAATGATGTAGGGATACACGAGATTAAACATTATCTTGATATATTAAAAGATAATTTATCACAAGCTAATGATGATGATGATGATGATGAAGAACTTATTATACCATCACCTCGCTCTGAGAATGAAGAAACTTTTAGGTGTTGTGAGTATAACTCACTTTATTTAAATTAAATTATATATTATAAATTATACATACTATTATTTAAATATTTTTTTCTCTCATATAATTTTATAAAAGTCCAAATTTGTTTCAAATATAATTATTATTAAAACATTAATTTCATCAATTATTTTTACATATATAGTTATTTATTAAAGGAATTATCTAATATATACTGAAATTGTCATTATTAACTAAAATATTACATATAATATATTATTATTGTATATTTAGAAGTAATATTAGAAAAATATTAACATTTATGTGGTGATTGTCATTATTGTATTAAAATAATTATTTTCTTATAATATTTTAACAATTTTATTTATTTTTCAGTCTTGAAGAATCCATCGGAAGTCGTAGAATATATAAGAAAACATTTCTCAGAATGTAAAGTGAACAAGGCAGACGGACAGACAAATGTTGCGGTAGTTTATTTTTACATTTATTTTTCAATTAAATATATAAGACATAAAAAATGTATAATTCTTCTCCTAAAATTAATTATTATCTTTAAGTATTAGAGAGTTATTGACAATATTAAAACATGTTAGAACATTTATTTCATATTTTATTGATTTAGTTAGAGTTATTAAAATATACTAATATCTTATATATAAAATTCTGGTGTCGCGTTGTTAGACAGAGAACTCCTCCAAAACAACTGGACCGATTTTGATGAAATTCTGTTAGCATATTGAGTAGCTCCGAGAATCGGCCAACATCTATTTTTCATTCCTCAGTCATAACGGTTTTCCACCCTTAATTTTTTGTTTAATTTAAAACGATTTTTTATTTATTTTTTATAATGTAACATTAAAAAATACATACAACCCAAAATTTTTACTATTTTATCACCAACCTAAATTTTTTATATGGCAAAAAAACGTTTGCCGGGTCAGCTAGTTATAAATAAAATAATATTCAACTAATTTTAAATCATTTCACAGAACGGAGTTGATATAAAAATACTACGAACATTAGGAAAACATCTGAACAATTTTACTATAGATAATACTAAAAAAACGATTGTCCTTAAAGAATGTCTCAATAATAATGATGATGCCGGAAATATCTCAATATGTAATACACCAAAAGTATTAAAAAATATATCATATCAGTCAATAAATAATGATGATAATCCAATTAATGATAATCAATTAAATGATCAATCAATAATTAGTGAAAATGATAATGGGACACGGGCATATGCAATAATGCAAAAGTTATTCACCGAGCTCAGTTTAAATTTTAAAACAGTGCATGATTTTATGTAAGTATACTTATTGATTAATTATAAAAATTATTTATTATGATTTAAACAAAATTTTAGTTTTCAATCTTTAAATTTTTATGTAACTTTCTGTAACATATCTTTAATTACATACTGGTCTAAATTGATGTACTTATATTTTATAACTATTAAATAATATTAATAAACAATAAAAATAAGTCTATTTCTATTAAATTTCTCATAAAAATGTTGTTTTTTATTAAATACAAATTAAATATTATATTATTTTCAGTGATACAAATGTTAAGGATTACAATGAAGATATGTCAGGAGATAAAAGGGAAAACTTGAAATGTAGAACTGAAAAAATACACACACACATGACTGATGTTATAGAAAAATTGAATAAGTAAGATAATACAAGAAAAATCGATTATTTATATGATAATACATATTAATGGAGTTATTTAAGCTAAGTTACATGCTATTATATATCTCTTAACAGCATTTTTAGTGAATGTTTTCCTTAAAAGAAATAATTTGGATTGTAATCTGGTCAAAACTTTGATTTAAATACAAATTTCTCATCCATAAATTAACTCATATGCAGAATTTATTTTTTTGTCATTTAATGTAGTGTAAAATTGAAAACTATTTTTGTATATTTCTTTAACAAATTATTAATAGAAATGTTTTTTGTTACAGTATAATAACAAGAGAGTCGTCTGAAAACAGTGAATTGGAGAAACTTTTAATAAAGACCGGCCGTTATGATAAGAAAACAGCTAGATATAGGTGAAACAATAAACATACCTACTAATATTATAAATGAGAAAGTAACTCTGTCTGTCTGTTACGCTTTCACGACTAAACCACTGAACTGATTTTAATGAAATTTGATACAGAGGTAGAATTGACCTTGAGAAAGAACATAGGATAATTTTTATCCCAGACTTTGAAAGGTTCTCTTGGAAATGCGATATAACCGAACTCCACGCAGGCGAAGCTGCGGGCGAAAAGCTAGTATACAAAAATAAACATTTTTAATTCAAAGTAGTGCTATGTGGAAATATTTATGTATGAAAAACTGTTGATGTATGTATTATGGAAATATTTATTAAGTATTCAAGCTTACAACTAATATGCATAATTAAATCAGTATAGATAGTTTCCGGTTGCAATACATACATACATTTTCTCAAATAATAGTATCAATATACTTAAAGAAATAGTTCTTCGAGTCCCTTACTAAGAAGTGAGACTTCACAATGTGGAAATAATAGGAAAATTTGAAATAAATTTTTGGTGAAGTCATATTGTTTTAAGACAAATTTTATAAACATAGCTCACATTCTCAATCGACCCATATATACTCTCGTTTCGTCTCTTTCTATTCCCTAACGCGTTGAATATTTAACGCAACCTTTGAAAGTTGCATTAGAAGTTTCACTTCAATGTGTAAGCAATATATTATACATAAATATTCAAATAAATCCTTAAATATGTAGTTTAAATAAAGTTGACATCTTTTATATGAATTTCCATGTAACTTTTCATTAAATTATATTTAATATGAGAAAAACGCGTAGACATATCTGATTTACTTATCTATCTATACATTGGTATATAGACTGGTACACTTATCATTTAAAAAAATATATACTTATTAAAGATTATTATTACTTTACAATACTTTTATGAATATAAACTAGCTAAAAAGTGTACCTAAACTTAATATTAAGTTGTTTCAAAGATTAACAAGAACAGACAGACAGGCAATTTTAATTAACATGATTTTCTTACACCCAACATATTTACATCAACATCCATAGTAAAATATTAATTTCATAACAAATGTATACTATTATATTTTCTTTGATAAATAAAACTCAAGATAATGATATCATTATGATCTGATTAATGATATGATTATGATATTGTTGCAGGTCTATGGTCATGAAGTGTGTTGAACAAGCGAGTATCCTAGAACAGTCTCTGAAACTAATGCTGGCTCTCATTAATAAGGAGGATGTATCGGACAAAAAGGAACTTGTACAGCCTGTTAATATACATGAATAGATATATATATGTATATATATTATATATATTTATATGTATATGTATATAGTCATGGATAGTGCAAATCCACGTAACTAGCATTGTATAATTCCTCATATATACATTGGAAGCAGATTATCAGAAGAAAGTTTAAGCTAAAATATTTTATATATTAACGACTCTTAAGGTTATTTTTTTACAGTTAGTTATTATTTAATGTTTAATTTATAATCTGCTTCTAATGTATGTATGCGGAATTATACAAAGCTAGTTACGCGGATTTGCATTATATACTAAGATATATATGTTGGATGGAGAAGGTGTCTTTATATGAAGTTTTTTTTTATTTCTTTTCTTAAATAAATTTATTTTTTACTACATTTATATAGTTCTGACTGAAAAATAAAGTAAATGGTTAAGTTCATATTTGAATTAAAAATATTACTTTCCATAATGTTTCAAATTATTTTTGAATATAGTTTTTTCTTGTGAACAGATTATATTTTAGGTTTTTTTGACATCTATTACTAATTACAAATTTTATTTTTTGTTACTTGACATATTTTTGAAAATAATATTTATATTTTGTTATAACTCAAGTTAATATTTGTTTATATTTTATTGTCCTTTTCTTTGTTATAATAAATAAAATTAATAAGTAAAGTTTTTCTTATTCATGGATTTAAACATCAAATCTGTTTATAAAGATCATGGAATTGTTTATTTCATTCCCTAAAAATATTTATAACCCTCCCAACAAGAATATTTGGAATATGTGATTTATAAATAAAAATGAGGATTGAAGAGAATAAAATCAATCACTGAAAAAAAAGCCACTAAAGATCATGTCAAAAGGTTATCCATTTTTTGACTTCTAGAAAAAAATCGAATTTTTATTCTAACTACATAAAAACTTTTCTGTCATGATGACAGAAAAGTACATTTATATGAATAAAACGTTTATTTACGTTCAATAAAAAAATTAATGAAAATATCATTAAAAATACTTACATTATTTAAAATTATGTAAGATTGCGACTACGTTAGCTTTATTGAGTTAGACCTCCTATGCTTAATCTCTTATAAATAAAAGAAATATATGTACATAGTTCATTAAAATTTCAAGACGTTTTCTGAATCTGGGCACTGGTATCCGTATCCGATTGTAGTCTTCAGTGTTTTAACTCTAAAAACAGCATTAAAAAAAATGCTCTTAGAAAAGTAACGTTGTTTCCGTTAAATATTTTTTGTTTTACTTAATTTTCAAGAGACGACTTTCACACGTAAGTAAAACCTATCAATGTGAATGATTTAATGTCTTATATTTGTTACGGGACATGTTCTGGATTTTTTTATGGGAAAAGGGGGCAATCGAGCAGACGGCCTACCTGATGGAGGTAGTACCGTCACCCATAGACATCCGTAAAATAAGTTGTGTATGTAACGCCATCCTTGATTAGGGAAGAGGGGAACGAAAAAGTGGGAAAGGGAGAGAAAAGGGAACGGATAGGTAAGGATAGGGAAAAGGGAAAGCTCAACCGTCTCTCTCAAGCATGGAACGAAACATAGCCATTAAAAACTACTTGGGGCCCATCTTCTGTGAGAGGATGGAATTTTCCCGGTCGAGCCAGCCCATGTTCGAGCTGCAGTAACAGCTAGACTCAACCACTTACAATATTTTCCTGGTATATTTTTAGTGATCTGTAGTCCGTAAATTATGCAGTTGTCTCTATGCTAAATATTAAACTGCTTTTACCTCAAATGCAAAAAATTTATCCACCATATTATATGAAAATATTAATTCACTTTACAAACTCTTGTTGATTAGAGTTTTACTGCAATATTACATTGGAAAGATAACCATTATTTCCCAACGGCCAACATAGAGTATTCTTTATTATTATGCTTATAAATCATTATTTCAATTAGTGAGTCAATAGTGAGTACTATTAATAACAGGTACTAAACTCCTCGAATTCTATATTTTTGTTGAATATGCATTTAAATATGATCAATTTTTTTGTTCAATTCATTGAAGGCCAGTCATCCGTACATACAATTTTTCGAAAACCAATGTTATCGTGCTATAAAAAGAATAAAAACAGCAAAAATAGTATCATATTACACTGTTTCCCACGTTTTAAACTTTATATAGGATATAACTTCAATAAAATTCATGTTATATAATGTATGCTAAGGGTTTAAGGGAAAATGATAAGACGTAATTGGACTACACACCGATATTTTATTAAAAGGTTTATAACCATTACACTGTAGTACAATTATATTGATAAATAGTTAATAAATACTTAAACTATAACTTAAACAGAATAAAGGAACTTTGAAATACTTTGGGATCCATCATTTCATGATTTCAATATCAACATAGTATAAAATAAACGCAAAAAATTTAAAAAATAAATCTAGTCTTAAAATTAAATTTACAATAAAAAATATATTAATGTCTTTTGTTTCCGTCGAAATATAAAAATAATTTAATAAATGATATTAAAAAATACATTTGTATAATAAATGCGATTAGTATAGTCTTTTAAGACATTCATTACGAGTATTAATGATTAAAATTTATATGTTTTGGCTACGTCATTTCATAATATGTCAAAAGTTACTGTCATTTTGAAAGTTGATTACAAATAACCCTACTGGTTAAAATATATGTTGATAGACATTGAGAGATTAATATAATGATATATAGACATTTAGATGTTTGAAAAAGGATATTTGTAAATATTTAACCGACAGCGTTTAATAGTAGTTGTGCTACGTCTTCTCTCGGTGATCGTGCTGCGATTAGCATTGTAGCTGTTCCCGCGCTCGTGGGCGCTATGCGAGCCCTGACCAAAAATGGCGCTCCGCCCCTAAATATACCAGCGCCCCGAATCTCCTTAATCGCGTCCCCATTGATAGAACCTTTCGGAAGACCCAGGTATTCGCAAACCGACTTAGCAGCGGCGGCAGCGTCGCGCTGAGGGAGTGAGAAAGTATCTGATATCTCGATGACATTAAAAGCACTCTCCCAAGTCTGTTCCCAATCATCGCCGGTTACTCGGGTGCGTATTTGATCGGCGCAGCTTATATAGAAATCTTCTATGGGATAAGTGTCAATGAACCCTGGCCCGGGATTTGGTATACATGTTATAGGGTGACATTCGCGTGTTACAAACTCAAGAACAGCGCCGAAAGGGTTCATGCTGTCCAAAAACGAGCAGGGGAACTCAACGATCACGAAAATGCTCTCCGGTCTGTTGAAAGCCAATGACTTGATGGGCACCATGTTCTTCACTTCGAATTCGTTCGGCAGATCCAATTTTACGGTCACATTTTCGAAGACTTGAAAGTTTATAGTGCTCGTGCATTCAAACTGTAGCACTACGTGACGGACGTAGATGTGTTTGATCAGACGGACTTGGAATTCTGTGTCTTCTTCAGTGAGGTCGACTGGGTTGTTTGTTTTGAAGATAGTCCCCAATTTCTCGACTCCCGGTATCTTGGCTAGCTGCTGGGTGTCTATCTCCTCTAGTGTAATCTGTTTCGGTTGCTTCACTTCAATCTCTATTACTTCTTCTTTCTTCTGTTTCTCCATCTCCGGAACGCTCAGTATATCGAAGGGTTCGTTCGGTCTGTTCTTCGCGTGATCGTGGAGCGCTTTCTCCAACAGTTTCGGGTCCGGTCTCGGTACGTGTGTGATGTAATCTCTTATGAGTTTCTCGTCACCCGAATTGAAGATCGCGTTGAAGAATATCGCGCGGTCCCTCACTTCGTCCTCTTCGTCGGTTTCGCAGCGGCTCAGCAGAACTCTTATATTCGGCAGGAGTTCAGGAATGTGGGCTCCGAATTGTGCCACAGCAGATACAGCCGCCGCCCTGACCGGCCCTGTCTCCAAGATGACTCTATTGTAGATGAATCTTATGTATCTTGTAGGATGACGAGTTTTAGGGCCTTCACGTCCCAGTAAATGCAAAATCCGAACTGACAGGACTTGGTGCTCACAATCTTCGATAAATTCGCATAAATGAGCCAATCCTGTCTCCTTAGCGTCGGGGTTTTCCTCCACAAGAGCGATGATTGCGTCAGCGATGGCCGCTTTATAATCCAAGCCACCTTCATCACGCAGCATGCCGGCCAAAAATGTAGCCAGCGATTGGTGCTTCCTCGGGAACTTGAGGCAGAGTCGTTTTATGGCTTTGACCACGATGATTTTAAATTCATCTGAGATTTCAGAAACGAAGCTAGAAATCTGCTTCATTAGACGATCGATGGAGCTCTCAGCGCCTGTAGCAAGCAGAGTAGTGACTGCTAGAGTGGCAACTGATCTGTTTGGATCAGAAATTAGATTTTCCAGGTCGATTGTACAAGCAGATACTGCGGCTGGGTGCTTAGTCGTCAGTTTAGCGAGGGTTCTAGCTCCGGCGAGTCTCAACGTCGCTTTCGAGGAGCCACAGAACAGCTGCAACACTGACACAGCCGGAGCTAAATCTCGTGCTGTTTTACGCAAGTTGACAATCGCGTGAGCAGCTTCATATATCACCATTTCTGATTTATGCCGAAGACAGCCATCAATGAACTCGATGTAGGCTTGAGATGTCTCAGAAGCATCATCTTCAACAAGTTGAGCAGCGAGACGAATCAACAAGCACAGGGTGTACGGTGATTTTATTGAGGATTTAGTGAGATGAGTCACTAGCTTCATGGTTGACAATTTGTCATTTCTACGAGTATTCACAAGTATTCCGAGTGCATGGTATGATACGAGCGACCTTTCACTGTTCAACGCTTCCTAGAAATAAAGAATATGTTTGGGTACAATTGTAACTTTTGTTTGTAATTTTTTTTTATCATACATATAAACTATTTATTAAAATCTCTATAAACCATGTTCATTTTAGGCAAATATATATAAATATGCAGTAGTAAAGTTATAGATAAAACTATTAAATAAACCGAAAATTTTTGGGTTCAAATATATTTTATATTTAATATATTTTTTTTAATATGTGGACATATAAAAATGACAATAAAAGAGCATGAAGTTAATACAAGTATATTAAGGATTCCCAGTATGAACGGAATTTCAAAAGATATTTCTCAAGCAATTATTGAAACAATGATATTGGATGATAACCATTGAATTGTCCAGCTCGTAGAGAAGATTTAAAATTAATATTTCAACATTAGATACGAGTTTGGTTTTACAAAAGATACATTATAATAATTATGACATAAAAACAATTTGTTTTTTAATTTTGATGTTAACTACATATAAAAATATATATTTTTCTCAATCATTCATTTCTTATTTTCAATTCATAACAAAATAACATTCATTGTTATTCAGACAGAACAATAAATCAAATATTTTGAATATATATTCTGAATAAAAATATTTGTTACAATAGTCAAACAAAGAAATAATTTTAGTACATACCTGTGCCTCGCTAGTCCATCTCTTCACCAAATCCGGTGCAGTTGATGATAAATGCAAAGACGACACAAGAGCCGCTGAACTAACAGCAGGATTTTTATCAACGATAGCTTGTTTCATATATCTTTCAATAGCTTGAATCATGGTGCTATCGGTAACACTGCAAAGAGCTCGAATAGCTGCAGCCCTATACAGATCCTCTTTGCCCGTCATATCTTTAGTTAAAGAAGATGTTACTATAATCACATCCTGAGCTAATTTACTCAATTCCTTGATGCAGAGGTACACCATACGACGTAAAATAACATCATTGGATTGGAAAAGCTTGGTGATAGCGAAAAAAGCCTCTGTAGCTTCCTGAGTAGAGAATTGCTCTCCTTGGTTGAGAAGGAAGAGTATTTTTGTTAGAATTTGCGTACATTTCCGTGGATTCACCGGCGTCTCGTTGAAATATCTCGATTCTTGCAATACGATGGTTTTATCCAAATTCTGGTATGAAAAGCAGCCGCCGTCTTCGTCTTCCTTCTTATCACGCTTAAAGGAGCTCATTTTGAGCTTCTTTTTTGGTGATATTAAAAAATTGTGAGGGGCAGATGGATTCAGTTTTCGGTGTAGACGTAGTATTGATTTTTCCCATCGGAACTGACCTACGTTCCGTTACTCACAGCTGTTGTTTATAGATATTGACCTGTCATATTTTTGTAATTTATTACTTTTGATGACGTTGAATATTATATTTATTGCAGCAAATTATCCAATTTTGTTTGTTATTATTGATTTTTAACCAATTTCTTTTGTAATTATTAATTTTATAAGCGTTATAGTGTACATTGAAAGCAAAATGCATAAGTATGCATGTATTGAATTCTAGTTTAATTGAATAATTAATTTTCAGAGTGAATGAAAAATCACGATCATTTTTCTCTTTATGGAAAAATTATAGGAAGAAAGTTTGTCACCAATTGTAATGTAGAAGTTATGACTATTTTTATACCTTTAATTATCATTTATAAACTTTTTACCTGTTTATGAAATAAAACACAATATTATAAACATTTACAATTTATTTCGCTTCAGATTGTTCATACAATCTTTACACGTACTGTAATATTTGAAACACCAAATAAAAAAAGACAAATAGAAAACATATCGTTAGCAGAAATACATTTCAAATATCACAATACAGTAAAACTTCATTTATTTACATCAGTCATTATAAACTTAGTGCAAGACTTGGAAATCACTTGAAAACTTAAAATAAGTGTTGTACAGCTACGTTCTGACTACATTCACTGTTAACGCCAGCCAATAAACGTATTAAACTATTTGTCATACGAATTTAAACATAAATATACTTAAATAATTATCGGTTTAATAAAAAATATGCAAGCATACGAGTTTTCCCGCCAAACGAACTGTCAAAATTTAATAACAATATATATAATTGAAAAATTAATCGCATGTTATTTATTCATGAAAAATTATTTTAATCAAATCCATTTATTGACTGGCTCGTAAAATAAATACCACATATATTCTTTTAAGATTCCATCTATGGTTAATATAATCTATGTTATTACATATAAGTATATTTTTTTGGCATATTTATACACAATGTACATTTTTATTTATAACAAATACCACATTACTTACGCTATAATTTCGATATATGAAGAAATGTTTTCTTTGAACTTACGTTAGATTTAAGCTTCGTTTTATATAACATCAAGAAACGACAAAATTTGTGCTTATTATGAGAATTCTTAAAAAATTTCACTATTTTTTTTAAACAGAAAATTTTATTAATTTCGTTATTATGCATCTTATTAACTTAAAAATCTTTAATTTAAATAATGTTTTATTTGTTACTTAATATTTATACAATTTATACAACAACCGTTCTATTTAGAAAATATTGGTTGTAATTAATTTAAAATTTTATATTTGACTCTTAGGTATATGTATAAGAAAAATTAAATTCATCGAATAACATTTTTGTAGTTTTTTAGTTCAACATATAATTACTGAAAAATGTGTGACTATTGACAATATTAGGAAGATTTAAATAAAAATAGAACTATTTAAAATACTCCAATGAAAAAAATTTAAATTATTCTGTTGATAAAAGCTTTTCACTTCAGAAGATTCTAACTTACACAGAAGATTCAAATTTACTAAATAACCGTAGAAAATAGGAATGATGTATATTTGTAATTTTTCAACAGAGAATATAGAATAAAATTGTATGATTTAACTTTCAACTTTTGAATATTCATAGTAGTCACTTATTTGAGCAAGATTTATATTTGAATTTAACAAAAACATGTATTTCAGGATGTTTGAGTGAACAAATTTCAATTTAATCAAATTAATATAACGACATATTAGCTTAAATGCTAAATTTGCTTGAATGATTTAAGAAAGTCACAGATTTTTATTTAATATTAATAATGGTTGGCAAATAGAATGAGAAAACTTTTGAAAGTAAAAAGGTGCAAATAAAATTTTAAAATAAGGAATAGAGTCAGTTTGGCAGATTTAGAAAACTATAAGTGTGTTTAAAACATACATTTTTTACATGGAAAAGATAATATATAATTTTTAAGACCAATTAATGAAAATTATAGATGAATTTAATTCCTCATACATATTCCGCTTTGGATTCTCATTATCATTATATAAAGTTATTTACTAGTTGTGATGTTTATTAAAATTAATCATAACTTTCATCTGTGCCCATCACAGCCTTTAAGATTTATCTATCATACATATCCGTCAACCGATGGTAAATATAGAGTCGATGAGAAAAAAATTAATATAATTTAGACTTAAAACGATGTAAATGTATTATTAACACCAAAAATAGAAATCGTTTCATCGTTAATCCATCAGCATTTAACGAATGCTTATTAAATTAAACATACCATCAATTCTATACTAGTCTTCACCTAACTATGTACACTATATTTTAACACTATCACTCGTGAGTGTAGAAGATTAGTTGAGGATTTGAATCATCTGGAGACACTTCCAGCTGAACATATTGTGGTGTTGTTCTCGCTGATTCATAGGCATTACCGTTCCGAGACAGGGAATTTCTTGATCTGAAATATTATATTTATTATTAATAATAATAATAATAATAACGCTTTTTATTTCAGTAAAGTATGTTACATTACAAAGTGTTAGTAGATTGCTTATAACTAGGTTAGTTTATAAATGTATTCTTTATATAATATATTTATATTTGTTCCTTTCCTTTATTTTTATTATGAGAAATAAAATATCAATTGTAGGAGGTCAAATTAATTTTGTATTTAAACAAAATTGCTTATAGATATATACTACTAGCTTTCCGCCCGCAGCTTCGCCGCGTGGAGTTCGGTTATATCGCGTTTCCAAGAGAACCTTTCAAAAGTCTGGGATAAAAACTATCCTATGTTCTTTCTCAAGGTCAACTCTATCTCTGTACCGAATTTCATTAAAATCAGTTCAGTGGTTTAGGCGTGAAAGCGTAGCAGACAGACAGACAGACAGACAGACAGACAGACAGACAGAGTTACTTTCGCATTTATAATATTAGTAGGGATTTTCATGTGTTTTATTAAAAACTACTCGATTTTACAATTTGTATTTTTGTCACTATATTTGTTGTGTAAGTATTGAACACAATATTGTGGTTAACAAGACACCTTATAAGTGTGTATGACCTAATTTTAAACATACATTTTGTGAATAGTATTTTTATTTTGTAATAGTGTCTCAATTTATGTATATTGCTTTAGTATATAGATTTTACACAACTTAAAGTATATGTGTAAATTTCACAGTACTTATATTAGTATGAACACTCTTAATTAGGATAAATTACTAGTGAAAATAAGTCCCACTAAGGAGAATAAGTTATGTAAATTTGGTAACATTTTGTTGCTTATATATTACATAAATATATCATTTTCTTGTAATATTTATTATTATGTTATAATTATTAGTTATATATATTCCCAAAGAAGGTTGATGACAGGCAGGCGGCCGTAAAAACAATTAGCCTAAACTATTTTCAACATGTAAGGCAGACCCGGGCTGAAATTGGGGAATTGCCAGGTAGAAGAAGTAATATATATATGTAAGTTTACATACTTGGCCTTAGCGTGTGTCAGTATGTGTGACTTGAGGTTCGTTGACTGCGCGAATTTCTTATTACAGCCGTCGAACGGACAGACATAAGGGCGATCTCCCGTGTGAATACGGACGTGGGTTCTGGAAACAATATATACATATGTATATTATTTTTTATTCAAATGTTTTGGACATAATTCTTTACAAGTGTCATTGTTTCATTCTACATGAAAACAGTAAAAAGTATGGTTAATATAATGTAGATAGTTTATAATTTATACACTAGTTATATATATACAGCTGCGTGCAAAAGTATTAGGCACCCCTATTGTTAGTCACTATCTCATTATATTGCGGTCAAATGTGTGTTTTATGGTTTAGCTATTGTATTAGCGGCAATTTTTAACCAAATTAAGATAAAAGAAAATATTTATGACATCCAGGTGTGCTCCTAAGCGGTGTTTCTTCGAATTTGCTTTTTTTGCGTTTCGGGTTATAGTGTGTTATCAGTGCTTGCAGTGAACATACACGTCTTCTACGCAACTATTCCTATCACAATTCTAAAGACTAACATTTAACGTGTTAATCATGCCGAAAAAATCTGAACTTAGTGCTGAACAGCGTCTAAGAATTAAGATTTTACATGAACAAGGCATGTCTCAGGTTAAAATAGCCCGAGAAGTGAAGTGCTCGCGATGTGCAGTTCAATATGCTATAAATCGCTTCAAAGAGACTGGCACCCATGAAAATAGACCAAGAACAGGCAGAAGAAAAGTTACTACTGAACGGGAAGATCGATTGTTGATTAGACAGTCTCTACAAAACAGGAAAAAACTGCTTTAGAGCTCGCTGCAGCATTATCTGAGGCAAAAGGCAGCTCAGTGAGTGTTTATACTGTGAGAAGAAGACTTCTTAAAGCTGGATTAAAAGGATGTAAAGCAAGGAAGAAGCCGTGGCTGTCAGAACACAATAAGAAAAATCGGTTGGAGTGGGCACTCAAACATAGAGATTGGTCAGTGGAAGATTGGTCCAACATACTGTGGTCAGACGAATCTAACTTTGAGGTATTGTTATTTATTTTATGTACAATATTAAAACACATAAATGTTTTTAAAATAACGTACTGCAAGAAAAATAATAACTTTGAAAATAAATGGGTTTTTTTCGTTTGGCATAGGTGTTTGGAACACCCGGTGTGACTTATGTTAGGCGAAGGGTTGGCGAAGAATACAACCCAGAATGTGTGGTTCCCACTGTTAAGCATGGTGGAGGCTCAATAATGATCTGGGGCTGCATGGCTGCCGACGGAGTGGGCGAAATGGTGTTGTGTGAGGGACGAATGAATAGTGTTAAATACACTGAAGTTCTGGAAACAGCACTAGCAACGTCGATAACGCAAATTTTCGGTGATACAAACACCGATGGCCTGAAATTTCAGCAAGACAACGCCACTTGCCACAAGTCCGCGCATACCATGATGTGGTTTGCTGAAAATCGTATTGATCTCTTGGACTGGCCACCACAATCACCAGACCTCAACCCGATTGAGCATATTTGGTCCATTTTAAAGAAAAATATCCGCAGGCACTCGATTAGCAATAAACAAGCTCTATTGGCCGCGTTACAGCAGGAATGGAAAAATATATCAAGAGAAGAATGTTTCAGGCTGGTAGAGTCAATGCCAAAAAGAGTGGCTGCGGTTATTAAGTCAAAAGGTGGACCTACAAAATATTAATTATTTTCTTAAAATAAACCATTGTAATCATAAATGCAGTTTTATTTACACTCGCTATGCTAAAACACCCTAAAACTTGTCTTACTGTAGGGTGCCTAATACTTTTGCCCGTGGCTGTATATTAGTTTTTGCCCGCGACTTCGTCTGCGTTAGTTTCTGAATTAGAAATGTATATCTGACTGAGTGAACTCTATTCCTCCTTAAAGACTTCTTTTCGGCTTCATAATATAATTAATCAAAGTGAGAAAAATTCTCTCTCACTTAAAGGTAATTAAATAGTAAAGTGCAACACAAAATAGCAACAAAAAAAAGCGCACACTACTTGAATACTTGAATCGTAAATCGTAATACCTTTAAGCCTTTAAGTATTCTAAAGTGCGACAGAATGATGAAAATAGAAAAGGGCTGTTTTTAGGGTTTTCCCTGAACCTCCACGAACATTTCAAGACTAAGATAAGATAAATCCGCTCAGTCGTTCTCAAGTTTTAGTGAGACTAACGAACAGCAATTCATTTATATACAGATAGATATTAATTAATTAAATAACTATTTAGATTTTAAGACATGTTCCAAGACTATATTTATATATACACATACATATATATATATATAAAGTTTAAACAATTTTCAATATACAGGGTGACTGGTGAATTACTATCAATATTTAAGGAGAATACTCGGTACATGATTCTCATTCGAATTATGTTAAAAAAATAGGTACTTAATTTTTGACCAAATTTCCGTATAAATAAATAAAGTGAGGACACGTTCCAAGTGTGGACGCGTGCGGCGGCGTGCTGATACAACACTACGCCGCCAAACGCGTATGTGTGTGTGTGTGTATACCTAATCTGTAGGGTGTTCACACGATGCGTAATTAATTACACAACTTTTGGTTAACTTTACTTAGAAGTTTATTAATATTTATGTTATATTAATTTTTATTTTGTCATATATGATCGTCAAATATCACGTCCTCAAGTATCGATAGTAATTCACCAGTCACCCTGTATTTCTATATCAATAGCATTATCCATAATAATATTATTACCTAAGATTAAAGTCCAACGAGAATCTCTTGCCACATCCCTCAAAGGTACATTGGAAAGGTTTTTCTCCTGTGTGGACCAATTGGTGACGTTTCAACTTTGAACTCTCTACAAACGCCTTACCTGAAATCATATAATATATATTTATAATGTTTATACTTCATTAAATCTAAGTTATTTATAAACTTTAATCTATTAGAAATTATATCTAGAGCTATTAAAAAGAATAGTCTTACAATATTGTTCTGTTTTGAGTAATTCTTACAAAAAAAAAAATACAGAATTACATTATCCATAAAAATCTATCTATTATGGTTCATGAGGTATAGTATAGTGATAGACGAACATGTGTTAGTGAAAATTAGAATTAAGGTTTTTAATGATTCTGTTATGTTTAAAAAATAAACAAAAAGCACATTTATGATTTTTTAACAAAAATAAAGTTGATATCAGTACATATTATATAAAAGAATGTATTATATAATATTATTATATACAACTGTATCTGTCATTAAAGTAGCATTGATTAATAATTAAGAATGAAAAATATTACTGAGATGACTGGATTTCAAAACTGCAATCCTAATACATGGTGTTTCAGTAACTTATACAACTGAGCTATATATCCCTACTAATATTATAAATGCGAAAGTAACTCTGTCTGTCTGTTACGCTTTCACGCCTAAACCACTGAACTGATTTTAATGAAATTTGGTATAGACATAGAGTTGACCTTGAGAAAGAACATAGGATAGTTTTTATCCCAGACTTTCGAAAGGTTCTGTTGGAAACGCGATATAACCGAACTCCACGGGGGAAGCTGCGGGCGGGAAGCTAGTAATGCTATATTCTTACCACATTCGGCACACACATGTACCCTTGGTCCGTGCGTGTGTAAATGTTTCCTCATGGCAGAATTGTCTCTGAACATCTTTGAACAACCCTTGTGTGGACACGCTGAAACATACATATATATAAATTAATTTAAATATAAAACTTATTTATATAAAAAGTATAATGATATTTAGGATTTTAGCAAGTATTTAATGAGATCTAAGATTTTCGCGAGTACTCATTTAAATGAAACTAATATTTTAGAATTTCACTTCGCGTTTTTATTTTTGACTATAAACAATATACTTAAATAAAAGTAATATTTTCAGATTTACTACGAGTTTTTAATTATTTTTTTACATACTCTCGACGTTTCGGTTACTTTGCAGCAACCGTGATCACGGGCAGACGAGAAGTGAGTGGCTCACATGAGTATGTAATTAAAGTAAAAAAACGCGTAGTAAATCCGAAAATATTAGTTTTATTGAAAAATATTAAGTTTATTCAAAACGTCGTAATATGCTGATACACAAGATTATAAATATGAATAGTTGTGATTTTTTTTTTCACTGTATTTTTAAATGAAAAAGACAAAAGGAACCAATTATATTATTATGAACATATTTTAGTAGTTACAAAAGATATTTCTATCAATATAAGACTTATCTAATAATATCTTTCCTAAAAAAATGGATATACAGGGTGACTGGTGAATTACTATCGATACTTGAGGACGTGATATTTGACGATCATATATGACAAAATAAAAATTAATATAATATAAATATTAATAAACTTCTAAATAAAGTTAAGTAATTAATTACGCATCGTGTGAACACCCTACAGATTAGGTATACACGCACACTCACACACACGCGTGCGCCGGCGTGGTGTTGTATCAGCACGCCGCCGCACGCGTCCACACTTGGAACACTTTGAACGTGTCAACACTTTATTTATTTATACGGAAATTTTGTCAAAAATTAAGTGCATATTTTTTTTACATAATTCGAATGAGAATCATGTACCGAGTATTCTCCTTAAATATTGATAGTAATTCACCAGTCACCCTGTATAAAGAGTATATATATTATTTAGGTAGAGAGAGGATCTTGTACGGTGGAGGTGAGCTTTTAACGCGCTTTAGATAGTGGCCCCTTAAACCTACACCTGGGTCACAAGTCCCAGACACTGTTGAAGCTCCTCTCACTACAACGATGGACCTGACACACGCACCGTGAATACATGGAATGATGAGAGGATTCATCTCAAACCATATAACTATGTAACAAACCTATAGTTCTGTCTGATGACTCCGGAGAAGGTTTTTTCAGCCTTATCTTATGTCCCGGACGTGCGAACTCCGCCAATTGCTTCGGATCTGATAAATCTAAACCTGAAAATTACATATATATATGTTTAATATATATTAATCATGATTATATACTATATAGTATAAGTGTATACTGATTTTTTAAGCAAGAAATCTATTTGTGTTAGATTTCTTTTTAACATATATCCAATGATTTGAATAATTAATACTATGGCAATACTTTTAGCTCAACATTTCACTATATGGCAACATAGGACTTTAAAAAAACATTATAAATATGTATAATGTTTGACTATCAAGCTAGCCTTCCACTACAGTCTGAAACTCAATTGCAATCCTGATATAATTGTATTAGTAGGAGAAACAACTATCTATATATACATATATACATAAATATATAATTTTAATCATAAGTCACTATAAGTGAAAATATAATAAATATATTCACCTATAGATTTAGGAATTATGTCATAGTTTCCTGATTCAAATCTTAAAATAAAATTATTCAAACGCAATCCTCTAACCCAAGGTAGTCTGGAAGAAATGGCTAATAAGTAGGGCCCGGATTAATATGTAAATACATATTTTTAATTTACGCGATTTTCGGTCTAGAATGTGTTTTCTACATGGATTGTCATATTTAGATTGTGGAAAACCAACTTTTATTTTCTATATTTTACCATATTTCAAATATATTTTATGTACATATTTTAGACTTTTTAATACATATTTTTCCAGGCCCTACTAATAAGCCATAAGGCCGCCTTTTGTTTCACCATTAGTTTATTAGTTTGTATATTTTGTAATTGTTTGTGATTGTAATTGTGGTGTACAAAGTGTTAAATAAATATATATATAAAAAGATATATATACCTGGCATATTATCATTTCCCAGTACATTCTTCTTCCCCGTCATATACTCAGTGTAATCGGGATCTGGTTCAGGGTTTGATCCGTCATCTAAAAAACAAAAACTATAATTAATCTCAACATACTTTAACATATTCAATTATATTACAAGTAATTTGAACGGCTTATTCAGGGTAAAATAACTTCAAATAGATACAAATTATCTAAATGTTAGTTAAAAATGGTACAATGTAATAATTCAATAAATATAAAAAAATTTCAAACCATAACTATAGAAAATAATCACAAAAGATTTGAGAATGTGCACATATATAATACTAGTTTTCCGCCCGCAGCTTCGCCCGCGTGGTGTTCGGTTATATCGCGTTTCCAAGAGAACCTTTCAAAAGTGTGGGATAAAAACTATTCTATGTTCTCTCTCAAGGTCAACTCTATCTCTGTACCAAATTTCATTAAAATCAGTTCAGTGATTTAGGCATGAAAGCGTAACAGACAGCGGTGTTACTTTCCCATTTATAATATTAGTAGGGATATATTTATTTATTTATATAAGGACAACTTACAAAACACACACCATTTATAAGTTTTAAAATAAAGATAATTACATTTTTAGCTGAGTGTTGTTTCAGTTAAAAGTTATCACGGCATGGAAAAGGACAGTATTTTCTATTAATCATGTATATGAATATATAAAATAACTATCAAAATGATAACGCCTCAGAAATTATCTAGTCCTCATCATGCAAAACCTTATACATATAATATACAGGGTGAATGGTGAATTACTATCGATACTTGAGGACGTGATATTTGAAGATCATATATGACAAAATAAAAATTAATATAACATAAATATCAATAAACTTCTAAGTAAAGTTAACCAAAAGTTATGTAATTAATTACGCATTGTGTGAACACCCTACAGATTAGGTATACACACACACTCACACATACGCGTGCGGCGGCGTAGTGTTGTATCAGCACGCCGCCGCACGCGTCCACACTTGGAACACTTGGAACGTGTCAACACTTTATTTATTTATACGGAAATTTTGTCAAAAATTAAGTGCCTATTTTTTTTATTTAATTCGAATGAGAATCATGTACCGAGTATTCTCCTTAAATATCGATAGTAATTCACCAGTCACCCTGTATATATTCATATAAATATATATCTCACCATCATCCTCTCCAGTAGCCCACATAGTCACTGAGAACTCTCCCTCCATAGTTTTGATCTGGACTTGCTTCTGTTCCCATCTGCGAGCAGCTCGACCTGAGTTATTCTCCATCAAACCCATTGGTACTTCACCTGGAATTGAAATAAATAGATAAAGCAAGGGAATATGGTGTTGAAAATAATAACATAGATAAATATAGAGATCTAAGATTTTAGGGAGTATTCATTTAAATGAAATTAATATTTACGGATTTAGTTTTACTACGCAATTTTTAGTTTCATTTACATAAACATAGGTGAAGATAATATTTAATTCCCGCTTAATTAATAACTAATTATTTTCATATTTACTTTATTATAAAATAGTTATTTAATATTTTGTCTCTATATTGACAGCATTACAGAAAGTATATACAATACTTTTATGTGTAACATAATTAATTTACAAGTAAAGAACCACTTTACAAAGATATTAAAAAAACAAATTGTTAAATATTCCATAAATAAAAACTATAGAATGTAATTTCAAAATGTATCAAACTCTTTGGTTATTTATTTTTAATCTGTGTTTATACAGGGTGACTGGTGAATTACTTTCAATATTTAAGGAGAATACTCGGTACATGATTCTCATTCGAATTATGTAAAAAAAATAGGCACTTAATTTTTGACAAAATTTCCGTATAAATAAATAAAGTGTTGACACGTTCCAAGTGTTCCAAGTGTGGACGCGTGCGGCGGCGTGCTGATACAACACTACGCCGCCACACGCGTCTGTGTGAGTGTGTGTGTATACCTAATCTGTAGGGTGTTCACACGATGCGTAATTAATTACATAACTTTTGGTTAACTTTACTTAGAAGTTTATTAATATTTATGTCATATTAATTTTTATTTTGTCATATATGATCGTCAAATATCACGTCCTCAAGTATCGATAGTAATTCACCAGTCACCCTGTATATTATTATATAATCTGTATACAATACTTACCTATCGGCATCAAGTGGTGTATGTTGTTTGAGGTGTTCACCTTCGGTCTGCCACGACCTCTTCTGGAAGATATTTCATAATAATATAATTCCACAAGTACCTATATAATATTTGTCCAGCACTTACAGAAGTAAAAGTATAATTTCCAAAGGATATATTCATAGAAATAAAACAATTTACTTATAAAAACTTAAACATTATTTAATATGTTTAAAATATAATAATTATCCATATTATATATAAATCAAGCACTCTTCTGTTGTAGACAATATAAGATAATAGCAATATTTGGTATGGTCTTGCCATACCTAAGAATATTACCGAGGCTGACTATTTTGAACTTAAGCCCATATTTATAATTAAAAACTGCTTTTCTATATCCTACTAATATTATAATTTCGAAAGTTTGTGAGTGTGTATGTTTGTTACTTCTTCACGCTCAAACGGCTTAACCAATTTTGATAAAATGTTGTATACAGGAAGCTGACGTCCTGGAATAACACATAGGCTACTTTACATCCCGTAAATTCGCGGGTAACACGACGGGGCGCAGCTAGTTTATAATAATTAACTACATGATATTGACTAGTCAATCTTTAAGTAATGATGGGAATTACCCTAATATAGTACCGACCTGCTATTTCCGGGTGGTTGGTAAACATTGTCGTATGTAGCATCATTATGTAGAACCTCCTCGGATATCCCTGGTAGTATAACCTCCTCGCTGCCAACTGAAATTTTATAATCTGTCAGCAAAGCCGACATGTGTAATACATATAACTGTATGTGTAGGCTTTGATTTCGGTACACTTTTAATCTTTTTTTATCATGTTTTGTTTCATTATTAATGAAAACTTTGAAAAAACACTTATTAAGAAGTTTAAGTATATTAAAATACAGACAAACTTTAAGTATGAAGTTTAATAGAATATTCAATATCATAAAAACTTGTTATGTACTTTCTTTCTTCATTGACATTGAATGATAATTATTTTAATTTGAATTATATTAAACTCTTTATATATAGAAATTAATCATTATTTACAAAGAGTATTAATAATATTGAACTCATTTTGTTAAATATACATAGTATCGGGCATATCTCCATTCCGAATAGATACACAACCTAAAGCCTAAGTCAAGATGCAATGGTTTTTATCTTTACTAATATTATAAATGCGAAAGTAACTCTGTCTGTCTGTCTGTTACGCTTTCACACTTGAACCACTGAACTGATTTCAATGAAATTTGGTACAGACAGAGTTGACCTTGAGAAAGAACATAGGATAGTTTTTATCCCAGACTTTTGAAAGGTTCTCTTGGGAACGCGATATAATAACTCCACGCGGGCGAAGCTGCGGGCGGAAGGCTAGTTATTTATAGACCAACCTTCTTCTAAATGCTGCATACCAATAACCTGTTCTTCAACCTCCTCATACTGATCATCCGTTATATATTCCTCGTATTGGCCAGTCTCAATTTCTTCATACTGAAAACAATACAAAAATAAACAAAATAGATATAAAACCTCTTTAGTCACAAACTTTACTGAAAAAATACATATAAAACCTCTTTAGACACAAACTTTACTGAAAAAATACATATAAAACCTCTTTAGTCACAAACTTTACTGAAAAAAAGACAAAACCTCTTTAGTAACAAACTTTAAGAAAAGGCATAAAACCTCTTTAGTTAAACCTAAGACGATAAAAAAGCCATATATGTGTTGTAATGCTTTAAGCTTGTACATCCTCACCTTTACCCCGACTTGTTCATCGACATCAATCTCAACCATGCCATCGTGTGTACCAATCTCAACTTCGCACATAATTTCTTGATTCATCATTTTGAGGCCAGCCTAGCTGGAACACGGATTATGTATATGTTATATGGTTTTATTATGGAAAATAATAAAATGTATATGTATAACATAATATATTTTAAAGTATGGAATTCAAATATGTGTTTGGGTAAAAGCAAAAGTATTTTTCATATTAAATATTATCTCACATTATACATACTAGCAATAGGAAGATGCTAATAGTTATGAATTAATTCCATTGCTTAGTAGTTATTTTCAATAGTTGTGTTTGTCAAAGAAAATATTTCTGAAGAACATTGAGTAATTAATGATAAATAGTATATATTAAGAGAGGTTTAATAAGTAAATTTGTAACAAGACAATTAAATGCTTGAGAACAAGAACTTGTCTTAAAATACCGACGGATGATTCCATTATTACTATCAATGCATATAATCAATATATGTATATACATTTTTTTTAAATTTATAAGTAAATATACTTGTTTCAATTTTCAAGTTATTAAAGAAGAAATAAATTTAAACACAATTTTATTTTTACCAAAATATAAAATGTTTTATATTGAATTGTAAGCACAAAGGCATTTATTGAAGTCAAATTAAAATAACTGCTAATTAGTTAATTACTAAGAAATATAAGAAATGCTAGTTATTTTTATAGAAAAAAATAATACATATATTTAAATTATAAATATAAATATTTATTACTCATTTTTAATGAATAATTTATTAATATATCTGTGTATATAAAATATCATTTCAGTTTATTAGTTTGACCACCATTTCCATTGAAATCCTGATTGTAGTGTGATTACCATTACTAAGTTATGAACTCAAATTTACCCGGTTTAAGTAAAAATGCTATTTTTTAATCAACTCAATATGATTTAGTAAAAATATACACAAAATATGAAACACACACATATATATAACTATTGAAAACTAATATATTGAAGCTTCTGTGTAGAAACAAAACAAAAAATTTGTTCGATAACAATACTTTTGCTGTTAGTCTTATCAGAATATATTTTATTTCCAAAACATTCTTCTTATAAATATGTACGTATTTATAAAATTGTATTAATTAATTTTATTTTACACAATACATCGTAAAATATTTCGACCGCCTTACCTTGTTCTTTATATAAATAAAAAATATATATGCAACTGTCAAAATTATTTGACATTCGTTAGACGAATAAGCGGTAAAAACTTGAAAATGTATTAAATTAATATAAATATAACTTTAATATATAATAATAATAGTTTTAATTAAAGGGAGAATGTATGATAGTCGTTTTTTAAAACGATAAGACCTGGGCGTTGAACATTCACTCGACTTGTTTTTCATTCCGATGTTGATATCATGTTACGATACAAAAGTTATAATTGTGAAAAAATTAATATTTTATTACCTCCCACCTCTTTAGAATGTATTATTGAATTAATATGTAAACTGGTAGCCAAGTGACAATTAGTATTGGCAGGTGTAGTAACAAGCGACCGGCCGGGTTTAACTGAACGATTTTTTCACATAATTATATAAAACGACCACGCCAATCATTCACAACACTAAAACCTCCTTCTATGACCTTCATTTTTCTAACTTAGCTAATGCATCACGATACGTAATTACATAGAAATTTGGAAACACTTGTTACAATGTGTCAAAAAGTGTGATTGTTTTTAGTACAAATAGTTTACCTTTATTTAGCTTATAACAAAAGCTGCTCGGCCCCCCGGACTCGTATATAGGCTGCTGCGTAGGCAGGGATTTTTTCCCTACGATTTTTGCAGCAAACAATATCACTCACTTCAGTGAAAAAAAGTTTGATAATTAGTGCTCAAAAATATTTGAAATTTACGCGAAAATGTTTATAAAATATGTCCGACTAAACATGGCGTCCAAAGATGTCCGACCAATTTCAATATGGCGATGCAAAATGGACGCCCGTTCGTATTGCCGAGACCTCGAAGAAAAAGCAGCAACACCCAAGGTCCGCTTAAAAGAATAATTGTGTTGCCATTGTAAAAAAAAATTATTCTAAAAGTATTTTCCTCAGAAATTTGAATAGTTTTACTTAATATTGTTTATATTTATTAAAAGCTCATTTAATATTAAATTTATATTATAGATATTACTTTCATGTAGTACATACTTTGATAATATTAAATGATATTTCGTTCATACATTTGACATTCATCTGACATTAAAAGGCTAGTGGTGCCGCTGACAGAATCACGAGAAAATTGAAAATTACCTGTCAGATCTGCCTTCCTCTTCCTGTGATTATCCAACGTACTTAAAATATTCAACTATTAAAATATAATTATGGCAGTGAGGTTGCTATCTAAAGTGAAATGCCTGCCTGGGATACAGGGAGTTGTGTACGCTAGTGCGTCGGCTGCTCCAGCCCAGCTTTCTGATTTTGAGTTACAGCATAAAACGCCAGTAATTCGCAAGCAAAAGAACATCCCAATAGCTCAATACGGTGGTCGTCATGCAGTTACCATGCTCCCCGGCGGTGGAATCGGCCCCGAATGCATGGGCTACGTCAGGGAAATTTTCAAGTACGTCCTCACTATATGCGTATTTGTAACTTGACACTCAATATAATTAGCTGCTATATGCGATATCAAATTATATATAAATCGGCTTTGAAAACATTTATTACTACACAAGGTCACTCAATTCAGTACATAATATGTTTCTTAATAAACAATTGTTGATATTCCAAAATATTGATAGAATTTTAAATAGCCATGGTTAATATTTACTACACTATACACGATGTACATATTTATATTTTATTATATTTATCCTCAATAAAAATTATAAAAGCTACAAGTTATGAAAATAAAAAGTTAATTTAGACAAATGCTAAAATATTTATATAAATTTATCAACAATAATCTTGTATGTGATAGGAAATACTTATAGAAAATTATGAAGTGTAACTAAAACATAAGTTAATGTAATTTGGCAATCAATATTCAATTGTAGAGAATTTAATTTATAAATAAAATATTCTATATACATCTGATGAAACTAATAAATATTGTTTGAAGTACCATATGGAATAATCATACACCCAGAATGCCTTACATCATTTTCATAACAAGCTAATATATATATATGTATGTATATCTTCTTCTTCTACCTGGCAATTTCCCAGCTATGGCCAGGGTCTGCCTTACATGTTGTGAGTGAATAGTTTTGGCTATTTGTTTTTACGACCGGCCGCCTGCCTGAGATCAACCCTCTTTTGGGAATCAACATTAATCAGTGATGTCTAAATACTCTTAGAAAGTACATATGACTCGGAAAAGTCACATTGGTACTTGCCCGGGCAAGGATCGAACCCGCACTCATGGCAACGAGAGGCGGGTCCTTTAACCACTAGGACTTCATATACATATATATATATATGCCATTACAATGCTAGATTGATATAAAAAAAATATTGAGGAAATTCCATAAGGAAATTACCTTTAGATGATAAAAAGATTAAGAAACGGCAATTCATTCACGAGCTACACACACACAGACATTAAGAGCAAAACATAACACCTCGTATTAGCAATGTTGGTTCATACTATTTCATATTTGTAGGTACATCGGTGCCCCCATAGACTTTGAACTTGTAAACATTGACCCAAATGTAGATAATGATGACGACGTCCAATATGCTATCACGACCATCAAGAGGAACGGTGTCGGACTTAAGGTATGACAAAAACAAAATTTTGTATATATTCAAACATTATGTCATGTATTCTTAATACTTAATACTGAAATTTGTATTTTATTAATGAGAATTATGTTTCCGAAAGTATTTTTCTTCTTTCGAGCCATATTTCATATATAGAGCAAAAGTAATAATTGTATAACAGGAACATATATTTGTATATATAAATACAGCTAGGCTTACTAAGCTCAAAGAAATTAATTTAAAAAAATAATTATGTGTTTTGTTTTATATTGTTTAATTGGGGAGCCTCTCCGTGCGGAAGAAGTATAACTTCGTAATGTTGAAATGAAAACAGGAAGGGATAGAAACAGATTTTTAAGATTTTTTTTGGTGTTTCTTTAAAACAAACTTTAATAACATTACTTACAAGTCACTATTGAATCTGCACGCGTTCGAGATAAACGCATTCCCTCTCACTGTGTCTTTACCCGATTCCGGAGCGTTAAACGTTTAACGCAACCTATTAGAAGTTGCAAAAGAAGTTTGACTTCAATTATGCTAGTAACGAGTCAACTTTAGCTAACAATAACTGAAAATTAATCGTAAGATACTTCATCATGCCTTCCCTCTCGTTGTCTGTTATCCCCAGAAGCGTTAAACGCTTAACGCAACCTATTAGAAGTTGCAAAAGTAGTTTCACTTCAATTATGCTAGTTACGAGTCAACTTTAGCTAACAATAACTGAAATTAAATCGTAAGATACTTCATCATGCCTTCCCTCTCGTTGTCTGTTATCCCCAGAAGCGTTAAACGCTTAACGCAACCTATTAGAAGTTGCAAAAGTAGTTTCACTTCAATTATGCTAGTTACGAGTCAACTTTAGCTAACAATAACTGAAATTAAATCGTAAGATACTTCATCATGCCTTCCCTCTCGTTGTCTGTTATCCCCAGAAGCGTTAAACGCTTAACGCAACCTATTAGAAGTTGCAAAAGTAGTTTCACTTCAATTATGCTAGTTACGAGTCAACTTTAGCTAACAATAACTGAAATTAAATCGTAAGATACTTCATCATGCCTTCCCTCTCGTTGTCTGTTATCCCCAGAAGCGTTAAACGCTTAACGCAACCTATTAGAAGTTGCAAAAGTAGTTTCACTTCAATTATGCTAGTTACGAGTCAACTTTAGCTAACAATAACTGAAATTAAATCGTAAGATACTTCATCATGCCTTCCCTCTCGTTGTCTGTTATCCCCAGAAGCGTTAAACGCTTAACACAACCTATTAGAAGTTGCAAAAGTAGTTTCACTTCAATTATGCTAGTTACGAGTCAACTTTAGCTAACAATAACTGAAATTAAATCGTAAGATACTTCATCATGCCTTCCCTCTCGTTGTCTGTTATCCCCAGAAGCGTTAAACGCTTAACGCAACCTATTAGAAGTTGCAAAAGTAGTTTCACTTCAATTATGCTAGTTACGAGTCAACTTTAGCTAACAGTAACTGAAATTAAATCGTAAGATACTTCATCATGCCTTCCCTCTCGTTGTCTGTTATCCCCAGAAGCGTTAAACGCTTAACGCAACCTATTAGAAGTTGCAAAAGTAGTTTCACTTCAATTATGCTAGTTACGAGTCAACTTTAACTAACAATAACTGAAATTAAATCGTAAGATACTTCATCATGCCTTCCCTCTCGTTGTCTGTTATCCCCAGAAGCGTTAAACGCTTAACACAACCTATTAGAAGTTGCAAAAGTAGTTTCACTTCAATTATGCTAGTTACGAGTCAACTTTAGCTAACAATAACTGAAATTAAATCGTAAGATACTTCATCATGCCTTCCCTCTCGTTGTCTGTTATCCCCAGAAGCGTTAAACGCTTAACGCAACCTATTAGAAGTTGCAAAAGTAGTTTCACTTCAATTATGCTAGTTACGAGTCAACTTTAACTAACAATAACTGAAATTAAATCGTAAGATACTTCATCATGCCTTCCCTCTCGTTGTCTGTTATCCCCAGAAGCGTTAAACGCTTAACGCAACCTATTAGAAGTTGCAAAAGTAGTTTCACTTCAATTATGCTAGTTACGAGTCAACTTTAGCTAACAGTAACTGAAATTAAATCGTAAGATACTTCATCATGCCTTCCCTCTCGTTGTCTGTTATCCCCAGAAGCGTTAAACGCTTAACGCAACCTATTAGAAGTTGCAAAAGTAGTTTCACTTCAATTATGCTAGTTACGAGTCATTTTTAGCTAACAATAACTGAAATTAAATCGTAAGATACTTCATCATGCCTTCCCTCTCGTTGTCTGTTATCCCCAGAAGCGTTAAACGCTTAACGCAACCTATTAGAAGTTGCAAAAGTAGTTTCACTTCAAATATGCTAGTTACGAGTCAACTTTAGCTAACAGTAACTGAAATTAAATCGTAAGATACTTCATCATGCCTTCCCTCTCGTTGTCTGTTATCCCCAGAAGCGTTAAACGCTTAACGCAACCTATTAGAAGTTGCAAAAGTAGTTTCACTTCAATTATGCTAGTTACGAGTCAACTTTAACTAACAATAACTGAAATTAAATCGTAAGATACTTCATCATGCCTTCCCTCTCGTTGTCTGTTATCCCCAGAAGCGTTAAACGCTTAACGCAACCTATTAGAAGTTGCAAAAGTAGTTTCACTTCAATTATGCTAGTTACGAGTCAACTTAGCTAACAATAACTGAAATTAAATCGGAAGATACTTCATCATGCCTTCCCTCTCGTTGTCTGTTATCCCCAGAAGCGTTAAACGCTTAACGCAACCTATTAGAAGTTGCAAAAGTAGTTTCACTTCAATTATGCTAGTTACGAGTCAACTTTAACTAACAATAACTGAAATTAAATCGTAAGATACTTCATCATGCCTTCCCTCTCGTTGTCTGTTATCCCCAGAAGCGTTAAACGCTTAACGCAACCTATTAGAAGTTGCAAAAGTAGTTTCACTTCAATTATGCTAGTTACGAGTCAACTTAGCTAACAATAACTGAAATTAAATCGGAAGATACTTCATCATGCCTTCCCTCTCGTTGTCTGTTATCCCCAGAAGCGTTAAACGCTTAACGCAACCTATTAGAAGTTGCAAAAGTAGTTTCACTTCAATTATGCTAGTTACGAGTCAACTTTAGCTAACAATAACTGAAATTAAATCGTAAGATACTTCATCATGCCTTCCCTCTCGTTGTCTGTTATCCCCAGAAGCGTTAAACGCTTAACGCAACCTATTAGAAGTTGCAAAAGTAGTTTCACTTCAATTATGCTAGTTACGAGTCAACTTTAGCTAACAATAACTGAAATTAAATCGTAAGATACTTCATCATGCCTTCCCTCTCGTTGTCTGTTATCCCCAGAAGCGTTAAACGCTTAACGCAACCTATTAGAAGTTGCAAAAGAAGTTTGACTTCAATTATGCTAGTTACGAGTCAACTTTAGCTAACAATAACTGAAAATTAATCGTAAGATACTTCATCATGCCTTCCCTCTCGTTGTCTGTTATCCCCAGAAGCGTTAAACGCTTAACGCAACCTATTAGAAGTTGCAAAAGTAGTTTCACTTCAATTATGCTAGTTACGAGTCAACTTTAGCTAACAATAACTGAAATTAAATCGTAAGATACTTCATCATGCCTTCCCTCTCGTTGTCTGTTATCCCCAGAAGCGTTAAACGCTTAACGCAACCTATTAGAAGTTGCAAAAGTAGTTTCACTTCAATTATGCTAGTTACGAGTCAACTTTAGCTAACAATAACTGAAATTAAATCGTAAGATACTTCATCATGCCTTCCCTCTCGTTGTCTGTTATCCCCAGAAGCGTTAAACGCTTAACGCAACCTATTAGAAGTTGCAAAAGTAGTTTCACTTCAATTATGCTAGTTACGAGTCAACTTTAGCTAACAATAACTGAAATTAAATCGTAAGATACTTCATCATGCCTTCCCTCTCGTTGTCTGTTATCCCCAGAAGCGTTAAACGCTTAACGCAACCTATTAGAAGTTGCAAAAGTAGTTTCACTTCAATTATGCTAGTTACGAGTCAACTTTAGCTAACAGTAACTGAAATTAAATCGTAAGATACTTCATCATGCCTTCCCTCTCGTTGTCTGTTATCCCCAGAAGCGTTAAACGCTTAACGCAACCTATTAGAAGTTGCAAAAGTAGTTTCACTTCAATTATGCTAGTTACGAGTCAACTTTAGCTAACAATAACTGAAATTAAATCGTAAGATACTTCATCATGCCTTCCCTCTCGTTGTCTGTTATCCCCAGAAGCGTTAAACGCTTAACGCAACCTATTAGAAGTTGCAAAAGTAGTTTCACTTCAATTATGCTAGTTACGAGTCAACTTTAGCTAACAGTAACTGAAATTAAATCGTATGATACTTCATCATGCCTTCCCTCTCGTTGTCTGTTATCCCCAGAAGCGTTAAACGCTTAACGCAACCTATAAGAAGTTGCAAAAGTAGTTTCACTTCAATTATGCTAGTTACGAGTCAACTTTAGCTAACAGTAACTGAAATTAAATCGTAAGATACTTCATCATGCCTTCCCTCTCGTTGTCTGTTATCCCCAGAAGCGTTAAACGCTTAACGCAACCTATTAGAAGTTGCAAAAGTAGTTTCACTTCAATTATGCTAGTTACGAGTCAACTTTAACTAACAATAACTGAAATTAAATCGTAAGATACTTCATCATGCCTTCCCTCTCGTTGTCTGTTATCCCCAGAAGCGTTAAACGCTTAACGCAACCTATTAGAAGTTGCAAAAGTAGTTTCACTTCAATTATGCTAGTTACGAGTCAACTTTAGCTAACAGTAACTGAAATTAAATCGTAAGATACTTCATCATGCCTTCCCTCTCGTTGTCTGTTATCCCCAGAAGCGTTGAACGTTTAACGCAACCTATTAGAAGTTGCAAAAGAAGTTTCACTTCAATTATGTTAGTTATCAGTCTACTTTAGCTAACAATAACTGAAATTTAATCGTAAGATCCTTCATCATGCCTTCCCTCTCGTTGTCTGTTATCCCCAGAAGCGTTGAACGTTTAACGCAACCTATTAGAAGTTGCAAAAGAAGTTTCACTTCAATTATGTTAGTTATCACTACTTTAGCTGACAATAACTGAACATAAATTTTATATAAATAAACTTAGTTTTAAATTTTGTTAATATATTTAATATTATCTGATTTTGCAGGGTAATATCGAAACTAAGAGCGAGGCGGCGTACGTAACATCGCGTAATGTCGCTCTCCGTAATGAGTTAGACATGTACGCGTATGTTTTGAACTGCAAATCCTTCCCCGGAGTTAATACAAGGCATAAAGATATTGATATCGTTATTATAAGGTGAGTTTAAGTTACTAGCTTTCCGCCGCAGCTTCGCCCGCGTAGAGTTCGGTTATATCGCGTATCCAAGAGAACCTTTCAAAGTCTGGGATAAAAACTATCCTATGTTCTTTCTCAAGGTCAACTCTATCTCTGTACCGAATTGCTTTAAAATCAGTTCAGTGGTTTAGGCGTTAAAGAGTAACAGACAGACAGACAGAGTTACTTTAGCGTTTATAATATTAGTAGGGATGATCCATCTGTCTCATCTTTTCTAGACTCTAAGTCAGTAATAGTTGTAAGCATAAACTATATTTATAATAAAATTTGTAAGTTTTAAAATATATGAAGAATGACAGTTTTATTTTGGTTCTTTTTGCTAATAAAAATCTATGTATTTCTTTTTGTTTACTTCTTTTACACAAGATTGTCTCAGAAAATTATACTTCAAATAACTCAAGGATATATTTCTAAATTTTATTAATAATTTAACTATTAATAACTTTGTTTATTTTTTATTATTTTACAGACAGAATACCGAAGGTGAATATGCCATGTTGGAGCATGAATCTGTTCGAGGGGTGATTGAATCCATGAAAGTGGTAACTGCCAGCAATTCTGAGAGGGTAGCCAGGTTCGCCTTTGAATTTGCCAAGAGGAACGGCAGAAAAAAGGTACTTGAAATAATATACATATATATAGGGTGACTGGTGAATTACTATCGATACTTGAGGACGTGATATTAGACGATCATATATGACAAAATAAAAATTAATATAACATAAATATTAATAAACTTCTAAGTAAAGTTAACCAAAAGTTATGTAATTAATTACGCATCGTATGAACACCCTACAGATTAGGTATACACACACACACACATACGCGTTGTGCGGCGTAGTGTTGTATCAGCACGCCGCCGCATACGTCCACACTTGGAACACTTGGAACGTGTCAACACTTTATTTATTGATACGGAAATTTTGTCAAAAATTAAGTGCCTATTTTTTTTACATAATTCGAATGATAATCATGTACCGAGTATTCTCCTTAAATATTGATAGTAATTCACCAGTCACCCTGTATATTTAATTCAATAGTGCCTTAAGATATGTTATCAGTAATCTGTTATCCTGATAAGTGTTATGTAATTCTTTGTTGATAAATCATTTTATATAAGCTTCAACTAAATTACGGACTTAATTAAAGCATTTATCAAGTTTTAACAATCAAGAGAGACATGCAACATAATGCTTTCTCTTTCATTTATATTGCCATCATAAAGACAAATAAAATTAAAATTATCAATTAAAGTTATCATGTGTTTTAAAAATAATTTCATTCATTCAGTCCACTGCAGCGCATAGGCCTCCCCAAAGAATCTCCACGACGACCAGTCTTGTAATTCTACTAATATTATATGTAATTGCGAAAGTTTGTGAGTGTGTGTGTGTGTGTATTTGATAAAATTTTGTATACAGGAAGCTGACGTCCAGGAATAACACATAGGCTACTTTACATCCTGGAAATCCGCGGGTAACACCGCGGGGCGCAGCTAGTATGAAATTAAAAATAATAAATTGATTAATTTCTATCATTCTAGGTAACAACTGTCCACAAAGCGAACATAATGAAGCTATCAGACGGTCTGTTCTTGGAGACATCCCGACGTATGGCTCAGGAGTACCCCGATATAGAGCATAATGATATGATCATTGACAACTGTTGTATGCAACTTGTTGCCAGGTAATAAATATATAATATATTATACCAATAATTTGTATGACAATAGTTGGAAATTATGTATTAACTATTAGAGTAATATTACGCTCCCTAATTTAGTTAATTAATTTTAAGTTAATAATTATTTTTGATGATTTAATTGGAGTAATGTATGAAAATGGGATTTTCAGTGGTATACAGGGTGTCTGGTGAATTACTATCAATATTTAAGGAGCATACTCGGTACATGATTCTCATTCGAATTATGTAAAAAAAATAGGTACTTAATTTTTGACCAAATTTCCGTATAAATAAATAAAGTGCGGACACGTTTCAAATGTTCCAAGTGTGGACGCGTATGGTGGCGTGCTGATACAACACTACACCGCCGACGTGTGTATGTGTGTGTGTGTGTATACCTAATCTGTAGGGTGTTCACACGATGCGTAATTAATTACATAACTTTTGGTTAACTTTACTTAGAAGTTTATTAATATTTATGTTATATTAATTTTTATTTTGTCATATATGATCGTCAAATATCACGTCCTCAAGTATCGATAGTAATTCACCAGTCACCCTGTATATATCCTTATGTAGCATTAATAAATAATAGTCACAGACAGTGGCGGCTGGTGGGTTATCGAACTGGTGGTTCACTTTACTAAAATATTGACAAAAACAACAATTGACATAAAATATGTTTATTTTTTGTACATTAAATCAATGCGACGACATTTTTCTGTAGCGAAATGTTCTATCACCTTTTTATTAAAATCTGATTCCAGTTTCTGTCCAAATCGATTCTCCGCCAAAAATAATGCAAGGAAAACAAAAGAATGTATTAAGACGCTCACATCCACACAACCATTTCTTTCTATTATACATTTCACTTTTACAACTTCGTATAAATGCTTTATTTTTCGATTTACACTCTTGTTTTAAATTTAAAAAGGGCCGTGGCGGCCCGGCCAATTTTATGTTCACTTTACTTTGAAAAATTTTGTTATTTTCTTTAATGTAATCAATATTTATACTCATTTTCAACTAATAAAAAACACAGTACAGAATAAGAGTTCTATTATAGAAACGAAATAAAAACTAAAACGAATTACGGAAATAATTATAAACAACTAGTTTTTGCCCGCGACTTCGTCCGCGTTAATTTCGTCATTAGCAATATATGTATAGCTGACCGGGCGAACTCTATTCCGTTTTAGAGGCCATTAATAATCGGTTTCTCCTGTTTCAATCGAACAGAATGATTGACATATTAGTTAGTTGTCAAATCTTATGTCAAAAAAAACGTTTGTATGGGAAATAGAAAACGGCTGTTTTTATGGTTTTCCCAGAAATGAATCAATTTTTTTCAGCTTTTATACCTTCCCTGAACATCCACGAACATTTCAAGACTAAGATAATATAAATCCGTTCAGCTGTTCTCGAGTTTTAGCGAGACTAAGGAACAGCAATCCATTTTTATATATATAGAAGATAACGAATTAACGCGTCACGCATACAGTGAAAGTTGAAACAATACCAATAACGATTAACGAAATGTCAATCATAGCACCCATCCTTTCGGCCGGCCCCTTGCCGGCCGGCTCAATACGTCATACATCGGGTGCTCTCGGTAACCTTCGGTCGCTCGAGAACCGACTCGTTACTCGGTACATTTCTATGAACTATCTTTTGTCTCACGCGCCAGGCGTATTGATGCGTGTCTCATACAAGATGTATTAGCAGTCCTCGTGCACTCGCCGGAGCGCACGATATGAGTTTAGTAAAGCGCTCAAACTTTTTGACCATAATTGGAAATTAAATTTTTTATACCTTTTTGTATGTTTAAAAAATAAATATTAAAATGGTAATTTAAAAATTAAGATGACATAATATTTTGTAATTTTTAAATATTTTGAATTGGTGGTTCAGCGCACGGGCGCACTTAAGGTACAGCCGCCACTGGTCACAGATTATAAAAACTTTTTTATTTTTTATGGAACTGGTTTATGATAATTTTATATTTTCATAATTTTTAATATTTTAAAAGTCACTTAAAACAATATTATAATTTCGTTATTTTGTTAATAATAAGTACAATATTTCAGTGTAAAAAGAAATAATTTATAGGTCTAATTGTCTTCATATTGTCTAAAAACACAACATATACAGGGTGACTGGTGAATTACTATCAATATTTAAGGAGCATACTCGGTATATGATTCTCATTCGAATTATGTAAAAAAAATAGGTACTTAATTTTTGACCAAATTTCCGTATAAATAAATAAAGTGTTGACACGTTCCAAGTGTTCCAAGTGTGGACGCGTGCGGCGGCGTGCTGATACAAAACCACGCCCCCGCCGCGTGTGTGTGAGTGTGTGTGTATACCTAATCTGTAGGGTGTTCACACGATGCGTAATTAATTACACAACTTTTGGTTAACTTTACTTAGAAGTTTATTAATATTTATGTTATATTAATTTTTATTTTGTCATATATGATCGTCAAATATCACGTCCTTAAATATCGATAGTAATTCACCAGTCACCCTGTATATTTTTAAATTGGTTAACTATATGCAATATTTGTTTCCAGACCACACCAATTTGATGTGATGTTGATGACAAATCTGTACGGTTCAATCGTGTCTAATGTGGTGTGTGGTTTACTCGGAGGAGCTGGTTTACTCTCCGGAAGGAATTATGGAGACCATTATGCAGTATTTGAACCCGGAACTAGGAATACTGGTATGTTTTATGAACTTCTGTTTGTATTTAAAATATTTAAATAATTTATTAGTATAAATGGATGCTTGTATTTAGTATCCATGGTAACAGTAAAGTATTGAAGAATAAAATTAAAGAGAAGATATCTTATTGTTGAGTAAAGGAGGAATTTTATACTGGCGACTCAGGTCATTATCCACCGAGATGATTTCAGTAACCGAATGTACTATCGAGTATAGATTTTTTTGTGTGATAGACCAGTTATCTGGGGCGGTTTTTATCAACAACACATTGGGATAGGTCCACCAAGTACAATTATAGGGCCCAGAAAAAGGAACCTATATCCAAAAACAGTTCAGAATCCAAATTCTGAGGTTACTTCACTCTACATGCAGAAGGAGCATATTTGCCAAAAAGTGTCATTGACTGTATAGTTTTTTAAATTACATTTGAAAGTTAAGATTAGGGTATAGGAGTTATAAAATCGGATAATGAAGTCGAATATAAACTAAATAAATTGACAAATGACAATATATGTAATAATGTTATATAAAAACTCGGTGATAGCTTCTAACCGGCTGAAATTTATTTTTCCTTTTATAAGGTAAACACATGTACACTCCATTTAACAGATGGCGCTGCTATGTACATGATAATTTTGTGACCAACTTAAATTAAAATGTTTCAGGTACGGCCATTGCTGGCAAGAACATTGCAAACCCGATAGCAATGATAAATGCTTCGGTGGATATGTTGGAGCACCTCGGACATCACTATCATGCTGGATTGATAAGGAGAGCCTTGGACAAAACTATTAATATTGATAGAGTGATCACTCCTGACTGTGGAGGAACTGCTAGCTCTAGCGAAGTGGTTGATAGCATCATCAAGAATATTGGTCGCTGCTAAAAAAACCACTTGTAGTCAAATAAGGGCATTGAATTTAGATCTTTCCTTACTTATTAGTCCGAATAACTCCAAAAAGATTTTTAAAAGTTTCTGTATTATTTTTATTCTGTCTAACAGAAGATTATGTACAAATTGTTGATTATTATTGTATTTGTTTGTTTGAAAATTATGTACCTACTGCCAAAGTGAACAATAAAATTAACTTGTAACTTGAGATTTCTTACAGTCATTTACTAGTATTATATAGTAAATTATTTAATATCTTGTATATAACCGTATTGAATCATGTGATATATTAGTGAATTTGTTTCAAACATTTTAATAGTTACCTAAGTATTGCAGTGATGCCATTATTTATTATAGTGTTAATAAACTGTATCGCAGAAATCATATTTTTGTTTTTATTTTTTTTATTTATAACCATATACAAATATAAAGCGTGTAATAACTCGCAAAAGATAAGATCTAAGGCAGCCCTAGTAGGTTCGTCTCAAATTGTGTTTGGTAGAGAGGAGCTTGTACAGTGGAGGTGAGCAGTGGCGGCGTAAGGCGTGGGCGACGTGGGCCATCGCCTACGGCCTCAAATATTTTTAAAGCGAGAATTAAAAAAATCTTCTTCTTCCTGGCAATTTCCCAGCTATAACCAGGGTCTGCCTTACTGCTTACATGTTGTGAATAGTTTTGGCTATTTGTTTTTACGACCGGTCGCCCGCCTGACATCAACCTTTTTTGGGAATCAGAATTAATTAAACCTATTTTGATAAGAATAGTGTATTCAATGTTTTAATAATATTTAGCGAATAAATAGATAGTGTTTAAGTATATTGATTGCCCCGAAAACAGTGACGTTTTTTAATTGTTTTTGTTTTCTTTGTGATTTGAAATACATCGGTACCTGTACTCGTCTATCTAGCTATTTAGCTGAAAATTGGTAGGGAGGTAGTTTAGAGCCAGGAAAATTACATAGGATACTTTTTATCCCGTTCGACAGCATTCCCGTGTGACTTGAAATGAAACGTCAGTCCCTATAAAACGTGGTATAACAAAAAATAATCAGACTTGGAATAACAAAACGCAATTGACAGCTATGTAATTGACCTATAATGACAGATATGTAATGACGTATGGATGACAATTTGATATTTGTAAGAAATCTATATATATGTATATAAAAATGAATTGCTCTTCTTGAGTCTCGAATATATATCTCTCTTTTAAAACTCGAGAATGGCTGAACGGATTTATCTTAGTCTTGAAATGTTCGTGAGGTTTAGGGAAGGTTTAAAAAATGAAAAAAATTGATACATTCGGGAAAACCCTAAAAACCGCCCTTTTCGATTTCCCATACAAACGTTTTTTTTACATTAGATTTGACAACTAACTAATATGTCAATCATTCTGTCGCACTTCAAAACACGGAGATTTATGGCTTACAGGTAAACTCCAAAAATAGAAATAAAAAAACATAACAGATAGTTCTTGATTATAGAGCGATACGAAGTTCGCTGGGTCTTCTAGTTTTATATAAAGTAAGAAATATTTAATTGGTAATAAGTATGTAACGCAGTAATTACTTTTATATAAAATACGCTTTATAATATCTTTTGAAGGAAACCAAAGCTTTAAGGGTAAAAAACGTATCTCCGCTTAAGTTTTTAAAACTAGCAGGTAGTAAGAGCTTCAGGTTGCCATAGAATAGAGCCTCGCGAAATCTGTCTTGCCCACATCAAATTTAGGTCTTGCCCCGACACTGGAGGTGAGCGTTTAACGTTAGATAGGTGTCCCTTAAACCTACACCTGGGTCACAAGTCACAGTCACTGTTGAAGCTCCTCTCACTACAACGATGGACCCGACACACGCACCGTGAATACATTGAATGATGAGAGGTTTCGTCTCTCTATATACAGGGTGACTGGTGAATTACTATCAATATTTGAGGACGTGATATTTGACGATCATATATGACAAAATAAAAATTAATATAACATAAATATTAATAAACTTCTAAGTAAAGTCAACCAAAAGTTGTGTAATTAATTACGCATCGTGTGAACACCCTACAGATTAGGTATACACACACACTCACACACACGCGGCGGGGGCGTGGTTTTGTATCAGCACGCCGCCGCACGCGTCCACACTTGGAACACTTGGAACGTGTCAACACTTTATTTATTTATACGGAAATTTGGTCAAAAATTAAGTACCTATTTTTTTTACATAATTCGAATGAGAATCATGTACCGAGTATTCTCCTTAAATATTGATAGTAATTCACCAGTCACCCTGTATATTAAACCTACACCTGGGTCACAAGTCCCAGTCACTGTTGAAGCTCCTCTCACTACAACGATGGACCCGACACACGCACCGTGAATACATTGAATGATGAGAGGTTTCGTCTCTCTATATATATTAAACCTACACCTGGGTCACAAGTACCAGACACTGTTGAAGCTCCTCTCACTACAACGATGGACCCGACACACGCACCGTGAATACATTGAATGATGAGGTTTCGTCTCAATATCACCTTTAGTTGAGGTTATTACTATTAATGGAAAATGTAAGTTAAACATATTATGTAGTTCTGCCCCGTCTCTTAAATATGTGGGAGGTAGAGGGGGGGTGAATGCCACTAATAATGAAGGTCGCGCTAAATAATCTGTGTACTCACTACACCGCATCAAAACCGGTTTGTATGCGTATTCATTTAATTCGTTTGTATACATTTTCCAAATATTAAAAAATATATGTACAGTGTAAACTCTATATAACGACACTGAAGGGACTGTGCATTTTATGGCGTTATAGAGGGTTGTCGATAAATAGAGAGAAGAAAACTCAGAATTAGAAAAAGACAAAGTTTATTTCAGACTAGTGTTAGTAAAAAGAATGTTATTCGAACGCTATTGCCTACAGTGAGTTATTTTTGTTTGACGTCTTTTGCTGCACCAGTAATGTTATTGTATTTTTTTACGTACATATTTGTAGGTGGTAGAGCTTAGCTGTGGTCAGTTACTACATCTCGAACATGTTCTGTCTCGACCGTAAGTACTTCCCTCTCACAGAAGATCGGCGTGAAGTAGTTCTTAATGGATACGTTTCGTTCAATGAGTGAAAGAGACGGTTGCATTCATACGTTCTCTCTCTTTAATCAAGGATAACAAAAACTATATATGTGACATTTTTCATAATAATTGTATTTTGGTCTTTTTATGTATAAAAAAAACGACATATATTCTTGAGCATTTAATAGTATACCATGAAAACAATTTTCTTGGACGTGAAATTGATTTACAACTACAAGAAGACTTTAGACCTTAATATACGCATATTAATAACATTTTACTCATATTAATCACAAAATTGAGTATATTTATATTAACAAAAGTATTCTTTTAACTTCAAAAAATTAATCATAATTGATTGAAAAAGCTTAATATATCTTTCACTAATAGTTTTCATCATATTACATATATATGAACATATACAAAGATATATGAAAGAAAAACAATTATGTAATTGAATTTACCTAAAAATCCAAAATGGCTATACGTATACAAATTATACTAATTATTTAATCTATGACTATTAAATGCTAATTAAAAATGGACCAATAGTTGAGATCTCTTAATAATAACTACATTATAATAATAATCTTAATTAATTATTTTTAGGCAGTTTTTTAATTGAAAATAGTATTAATTCTATTATGGTCCATACTAATGATTGAAGGCATTTTAAGGCTCAGTTAGATAATATGGTCTGATGAAAGTATAATAAAATCTTAATACGTATATACTTATTTCACAAAAAAATAATAAAAAATTATCAAAAACATGCAAATGTACAATAAAATCTGAACATCTTCGACAAACTTCGTGTTTCCACATAGTATTCAAGAATATAATTCGTCCAACAAATAAAATATTTATATTTTAAAATATTCTATAATTCCAGTGTGAATGAAGACATAGCATAAAATTTTTGGAAGAAATAATTTTTTAAACACATTTTTATATTAAAAAAAAAACATAATTTCTGATATACTTAATATCAAGTATCATAGCCACTATGTTTATTATAAATAATTTACTAAAGAAATCTCTAACTATTTAATACCACCATAAGAAGAAATATAATGAATAATATTACTAAATTGTTTACTGTATAAATGAGCAAATATATAAATTAATAACATATAATATGTATATAAAGGACTATAACTTACATATAACTTATGTCAAAAACAACAGAAAAATACTGCAATTATTACAATAAATTATATATATATATATATATATATATATATATATATATATATATCTCACTAACAGCTTTATATTTAACGGGGAAGTCCCTTTTGTGGCCAAACAAATATGGCCGCCAATAATAAAGCCTGTGTTGGCGCTGAGAATACAGCCGGCAATCTTGCCAAGCCGACCGTAGAACAACCGGATATATAATCTGTAACATGTATTATAACTTGTAACGTGTATTGTAACAATATGTCAGGTGTATTGTAATATTTCAAGTGTATTGTATCTTTAACATGTATTATATATATATTCTCTCTTCAACCTTTAAATAGAGAGAAATGTTTTATTATACGTAATAAGTAAGGAGTATGTTGCTACTCGTACTAGAAACTATTTTCAATTGGTTTAATATAAATTTACTAGAAATATAAAGTTTTAAACACAGTGTTTTGACTTTAAATTAATGTAAAATTAAACTATTCTTATTAGTATTCTTTACAGTTTCTCTTTACTTAGACATCAGAATTAGACAAAGGTATCCCTAAATTCTGTTTCGTTCGAAAATGATACTTAAAATGGATAATAGATGTCGCTGACAAAACAATTATTTTAACACACTATAAATATTCTTCTCAGCATTAGTCCCACTTCAAAACAGATTTATAATTCAAGAACGGCTGTAGCGATATGATTCAATATTGGTGGAGAAAAAAAAAACTTAATAAACTCCAATATCTGGTTATTTATGGCCTCTAGGGCAGAATAGAGTTCGCCCGGGCAGCTATACATCCCCACTAGTATTATAAATGCGAAAGTAACTCTGTCTGTCTGTCTGTTACGCTTTCACGCCTAAACCACTGAACTGATTTTAATGAAATTTGGTACAGACATAGAGTTGTCCTTGAGAAAGAACATAGGATAGTTTTTATCCCAGACTTTTGAAAGATTCTCTTGGAAACGCGATATAACCGAACTCCACGCGGGCGAAGCTGCGGGCGGAAAGCTAGTGTATTACTAATAACAAAATTTACACGAAGTCGCAGGAAATTATTAGTATAAGAAATATGTATATACCTATATTAGTAGATTTGGATATAGCAACTAATAGCATAGAATTTCTCTCCACGGTAGTGAGGAGTCCGCACATCTCGTATAAATAACACGATACACACACTGCTGTTAGCCAGCTCACAACTGAAATAATAACATATATATGTTAATAAATAATATAATAACAAAATATTATGTATAAATTTACTTTAGTTAATGTTATTTGTATCAACAACTAGGTAATTGAATTTAATTTATATTATGTTCCTATTTATTCATTAGTCTTTAATTGTACCTAAATAATGCAGCACATGACAAAAATATTGGTTTTGTAATGATTATGCTGTGTACACATGCTTAGGAATTTAATCAAGCTAAAATAATTTTAGACTGTAACTCATATGTAAATAAATTATATTGTTTGTGTGCCTTAAATAAATAAATAAATTAATGACATACAGACACACAATAAAAAATTACAGTACATTTACAAAGCATCATATATATCTTATATATAAAATTCTCGTGTCGGGGTGTTAGACAGAGAACTCCTCCGAAACGGATGAACCGATTTTGATGAGACTTGTGAGCATATTGAGTAGGTCTGGGAATCAGCCAACATCTATTTTTTATACCCCTTAGTCATAAGGATTGTTCACCCTTAATTTTTTTTTTTGGACCAAATTTTTTTATTTTTTACAATGTAGCATTAAAAAGTAAATACAATCCAAAATATTTACTTTTTTATCACCAAACCCTACTGTTTTATATGGCAAAATAACATTTGGCGGGTCAGCTAGTGTATATATATAATTATCAAACCATGTAACATATAATAAAGTAATTTATAAAGAGATCGCTCTTTTAGCGATAAGGCCGCCTATTGTACAATTTTCTTTTCTTTGTTTTTCTCTTATTTTTTTTGTCTATATTGGTGTGCCATAAAGAGTATATAAATAAATATATCATTAATTGAATAAATGTCATTAAAATTTAATAAATAATGATATTACCTAGGAACAGTGTCGCAATAACATCAACTATGTACAAAGTACCCTCCGCCTCTCTCAATAACTTGCAACATTCAACATACAAAACCAACAAAGCAGATACAACAGTTCCTGTGTTAACTGAAAATAAAAAAAATATTTATTTATGTACCAAAAGTAGAAAGTTACATTATTATAAAAGAAATGTATGCAGAATGTATAACTATCTCTTAAAAAAGAGTTCTACTAGAAATCCTTTTGATAGAGGAAATGAGAAAAAATATCGTGTAGGTGCAATAAAAAGGAGAAAAGGAAAGAAAAAAATATAATAATAGAAAATGATGTATTATACATACATAAATATATACATAAATATATGCATACCAATTAATTAAGGGTATATTCCCCAGTATAGATAAATAAACATTACATATCAAAGTAAAAATGACAAAAGATATCTCTCAATCATAATAATTTAGACATACATATAAATTTCTATTAATATAAAATAATAATTGATTATAACTCACCGATATCAGTTTTCTGTGATAATGTACCAAGAGCAAACGGCACTATGACTGTCACAGCGTTGACAATCAATGTTTTTATAGGCTGTATTGGAATTCGGCCACACTGAAAAAATTTTGTATTGGTATCACGCTATATCTATATTACCAAAGGATATGATAGAGATAGTAAGAATATTTTGAGACATAAAATAGTTGTAACTCTATATAGAAGACGAGATGAAATTTCTCATGATTCAATGTATTTATGGTGCGTGTGTCGGGTCCATCGTTGTAGTGAGAGGAGCTTCAACAGTGACTGTGACTTGTGACCCAGGTGTAGGTTTAATATATATAGAGAGACGAAACCTCTCATCATTCCATGTATTCACGGTGCGTGTGTCGGGTCCATCGTTGTAGTGAGAGGAGCTTCAACAGTGACTGTGACTTGTGACCCAGGTGTAGGTTTAATATATATAGAGAGACGAAACCTCTCATCATTCCATGTATTCACGGTGCGTGTGTCGGGTCCATCGTTGTAGTGAGAGGAGCTTCAACAGTGACTGTGACTTGTGACCCAGGTGTAGGTTTAATATATATAGAGAGACGAAACCTCTCATCATTCCATGTATTCACGGTGCGTGTGTCGGGTCCATCGTTGTAGTGAGAGGAGCTTCAACATTGACTGTGACTTGTGACCCAGGTGTAGGTTTAAGGGACCCCTATCTAACGCATTAAACGCTCACCTCTACTGTACAAGCTCCTCTCTCTACCTAACTTAATTTGAAAAGAACCTACTAGGGTTGCCTTCGAGGTATAAGAAAATCTCAGTGAACCTCTTTTATATTGGAATGAAGAAAAATATAATGTGACATAAAACTAGAAAAAAATAAAACACAGTAAAAAAATTGCCTTCACCCTACTTAGAAGTATGCTAAGTTGAATTTTCTTTCCTTCGAATATACCATTTTTTATGTTTATCCATGCTCATGTTATCCATTTACTTCAAGACAATAAATGATTGCAAAAGAAATTTCAAAGAAAATAAAAATAATACTTTAGTTATACTGTTTTATACTGAAAAATAATAAGTTATTTAGGGGGTGGGTCACAATATAATTCATCAAGTCTAACGGTAGTTTTAATATTTAGTACTAATAGCTGGTGTATGTAATTGTGCCTAGTATAAATACTGTCAATTGATTTTATTATTCAGTACTACAATTTAGTAATAGATAATTATAAGGACTCTTGCTATGAATTATTATTATTATTACTCTTGTTATTTCAAGCCTGCTAAATGAGGTGCCAAACTTTAAGATAGTAAGCACATAACTTTAATATATCCCTATATATAATATACATATTTTCTTACCAAAAACACATGTGTTAAGGGCAGGAACACATAGGATGCAGCATAACTAGCAACAGTTAAAGCCGGAGTCACACCGTCATTACTGAGTGATAACGGTAGCCACGCACAGGGCCTCGACACAGATGTTAATATTGCCCTGAAATAATATTTTTATAAATAATAAACTTATTTTATACATTTAAAATGTAAGAATAAAAGTGTTAATAATTAGATTAATGAAATACGATATTATTGTATAAATATCACTTCAATTATAACAATATATAGATAACTAGCTTTCCGCCTGCAGCTTTGCCCGCGTGGAGTTCGGTTATATCGCGTTTCCAAGAGAATCTTTCAAAAGTCTGGAATTGAAACTATCCTATGTTCTTTCTCAAGGTCAACTCTATGTATGTATCAAATTTCATTAAAATTAGTTCAGTGGTTTAGGCGTGAAAGTGTAACAGATAGTCAGATAGACAGACAGACAGGATTACTTTCGCATTTATAATATTAGTAGGGAAGTAGGAATTTTTTATAGGTGGTAGAGCCCAATTGAAGTCAAGTTACTACAGCTCAAATATGGTCTGTCTCGACCGGGGAAGCACCACCCTCTCACAGAAGATCAATGTGAAGTAGTCTTTAATGGCTGCATTTGAGTGAGAGGCCATTGCCTTTTCCCTGTTCCCACCCTTTCCTACTATTTTCTTGCTCCCACCCCACCTATTCCTCAACAAACAAGATTGGCAACGCATCTGCAACATCTATGTTGCGAATGTCCATTTGCGATGGTCACTACTGTCCTACAAGTAGGCCGTCTGATCATTTGTTACCATTAACATAAAAAAATAATATTTAATATATATTACCCTTCAATAATTCTTCTATCGAGTGCCACAGATAGTGTGCTAATGATGAGCACACACAGAGCCAATGATACACAGTGTGTGTGTGCAATACATAGCACATATACTCTTAGACGACATGATTGTAATTGTGTTCGGCCAGATGAGTAATATATGTAGGACATCGGCAGATATACCAGATATTCGGTTCTTAGGACACCTGTATGGAAAATGTGTTAATATTATTTATGATAAATGCATTGAGAATTATATATATATAATTTTTTTATGCTAATTCATTATTAAATTAAGTACAAAATGGAACTTGAGATTCTGTTATTGTAAATTTTTGCGAAAGTTTGTTTTTTAAAGCTATAGAATTTATCGAGTGCGAAATTCATAAATATTGAGCCAATTGTATATATTTTTTTTTATCTATAGAACTAAATAGACATGCCTGTAGTGCTAGAATGAAAAATATTTTAAAATAAATATATTTTATGTATATTTTGATTAAATTTCAAATTGAAAGCGTAAGCGTAATGTATAATTATGTTTTTATATATTTAAACGGTCAAACATGAAGTCAAGAGCCCTACCTTGCTTTTAACACCTTAATGTATGAAATCTAGTGATATTATTTTATTGCATGGGCGATTAGGTGCAATGCTTTCTAGGATCTAAGTGAACATGCATGTAGTTGCCTCCGGGATGCCCAAAACGCGACGTAAGTACGGCCATGGCAACTGTTAATAGCACTCCCAATAACATCCAACGTTTCTTCGCTTCTTCCCAAAAATCAACGCTGTAATCACTCTTATAAACCACATTCGGTCTCTTCTGAACATACACAACAATAGAAGATGCGTTAACGTTATCCATTTCGAAAATATTTTAAGTTTACGCGAAAGAGTTAAGAGTTACGTAATTTCGGGATATAAATCAGCTATTGGAATATATTTTCATTGTTCAATAGTCAAAAATGTTGTTCTCGATTTATGGAAGAGTTTCAATAAATTGCACTGATATAAATATTTTAAAATTACGCGCATCTGCAATGCTACAATTTGACATAATGTCCGGAGTCCGGACGTTGTATTGTAACGTTCCGTTTAAAATCTTATTTGAAATATGTTTGTCTTTTATAACAAATCTTATATTTTAAATATTAAAGTATAATATTAAATTACATGATAAACCTATATTTTATTTAAATAAACACATTCATTTTTATTTCACATAAGATAATATGTGGAATAAATCTTATAGTTTGCCAATTCTTACATCATTAGACTGATGTCAGAATGACAGAATTCGGCTCTCAAAAATAAATAAGCATTTTGTTATTTTATTAGTAAAGAACAACTAATATTTCTATTAATTGTTTGTATATTCTAACAAAATGATAAAAAATAAATTGCTGCCGTTAGTTACATTAAATCGTAGATGTCTGTCGTTGAGGTTAGTTTTAAGTTAATATACATATCTTTTTTATTATTTTTTCTCTTTTCGTCTTTTTTAGCACTGAGATATGCCTATGCTGCTTATTCATTAGTATTTTTTGTCTTTCTTGATTTCAAACAGTTTGTTTTTTTAATTTTACAACATAATTTCATTAATTTCGCAGCAATAGTTTACAACATAAAGCCGCATACGAGGGTGAAGGCAAAACAACAGTTCGTGTTATAAACCAGGAAACGGATTTGGGATTAATGATTGATTCCTATGGAACTGTAGGTTTTTCATAAAAAAAAAATATTTAATAACCAAGCTTCATTTAGAAAATTAATTTATTGTTTATTTCAGTTTGGATTTAGATTGAATAATGGAATTACAGTCCTTGGACCTATTGCTATATTTTCTAGGTATGATAAAAAAATATGGTTAAAATACCTTTAAATCCTTTATGCAATTTTTCACATGCATTAATTAACTATTAAATTATTTTTTTATTCTAGAACAATCTTATCATGGCAAGTTGGATCTTCAAGGGACATAAATGTAGATTCACTGAAATTCTTTAAACTTTTGGAGCCGAAAATAGATTTGCTTGTATGTATACACAATCATTATGTCATAACACAAATACAATTAAAAAGATTATTTAAACATGATTTAAAATTTATTGATATATAGTGGACCCCCGGTAATCCGGCCCCTGTCTAATCCGGCACCCCCTGTAATCTGACATGATCTATTATTATTTATAATTGAATCATGATTCAAATGTACTATAAAGACATTTTAATTATGGCCTAATACATGTTTGTAATCTTTACTCCATTTATAAATTTTCCATTCTATATGAGACAAAACCTCTCATCATTCAATGTATTCACGGTGCGTGTGTCGGGTCCATCGTTGTAGTGAGAGGACCTTCAACAGTGACTGGGACTTGTGACCCAGGTGTAGGTTTAAGGGACCCCTATCTAACGCATTAAACACTTACCTCCACTGTTCAAGCCCCTACTTTTAATCTATTGACAAATATGTTTAATATATAGATATTTTTTATTTATGAGACATCTTTTATTTCCCAGGTGCTAGGTCTCGAGACGGATGATAGGAATGTAATGCAAACAGTGTTTAAAGCGACTCGGGAATTGAAATTGAATGTTGAGTTACAAACGGTAGAGCATGCATGTTCTACATTTAATTTTCTTAATTCTGAGGGAAGGTGAGTTAAGAGATATCTAGGTAGTGGAAAATAGTATATCTTTGATATAAGAAGATTGTTTGTTTATTATATATTTGCATTACTTCTTTTAGATATCATTTTTTTTTTTGTGAAACATATGATAAATCTCTGTCTAGATATTGTGGGAAATGTACATTCTTATTTTTTTCTCGCTTTGTTTCTTAAAAAAGCTTTCAATGCAAATTGTGTGAAGCAACAACCTTTTTCGGTACCATACTGTTTTATCTTTTGTTATGGATTCTATATTTCTACCTTAAAATTGTAATTGGATGTCCGATCTTAATTTTTTGTTGATAAAAGGAATCCCAGATAACAATACCTCAGCTATGGAACAAAAATACCTTAACTCGATTGTACATTTCGTTGTCGAGATCATCTCTGTAGATGAATGACTTGAGTCGACATTTTCTGTTTATAACACCATCAATACTTACTTATTAAGAAATAACTACATACGCGTTCTAGTAGTTATTATTCTAATGAGATCTAAGATTTTCGTGAATATTCATTTAAATGAAACTAATGTACCCATTTTTAATTATACTACGCGTATTTTATTATGATAAACTACAAACTCCCGACGTTACGGTAACTTTTCAGCAACCGTGATCATGCAGACGAGATGTGCATGACATAATATGTAGTGTTTACAATAATAAAATTCGTAGTATAATGCGAAAACTATTAGTTTGTTGTTTTTATTTCAGGTCAGTGGCCGGAGCATTAATACCGCCTTTACATCTGGATATCAATGAAAACGACATGTTGCAATCAAAACTGCACTACGAAAACTTGTATAATAAAGAAATTAAATAGTCTATGAATTATATTCTTCAAGTTGTTAAAACTAATTTTAATTTATATATGTTATAAATACTAGTTTAGAATCTATGTTTCTGCATAGTGTAAATAATGAATTATTAGTTTATGAATTAAATAATTAAATAAGTGTATTTCTGTTGCAATGAAGCGTTTTATTCAAATATGTGCAAATGGTGTAATCATTCATAAATAATTAAAGAAAAATGTTTAATGTGAAATAGAACGGTCAAAGTTTAAATGAAGAAGGCCGCGACGTATGAAATGAAAAAATAAATCATTAATCATTAACGTAAACATATATTGTATAGTCGGTTAGACTTAAGCTGAGCTTTGCATTTGTGTGAGTGAAAGTAAAAGTAGAGTTAGACAAAAAACTTTTAGAATTAAATTTTAGTATATTTTACATAGATACATAACATAAGTGCTATAAAATAAGCAAAACTTGTAACAGTCCAGATGGAAATATTTTGAGTATTGAGGAAAAAAAATTATTGATTAATAAGAATTTTGAAAAAACTACAAATTCTTATTCACTTGACATTGCGTTTTCAACATTTGATATTGCTATTAGTACAAAAGGTGAAGTGCGGAAGGTGCGGGGCGGAGTAAAAGCAGAATAAAACGGTTCAAAACTAGAAAAGAACGTGGCATTCAAAAATTTGACATCACACCTACACTATCCGTGTACACTCACACAAATGTAAAGCTCACCTTAAATCAAACGCACTATACTAAGCTTTTGACACACACTCACATGCACATACACACGGACACACGGAAAAATTGTATGTGATTATAAGACTAAAATAGAACGAATTATTGTATTTAAATTAATTAATAAATTAATCAAAGTCAACTAAGTGTAGAAGACATTTCCATATTTGTGGTGTTTGTATTTATACAATATATATAACACACTGTCTCACGTACCCCACTAGAGGGGTGGCATGCACTCGGCAGTCTCACGACTAGCGCGCAGCAGAACGGGGGTAGATGTGATTCTTAACCTTTATAAATTATACTATGTTTTTATTCACAGTAGAATTGTCGAATACTTGGCAAATGTCAACATTTAAATTTTTTTGACAAATTATATTAATTATAGTATCTAAAGTGCTTGTGTTCTGTGGGATATTCTGCCCACTATCGAAAATTATTCAAATATATATATATATTGCAGCAATCCACTTTCGAAAACTAGTGTCATATCTACTAGTTAATATATATTAGCTATAAACATATATTAGCGGATTGGCGAGTAGACTGAGTTCTGCGGCATTCGCGGTCAAAAAAATTAGATTATGTACCGATGTTGATACGGCTCGCTTAGTATATTTCAGTTACTTTCACAGTATAATGTCATACGGTATTATGCTGTGGGGCAACGCAGCCGCTATCCATACTATATTTGTGCTACAGAAGAGGGCTATTCGCGCAATCTATAACCTAGGAGCTAAAGAATCGTTAAGGAATAAATTTAAAGAAATCAAGATATTGACTGTTGCTTCTCAATATATATTCTGCAATGTTATGTATGTACGAAAAAATATTAATGATTTCATGAGAAAATGTGATACTCATAGCATTGGTACAAGGAACAAACATAAACTTGTTACTCCTGTTACTCGACTACATAGAGTCAGTAACTCCTTTGTGGGGCAATGTATACGGTTTTACAACAGGATCCCAGAAAGCGTTCAAAATGCCTCTATTGCTAAATTTAAAAAAATTATTAAGGAACGCTTGTGTGCAAAAGGTTACTATACAATTAAGGAGTTTATGAACGATAGCACACCTTGGGAATGAAACGCTCGCCTCCTGGCTATTTCATCTCATATTAAATTGTGTATATAATATATGAGAGAAATATATATATATATAAAAAAAAAAAAAAAAAACCCGCTGAGTTTCTTTCGCCGGTTCTTCTCAGGTCAGGGTATTTTCTTTTCCGAACCGGTGGTAGTCTCAAATGACCATCAATAAGAAAGTGTAATACTTCTATATTGAATAAAGTTGTTTGAGTTTGAGTTTAAGAAAAAAAATCATATCAAATAACATTTTTTTATTTCAACAAAACTATCACTATATCCATACATTACAATTATTAGGCTTTTATTTTACAGTTTATGTAAAACATGAATACCTTCCATATAATAATAATTTAGCCTGTTTATATTTTTTTACGATTATTATAATCTTTTACCGGTTCTTCGATCACGTCAAGTGACAAGTGACAACCTATTTTAACTTGACATTTGACAGTTCCAAAATGAATTCGCTCAGAAATGAATTGCACGCTTCCGATTTCGATAAATAAATTCGATTATACGGGTCATGTACCTGTAAAGAAATATAAAGATTATTGTCTTCAAATAATAATGAATATCAAAAGAAAGTTAAGGAAAAACATACAGGCAATGTATTGTAGATAATAAAATGAATATCACTGCATAATATCTTTACCAACTAATATACAGGGTGACTGGTGAATTACTATCAATATTTAAGGAGAATACTCGGTACATGATTCTCATTCGAATTATGTAAAAAAAATAGGCACTTAATTTTTGACAAAATTTCCGTATAAATAAGTAAAGTGTTGACACGTTCCAAGTGTTCCAAGCGTGGACGTGTGCGGCGGCGTGCTGATACAACACTACGCCGCCGCCGCGTCTGTGTGAGTGTATGTGTATACCTAATCTGTAGGGTGTTCATACGATGCGTAATTAATTACATAACTTTTGGTTAACTTTACTTAGAAGTTTATTAATATTTATGTTATATTAATTTTTATTTTTTCATATATGATCGTCACAAATCACGTCCTCAAATATCGATAGTAATTCACCAGTCACCCTGTATATACAGGGTGACTGGTGAATTACTATCAATATTTAAGGAGACTACTCGGTACATGATTCTCATTCGAATTATGTAAAAAAAATAGGCACTTAATTTTTGACAAAATTTCCGTATAAATAAGTAAAGTGTTGACACGTTCCAAGTGTTCCAAGCGTGGACGTGTGCGGCGGCGTGCTGATACAACACTACGCCGCCGCCGCGTCTGTGTGAGTGTATGTGTATACCTAATCTGTAGGGTGTTCATACGATGCGTAATTAATTACATAACTTTTGGTTAACTTTACTTAGAAGTTTATTAATATTTATGTTATATTAATTTTTATTTTGTCATATATGATCGTCAAATATCACGTCCTCAAGTATCGATAGTAATTCACCAGTCACCCTGTATATAACCTAAAATTATAATTCTAGTACTATACAGATAATAATATATTTATTAATTTTATTAAAACACATATCGTCGTGGACAGTGCAAATCCTCGTAACTAGCATTGTATAATTCCATGTATCTACATTGGAAGAAGATTATCAGAAGAAAGTTTAAGATGAAATATTTTCTATATAAACAACTATTAAGGTAATTTTTTCACAATTAATAATTATTGAATGTCTAATTTATTATCTGCTTCCAATGTATGTATATATACTCGGAATTATTCAATGCTAGTTTTGCGGATTTGCTCTATCCCGACGATATATAAATTAAACTTGTATGTATCGGATTTCCTATGAGATAATTTCGTAAGTCTAAATTTAATTCGGGATTTTATATGAGATAATTTCGTAAGTCTAGATTTAATTCGGGATTTTATATGAGATAATTTCGTAAGTCTAGATTTAATTCGGGATTTTATATGAGATAATTTCGTAAGTCTAGACTTAATTAGGGATTTTATATAAGATAATTTCGCAAGTCTAGATTTAATTCAATATTAACCTATAGGAAGTGGGCAGCTATCCCAAATTGTATTCCCTGCGCGGTCACGTCTCCCTGGCGAGCTTTTAACGGCACGCAGTAGTTCAGCTCCACCCTCGCTACACCTCCAAGTCTTAAAGCGACCCCCGCGCCACACGCCAGGCGAGCTTCGGTTAACGCATCTAGTACGGCGAGACCGGATTCTTCTGTAATATGAAGTATTTGTATTAAGTATATGAATATTCTAAATGATTGAGATTGTGGGATTTTGATTTTTGATGTTTGGATGCTGTTGATTTCAATATAACATGCATATGTTATAAGAGAATATATACGAGAAAGATTCATGTTGCATCATATACATATATATAACTTATTTAGACAACTTTCACATATAATTTTGTATTTAATATCACTTGAAAATTCTTAAATCAGTGTTATATTTCTAACTAGCTTTTGCCGCGACTCCGTCCGCGTGGAATAGTGACTTCCGCCAGATTTTTGGTTCTTGCCACATAGTTCCCGTTCTTGCGGGGTTTTCGGAATGGTCGAGTTCCCGTAGAATTTTCAGGATAAAAACTATGTTTTTTTTTATTCACAATGAAGTACTCTTAACCAACAACATATTTATTTGTTTATTTGAATAAAGATTAATATCATTGTGTTGATACAACTTAAACAAATTATTTCGACCAAATTAGGTACTATAAAAAAGGTTTTTGTGAGTTAATCTTAAAAGATAGACATATACTGTCACGGACTGTTTTTTAGATCATTAAAAGAGCTATTATTCTTTAATACATATTTTTTGTGTATCTTGAACCGTTTTCACGGCGCACGCAACGGAAGGCTTCAAAGATGAAATAATTTCTCCCGTTTTTTACACATTTACCACTATATCTTTGCTCCTATTGGTTGTAGCGTGATGTTATATAGCCCACAGCCTTCCTCGATAATCGGACTATCCAACACAAAAAGAATTATTCAATTCGAACCAGTAGTTTCGGAGATTAGCGCTTTCAAACAAACAAACAAACAAACAAACTCTTCAGCTTTATAATATTAGTATAGATACAAAAATATCGCATATAATCTGCCTTTTAGAAAATAAGCATAGTCATATACAACGTGTAACGTAATTAACGCACACCCTCAAATACCCCAATGCGTATATAATAATATAAACGCAATGCATACACCAAATATTATTTATATGTGCGTTTGCATTTTTTATTTGTGAAATTAGTTATCCCAATTTCGTGCAAATAATATGGTCCGCTATTCAGCGACACTCTGTACTCGCCGCGCCCGCGCCCCTCTCTCCGAGTGCCGTCCGACAATAATAAGCAGTAGGTAACAATAAGTACACGAAATAACTACATACATTATGATTCTTCTTTCCATCACACTTTTCAAGCTTAAGATTGTTGACATTGAATTTTCTTTTTAATGTGAAGCCAACATTTTATAATTACTGATTTGTTAAATTAAATTTGTAAATAAGAATTATTAAACAGCTGATAACGCGTGATTTGATTAGACACCACAATACCTACGACAAAGTTAAACACAGTCGGCCTGTTTAAATGGTGTGTATCAAAATATTTACAATAATTTAAAGATCATAAACAAACTTACAGTTTAATTTGCACTCGCACGGCGTTGTCGTTTTAAAACATTTTCAAAATGTCCACCGCCTTGTTTAATGCACTTTAATGACCGTTTTCGCAATTGTGGTTTTATTTTAGACTAGCTTTCCGCCCGCAGCTTCGCCCGCGTGGAGTTCGGTTATATCGCGTTTCCAAGAGAACGTTTCAAAAGTCTGGGATAAAAACTATCCTATGTTCTTTCTCAAGGTCAACTCTATCTCAGTACCAAATTTCATTAAAATCAGTTCAGTGGTTTAGGCGTGAAAGAGTAACAGACAGACAGACAGACAGACAGACAGACAGACAGAGTTACTTTCGCATTTATAATATTAGTAGGGATAATACTGCAATGTCACTTTTCACTTTTACAAAGGCGGTTATTATCTTATTTTTTAGTTCGTCGGCACTTGTTATCTCTGTGTTATAAACTAGCGATTTAATTCGCCCCCACAAAAAAAAGTCGAGTCGCGTCAAATCAGCTGATCTAGGAGGTCAATGGACACGTGCGTAGGTATTTGATGTATTGAATGTTAGTGTACCGAAACGACACAGCGAAATGCGCGACAAAGATTTCATTTGCACTTTACACTTGACCTCTTTTCGATAAGGTGGACGCGGCGTGACTAACTTACCCAAAACACATTTTGTTGACTTCGATGTTTAGTTATTATTACTCTGATTCCCGGAATTATGCCTGCCGTCTCGCTCTATTGTAATGTTATTAAGCCGAAGAAAGAAGGAGAAAGTAATAATTTTTGTATTACGCGGCTTTCTTTTATGCACTGTAGTGACCTTGCTGTGTGCCGGTTGTCGCTATGGTGTTGTGTGCGTAGTTATTATTAAATACTATTTTAGCCTTGAAATAAGTATCAGTTTTCTTTAATTGAATGATGATTACTAATTAAATATTTCATTTTAAAAATCTTAATACCCTGACTTACGATCCATTTTCGTTTCCATTAATTTTCGTTTCTATGAAGTGTTTATATAACTGTGTGTAGGGTGCCTATAATTTACTTAGTTCTATCTAAATTTGAGAAAAAAAAAGACCTACATAAAAAACTATCAAAATCGATCCAGTATCCGATTCTGATCAAACTACTTTCAGAGTGTGCGTTAATTATGTTACACGTTGTATATATACTAGTTGCGCCCCGCGGATTTCCGGGATGTAAAGTAGCCTATATGTTATTCCTGGACGTCAGCTTCCTGTATACAAAATTTTATCAAAATCGGTTCAGTCGTTTGAGCGTGAAGAAGTAACAAACATACACACACACTCACAAACTTTCGCAATTATAATATTAGTAGGATATATATCATAGTCATAATAAATACGCTATACTCACCGGGATGAGCCAAACATCCCCCGTTGAGGAAGAAATGTGATCTAAATAGTTCACCGAGGCCCCCCTTTCCGGGTTGAAAAGGGAGGGGGGTGTATAAATGGACCCCAGAAGCCCAATACACCTAAAAAAGAAGTTTCAATAAGATAATACAGTTATATAGCAAACAAAATGTATATTTTAATATATTTTGTATGTATGATATATATATGACTTAATGTTACATAGACATTAAATATAGTATATTAGGTACATTATATTTTACCTGCATTACCTACTTATAATTATAATTTTGACTTGATAGATTATGAAGAAATTGTGAGTATATTTACAGTTATCATGGATAATATTTATTAAATGATGATTAATTTATTTATTACATCCTTTCTAAATGCTTGGTCGTTTATCATGAAACCTAATATAAACTACTAGTTACTTCAACATATCCTTTTAATATATTTAAATCGGAATAAATATGATATAAAAATTATTTAACTCATTTTCTTATTAATGAAATTATATATTAGTTTTTGACAATGTCCCTCGACTATTACTAGTTGTATTTCTTGGAGAAATTGTCTTATTTTCTTATTATTATATATATTATCTTATTATTAACTTACGGTGCCTCCTAAGGAGTGATTCTCAACGTGAGGGCCTACGCCCCGCTGACCGAAGCCCCGTATGGTTGAAGGCCCTCCGAGGTAGAAGTGCTCCGGGATGTCAGTCCCGTACACGTCGTGGAGCACCCCTAGGGCTCCACTCAATTGAAACACCTAATATCAGAAAAAACATCAAATTGTAGCAATTTACTTTGAATAGGTCGTAACCTAAGACATGTAAAATGAACAAATATCTGATTGTTTATTTAGGTTGGTAAGTCTTGCACATAAAAAAATATGATTTTGATGAAACTTAGCAATAGTATAGTTAATAATAAGAATAACATAGAGGCCATATCTTATTCATCAATTCCTAAGACTTCCTCTGGGCATAATAGTATATTTTATGAAATTACATGAAACTGACAACAGATTACGCTGATGGATAATTAATATCTTTAAATTCTCTCTGAATTACCCAAAGCTCAAGTAAACTCGAGGGCAAGAACTAGTATATATATACACACATACATATAATCAGGATATATCTCTATATATAATTAAACAGCTGTATAACTCTTTGCCTCTAAGTGTTGTCAATTCAAAATCTCTTCAATATATTTAAAAAACGATTAAGAACCAAGATTTCACTGATCTTGTTTAATATCACTACTGTTTATTATTTGTAATTTTAATTGTACTTATAGTTTTTAAAAATTTCCTTTGTAAGCGAACTCTGTTCTTTTTGGAAATAAACTTCTTTAAACCATATATACATGTATATATGTGTCTATGTATGTATGTATGTCACTAACCACTCCAGGATATATCTCCTTATTCCCCTGCGCCTGTAGCTCCGTCCTTATATTAGCGACTCCGCCCCCCAAGCCCGCCAGTTCGCTAGTAAACTGCGCCCAGGATCCGCTCGTGGGGAAAACACTATCATCACGATGGTCCACGCTCACTATATGACGTAGAACCGACTTTACTTGCGGACCTGGAATATATAGAATATGTATTAGTATATAACTCACTGTTATAAATTTGACTTTGTTATTTTATTGAATAGTTAATTTTAATCTGTAAAACACTTAATATGAATTTATGATTATAATTGCATGGTTAATTTAATTTATAATTTTAATTGAATATTTTCTTTTAATTTATAATTTAAACCTAATATTTGCATGCCTTATGGTAGAATGTACCTGGAACTTACATTAAAATCTATTTTTACACCTACATTCTGTACCTGCATTCAGAGCAAATAATAATAATAATTATTATTATTACTGTTATTAATATGTATAGTATGGAAACTTGAAGTAAGCTTTTCGTTAATTGAACGATTTTTCATATATGGTGAATATGTTACTACATATTAAGTTTTTTATGTTGTGATATTGAAGATAAGGAAGCATATCAAAAAATACTCCGAGAATATTATTTAAAACTGATACATGCATATGTATGTATATGTAGATAAAGAGAGACAATTTTTCCCATCATTCCATGTATTCACGGTGCGCGTATCGGGTCCATCGTTGTAGTGAGAGGAGCTACAACAGTGACTGTGACTTGTGACCCAGGTGTAGGTTTAATATATATAGAGAGACGAAACCTCTCATCATTCCATGTATTCACGGTGCGTGTGTCGGGTCCATCGTTGTACTGAGAGGAGCTTCAACAGTGACTGTGACTTGTGACCCAGGTGTAGGTTTAATATATATAGAGAGACGAAACCTCTCATCATTCCATGTATTCACGGTGCGTGTGTCGGGTCCATCGTTGTAGTGAGAGGAGCTTCAACAGTGACTGGGACTTGTGACCCAGGTGTAGGTTTAATATATATAGAGAGACGAAACCTCTCATCATTCCATGTATTCACGGTGCGTGTGTCGGGTCCATCGTTGTAGTGAGAGGAGCTTCAACAGTGACTGGGACTTGTGACCCAGGTGTAGGTTTAAGGGACCCTATCTAACGTTAAACGCTCACCTCCACTGTACAAGCTCCTCTCTCTAACAAATTTGAAAAGAACCTACTAGGGCTGCCTTCGAACCTCATAATATTATTTGTATCTTTATATATATAATTCTTCTGTGAGTGTGTATGTCACTGAACTTCTCTCAAACGACTGGACCGATTTTGATGAATTTTTTTTGTGTATGTTCAAGGGGATTTGGGAATGGTTTCGATTCACAATTTTGCCCGCTGGACAATGTTTTTTTATTAATTTTTAACTTATTAGTAGTTGGTGATACAAACGTTTTTTTTGGCCATTAGATTTGACAACTAACTAATATGTCAATCATTCTGTCGTACTTCAAAACACGGAGATTTATGGCTTTAATAGGTAAACTCCAAAAATATAAGTAATAAAACGTAACAGATATTTCTTGATTATAGGGCGATACGAAGTTCGCCGGGTCTTCTTATATATATATATATTCCTTACCGCTGCTCTCCCTGACTTTAAAGCTTGTAGTTTTCCCAAGAACAGAAGTATCCCTCACAACGCCCTCCCACTGCAGGTTGTGTTTCGTCTGGAATGAACACCATTTATAAAATCTACAGGGTGATACTGAGAACTCAATTGATAATGTGTTAATATCAAACTATTTGAACAATTCTAAACCTAGTTTTTTTTTAAAAAGAACATTCGTTTGATAATAATTTATAAATGACAGAGAATGTATGTTGTAACGTAATAAAGCCTTCTATGATATTTATTATAAGGTGAACATAAGAAACATATAATATATATGTTATATATTAGGGAACACACATTTAATAGGAACTGAATCTTTTAATTGAAGTGACGTTAAAGCAATGACATTTGGTTTGTTCACTTTTACGCGGGAAAGTATTCGTCGACGCGAATTGTAAGTGTATTTGTAAATTAAATATAAGTTGTTTAAGAGGTATTTGTTTAAGATAACGATTAGTTAAAACTCCTTAGGTCAAGTTTATACTGGTCAAGGTTTGATATGTTAATTATAAGTTGTTGGTAAGACAATTATATATTTTTGATGATTTTATCAGATACCAATGTATATATGTAAGAAATAAGAATAATAATATATATATACTCACAGCGGGAGATGTCCTAAAGGCTACATCCAGTAGTATCCCTCGATCGAGCAGTTTATATCCAGACCACGGGTACTCATGGTTCTGTTGGTATACAGACGCTGTTACACTGAAAAGATAAGATAAGATAAACAACTATTAATACAATTAAAGATATACAATATATTGCTTGCATTATATGGATAACAAAATATAACAGAGTACTTTTAATATGATAAGAAATATATCATACTATTATTATTACTCCACTGCTATTATTATTACTATTTTTATGAAGAAGTTAACATCTAACTAGATAAATATATATAGCACTTTATAGTTTACCAGAGATAATAACAGTATATTAATGTTAATATGATAAATGTGCAAGTCTGTATGTATAGGATTGCTGTTGTTTTACGAAGCTACTGAGCTGGTTTTGATAAAACTATTAAATAATATAGATGAAACGTAAGAATAATAAAAATTTTATATAAATTTTCTCTCATGTAGAATTGCATGAACAAAACTATTATATGTGGTATGAAGTCACGAGAATACACAATAGATGTCGCTGGCCGTAGAATAACCATATTATATTTATTTTTTATTTATTTGGTTTTCCAACAATGTGTACATTAAATATATACAATTTTCAATGAATAAATCTTAAAACTAAGTAACAATTATTTACAGGAGAACACAGCATGCACGAATTATTTAGCGGAACAACATTTTATTATTTTTGATATAAATATATTATACGAAATATATGGTATATAAAACATAATGAAACAAAATCAAAGTGAAATAAGCAAACAAAAAAAAAGTGTAAATAAAATGAATTGGTAATTACTATTTTAGTACTATATTTTTTACTAATTTTATGGATGTAGTAGTTAGATCAATACTATCCTGGTACTCAGAAAATACATTATACATTAATTATTGATAGAGGAGTGTACAATTTAAGATTAGTATAATATATGTAGAATGTATTAGCAACATTACATATACATACATGTACATTTAAATAACACAGAAAAATATGAACTTAATATTAATTGTGTGCGTGTGTGTGTGTGTGTGTGTGTGTGTGTGTGTGTGTGTGTGTGTGTGTGTGTGTGTGTGTGTGTGTGTGTGTGTGTGTGTGTGTGTGTGTGTGTGTGTGTGTGTGCGCGTGCGTGTGCGTGTGTGTATACTCACACCGGTGTGAGCGGCGCGTGCGGGTAGGGCTTCGTAGCGGACACGTTGAAGTTTGAGGAGCTCCTGTGACCGACGCTGTACTCGGCAGCGGCGCGCTCCCCGCGGCCGAACACGTTGGGGAGCTTTACACCTACACAAACACACATACAAACATATACATAACACACACACACACAAACACACACACACACACACAATAAAGAAACATTGTTTCTAAGTTTACAATAAAATGAATTTGTGAATAGGAGTTTTTAAAGTAAAAAAATTATATACGTAAATACAATATTAAAATTATATAGTTTCTGATACTTAGTCGTTAAAAAACCTTGTTAGGACCACACTTACCTGTTTAAGAATTTAGATGACAGAATATAGACATTTGGTTTCGATGTTATGACAGAAAACTATGTCATTACTTTAATAATTTAACAGACGAACATAAAAAAATTAATTTATATAATAAATACAATATGTCGGCGCAGTTACCATTTTAATAATCAATAATTGAGGGTAGATAAATTGTGAGGTGTCGCTCACGTGACAACCTGTGCAAGTGAAGTCATAACAATGGCTGTTAGTCATTATAAATAGAGGCGAGTTACTGATTACAGATAGTCGTGCTGGAGCCGTCGCGGGGATCGAACCTCTTGGAAGTGAGACACCGTCCCACCGGCTGTGAGGGCTGTGAGGGCTGTGAGGTTACCTTCGATTAAGGCGGCCAACTTTCCGAAAACGGAATGCGGGACTTAACCTTTCGTGAATGGCGGGGGGGGGGGGGGGGTTAGGGATTGGGAACGTCATAATAATCTTCGCAACTGCCCATGTTAAATTTAAGTACTCTCTTACGCGTCATGAGTTCATTAGAAAGAAAGAAAATGAGATTAGCGCGGGCGCGATATTATGCTTGTCCCTATTATAGGTAATCTGTGTTCCTGCACTGTTGACGGTGGTATGGGAGTTGTGTAGAAGTGTGGTAGAAAAATAGGGATGCGGGACACATACAACGTTTTGCGGGACTATTTTACAAATAATTTCAAAGCGGGATTTCGTCTAGAATTGCGGGACGGTCCCGCAGAATGCGGGACGGTTGGCCGCCTTACCTTCGATAGCCTCAAGGGCTGACGACATTCGAGAACAAACCGCACTGGTGACGTCAGTTATGCTGACGTCACTCATTTTAAAAACCACGTTTCACCTTTTTCTTCGACAAATAAAATTCATGAAACAGACATAATTCATATGAGAATGAGTACAAATTCATCAAATATTTCTACTTCGCATAATAATAAGATATTAAAGTTTTAAATACTTCACCTACAACGAGGTTCCCCTCGTTTTCGCTGACCGTAGTATTTACACCGCCCAGAACACGAGATAGCTCCTTAACTTGAAATGTCACCTGTAACATATTAAAATTAATTTAAATAGTTTTTTCTTATAATCTTAATGCCAACATTAAAAATTCAAACATGATATTAAATTTTCAATTTGAACTTTTCCTTACCACCAAGATTAATAATAAAGCATGTCAGAAAGGTACTGTAAAACTATAATTTTAAGTTATGTAGTTTTTAATAGGTTAAGGAGTGCATTATACTAACAATTTTGTAAATATGATCAGACTAGTCGATATAAAAGATTATTATTATTATCAACATTAAATAAAGTACATTTATTTTATCTATAATCTGATTCTCTTTTAAAATTACTATCAATATGAAAATATTCACACTTGTTTTAAACTGTAATAAACTTATTGCCAACAGTAATCTCTTTTAGTTACATAAGACCTCATTTCTGAGAACTTATTGCTAACAATAATATATACATATGTATATATATTTTTAACATAAGACCTCTTTTATCTAAACTATATACTTTCCAGTATTATCATACAATACCTCTAGTCCTTCAGGCGTTGCCCCTGGTCCACTCGACACATCTATATAAACTCCGATATCCTTGAAACAGCCCATAGAATCCAAAGCCCTACGAACCTATAACACAATACATTCATACAATATCATTATAGCTTCAATAAATATCTTACAATGTTTAATAATATAAAAGTCTATTGAAATAGTTATATATTATTTATATCAGTGTTTTTAAATCTTTTTGATATTGCAACTCCTTTAAGGGTTAAAAAATTTTGGCGAAGCCCTTAGGTCATTGATAGGAAAGGAAATTCTTAAATTAAAAGTCTAAAGACATTCTCTGCAATGGTCAACATTAAAACAAAAAGAAAAAATAAACTTCAATTATTACAAGTTTAAAATATTATCTATTAAATATTTTAAAAATAGCATCACAATTTGACATGGTTTTAAAAAATAAACAAGCCAATAAATCTCATTAAAATTTGGTTTTTATTTTTGTGTAGACAAAGAGACCCAAATATTGAAAAACACTGATTTATATAAATGAAAATCTTGGGTGGCTTTTCAGATTATACAGTAATGAGTATTTTGTTGATGTCTCAATTGAACTTAGTATATTAATGGTAAGCTTTAGTAGATTTGATAGCAATTTATATCAGTTTTGCATATCGTCATCATCCTATCAGAGCCCACTGCTCAGCAAGGCCTCTTTCTCACATGGAGAAGGTTAGAGCATTAATCACCACGCTTGCTCAAGACGGGTTGGTGATTTCAAACTTATAATTGTGTAATTATAAGTCCAGGATTCCTCACAATGTTTTCCTTCACTATATGTCAGTGGTGTCTAAATACTCTCAGAAAGTACATATGATTCCGAAAAATCACATTGGTACTTGCCAGGTTTGAACGTGCCCTCGGCAACCAGACGCGGGCCCTTTTAACCACTAGGCCACCACTGACTATTTTGAATATATGATATTTAAAATACTAACTTTATGAGCTCGTAGTATGACATCTTCAAAGTCCGTTGCATAGAATAGGTCGTCAACGGTGCTTCTGATAATGTCATCTTTAGTCCGACTTAGCCCATCTACATGAACTCGGTCAACTCTCGCCTAAAACATATATATGTATATTAACAAATTATTAAAATTTTGTCAATGATACTGTATAAAAATAATAATAATATTAATTTAAAAACTGAAAACTCACAGTAAAATAATAGTTTATAATACAAATAAGTGTATATAGGATACATAATCTAAGATTTTCGAGTCTTAGTTATTTACATGAAACTAATATTTTGCAGATGTACTATGTGACTTTATTTTTGATAAAAAACTACATACTTTAGATGTTTTGGCTACTTTACAGCAACCGTGATCAAGGTTAGTCGCGTAATATATACGAAAATATTAGTTTCATTTAAATAAATATATAGGATACAAACGATTTTGTATAATCATAATTTATATTTATAAGTATGAGTAAAAATCTTTTAATATCTTACCCTGACACCATTTAATTTGATTGTTGGTTTCGGTATTGGCTCCATCGTGTTCGCTTCATCCAAATCAAACATGCCCCCTTCCACCTGACCGATATCTGCCTGAGAAAATAGTTAAATAATAGTCACTTTACTAAAATTTTTTCGTTAAACTTAAATATATTTTCGAACTAAATAATATATTCTATATACTTAAATAATCATCGAGATGTTACGAATCTACCGTTCTTAAATGTACCTATGTACTTCTAAAATATTTTATCGCTGAAAATTATTTGGCAAATAGGAAATTCATAACCTTCTATTGTTTTGATCCCGAATTAAAGTGTGATCCTTTATTTAAACAATATACCTTAGCATGTACAGTGCCCATTTGATATACCGAAAATAATTATCAATGAATATGTATTATTGCAACGATTTATTAATAATAATTTAGAATTTTTTATATTTTTGAATTACATAAATACACAAACTTGACAACTGGGGTAAGGTTGTGATCAGTTGAGATGTAAAACATTTAAGATAGACATAATGACTATTTTTAAAATAGATTGGCAATTAAAAATTAAATATTAAGTATTCTTTTCAGAGAAAATTATATTTTTTTTATGATTAATATTATAACTAAAAAAATAAAAAGAAAATATTTTAAATTCTGTATTGTACTTTGTACTACCAAAATCTTAGAATATTTCGTGACACTGTCATTTTACCATCTGACAGGTTATTATTTGTTTATATTTTGCTAACCACGTTTTGTTAAAGTATTCACAAGAAAGTGTAAAGAAATATGGATGATAAGGCTATATTTAATTATTGTAGAAACCTCGGCTGCTGTGTAGCTTGCTGCCTTCGATATCTCGGTATTAAAAACTCAAATGCTTATGCGAATCCAACAAGTTTTGCTACAAAAGTTAGTATATTTATATAATATCAGTATAACTTATTAATTAATGAGAATTTTTCAAAAACACTAGTATTATGCTTCAGTTTCAAGCCGAGGAGACGTTAAATAAAGCCCCAGAAGACGCTGAAAAATGTACGAGTACAGTAATTGAGGACATTAGTGATGTACTAAATGAATCACAAAGCCAAGAAATAAAGACAGAAGATAAAATAAATATTGAAAATACACAAGAGAATAATATAAACTCAACTAATACTATAAATGAATCGAGTAATGGTGTTGAAGTATTCGGTAATGGGTCCTCTCCACCATCGAAGAAACTTAAGTTATCAACATGCATCAGTTGCTTAGGTGTTTTACAGGAATTCACTTGGCAAGAGAGTATTGATATGGTGAAAGAAGTTCTTGATAAGAAGGGGTAATTAATAATTATCATAAGCACTTGTTATAAGTGCAATACTAATTATAATATTGCCCGTGATAGTGCAAATCCTCGTAACTAGCATTGGATAGATCTATGTACATTGGAAGTAGATTATCAGAAGAATGTTTAAGCTGAAATATTTTATATATTAAAAACTTTTATGGTAATTTTATAACAATTATTCAGTGTTTAATTTATTACTGATTGTGAAAAAATTAAAAGTCGTTAATATAGAAAATATTTCAGCATAAACTTTCTACTGATAATCTGCTTCCAATGTAGATACATTTAATTATCCAATGCTAGTTATGAGGATTTGGACTATCCCCGACTTTATATTATAATCCTTAGACAGATTTCTATCACTGATTATAATTAATAATAATACTGAACCATAGTTATTTTGTAATAACATTTAAGTATCATTCTATTTGTAAACTATAAATACTGTCTTCAGCCATTTTGTAATACATTACTGGAAGTAACATACATTAAACATCAAGACTGAAACTGTAGATTGATCATACTCATACTTTTAGACACAAAATTGTATCAATATTATAATGTATTGGAATGATAACTATATGATCCCTACTAATATTATAAATGCGAAAGTAACTCTGTCTGTCTGTTACGCTTTCACAACTAAATCACTGAACTGATTTTAATGAAATTTGTATATTTAATAGTTTTTATCCTAGACTTTTGAAAGGTTCTCTTGGAAACACAATATAACCAAACTCCATGCGGTCGAAGCTGCGGGCGGAAAGCTAGTACATTATAAGGCATAATTTATTATTTTTAATGTAACATCAACAAAAAAAATCTAAGCTTTATAAAATTAAACATTATTGTCTATAGTCAACAAAATTCCTTGTCTAATATATAAAATATATTTATGTATTGTTAACAGTTATGCTTGCAACACATTTGCCTGCGCCCTCTCCGCACCAATAGCTACAATGCTACGTGAAAGAGTTATTACTTTGCAACTGACTAATGAGTTCCCGGAATATGATCAAAGTTAGTATTGGTATAATAATATAATTTAAGTATAAGTTGAATATAATCTCTGAGATGAAACCTCTCATCATTCCATGTATTCATTGTGCGTGTGTCGGGTCCATCGTTGTAGTGAGAGGAGCTTCAACAGTGACTGGGACTTGTGACCCAGGTGTAGGTTTAAGGGACCCCTATATCTTCTTCTCCCTGGCAATTTCCCAGCTTTAACCAGGGTCTGCCATACATGTTGTGAATAGTTTTGGCTAATTGTTTTTACGATCGCCCGCCTGCCTGACATCAACAATCTTTGGGAATGCATTAATCAGTGATGTCTAAATACTCTTAGAAAGTACATATGACTCGGAAAAATCACATTGGTACTAGCCAGGATCGAACCCGCGCCCTCGTCAACGAGAGGCGGGCCCTTTAACTACTAGGCCACTACTGACTTCAAGGCCCCTATCTAACGCTTGTTAAATGATCTTCTCAACCGTCCAAGCTCCTCTCTTTACTTAACCATAACTTACTTACAAGCTTGACATATAAAACTACATAAAGATATTTTTAATATATATATTCTCATATGAGTATGATATAAGTTTTTGATACAACCGCAATTCTATCAGTACATAATTTTGATGTTTAAATTACTCCTAAGTGTATAGTGTACTGTCAAGCAACCTTGATTTTATCAGGTTTTGATACTAAACATTTCTTCTATATATTCCAGATTCCCTTACTCCGTTAAAGGAGGCTTGGAAGTGGTCGTTTGGTACACATTTATCGAGACACATCCATAAAACTCTTGACTCGGGAGCCATTTCTCCGTTGTTAGTCACACTTAATATTGACTATGATGATGATATACAGGTATTTTGATATTGTTTTTTATGTCTATGTGTGAGTATGTGTATGTGTGTGTGTGTGTGTTAATTTATATTTATGCAAGTATATCAGAAAAGCAGAAAATATATTGTGGTTAAAGTAATATGAGCAAGATTAATGTATATTCCAAATTTTGATATAATAAATAAAAATATTTGCAATTTCTCTTGCACAATGAGATATTATTTTCATCATAAGTTTTATTATGAATTAATAGTGAATAAATTCAGATTATACATTGATAAGTAATTAAGAAGTTTTGCAATGGAATTTTTACTTTTGGATCTATGGATATATAATATATATTTTTACCCTTATATAAATAGGATAGTAATTTATTATTATTTTTTAGGAACTAGAGATTCTTAAGAAGGTGTCACCTCAACTGTTTGAAGAAAGAAGTAGACAAAGAAGGAGATTTGCTACAGAATTCACTCGTAGATCAGTCGAACAGGTATTTATACAATTTATTGAAATTCAACCTTATTTCTAGTGACTTTAGATTAATTTCATTGAACCAATGACATTTTTATTTTTAAATTTGTTATATAATCAGATGAAATGAATTTAAAATATATTTATTATACTGGAAGCTTTATACATTTTGCATCATTTCGTTTTCTATATATAATTTTTATATAAATAAAATTATTTTTAAACCTAATAAATTGTAAGAAGTAAGGTTAATTCTTATAATAATAGTTTTGAAAAATGTTATTAATCATCTGCCCACTACTTCTGCATATTATATAGTAGCTTTTGCCGCGACTCTGTCCGCGTGGAATAGTGACTTCCGGCATATTTTTGGTTCTTGGTCGAGTTCCCGTAGAATTTTCAGGATAAAACCTATGTTTTTTTTATTCACAATGAAGTACTCTTAACCAACAACATATTTATTTGTTTATTTGAATAAAGCTTAATATTATTATGTTGATACAACTTAAACAAATTATTTCGACCAAATTAGGTACCATAAAAAAGGTTTTCGTGAGTTAATCTTAAAAGATAGACATATACTGTCGCGGAGTGTTTTTTAGATCATTAAAAGAGCTATTATTCTTTAATACATATTTTTTGTGTATCTTGAACCGTTTTCACGGCGCACGCAACGGAAGGCTTCAAAGATGAAATAATTTCTCCCGTTTTTTACACATTTACCACTATATCTTTGCTCCTATTGGTCGTAGCGTGATGTTATATAGCCCACAGCCTTCCTCGATGACTGGACTATCCAGCACAAAAAGAATTATTCAATTCGAACCAGTAGTTTTGGAGATTAGCGCTCTCAAACAAACAAACAAACTCTTCAGCTTTATAATATTAGTATAGATATGTATTTAATACCACTATTTTATTTTGTTCATTTAATGAATGAATGAATAATAACAAATGAATGAATGAATAATAACAAACAAATGAATAATAACAACTGGTTTATATACTTGGTATAATTTAGTGTGCACTATACATCAATAGATGGCGCTACGCTCTCTTTCAAATACTTTGTGTAAATAAGGATTATCAATTTATATGGATATTAATTATAAATATAAAGTTAATTAAATTTATTATGAATCTGTTTTTATGTTTGTTACCTAGAAATGTAATTATTGTTATATAAAGAGGTGAGCTCGTTTCGAATATTCATATTTCTTATGTTTTAATAATAGTTTTCTATCATTCCACATCACCAGGCACTAGAGACCGCCACGCTATCTTCTTTCCGCGCGGCGGGCGATGCTCTATGCCATGTTAGTTCTCACGCACACTGCGTTAGTGTTATATGTACCCACGCGCCCATTTACTTATGTGGGAGGTAAGTCTTATTTTAGTATTACACTAAAGTTACACTAAGTGTTGATGTGATTTTTTTGTGCATTATTATGGTACTAGCTGCGCCCCGCGGTGTTACGCGGATTTCCGGGATGTAAAGTAGCCTATGTGTTATTTCTGGACGTCAGCTTCCTGTATACAAAATTTTATTAAAATCGCTTCAGCCGTGAAGAAGTAACAAACATACACACACTCACAAACTTTCGCAATTATAATATTAGTAGGATTTAAAGGTATTTCTATGGTTTTTCCAGGTATATAAAGCTGAGTAGAAATCTTCCCCAATCACCATGGGTATTAGATGGCAAGAGGGTGCTACCTTCGTCAGTACAAGAAATTATCTTTGGACCCATAGCAAAATTTTACAAGTGAGCTATTAAATATATAATTAATATGTAATTAATTATGCATACACGAGGGCGCGGGTTCGATCCGGGCAAGTACCAATGTGATTTTTACGATTCATATGTACTTTATAAGAGTATTTAGACAACATTGACTGATGAAGAAAAACATCATGAGGAAACATGGCCTTATAATTTCCAATTATAAGTGAAATCGCCGACCCATTTTGAGCGAGCGTGGTGATTAATGCTCTAACCTTCTCTATGTAAGAAGAGGCAGCTCAGCAGTGGGCTCTGATAAGCCGATGATAATGATGAAGTAATTTTATCTGACATAGATTTTTATTATATATGTAAATATTTTAAGGTTCGGAAGAATAAATAATTAAAAAAATACTAAATACAAACGAACATTTTAATAATTCTTACAAATTTCTAGAGTAATAAGTTTTTAGTGTGATACTAATATAATGATGATTGATACCTCTCAGAATCTTACAATGTGATTATGAAATGACTCACGCTACCGAATTTACATAGATCCGACTGTTCCGACGGTCCACGAGCTATAGAAGGACTCGATACAAGACTATAGATTATATAGAACTAATTAATTAGAGGGTACTTTAATCTATCAAAAGGGAGGGTTTTATAACATATACAGGGTGACTGGTGAATTACTATCAATATTTAAGGAGGATACTCGGTACATGATTCTCATTCGAATTATGTAAAAAAAATAGGTACTTAATTTTTGACAAAATTTCCGTATAAATAAATAAAGTGTTGACAATTTCCAAGTGTTCCAAGTGTGGACGCGTGCGGAGGCGTGCTGATACAACACAACGCCGCCGCACTCGTATGTGTGTGTGTGTACGTATACCTAATCTGTAGGGTGTTCACACGATGCGTAATTAATTACATAACTTTTGGTTAACTTTACTTAGAAGTTTATTAATATTTATGTTATATTAATTTTTATTTTGTCATATATGATCGTCAAATATCACGTCCTCAAATATCGATAGTAATTCACCAGTCACCCTGTATATATATATATATATATTTCAGTTTTAGTGATGTCGACTGTGAAGGTAGATTGAAATTTATAGCAGCCGGCAGAGAAGACGTTGATGTAAGGTGTCTGGGTGACGGGAGACCGTTTGCTATTGAGGTAATTTTGGTTACAAAGATACATATACAAATATATATATATACTAGCTTTCCGCCCGCAGCTTCGCCCGCGTGGAGTTCATTTATATCGCGTTTCCAAGAGAATCTTTCAAAAGTCTGAGATAAAAACTATCCTATGTTCTTTCTCAAAATCAACTCTATCTCTGTAACAAATTTCATTAAAATCAATTCAGTGGTTCAAGCGTGAAAGCGTAACAGACAGACAGAGTTATTTTCGCATTTATAATATTAGTAGGGATACATATATGATTATAATTAAGTATATTGTATTAAAATTCAGATAACAGATCCCAAGCGTGAACTGACATCCGAAGAATTGAATGAAGCTTGTGATATAATATGTACAAGTGGGGAGGTGGTTGTTAAGAAACTTGTGCCTATTAATAGGTTAGTGATTTAATATTATCTGTTCATCCAAATATTGTTATGTCTATGGCTATATTAATAGTGAGTTTTTGTTATTAATATTCTAGGGAGGACCTCGCGTTGCTGAAAAAAGGTGAAGAGACAAAAAGCAAAACTTACGAGGCGCTGTGTATCAAACTGACTCACTCCAAACATGATGATGTAGGTTAATGACTCACACACACACACACACACACACACACACACACACACACACACACACACACAAACACACGCACGCACACACACACACAAAATTTTATCAAAATCGGTTCAGCCGTTTGAGCGTGAAGAATTAACAAACATACACACTCACAAACTTTCGCAATTATAATATTAGTAGGATATAAATGTTCACAAAATGAATGCCCCCTCCCCCTCACTAATTTTGATCTAAATGTTGTTTTCCAGTTGAATAACTTTCAATGGAATAATTTAACTTAATGATATAAGTTATCATTGAAAATACAATGGATTCTATTTAAAATATACCTTATATTTGTCCTTCAGAGTATATAAATGGCATATAGATTAGAAATTCGCTGATTGCAAGGTAATAAAAATATACAGGGTGACTGGTGAATTACTATCAATATTTAAGGAGAATACTCGGTACATGATTCTCATTCGAATTATGTAAAAAAAATAGGTACTTAATTTTTGACCAAATTTCCGTATAAATAATTAAAGTGTTGACACGTTCCAAGTGTTCCAAGTGTGGACGCGTGCGGCGGCGTGCTGATACAACACCACGTCGTGGCACGTGTATGTGTCTATGTGTGTGTATACCTAATCTGTAGGGTGTTCACACGATGCGTAATTAATTACATAACTTTTGGTTAACTTTACTTAGAAGTTTATTAATATTTATGTTATATTAATTTTTATTCTGTCATATATGATCGTCAAATATCACGTCCTCAAGTATCGATAGTAATTCAACAGTCACCCTGTATAGTATAGTGGGTACTGCCTCTATAGTAATAAATTTGATAGTCCTTGCCCTACAAAATTTTCTGATTCATCATAATCCACTCTATTATTGTTGGAACTACATAGTATAAACCAAACAATGTAAATTGTCTTAGTTGTCTAAATAGCTCACTAGGGGAGCCACTGTCTATGCAAATGTCTCCTTTTTAGTCGCATTATACTCTCTTTTGTGTCAACTGTTTGAAATGTGTTATCATGTTAATTAATCTCACTTTATCAATATAATCCATTCTTATTTTCGCCAAATTCCATCAATTATCATTAAAATAGACCTTCCTTTATTTGGTAACGAATCAGCTTATAACAATACAAAATATAACCCGATAATTCTCTCACAGTGCCCTGCAGACAGCCCGATAACAATGAGCCCCACAGACTTGCGGCTGATCAACGGATATAAGGAAACTAATGATGTGACAATGATGATCTCACAGAAGACTCCGCTTAGAGTTTTACATCGAAGACCTCTTCTTGTCAGGAAAAGAGAGATTCTAGAAATGTCAGCTGTGGCTGTACCTGGTGGGTAGATGGAAAAAATCATCAAAATATATGTTTTAGTCTGTGGTAATGGGCATGTATTATGGAATAAAATAATGAATAAATAATAAATTTATAAGAAAGATATATGAAAGCATCGATCGACATATGATTAGACAATCTAAATAAGTAGTTTCGTATCGTTAATTCAGTTCAAAGTACACTCAAGGAAAGCATGATCATTTGATTGTTGATTCTCTTTATTTAACGTTAGTAACCACCTTTTCAGTTCATATTTTGTGTATAATTATTATATCTTAAAAATTAACTCTTTATATTTTAGACGAATCATATTTTTATTTAGTACTTAAGGAATCGATCATAATTATATATGTATTGCAGAACATCCCCAGTTGTTTCGTTTGTCCGTCCGTACGTCAGCGGGGACGTACGTCAAGGAGTGGGTCCACGGGGAGTTGGGGCGAAGCACCCCGTCTTTGGGGGACGTCATCGGAGCCCGAGTGGACCTGCTAGCTCTGGATGTCACAGCTGTACATCTACAATGGCCGCCAGACAAACAATAAATGATTATTATAAATTTGTGCTCTTATTTTTAATCCTACTAATATTATAATTGCGAAAGTTTGTGAGTGTGTGTGTATGTTTGTTACTTCTTGACGCTCAAACGGCTGAAATGATTTTGATAAAATTTTGTATACAAGAAGCCGACGTCCAGGAATAACACATAGGCTACTTTACATCTCGGAAATCCCCGGGTAACACCGCGGGGCGCTGCTAGTAAGGAATAAATAACACCAAATTATATAAGAAAATCAGTTGTAAAGAGTCGCTACCTACATTAAGAAACTCCCTGCATATTCCCTACTTGGTTATATTAAGTGAGATTTGGTATAACCTAACTCTTTATATGTAATTTAAATCTTTGATAAAAAGAAAACTACATTAATCTACAAAATAACAATAACGAACGTAAAAGTTTATTGAAATGAATCTAGTTCCATAGTCCAATTATTGTTTTTTTTTTAATCTATCAGAGCCCACTGCTGAGCAAAGGCCTCTTTCTCTCATGGAGAAGGTTTGAGCATTAATCACCACGCTTGCTCAAGACGGGTTGGTGATTTCAAACTTATAATAGTCAAATCATATAGTCCAGGTTTCCTCACGATGTTTCCTTCACCGTCTGTTAGTGATGTCTAAACACTCTTATAAAGTACATATGACTCGAAAAAATCACATTGGTACATAGGAACTTGCCAAGATCGAACTCGCCCCCTGTGCAACGAAGGGTGGGCCCTTTAACCACTAGGCCACCACTGACTTTATTGTTTAAATTTGTATAGTATTGTATGTTTTACAACAATTTACGTTTAACTTTCGATTTCCATTTCAATAAGATTTGAAAAGATTTTTCTTATATCCATTTTGATGTCACGTAGTTAATGTCTCCTAGAAGTGAATAAGAATAATATTCACTACCAGAATAGTTACTCCCATGAGACAAAGATTCCACAGGGTCTTGTATGTGGTCTGATGAAGCGTTATTTTTATTTTATTTATTTGGTAATCCAACAGTTTTTATACATAAGTTTCTATATTAACTATTATCTTCTATATATATAAAAATGGATTGCTGTTCCTTAGTCTCGCTAAAACTCGAGAACGGTTGAACCGATTTGGCTAATTTTAGTCTTGAAATACTCCTGGAAGTTCAGGGAAGGTATAAAAGGTGAGAAAAATTGGAATAATGGCCGGAAAAACCCTAAAAACAGCTCTTTTCTATTTCCGATATAAACGTTTTTTTTTTTGACATTAGATTTGACAACTAACCAATATGTCAATCATTCTGTTTGATTGAAACAGGAGAAACCTGATTATTTATGGCCTCTAAGACGGAATAGAGTGCGCCTGGCCAGCTATACCTACATACATACATATATTACTCTTGACCAAACTAACGCGGACGAAGTCGCGGGCAAAAACTAGTATAACATAAAATTAAAACCAAAATAGGATTACACAGGTAACTTAAACATATTAATAACTATGTAGAAGACGGTAGCATAAAAGTAAAACTTATAGTATGAAAGTAATATAAAGGTAAAACTGTTTACGAGTGGGAATCCAATAGGTGCGTGTTTGCATGTGTGTGTGTGTGGGTGTGTGTGTATGTGTTTTATTATGAATTTTTATCTCTTTTAATTATAGCTTTTTTTAAAAGCTAGTTATGACATGCTGAACAGATCAATTTCTGAGTAGTGTGAATTATATGTGTTGACCATGCGATTAAGGACAGTTATGAAGCATGTACCTGATAAGTTTCTTTGAGATTTGAACACTTTGTTTGGGATTTGAACAGTTTGTTCGAGATTTGAAGAGTTTGTCTGAGATTGAACAGTGTGCTTGAGATTTGAAGTTCCCTTGTAATGAGTAAGACTCGCGAGTATTCATTTAAATGAAACTAATATTTTTCGGATGTACTACGCGTATATTTTTATTTAACTAAGTACATACTCTCGACGTTTCGGTTACTCTGTAGGCTTGTAGCAACCGTGATTACGGGCAGACGAGATGTAAACACATTTCGTCAACATTTTTAACGTAATAAAATACGCGTAGTAATACGAAAAATATTAGTTTTGTTTACGTTTAATTGTGATTCTAGTTGACCGTGATCGTGAGCACTATAAGTTATCATTTTCATTGAGTCAAATGCTTGGATCTTAGCAATGAAGGGCAGAGGTTTTTGGAGACTGGTTTGCTAAAAACTTCCACTCAGAATTGGTCACAATTATTGGCTTACCAACCATTCAAAGTTGGCCCACCAACTGTTTATAATCTCAGGCGCCCTCGTAATACTTTGTACCGGATGAGATGTCAATTGCTATCCCTCGTTTGTTTTCAGAGTTATTATCAGTGTTAGGTACTAAAATACCGATATTTTACAAATTAATTCGATGCAATATTAAATAGATAAATGTCAGAGACCTAATATATCCTTGTATACAAATACTACATAATTGTTGGTTTTGTATTCATAATTCAAGTACTGGTTTTTAAATAGATCTGTACTATAGAATAAAAGTAACCGATTTCACATAAATAATTATTACATTAGGTACTTTTCTTTGCACTTTATTCTAATATTAATCAAGAAGAAAGTTCCCGTTTGAATTTCAATTCATATAATATAAATACGAAAATATTTTTTTTGTGTATGTTTTTGTTTAAATAATTAAAGAATGCGATTGGTCCATTTTGAAGTATAAATTTTGAAAAAAGATTTTAATGGTGGCATTAACTAGTAATCGATATTAGGGTACATAAAATTGCAATTTTATTTGTCAAATGAGATTTTCTTAAATTTTTTTTAACTATTTGACAACCTAGTCATAGTACGAAAAACAGTATAGTATTACGCGACTATTATTAGCTATTCGTTTATAGATCGTTTTGTTAACGTCTTGCCGAACAGTTCAACTTTTTAACCTCGTTAATACCAATCCCGTTGTAAGAAGAGTTTCAATAGTGACTGGGACTTGTGACCCAGGTGTAGGTTTAAGGGACCCCTATCTAACGTTAAACGCTCACCTCCATCGTACAAGCTCCTCTCTTTACCTAATTTGAAACGAACCTACTAAGGCTGCCTTTGAAGTATGTTCCAAGAATGAATTGATATTAGTTCTGGACAGGCCCAAGTCTTTTAGTAATTTGTAGAGAGATTTAATCGTTATACCTCCCGCTCCCACATTTACAGCGCACAAATTTAAAACGAACCCATTCCTAGTGATTTCGTTATAAGCTCGTAAACTATAAATGAAACTAATTAAATGAAATATGTCTTTATTCATTTAATTTTTTATTTATTTGGTTGCAGCGCCAGTGGCGCCGCCAGTCGTGTTTCCGCCAGTCCCGCCAGTGACTTCCGCGGCAGTAGCAGCTTCGGAAGTAGCTATATATATAAATAAAATAAATTAATAAGAGTAATAGTAGGAATTTATTCAATTAATTTATTTATATGAAATACATCGAAGAAGATCTACAATATATATCAGTAGGTATATACGTAATATGCTAATGCCCGCGAAATAAATTAAAAACAAATAAATTTAAAGCAGTCTATTACCAACATGATACTAAAAAATATAATTTTAAAAGTATTATTAAATGTTTTGTAGGTTCTTTCTGTATTTTTTTTTAATTTAAATACTATTTTTTTATCTATTATTGTAAGAATAATTAATCATCATATGTTCAGAAATCCAAATGACAGGAAAGACAATAAATTGTGTCAATAGTTTTTCTGGAACATGATACCGAATAAAGAATTTATTAGTCAACATCATAAATATAATGTATCTTAATTAGAGTATAAAAATGTCTAGATTATTATTTAATTTATAGAAATAAATCAAAATTTAACTTACCTTCCGTGTCGTTGCTTATTGTAAAATTGACTGGCAACCAAGAGCTGAAAACATAATATTTCTCCCAATGTATAAATCAAAGAAATATTTTATAATAATACGTTTTGAATCGTTAATCATTTAAAAAACAAAATGAGGATATGTTTAAAATTTCAGAAGCACAATAACACCATATTGCCTCCTACTTTCTTTAATATCGAAATTATACTCCCAACTCACGAATTTCACTTTTATAAGTCAGTCATAAATCGAATTTATTTCTCTAAAAATAAAAAAAAACACATAAAAGAATCAAAACAGTCTATAAAAATCAAAACGACGTACAAAGTTTTCAAAGTTGTCGTCATATAACGAGCAGCTAGCGCCCTCTTTTCTAAAATCTCTCTGAAAAAAATACTATCCTTTTTAATCTGTACACATGTTCACTTTTTACTAATATAAAAATAATAAAATTAGTTATTAAGGATATATATAATTAGTTATATTATATAGGTTATTAAATATTATTTTTTTAATTAAATACTTAAGTAGTTCCACACTGATCCTAGCGCTTGGCAGTCTGGCCTCGACCGGATTGCTAACTACGATGACGTCATCATCGTACAATGGCTTCGCGTTCCCGCCAGGCACGTCGGCGTAATATTCACCAGAATCCATTGAATAATAAAAGTCGTTCGGTTGATACTATAAATGTTTAAACATGATAATATTTAAATCTAAACAATTCTCATCACATGTGTTTGGTTACAATATTAAAAAAACATTTCTTAATAACACTGGCTGTATGCGATAATTGGAAGGCATTTTTTTAAACGTAAATATCATTATTAAAGTATAGTTGAGATTTTTAGCACTGTACCAGATAAGTCTAGATTTAAGGACTAAACATAAAATGTCTAATTCGCTAGTATCAATAAAATGAATATGATTATCCTACGACAAAAAATCCCGACATATTTCATTAATAAGATTAATATAAAGTATATATTTCTTTTCTCTATTATACCTGAATTACAAAAAATCAAAATAAATATTTTAATTAATATATGAATAGAACATATCATTCAATAAAAAAAATCATAGTCTGGATAGCTTATTTTTATGCCAAGAATCTATTACTTTAAAAACGCCTGATAAAAATTATTGTAAATATTAACCTTTGCTAAGCTCGGGAATGCTTTTAAGCTTTCAGATATCGACATAAATCTTCGACTGGATCTCAAAGTGCGAGATATTACTCGTCTAACTTCGATTGATTCTTCGCTGTCTCGTAACAGACTTAAGAGACGTATCACTGAATTATAGTCCCATTCACTTGAGTCTATGTACCCGGGAGGAGGGCGTTCGATCCTGGCTGCGAAAGATTTTAAAATTATATACAGGGTGACTGGTAAATTACTATCAATATTTAAGGAGCATACTCGGTACATGATTCTCATTCGAATTATGTAAAAAAAATAGGTACTTAATTTTTGACCAAATTTCCGTATAAATAAATAAAGTGTGTACACGTTCCAAGTGTTCCAAGTGTGGACGCGTGCGGCGGCGTGCTGATACAACACTACGCCGCCGCCGCGTCTGTGTGTGTGTGTGTGTATACCTAATCTGTAGGGTGTTCATACGATGCGTAATTAATTACATAACTTTTGGTTAACTTTACTTAGAAGATTATTAATATTTATGTTATATTAATTTTTATTTCGTCATATATGATCGTCAAATATCACGTCCTCAAATATCGATAGTATTTCACCAGTCACCCTGTATAGTGAAATAGGAATGTTTGCTTAACTTAAGAACAAATCAATTTATTTCATCTCGTACGTTAAAATACGACGTCAGAAACATTTTTTTTTAAAGTTTTATATTGATAACAATTTTTGATCCTATTTTTTTTTCTCTTTAATTCATTTTTTTTAAAGATGTCAGCACTATCTAATTTTAATCGGTCTGTAGTCTCAAAAGCACTCGTATCCAGAGCAGTAAAAACATTTACAAAAATAAATTAACGGCCTGTTTTAAATGAATTTAATATGCAAGTTTGTATAATAAATTAACATACCTTTAATTTTGACGGGCGGCGTCTTTATAAGATCGTCATAGAATCTGTTCTTGTAATATTCAACAACACGATCCAGCCAACCTCCGCGACGTATATTAATGTTACTTAGAACAGACGTAACGCATACAACAAAAAACATCTAAAATAATTTAATAAAATAAATAAAAAAATACTAAGTCTATTGCGGTTGAAAGAAAATATCAGTGTGCTTATGTCAGTTATTAAATTAAAAAAAAAACTCTTACAATGTATTTTGACATATTTCTCGCAAAGATAGTAAACACATAATAAACAGTATATTAATTAATTACACGAGCCATTAAAATGTTTTAATAACGTGTAAGAAATATAATTGTTTTGTTATTAACAAGTTGGTGATTAAAAATGTCCATTATTATAAAGTTGTGTCTTAACTTATATTAAAAAAAAATCATTTTGACTATCAGTTTTTCTTTTATTTTAATACGGTTATAGACTGAAATATTCATAATTACAATATATACTGTATTGTAATTACGAGGAAAACTGTTAATAGGAAAGTAAAATTAAAATAATGAGTTATGCGTTAATTATTATTTGAATATACCATGTAAAAAGAAACGTTCCTGATGCAAAAAAATAATAATAAAAGTATGAAATACTATTCGTTTCTAACTGTTATTTTAAGTAAATAAAAACTGTAATAAAAAATTAAAAATTTTCTTACTGAAATAAACATTATTACTAAATAAAAGTTTAATTATAAATCGTATCAACCTTTAATATTTTATCAGTAATATCATGAGTTAATAATTGTATTTTAAAATTAAAGATTGTATAATGGAAATTAGGTTGTAATCTAAATAATATTTAATTTATTTGGGCATAACATAAGAAACTCTTTGCCTCGTTCGGAAATATAAAAAAATAATAATTTGACATTGACCATTGAGAGAAATTTGAAACGGGTACGTGTCAAAAGTTTACTGTTGAATGAAGAGTGTAACACAGCATACATTTTAGATATTTTAAGTATATTTAATTAATTGAACATTTTTTCTAGATATACTACGATTTTATTTAAATTTTATATACTACATGGACTATTTATTCGTAGTCGCACATTGATAGAATATATTTTTTACGGTGATATTTTGCTTTGAATAAAACAAAGAAATAACAAAAAATGCTATGTTATTCAGTGTGAGATATAATAGTGCGTGTGTGCTTCCGGTGTTTTTCTGTGAAACAAATAGTTTTTATGAGAAGGAAGTGTTTTAAATTGTTCAAAATGAACGGTGTCAGTCGGGACGCACCTGTTGGTATACAATGCATACAAAAATTCAGTACATGGATGTGTCCGCGATTACAGATAAACAGATTGCGATGGTTCGTATAATTTCATTATTATTAATTTTCCTTTTATCGTAAAACTATTTAAAAATTTATACAGTACTCATAAAAATAACAGTATCGAATTCCAGAACAGTTTGGAATCTTTTAAACTGTCTTTAAAAACCGTAGTATAATTATGTTAATAAAATGACATACTAATACTATACTGTAGAGAATGAATCATTCAAACTTTTATAACACGAGTATAAAAGGAACAAACATATAAATTTTATAGCACTAATGTTGCTTTATCACTAAAAGAGATTTCTGGAAAAGAATAGTCAGATTAAAATATTTTGTGAGCTGAAACCTCTCATCATTCAATGTATTCACGGTGCGTGTGTCGGGTCCATCGTTGTAGTGAGAGGAGCTTCAACAGTGACTGGGACTTGCGACCCAGGTGTAGGTTTAATATATATAGAGAGACGAAACCTCTCATCATTCCATGTATTCACGGTGCGTGTGTCGGGTCCGTCGTTGTAGTGAGAGGAGCTTCAACAGTGACTGGGACTTGTGACCCAGGTGTAGGTTTAATATATATAGAGAGACGAAACCTCTCATCATTCCATGTATTCACGGTGCGTGTGTCGGGTCCGTCGTTGTAGTGAGAGGAGCTTCAACAGTGACTGGGACTTGTGACCCAGGTGTAGGTTTAATATATATAGAGAGACGAAACCTCTCATCATTCCATGTATTCACGGTGCGTGTGTCGGGTCCGTCGTTGTAGGTAGAGGAGCTTCAACAGTGACTGTGACTTGTGACCCAGGTGTAGGTTTAATATATATAGAGAGACGAAACCTCTCATCATTCCATGTATTCACGGTGCGTGTGTCGGGTCCGTCGTTGTAGGTAGAGGAGCTTCAACAGTGACTGTGACTTGTGACCCAGGTGTAGGTTTAAGGAACTCTATCTAACGTTAAACGATCACCTCCACCGTACAAGCTCCTCTGTCTACCTAATTATATTTGAATATACATACTTAGTATTCTATTTTAGGATTTATTTTTATATTGAAAATTATTAATTCTTTGATACATTTCTTCTTTATAGAATTTAAAGTCAATGAATTTTGGTTAAGCACTTCTATTGTAAATGTTATGTATCTAAATATATAACTTATTATCAATTTTCATGCCAATCAAGTAAAGGCCTTGTATTAACAATAAAATTATCTATTACAATTTCTTATCATTGTTTTACATAAAAATTAAAATAAGTACCAACATTATAGAAAGAAATGCTTGGAATGTTGGCAGCCCTTGTAACAAAAAGTTTGTTAAAAAATCATTTAATTAAAAATCCATATTTTATCTGTTGTAAGCATATCAGCGGTTTTAAGTAATGTTTTTAATATCTTAAATCATTACGAGATAATCAAGATTTCCATTTAAAAAAGCATTTACAAGGAGATTTTGTATGTATGATAAGAATTGGTTATATTAAATTTAAGTAACAATATATGTATCAATTAAATAGGCTGAATAAAATATATATCTTGGTCTGGCCGTAAATACTGTTTCAATTAAAAATAAAATGAATATAATTTGAATTTGAAATCTTTTCTTTTTATTTGATTGGTCATTGTGATTTCTTATTTTGGCCAATATATTGTAAGTTATAATATCGAAATAAAGAGAATGGAATTGCTATACTTTCAATATATTAAGAGCCGTTGAGACAAAATTTTTCTATATAGACTTCATATTAATATATATTCATGTATATATTAACATATATTTATATTGTATGTACAATGGCTTAATATATACTATAGGTTACCAAAATTTCATATAATTTGACAATTGATATGTAAATTTTAATTTTATATGTGATTTGTACATAGAATGAATTGCATTAATTTATAATTTTAATAGCTTATTTTCTCTTATAATCATTATAAGTGATGTCCTCAAGATCAAATGTGCAGCTTTTTTGTAACAATTATGAAGTGATATATATTTATTTTAATCTACTGTATATATAAAAGAAAGTTGTGTTAGTTACACTATTTATAACTTAAGAATGGGTAAGTATGGAACAAAAATTGGTGTAGAGATAGCTTAGAAACAGGATATAGGATATTTAAATTTGTTAGATAAAAAAAACCACTTTATAAACTCCAATATCTAGTTATAAATGGCCTCTAGTGCGAACTAGAGTTTGCCCAGTCAGCTATATATTTATATGATATAGTCTGTGTTACATAGATTGAAAAGTATAAAAAAGTTATTGTTTGCCGTACATATATACAGGGTGACTGGTGAATTACTATCAATATTTAAGGAAAATACTCGGTACATGATTCTCATTCGAATTATGTAAAAAAATAGGCACTTAATTTTTGACAAAATTTCCGTATAAATAAATAAAGTGTTGACACGTTCCAAGTGTTCCAAGTGTGGACGCGTGCGGCGGCGTGCTGATACAACACCACGCCGCGCGCGCGTATGTGTGAGTGTGTGTGTATACCTAATCTGTAGGGTGTTTACACGATGCGTAATTAATTACACAACTTTTGGTTGACTTTACTTAGAAGTTTATTAATATTTATGTTATATTAATTTTTATTTTGTCATATATGATCGTCAAATATCACGTCCTCAAGTATCGATAGTAATTCACCAGTCACCCTGTATATACATATGGCTGTTATTGTTATATAATATATATGGCTGTTATTCTTGTATAAATACTGAATGTCAAATGTTAGTCACAGTGTAATATATATAATGTATTACACATACCGATTAAACTAAACTATGGTTGTAGATAAATTATCATATAACGATAATTATTTGTTGAGTTTAGAATTTATGTTGCTTTTGATAAGCTTACTAAAAGTTTGCTTTTTCACAATTTTTACTGACAGTTTTCCATTAACAATTCATTAATTTATTTTAACATTTTATATTATACTAGCTCTCCGCCCGCAGCTTCGCCCGCGTGGAGTTCTGTCATATCTCGTTTCCAAGAGAACCTTTCAAAAGTCTGGGATAAAAACTATTCTATGTTCTTTCTCAAGGTCAACTCTATGTCTGTACCAAATTTCATTAAAATCAGTTCAGTGGTTTAGGCGTGAAAGCGTAACAGACAGACAGACAGACAGACAGAGTTACTTTCGCATTTATAATATCAGTAGGGATTCGATGTATGTATAAAAAACTGTTGACGCGACGTATTTAGTGTGGTACAAACGTGTGTTAAGTACTTGTGATAAAACACAAAATTATTTACGTAAAAAAATATTACAAATTTTATTTATTTTATTTATTTATTACAACATGAAATTATTGTTTTAAATTTTTTCACAAACGAAGTAAATATTTAGGTCACTATGATTTAAAATATCGTTAGAATAAAAAAGACGTCAAATGGATACAGGTCACTTATTCGTTTGCGAAAAAAATAATCTATTATAGCATTTTTTTTTGTTCTAAAGGTTTTGATATAACTACCATCGAGAAATAACGTTTAAAATTTAGATTTAAAATGAACTCATTTCAAATAGGGCCTTCTCTTTAAGTACGAAGAAGACAATTATATTTAATTTCTTCATTATCTCAATAATAATATTTACTAGAAACGTTTCAAACACAATAATTTAGCCGTTAATAGAAAAGTCTAGATTAACTGTCTAGCCATATCAATTATATCTATAATTGTGTAATATATTATATACATATGTATAAGTCAGTGGTGGCCTAGTGGTTAAAAGGCCCGCCTCTCATGCACGAGGACGCGGGTTCGATCCTGGCCCTGGCAAGTACCAATGTTGAATGTGATATTTTTCCGAGTCATATGTACTTTCTAAGAATATTTAGACATTATTAGTATTCCGAAAGAGGGTTGATGTCAAGTAGGCGGCCGGTCGTAAAAACAATTAGCCAAAACCATTAACAACATGTAAGGCAGACCCTGGCTAACGCTGGGAAATTGCCAGATAGAAGAAGAAGATATACATATCACATATGTACAATATTAAAATGATTTTTATTTGTATACTGTCTACAGTTGCAAATTCTATTAGAAAAATGTAGTTTATCAATGTTATACTTGCAATTTCTATAGAGATATGATTAAAAACTCCAAACGAAGTCGCGCGCAAGAACTACTATACAATAAACATAAAACAATCCATCCAATTATAAATTCAATTCCACTCGTTCACCTACTCGTGTACATTCAAACAATTCTTCATATTTTCAATGTTTGCGGAATAAACATATGTATACATATGTAATAAGACTTTCATTTGAATAGAAGTAATATTTTCGGATGTTCCACGCGTTTTTTTTATTAAACTACACACTCCCGATGTTCCGGTCCCTTTTCAGCAACCGTTTTTCTGTAATAAAAGATTTTATTCAACGGCACTATCACCATCAGAGATGTGATTTATTTGAAATACTTCTATTTTAAATGCAAATAGAAAATGCAAAATACCTATTTGATAATTTGTATTTAAATACCTTTCAGTGAAAAGTATTTTGTATTTTATTTGAAATGCCTTTCGAGATGCATTTTGTATTTTTAATATTAATTTCAAAATGCAAAATACTTTGTGATTAAGTTTAGCCAACATTACCAGTCAAACAAAACAAAACGCTTGTATTGCCGAATTCGACCGATAGAGGCCCCTGCTAACCATGCGCGACATCTCTTTCTTCTTTGGTCAAAGTGCGCGCCTTATGTCAAGTAATGTCTGACAAGTGCCAGTTTCCAACGAAATCGGCGAACATTATCTATGACTATGAATTTATGGATATGAAACGCGCTATGCGTTGACACCGACGATTTGATTTCATGACGAGTTTATTATATTCTGGTGCTGGTGAAGTAGTTACTGATTTGATTACCTACTTTTCTGATATTGAAGTGTTGTTTTTATTTCTATAATACTGAAACGGTTATGCACTATACCTGGAACGTTTACGTGCTAACTAAAACTAATTTCATTAGTTGAAAGTTGCTATGATCACAAAGTATGTTTTGTTTAAAAGAAGCCTCACTTACTCCTTATTACATAAGCTATCTGCCAGTGAAAGTCCCGTCCAAATCGGTCCAGCCGTTCCAGAGATTAGCCGGAACAAACAGACAGACAGACAAAAATTTTAAAAATATATATTTTGGTATGTGTACCGTATATACATATCCATGTAGTAGAAAGCGGTTATTTTAATATAACAAACAGACACTCCAATTTTCTTTATTTGTATAAATGTTATTAGACATTTGTTTTTCGGCTCGGTATTGTGTGTCTCTATTGCTCATGTATGATAAGTAAATATGTACCTATAATAAATAAAAATATCTGTGATTTGGTCAGAGGGTATTTTATTTTGAAAAAGTATTTTGAAAATACCTATTTTGCATTTAGCATTTAAAATACAAAACGCCAAACTATTTAGTATTTTGCATTTGAAATAGTAAATCTGAAAAGTATTTTGCATTTTGTATTTAAATGATTTTTTAAAACCATTTTGTACATCTCTGATCACCATTAGGTAGGCCGTCTGCTCCGTTGCACTCTTTTTCAATAAATATATATGTATATAGTATATACATAGCTTAGTCGTGACGATTGGTGTGAAGGTAAACATCTCAACTTCTCCACAGCCTTAAATTATGCCTAGTTTTAACGTCTTAATTTTTTCCTATCTTATAACAGCTCAAAATATAACTGGTCATGACCCCTCAGCTTATAAATTAAGTATAATCCTTGGAAACCTTATTAACATAAAAAGTTCCACATAATTACTGGGTTGGGTTATATGCGACAATTATTTCTGATTACGCGATGCTCGTCTGCATGATCACGGTTGCTGCAAAGTAACCGAAATGTCGTGAATATGTAGTTAAAATAATAAAAAACGCGTAGAAATACGAAAATACTACTAGTTTCATTTAAATGAATACACACGAAAGTCTTATCTCATTATTATATATCAAATATTAAAAAATAAATTCAACACATAATAGTATGGAAATCAAATTAATATTAATTATCTAAATTAATATCAATATTATCTAGAACTAGGATCGCCCGCGACTTCGTTCGCGTCCGAATTAGTAATATATGTATAGCTGACCGGGCGAACTATATTTCGCCCTAGAGCTCATAAACAATCAGATATTGGAGTTTATTAAGTTTCGATCGAACAGAATTAAATATCCTATGTCCGTCTCCTGGTTCTAAGCTATCCCTCCACCAATTTTCATCCATATCCCTACAGCGGTTCTAGAGTTATAAATAGTACTAGCTTTAAGTCAGTGGTGGCTCAGTGGTTAAAGGGCCCGCCTCTCGGCCTCTCGTCGCCGAGGGCGCGGGTTCGATCCTGACCCGGGCAAGTACCAATGTGATTTTTCGGAATCATATGTACTTTCTAAGAGTATTTAGACATCACTGATTAATGTTGATTCCCAAAAGAGGGTTGATGTCAGGCAGGCGGCCGGTCGTAAAAACAAATAGCCAAAATCTATTCATAACATGTAAGGCAGACCCTGGCTATAGCTGGGAAATTGCCAGGTAGAAGAAGAAATAGTACTAGCTTTCCGCCCGCAGCTTCGCCCGCGTGGATTTTCGTTACATCGCGTTTCCAATAGAACTTTTCAAAAGTCTGGGATAAAAGCTATCCTATGTTCTTTCTCAAGGTTAACTCCATCTCTGTACCAATTTTCATTAACATCAGTTCAGTGGCTTAGGCGTGAAAGCGTAACAAACAAACAGATAGTCACTTTCGCATTTATAATATTAGTAGGGATAAAGTCAGTGGTGGCCTAGTGGTTAAAGGGTCTGCCTCTCGTTGCCGAGGGCGCGGGTTCAAACCTGGCAAGTACTCATGTGATTTTTCGGAGTCATATGTACTTTCTGAGAGCATTTAGACACCACTGACATACGGTGAAGGAAAACATCGTGAGGAAACCTGGACTTATAGTTTCACAATTATAAGTTTGAAATCACCAGCCCGTCTTGAGCAAGCGTGGTGATTAATGCTCAAACCTTCTCCATGTGAGAAAGAGGCTCAGCAGTGGGCGTTGATAGGACGATGACGAGGGATAACTAACACGACTTTCTTCTATGCATATTATTTATATATCTATATTCTATATCTTCTTCTTCTATATATATAAAAATGGATTGCTGTTCCTGAGTCTCGCTAAAACTCGAGAACGGCTGAACGGATTTATCTTATCATAGTCTTGAAATGTTCGTGGAGGTTCAGGGAAGGTTTAAAAGCTGAAAAAAACAATAAATTTCCGAGAAAACCCTAAAAACAGCGCTTTTCTATTTCCCATACAAACGTTTTCTTTGACATTAGATTTGAAAACTAACTTATATGTCAACCATTCTGTTCGATTGAAACAGGAGAAACCTGATTATTAATGGCCTCTAAAACGGAATAGAGTTCGCCCGGTCAGCTATACATATATTACTAAGGACGAAACTAACGCGGACGAAGTCGCGGGCAAAAACTAGTATTAGATATATGTATATGTAATTTTGTGGTAATATTCTAGGTACCAGGCTGGTGTTCTCGTTCTGACCTACTTCACCTACATGACGTACCACCTGACAAGGAAACCTATATCAGTGGTCAAGAGCATCCTTCATCAGAACTGCAGTGGTTTGACCCCACCACCGGACATAAGGCCGGGGGATGACCAGTGGTGTAATTGGGCACCATTCAGTAAGTATATATATTATATATCTTTATATATATAATTCTTCTGTGAGCGTGTATGTCACTGAACTTCTCTCAAACGACGGGACCGATTATTTTAATTTTTTTTGTGTGCGATCAAGATTATCTGGGAATGGTTTAGATTCACTATTTTGTCCGCTGGACAATGTTTTTTAAATTAATTTTTAATTTATTAGTAGTTGTTGATACAAACGTTCTTTTTGACATTAGATTTGACAACTAACTAATATGTCAAGCATTCTGTCGCACTTCAAAAAACACGGAGATTTATGGGTTTAATAGGTAAACTCCAAAAATATAAATAAAAAAACGTAACAGATATTTCTTCTTGTCTTCTAGTATACATATACATAAATTATTAGATATAATCAAGAAATATCTGTTACCTTTTTCTCTGAATGAAGTTAATTTCTTTATTAAGAATAACTGATCCGACAGACAATGTTCTGTCTTCTTAACTGTGATTATTAAAAGAGCCTACTGCTGAGCTGCCTCTTCTCATATGGAGAAGATTAGAGTATTAATCACCACGCTTGCTCAAGGCCGATTGACGATTTCAAACTTATAATTTGATTAAGTCCATGTTTCCTCACGATGTTTTCCTTCATCAGTCAGTGGTGTCTAAATACTCTTATAAAGTACATATGACTCGGAATCACATTGATATTTTCCAGGTTTCGAAACCGCGCCCTCATGCACTAGAAGACTGATCATTTTTAAATTTTATTAAATCTCATTACAATGATATAAATTTTCTTTCTAAGGCACTAATGATATATATTAATTTATACGCTTACTACCTTTCCGCCAGCAGCTTCGCCCGCGTGGAGTTCGGTTATATCGCGTTTCCAAGAAAACCTTTCAAAAGTCTGGGATAAAAACTATCCTATGTTCTTTCTCAAGGTGAATTCTATGTCTGTACCAAATTTCATTAAAATCAGTTCAGTGGTTTAGGCGTGAAAGCGTAACAGACAGACAGACAGAGTTACTTTCGTTTTTATAATATTAGTAGGGATTTAAGCATATGTCTTTCTTTTTCCATCTCTTTTTATCTCTATCTACACCACAATTCCTACTCTTGTTTCCTCTATCGATGGATTTTAAACAGAAATCTCATTTAAGAGATAACTTATTCTTTAATCATATTGTCACTATCATTATTTTTTATACCTATATAAATATTTTATTTCAATCCCAGATGGATATAATGAAATCATAATTTTGGCTTACAGCGGTAATTCGAACCTAGCTCCTAATCGTTGTGTTACAATAACAAAAACATGTTTTGTATTTCAACAAATGGCTGAACTTGCATGTTGAAACGATAACAATTCAATATTTAGGTACTCCTAATTATATCTTCAGGAATTAATATTATTAATTTTTCCTCTAAGAAACCATAGTTTTTTTTTTTTGGAAAACTAATTACCTTTTATTTATCCATCAATATACATATATTTATTTTGTTGGAAAGTCCAAAATAAACTAATTTAAAATGATATAAAGTTTTTATGTGTGATCAATTTGAATTATTTCCTTTTAACGGTTTTTTAATTATGTTAACTAGTAACAAACAATAATCTATAAAGAAGCAAGTATATTAGTATGAAAAATATATAAAATATATTTTTCATACAAATATACTTTCAAGCATTTCTCTCACCAAAACACTTTAAATTACTCAATAATATATCTTTTATTATATCTTGGTACATATGAATATATAACATAAAATATTGTACAAAAATATATAGTAATAAAGTAGTAAATAAAGTCTACATAATTTCAACAACAATAAGTAATAGAATAGATATATTGCTTAACTGAACAAAATACTTACATATATGGGATATATGCTTCTGAAATTTCCCCAATATACTAAATTATCTCTCTCCATGTTTTCGACTTAAATTTATCTTCAGATCCTGAAAATATATTAAATAAATATTCTTAAATTGAAGCTTAAGTATTGACGCTATTTGCATCTATGCTAAAATGATTAGCAATGAAGGTAGTTTGCGATTTTTTTCTTGGACAAGATTCCAGAAAACTGTTGTATTTCCAGACACACATGACGCCAATACGCTATTGGGTACACTCGATTCAGCTTTCCTGTTCTGCTACGCTGGCGCCATGTTTATATCTGGTAAGGTAGTTAGAAAAATTAATTCTATTACATTTATATCAAATATAAAGTTAGGCCATAGAACATATGAAATTTAGACAGTTTATTAAGTGAAAAAGTATATATTTTTATATAATAATATTAGTTGAATCTGGCAAAAAAATTAAAACAATTGATTATGTAGGAAAAATATTACTTATCGTGATTTAACTAAATCTTAGTGCTTACAATATATTACTATGGAAATGAGATCAAAAACTTCACAAGTATTAATTTATATAAAACTCATATTTTCGGATTACGTTTTTTATTCCGACGTTTCGGTTACTTTGCAGCAACCGTGATCACAACGACGACATACGAATCAGCAAAGTAATCCCAAAATATGAGTTTAATTTATTACTCCATAAGTTAATTGAGGAGTTTTCTTCCAGGCATGGTGGCTGAGAGAGTTGATCTAAGATACTTCCTCTCCCTCGGCATGTTAGTGTCCGCTGTATTCTGCTACTTGTTCGGACTAGGCCGGACCTTGGATATACACGATATATCGTACTATCTCGTTGTGCAGGTATAGATGTAGATATAGATACATATAGATATAGATTAAACAATTTAATTTACTCATATGCCGGTCACACACGCTACTTTCTACCGGAGAAGTCCAACTGTACAGGTATGAATGCGCAAGTAGACCAGAATTTGTGTGGGAATAGCAGCAGTTCATAAATTACGTGAGGTGTTTTTTTGAAAAATTAAATCTTAAGCATGTAAAAACTAGATTAAATGGACCAGAATAGTAATTTTTTTTGTTTCATTCAGAAAAAAAATTACGTCATATTTGTCGAGATCTCCCCTCCCTACAAAAATATCTCACGTATTTTATGCACGCCCCCAATAGACATGTGTAATTTTTTGAACGCTGCATTGTTCGGTTGACCTGCACAGATTGCCTCTCCGGTAGACCGTAGCGTTTATGGCCTGCATAAGAGTATTTTTTTACTTCTATTAAACTATTTAAAAGATGCTTTAAATCTTTGTCTATAGGAAAACCACGTAAATCTCTCCTCAGAAATTAATGTCCATTCCTTTCTAGTCTTTCATATTTAAGTCAAAGACTCAGTTAAGTAATTTACCTATAGTAATAAATAATAATATTTGAATTAATATGTGTTTTTAAATAATCAAGGCAGGTGCTGGAATAGCTCAAACGACGGGTTGGCCAGGCACAGTGGCGATAGTAGGAAAATGGTTTGGAAACGCAAAGAAAGGTCTTATATTCGGACTTTGGAACTCACATACGTCTTTGGGAAATATTTTAGGTAAATATATCCATTTATTACGTAATCTTCTTCTTCTATCTTCTATATATATAAAAATGGATTGCTGTTCCTTAGTCTCGCTAAAACTCGAGAACAGCTGAACGGATTTATCTTATCTTAGTCTTGAAATGTTCGTGGAGGTTCAGGGAAGGTATAAAAGCTGAAAAAAATTTATTCATTACTGGGAAAACCATAAAAACAGCCCTTTTCTATTTCCCATACAAACGTTTTTTTGACATTAGATTTGACAACTAACTAATATGTCAATCATTCTGTCTCACTTCAAAACTCCAAAAATATAAATAAAAAAACGTAACAGATATTTCTTGATTATAGGGCGATACGAAGTTCGCCGGGTCTTCTAGTTTAAGTATATTTTCTTTATATTTATCACATTTTTTGTATCCAGGTACAATAACAGCGGCTAAATATGTTGAATACGACTGGTCTCTATCGTTCATTTACCCGGCTTTAATAATGGGAGTAGTTGCGTTTATGGTCTTCCTCTTCCTGGCTCCCGAACCTAAATACGTCGGCATCACGACTGAGAGGATATCTGTAAGTACATCACTTGTATATCGATGATCTACGTATAAGGGCCAAGTAGCAAAATAACAATTGTTCAGTAGAGGCGTTTTAAGTTTGTGTCAATGTATCTTTTACATACAACTGATGCTTTTGAAACTTTGCATAGCAACTATGATATACATGTATATACGTTATTTAAGCTTTATAATTTTTTTCTAAACCTAATAGTTTTTTAAATCATATATATAGGTCCTTATACGTTAAAAAGTGTGCCCTAATGCCTTTTTACTGCAATAAAAAATAAGTAAAGTAAAAACTAACCAACAAATACGCATTTTTTACAAATTTCTGTTATAGAATACAGTATTATTGTATTTAAAGCAAAATAAATAAAAATGGCAAAATTGCTACATTGGCAATTATACATAGGACCCATCCATATACGAGGAATAGTATAGGTTCGAACCCTGGAGAACCCCCTATTAGAACTAACTTATACCATGTAAGTATAGAAAAACTGTATTTATAGTACTTTTAATATTAATTACAGCCAAGCAGATCGTCTCATAGCTCTGATGAAGATGTATCAGAAGTAATTGTTGGTGATCAGGTATGTGAAATAGCTATATATAACTCAAAAACCCATTTTTCTACGCCTCTCCTAATTCACTTCATAAAATCCATTTCAATGTACGCACTTAACGTGAATAACATAAATTATTTGCTCTGTATATCAACAATATAAAAGTTAAAAACTAACCAAGTTTAATACAAAAAGATTTCTCTATTAATTAATTTTCAATGAATGCATTATTTCTACAAAAAAAATGCTTTGAGAGTTCAAAATTATAATCAAATTACATTATTAACATATTGTCTTAAGTTTTTTGTTTAATTTTCTGTCAATAAAATATTATCAGTTTATTCTTCTTTAAACAACCTGTTTGGTTGAAAACTGCTTTGTCTATGGCCCACTTATTAACAGCATGTTGCAGGCAGCGAGCCTTCGACCCTCGCGATATTCGGCAAACACGGTAAGATCATTAACGTATTAAAGAAATACTTATTTAATATATAACTAGTTTTTGCCCGCGACTTCGTCTGCGTCAATATACTTGGATACAATCAGACAGTCCATTTACAAAGACTTGTAACAGAAAGTTCGTTAAATATATTCATATCATGATGTCCTAGCCCCTAGGTTCAAATATCGCTCATGTCAATGACATATTCATTTCATTTCTATACAATATAACTTTATTTATGAGTAATTCTCTCAATAATGTCCAAAAATATAATTATTTTTAACCAATGAAATCATTCTAAACTTGTTGGTTGAACTCCGCGGTCTGATTTCTATTAAATCTAGAATCAAGATTAAAAATAATTTCTCCTATCCTAATTATGAGATATCGAAAATTAGAAATGATCCGTAGTTAAAATAATTAAACATTGCCTTAAATTATATTTAATCCATATTCTTATATAAAAATGACAAATATATACTTATTTGTCTCTGCACTGAAAAATAATTAGCAATAATATTGCCTTGAAGAATTTAAATTCTAATATAACTATTTGTAACATTTTCGAAATCATTTATTTAAATGAAACTAATATTTTTCGAATATACTACGCATGCTTTATTTTCGTGATAAACTACATACTTTCGACGTTTCGGTTACTTTTCATCTCGAAAAGTATTCGAAATATCGGAAGTATGCAATTTCTTACCAAAATAAATCACGTTTAGTATATCCGAAAAATATTATTTTTATTTGCCAAGTCAGTAAAAACTAAGCCCAAAAACCATACAGCATCATTCGGACGAAGTGACAGAGGAAACTGGTCTGCTGTCCCAACGACCCCGAGCTGGTGCAGTGTCCCTAACACGCGCGCTGGCTATACCAGGAGTGATAGAGTTTTCGCTATCACTGTTCTTCGCTAAACTAGTCAGCTACACATTCCTCTACTGGCTGCCGATGTATATTAAAAGCTCCAGTGAGTATTGCTACGTTAAATTTCTTAAGAAGAATTTAAAGGCCTAAGTTTTCTTGCATTTTTGGTAGCACGCTTTTGTTAGCTTTACCTGTAGTCACTTTGTAGATAATATTAAAAATTTGTCCTCTTTACCTGAAAATGTAAAAATAAAAATAATATTTCGACCAGTACGTCAGAGAAATGAAATACAAAAGTATAGATTTTTTTTATTCGAAGTTATAAAAGGATTTTTTTAATGTAGTCAAACTTCAGATACGTATCACCTATGTATGTATAGCTCTTGTTTTATTTTTAATATTATTTCCAGCGAATCTAACTCCGAAACAGTCTAGTGAGTTGAGCACCGCGTTTGACGTGGGCGGCGTGGTGGGTGCTGCTCTAGCCGGGCTGCTAGCTGACTGGGCGGGTTGTCCTGGGGTTGTATGCGTGGGATTTTACGCATTATGTGTGCCCACAGTGAGTATAATGTAGTAAATTGTACTGATACTCCGTGCTATTAATGTTTTTTAATTTAAAGTAGCCTATGTGCTATTCCCGGACGTCAGCTTCCTGTATACAAAATTTTATCAAAATTGCTTCAGCCGTTTGAACGTGAAGAAGTAACAAACATACACACACTCACAAACTTTCGCAATTATAATATTAGTAAAATGGATGTAATACACTCAATGTCAAAATAACAGTGGAAACTGTTCTGAAATAGTTTATTTTTATATAAGCTGTATGTTTTATATAAATTAACTAGGTTCTGAACTTAGTTTTCTTGTGATTTAACTTGTATGTATGTTTGTCAGCTGTTAGCTTATCTCCAATGGGGTGCGACCACATATATTCTGAACGTGTGCCTATTAGTTGTTGCCGGAGTTCTAGTTAATGGACCCTACGCTCTTATCACTACAGCAGTCAGCGCAGAATTAGGTATTTTATAAATTATCTTATTTAATGTATATAATTTTAAAACCCAGTTTCACTAAACTATGAATTTGTTATATATGAAGTATTTATTAACGAGTGTTCAACAATATAATTTTCTCTTAAATTATTTACGTCCCATAATGAAAAATCAACAACCCATTATTAAATGACCGACTACCAAATTATTCGTTCTTGTTATAAGACGACCAAATTGAAACTATAGCGTTTAACGCGGCACGTTTGCCACGATGCACCACTTTATACTTTGATCGTATATATCCCTTGATACGTCACTTTTTAAGTGATTTAAATTCTATACTAATAGTACTTTGTTGAATTGAGATAGCCTTTTTAACTTCTGTCTTTTAAATTGAGTTAAATTTATCTAAGTCGTTTACATCATTAATATATCTACATATATCAGTACTAGTTAATTTGTTTTGTTGACATTTTTTATCTTGTTTCATTGGACGTAGTATGGTATACAGTTTTATTAATAAGTTTTCATATGAAGTGAATTACTATATACTATATACAAAATATATTTTATATATAAATGTATTATTTTTCATACATATAGGTACACATAGCAGCTTAGCCGGTGATGCCCAAGCATTAGCCACTGTTACAGCAATCATTGACGGTACCGGAAGTATAGGTAAGTGAAAAAATAAAATATTATATAAATAATCATTCTTCTACCTGGCAATTTCCCAGCTTTAGTCAGGGTCTGCCTTACATGTTAATAAATAATAATCATTATTACTAATAAAGATATTGTGATCAAGGTACAGTATCAGTCTTGATGTTTAATTTTCGCTACTTCCAGTAATGTGTTACAAAATGACTGAAGATTGTATTTATAGTTTACAAATACAATGATACTTAAATATTGCGATAAAATAACAATGGTTCAGTATTATCATTAATAATAATCAGTCATAAAAAATATTTTTATTTTATGATTAGTATGGCACAGATGGCGCCACTTGTAACATTTGTTGTAATTAAGCAATAAATAACGTGATAAATATGTATGTATAACTGTTGTTTTTGTTATAGGCGCTGCTGTCGGGCCACAGATGGCCGGTTTAGTCTCTGGAGTCAGTTGGTCTTATGTGTTCTACATGCTGGTTATATGTGACTTCTTGGCGCTTGTTCTACTGTTGAGGTAACACACACATACACACACACAAACGTGCTCGTAAGTGCCTTATTACATACAAGCTTTCCTCCCGCAGCTTCGCCCGCGTGGAGTTCAGTTATATCGAATTTCCAAGAGAACCTTTCAAAGTCTGGGATAAAAATTATCCTATGTTCTTTCTCAAGGTCAACTCTGTCTGTACCAAATTTCATTAAAATCAGTTCAGTGGTTTAAGCGCGACAGCGTAACAGACAGACAGACAGAGTTACTTTCGCATTTATAATATTAGTAGGGATGTACGTAAACTGACACTCACAAAGTTCACACAAGTGTAAAGATAATTTGGAAATTATGTTGAAGAAATATTAATATGTCTACTATACTGTGTATTTTATATAATTTTATTGATTTAATAATAACGCCATTTGTAATTTCACAGGATATCAAAGTCGGAAATAGCGAGGATACGACAAGAGCGCCGCCTGGCGTCGCCTAGATTAGTTAGAATTGAATGATGTTACTAAGAAAAAGGTTTTATATATATAAATTACAAGTTGGGTATTTATAGATAATTGTAACTGTCGTATAATTTTGTACTTTAAAAGTGCATGAATATAAGTTGAAACATTAATAAGTTGATTTTATATACATATATATTATGATTGAACAGTATTAAAGAGAATCGAGTATTGCTATCAAAGATTATTATGATTTTCATACATTGTATGATACCCATTTGTACAAATTTAAATAAAAAAATTACATCCCTAACAGTTTTATAAACGAAATAAATGTGAAACAAATGTTTGTTTTTTTTATTTATTGATTAACAAGTCATAGTAAAATATTATTTGAATTACAAAAATAAATTCTACTGAATCATTTGATATTATAATTAGGGTTGCCGTTATAAACAAGTGAATTATATTTTTAGGGAATTATAATTATGTATACAGGGTGACTGGTGAATTATTATCGATACTCGAGGACGTGATATTTGACGATCATATATGAGCGTGGTGTTGTATCATCACGCCGCCGCACGCGTCCATACTTGGAACACTTGGAACGTGTCCACGCTTTATTTATTTATACGGAAATTTGGTCAAAAATTAAGTACCTATTTTTTTACATAATTCGAATGAGAATCATGTACCGAGTATTCTCCTTAAATATTGATAGTAATTCACCAGTCACCCTGTATAAAATAAAATTGTTATTCTACAAGAGCATATGACCGTAAAGTATTAAATCATTTTATTATGTAATCTCATTGAAATTAATATATATTTTATTGTAATTTTCAAGCAGCCCTATTGAACATCTATATTAAGCTTATCGGGAATATAAAAAAAGGGTATAATCTCAACATTTTGTACATGAAACAAGAAAGTGAAATTTATTATAATTAAAACTTACAATAAATTATTCAATGAAGTTAGGCTCGATTAATCTCAATTAGATAAGTCTAAGAGTAAAATCAGATTTGGCTTTCTTCAAAGCACAATACCAATATATTGGTTAATAGCTCAAAATGCATATATTGGTATTTGATTTCTTTCAACTGGCAACACTGAATCAAGCCTATGGGTGTCCTAATGGAACTATAAATGATAGTGCATCACCCGTCGCGCCCCATGATACCCTTTTAATCTGGAACGCCAATGACCAAGCTGATAGCAAAACTGCCCATATTATAGTGCCGACACCACTGAGAATTACATCTGGAACAAATTAGTATTTTAACAAAATAATATAACAAAAAATATGCATTATGAGAAGTCAGTGGTGGCCTAGTGGTTAAAAAGCCCGTCTCTCATGTATAAGAGCGCCGGTTCGATCCTGGCAAGTACCAATGTGATGTATCCAAGTCATATGTACTTTAAGAGTATTTAGTAATCACTAATTAATGCATTTCCAAAGAGGGTTGATGTCAGGCAGGCGGCCGGTCGTAAAAAACAATTAGCCAAAACTATTCACAACATGTAAGGCAGACTCTGGATAAAGCTGGGAAATTGCCAGGTAGAAGAAGATGCATTGAGTAGGAATAATAACTTTCACGAAACTAAATTATTGATAGAAAACTAAATGGATTCCAACAATGGATGTGTTATCAAAAGTTTGATGTTTCTGTATGTGTATATAGTACATTAGTCATCAGTTAGTAGGCAAAAAATATTTTTATAAGTACTGTGTTTTAGTAATAAAGTCATTTTCAACTCCAAAATAATGCCAGTATCTATTAAAGATGCAATTCAAATAAGTTCATCCATTCCGAATACTAAAAAAAGTTTGTGTTGCTATTGGGAATAAGCACTTGAGGAAATATTATTAATTGGAAACCGACATTGCTTACACAATGTACAGTACAATAATAATTCATTGTACAAGTAAATAGAACTATAATGACTATATACAGGGTGACTGGTGAATTACTATCGATACTTGAGGACGTGATATTTGACGATCATATATGACAAAATAAAAATTAATATAACATAAATATTAATAAACTTCTAAGTAAAGTTAACCAAAAGTTATGTAATTAATTACGCATCGTATGAACACCCTACAGATTAGGTATACACACACACACACAAACGCGTGCGGCGGCGAAGTATTGTATCAGCACGCCGCCGCACGCGTTCCACACTTAGAACACTTGGAACATCTCCATGCTTTATTTATTTATACGGAAATTTGGTCAAAAATTAAGTACCTATTTTTTTTACATAATTCGAATGAGAATCATGTACCGAGTATTCTCCTAAAATATTGATAGTAATTCACCAGTCACCCTGTATAATAATAAATGATCGAAAAGTTTGCTAGTATGACATCAATATGTTATTTATAAAGATTGGGTCAGATATATTTTGAATGTATTAAAAATAACAAACATGATTAATACCAACCTCCTTGGTCATTTATAAAATTTAATTCCATACTAAAATTAATAAATAAAAGCATATGAAACTTCTATCAATTGAATTATACTTACATTTCTTTATTTGTTTCTGTTCATTATATGGTGGCTTCATGAAAGCCTCTTTGAAGAACCAAACAACATTTACAGCCCACACAAATGGTAGCAAAGCACATCCCACTGTAAACAGAATGAAATTATTGGCAATGCTCAGTTTAATAAAGAAAGAATTATTCAATTGTTAATATTTGTGGTCATTAACAAATAAATAGTTCTTATTCAAATAACTATACTGTGGTATTGGAAAAACATTGCTAGCCTTACTTATGTATTTACTCCTTATTACTTAATAAATCAAGATTTTTCTTCTTTTAATGGTCTAAATGCACTAAGTCATCTTAAATATTAGATTTGTACATAGATAAAATTGGTTAATAATATTTCGCTTTAACTATAAATTCTTACGATTGTTATTTTTTTATTTTAAGAATTATAAAAACAATAAAATAATTCAAAATTTCAGTTATATAAAATCACAATTAGAAAATAATCAATATTGAACCATTGTGATGAACTTAATATTTACCTCTAAAATACCATCTACATAACTGCAGTTTCTTTTCATTGGTCAGTCTGTTTAAATCCATTTTGTTTTTAGTTTTTACAATTAAACTACTTTTACTTGAAAATACTACTTAGATCTCTAATGTTTATGTGTCATACATTTGCACAACGTAAACTGAAGTCGGAAAACTTATTGAATATTGATATGACAGATAGAATAAAATTTCAACTTTTTATTACTGAAATATGAAATAAAGTTAAATATAAAAACTTAAATATAAAATATTTATTATTAACAAAAGGTTATTTGTATTTTTTAAATTAATGATTTTATTTTTAAACAAATCAACTAAACCAAATAATCAATACACATTGAGTAAACGGAACGCAGCTTAGAAAAAAACAAAAATGGCGTAGTTTGTTGTATGTCAAGTTAGTTAAAATGTGAATTAAATAAAAATGTTTGGTGTTATTAAATATTATATTTTTACGTACATATCAGTACTCGTGTTACACGTAGAAAAATGTAAGTAGATATTTCGTATTCCAATTCGATGTAAATATTTACAGTGGTACATTTTGTTTACGACGAATTTTTTATATTTTTGCAATTTTGAAATAAATATAGCCTTGATTATTTTTAAGATCATAATTATTTGTTATAACAGAAACTACATTCAAGGCAATATATTATGAATTGCTCAATATTAAAAGATTATATTGTCTACGTCTATTTCTACGTAAGAATTTCATCTTGAATTCATTAACGGTATTTTGTCAAATATCCTTTCTCTTCTTTCTAAGCATATTTCGTAGGCTGAGATAAGATATTTTAACGCTTCAACATAGTTAAATAGTCCATTACTTTCACATTAAATATGTGAAAATAGGTACATATTTTATATACATAAATAAACGATTATTATTACATTTATAACGACAAACAATTATTTTATAGCTTACTTATTTTATTTTGTACTTTAGTAGGCACTGAAGTATTAAAAAATGTACAAAGTTTATTCATTTACGTTTAAATGTCACTCATCTGCTTATTACATACTCCTTCTATGTCTCTTTTATATAAGTATTCTTATAGCAAACATACACACACATATACATATATATTTATATATGTATATATGTAAAATAATCAATAAGTATAAATTATCTGCTTATTTTCATAACATCTTAATACACTTTTCCTACAATTAACTCTTACACACTCGGTAACCAAACATACATACAACAAAGAATTATTTATGTAATTATTTAGCGACCTCTTAATCTAGCCTCATCGATAGGTCAACGATATCGTCAGAATGTTCAAAGTACAGAGAAATACAGGATTTACAAGTTTAATAATAATAATAAAATAATAACAACTTTGTTGACTATATATAAAATGTATACACATTTTATACAAAGTTTATATATAAAGATAATTATGAATTTTATTACCATATTCATAGTTACCAAATGTATAAAAAATATTGTAAAAAGGATTATGTATATTTTCATTTGTATTAGAATTGTAGGAAGTAGAAAAGATATGCACATTTAACTTCAATAATAGTTAATAAAGGTTTATTAGTTATAATGTCTGTGTGTGTGTGTGTGTATATATACTAGCTGACCCGGCAAACATTGTTTTGCCATTATAAAAATAGGGGTTGGCGATAAAAAGTAGAAATTTTGGTTTGTATGTAATTTTAATGCTACCTTATAAAAAAATAAAAACAAAAAAAATCATCCTAAAAAAGTAAAGGGTGAACAACCCTAATGACTTAGGGGTATGAAAAATAGATGTTGGCCGATTATCAGAGCTACTCAATATGCTCACAAAATTTCATCATAATCGGTCCAGCCGTTTCGAAGGAGTTCTCTGTCTAACACCGCAACACAAGAATTTTATTTATAAGATATATACATACTATAATCTGAGATCATTCAAATTTCCTGAATGGTTTAACATTGTAGTAATCAAAGTAATTTTATTTGGTAATTGTAGCATAATTTCTCTTTTATATATTAAACACATAAAACAATAGTAGTTATATATTGGTTTTGTTCAATATTTGCAAATTTAACTACAAATACATTACTGAGTAAATTTACTTAAGATAAATGTGGCTAGAAACTACTAGGTTTTGCAATACTATTATATATGAAGTTAATTTTGAAGTATATACTATTATAAGTAAGTCATTGGTGGCCTAGTGATTAAAAGGGCGCACGAGGGAACGGGTTTGATCCTGGCCCTGGCAAGTACCAATGTGATTTTTCCGAGTCATATGTACTTTCTAAGAGTATTTAGACATCACTGATTAATGCATTTCCCAAAGAGGGTTGATGTCAGGCAGGTGGCCGGTCGTAAAAACAATTAGCCAAAACTATTCACAACATGTAAGGCAGACCCTGGCTAAAGCTGGGAAATTGCCAGGAAGAAGAAAAAGAAGAAGATATAAGTAACATAAAAAAAAATACATATATATATATTTTCCCAATACCTTTGTATTTTTATTATTTTAATGTATTATATATATTATTTATTTATTTGACAAGATTGCTACCGATTTTATACCTGTTTTATAGAATGCAAGTGAAGCAAATAGCTTTAAAGAGTATACATATCACTCTAAATGCAAAGATTTGAATTGTACAAACCAATTGATAAAGAATATCTAGATTTTATTTAAATATATGTAGTTTAAAATGAAAAATTACTAAGAAAAATTCGGAGATTTGAACCTTTATCTGCTGGAATATAATTTCAGTCATGTTAATATTTGAGTTATATGTCCTAACTTAAATCAGTGAATTACACATCTATATATTAAACAACATATATGTACAGTATATTTTTGAGCCTCTAATTACTATTTAAATTTAGATTCATATATTTAATGACACTGAATTTTTTTTTTACATTTAAATGTAGTTATGTTTCATTTAAAAGTGTGCTCAAGAATTTCATGGTTTTATAGAAATTAGTTTAGCAACAAATGTAGCATTGAAAATACAATGGAATATTGTCATGCTGATAATAATTATTGTTATTTTCTATAGTTTAATAATATTTTACAGGATGTAATAATATTTTTTCCTCGTCTAAACAATAGTTGTGTAAAATATTGTTTTAATTATGTACTTAATAAAATCGTTTTGCGTAAATAGTATTTTATATTGTAATTTAATTATATGGAAGAAAATTAAGAATGAATATTTTTAGTTAGGTATATGATTTATTTAAATTTTGCTTGTTTAAAGAAAATGTTTACGAATTATATTGTACTACTAAAATCTGTGTATGTGTTTTGCAATATTTAATATTATTATATAAGGCAGCCCTAGCAGGGATTTTCAAATTTGGTTAGGTAGAGAGAGGAGTTTGGACGGTGGTGGTGAGCGTGCTCATTAAGAGACGAAACCTCTCATCATTCCATGTATTCACGGTGCGTGTGTCGGGTCCATCGTTGTAGTGAGAGGAGTCTCAACAGTGACTGGGACTTGTGACCCAGGTGTAGGTTTAAGGGACCCCTATCTAACGTTAAACGCTCACCTCCACCGTACAAGCTCCTCTCTACCTAACAAAATTTGAAAAGAACCAACTAGGGCTGCCTTTTAAGTTGAATAACGTTGAAAATTACGTAATAGTAAACCTATAAGAGTAAAAATCCACACTAATATTATAAGTGCGAAAGTAACTCTGTCTGTCTGTCTGTTACGCTTTCAAGCCTAAACCACTGAACTGATTTTAATGAAATTTGGTACAGACAGAGTTCACCTTGAGAAAGAACAGGATAGTTTTTATCCCAGACTTTTGAAAGTTTCCTTTGAAACGCGATGTAACCGTATTCCACGCGGGTGAAGCTGCGGGCGGAAAGCTAGTATGTACTATATTTGTTATACTAATATATATATTATCTTTAAAGGTATATCAGAACCACAGACCGCGTATCTAGCGTTATACAGTCCCGGCGATACAGATTACACGGATGTACTGGTGCGTAGGGAACATGATAATTTGACGTTGGTCTGTGAAATGAGAGGAGACATCACGCCCAGGGTGTTCGTGTGGAACTACGTAGGAGATGGAAACAATACTAGTTCTGGCAGGTACTGGTTATAAATGAAACTTATAATATTTAGAATACTACGCGTATTTTATTTTCATTAGGGGCCGTTCAAGTATTACGTAAGCAGATTTATTATAAATATTTACCCCCCATCCCCCTTGTCAGCAAAAGTAAGCAAATCTCTTACCCCCTCCTCCCATGCTTACGTAAACATTTTCAATTACTGTATTGTTTTTTTTTATATAATTCCATAAAAAAATTATAATAATATTTTTTTACGGATCTACTCGATGTGATGATAAAAAATAAATAGCTACTCATGACATAATCATCATCTAGACTCCCCTACCCCCATGTCATCCAAAATAAGCAAACCAAAGACCCCCCCGCCCCTCCATAGTGCTTACGTAATACTTGAACGGCCCCTTACGTTAAAATTTTACTTCGTCATAAATAGTTGTATTCTATGTAACATCAAAATTAGTCCACTTCCCTGTTAAAAGTATTGGAAACTTAACTGGCGTAAATGTTAAAATATGATTATTACTTAATATAAGTTGTAATATACGATATGCTGTATGTTTCCCTAATAATAAATAAATTTTATTATTGTAAATACTCTTCACGTTTCAGTTATTTTTCAGTAATCTTGATTTATAAAAGAAGACGAGATTTCATCTCAAAACATCCGAAAATTTGTTTCATTTAAATGTATACTCGCGGTATATATTACTGTGACATTCTTCACATAATGATTAATTGTTCGGTATATAGAGAGTGATCATAATTTTTTGCAATTTGGACAAATTAATGGCCATTTTTTTAAACAATAAAAAAAAATGTACATAGTGAATTTGAAACGTTAAATTGTGAAGGACTTAGGAGAATTTGCTTTCGTGGGTTTGGTAATGGAATAAAAGGAGATTAGATGTCATGAATGTTTGTGTTTCAATTGATATATGACCTAGTATCACAGTAGATGCTTTTATAAACAATTTCCTATAAATATAAATATAAGTCCCATTAAAAAAATTTAAGCACCAAATATATATACCTATAAAAAATTCTACGTATACTCCAAGAGATTAGTTCAACCAATTCATAGTTTTAGGTCATTAATCTCTTCTATATATATATATATATATATATATATTAGGTTTTATCATTTATACTTTTAGAGTTTACCTATTAAAGCCATAAATCTCCGTGTTTTGAACGTGCGACAGAATGATTGACATATTAGTTAGTTGTCAAATCTAATGTCAAAGAAAAACGTTTGTATCAACAACTACTAATAAATTAAAAAAACATCGTTCAGCGGACAAAATTGTTAATCTAAACCATTCCCAGATCCCCTTGAACACACGCAAAAAATTTCATCAAAATCGGTGCAGTCGTTTGAGAGAAGTTCAGTGACATACACACTCACAGAAGAATTATATATACAAAGATTAACACTCCAATCACAGGTCATTCACCCCGGAGTCAACAGCTGCTGTCGGCAGTCGTATAGAGAAGTTTGACCTTCAGCTATCAGACAGCGGTCACTACATATGCTCGGCGCCGCCGTTCAGCGTGACCAAGTACATTCTGGTGCAGCGACGCAGCCCGCAGTGCGCGCGGGGCGCGTTCTGGTGCGGACATAGGTGCGTGCTGCCCACATACGTGTGTGACGGCTGGCCGGACTGCGAGAGGGGGGAGGACGAAGCGCCGCCTATGTGCGCTGAGAACCCGTGCGCTGGTGGGTTGATACACACACACGCGCGCGCCTCGTAAGTTATAAACACACACACACACACACACACATGTACAGCTGAGCTATGCTAAGCTATGAACACACACACACACACGCATACATACATAACTCGTAAGTTATAAACACACACAAGAAAGCACTTTCCATACAGAAAGTTACACACCAATGTAATATTCCAGATTTAGCAGGTCAAACGAATTTCTAACCATATATTATCATACAATTTTCACTATATATACCTTTCAATATTAATTTTAATACAAATGTTATAAATGATGATTACTAAGTCAGTGGTGGCCTAGTGGTTAAAAAGCCCGCCTCTCGTTGCCGAGAGCGCGGGTTGATTCTCGCCCGGGCAAGTACCAATGTGATTTTTCCGAGTCATATGTACTTTCTAAGACTATTTAGACATCACTGATTAATGCATTCCCAAAGAAGGTTGATGTCAGGCAGGCGGCCGGTCGTAAAAACAATTAGCCAAAACTCTTCACAACATGTAAGGCAGACCCTGGCTATAGCTGGGAAATTGACAGGTAGAAGAAGTAGAAGATTATAAATGATGATTACATGATAACTATTATATATGATTAGCTCCAGATAAGCTGAACTGCTCCCTCGGCCGCTGTATCTCGGAGGCTGCGTGTTGTTCGTGGAGAGGAGGGGAGAGGGCGCTGTGTAGGCAGCCGTCCTGCTGCGACGAACATCCCAAGTACTCACAGGATGGTACGGAAAATTTACAGAATACACCTGGATTAAAAAAAAATCCCATACCTAGAATACTTGCAGAATACACCTGGATTTTAATTTTTTTTATTTCATTTCACAACAGTAATGAATTCATTTCGATTACAAAAATGAAGTGTTATTTAGTTGAACTTCTCTAAGTAGATGAAAGTGAATCCAAAGTAGATACCGAATCGAATCGTTATACGTGTCCGCAAATTATCCGTTTCATTGAAGTGCTCCTTTGTAAACCACATTTTTTGTTTATTGGTCTAACTTTAACACAAATAAAGCGGATGTTTTCCAAACTCGTGAACACGCAAAATATAACTGTCCATGTGAAAAACAATGATTTTCTAAATTTATGCCGCAAATACTAAATGGTTTTAAGAGTTCAAACTACAAACACAATACCGGTTTGTCACATGAAATTAACTGAGCAGAGAACAATGAGTAGCTGTCAAACAATATATCATGCGACGGCACCATCTACTTAAAATATTGATTTGTAGTACATGTTATGTATGATGGCGCTGTATGTGAAAAAAGATTTTCCCGCTTTTCTGTTGAAATTTTTCCTGTTTTTTTTTGTTATAAACCTCACGGAGCCCGAGACCTTTCCAACGAATGCAAAACCGTGGAAATTAGTTCGTTCGTTCTGAAATTATAGCGTCAGGACGGAAAACCGGACTTCTTTTTATATAGTAGATTCTTTTTCGTTATTCCACTTTTTATAGTGACTGACGTTTCATGTCAAGTTACACGGGAATGCTGTCGAACGGGATAAAAAGTCCTATGTCCTTCTCCTGGCTCTAAACTACCTCCTTGCCAATTTTCAGCTAAATCGGTTCAGCCGTTCTTGAGTTATAAGCGGAGTAACTAACACGATTTTATATATATAGATAATATGATGATGATCCATAGTTTTACGTATCAAAGCAAATATACTGAAATAAGTTTAAGAAATATTATTTTCTTGGGTGTTTTTTTGATATATAAAGTTTCTAAGTCTTTAAGCTACAATTAATTTTTTGCACGTAAAGAAACCTTGTCCTATCAAAACAAAGTCGCGGTCAATATTCAATATGTAGTACTAAATACGGTATTATATATAACTTATATATCTTGAACCATGTTTTAATAAATCCTTCATAATATTCCAGGTCTTATAGAAGTTGAGTACCCTCCATTGTATGAAGATAGACACGCGCCTGATGATTATGGATTCATACAGTCCACAATATATACAGTTACTGGTGAGAATTACTTATTATGACTAAAATATACGTAAATATTAGTAATATTAGTATATATAAGTGATAACTAAGAAGTCACTAGTGGCCTAGTGGTTAAAAAGCCCGTCTCTCATGCATAAGGGCGCCGGTTCGATCCTGGCCCTGGCAAGACAATGTGATTTTTCCGAGTCTTTATAAGAGTATTTAGACACCACTGATTAAAGCTTTTCCAAAGAGGGTTGATGTCAGGCAGGCGGTCATAAAAACGATTAGCCAATACTATTCACAACATGTAAGGCAGATCCTGGCTATAGCTGGGAAATTGCCAGGTAGATGAAGATATAAGTGGTAACTAAGAGTTTCATAAACATATTTAAATGAAAATAAGTATTTTCTATATAAATTGTTAATTTCATCTCGCCTGCCCGTTATCAAATTTGGTGGAAAGTAATCTAAATGTTAACATGTAGATATGAAATAATTAAAAGACGTGTAGACGCAAAAACATATTTTCAGGTGCAAATCTATTTAATCTAAACGCATTTTATACATTTTTTAAAATTAATTGTCTAGTATTCTATACTAACCGAATTTTCTGTAAGAGATCAAAATTGAGAATCATCCTTTGATGAAGTTATAATTTTGATAATTAACTACATAAATAAGAAACGCAAACTCTGAGCGGCCAGATCATCCCTACTAATATTATAAATGCGAAAGTAACTCTGTTTGTCTGTTACGCTTTCACGCCTAAACCACTGAACTGATTTTAATGACATTTGGTACAGACAGAGTTGACCTTGAGAAAGAACATAGGATAGTTTTTATCCCAGACTTTTGAAAGGTTCTCTTGGAAACACGATATAATAACTCCACGCGGGCAAGGCTGCGGGCGGAAAGCTAGTAATATAATATAGTGTATATATGTGTGTGTTTCTGTGCAGCCTGTGCGCTAATCTTCATGATAGCTGTTGTGCTGCTTGTCTCCGCGCTGTGTAAGATGCACATGAAGAGGGCTGCGCTGAGGGGCTACGAACACGCGCACAGAGACGCGCGCGGATATACTGTGAGTGACACTACACTGAGACATGCACAACTGTAGGGAATATACAGGGTGACTGGTCAATTACTATCAATATTTAAGGAGAATACTCGGTACATGATTCTCATTCGAATTATGTAAAAAAATAGGTACTTAATTTTTGACCAAATTTCCGTATAAATAAATAAAGTGTGGACACGTTCCAAGTGTGGACGCGTGCGGTGGCGTGCTGATACAACAACACGCCGCCAAACGCGTATGTGTGAGTGTGTGTGTATACCTAATCTGTAGGGTGTTCACACGATGCGTAATTAATTACATAACTTTTGGTTAACTTTACTTAGAAGTTTATTAATATTTATGTTATATTAATTTTTATTTTGTCATATATGATCGTCAAATATCACGTCCTCAAATATCAATAGTAATTCACCAGTCACCCTGTATACATGTTATTTGTTATTTATTTATTATTATTTATTTATATAATACATTACAAATTTCTTTTACGGTGTCACAAAATCCCTGTCGGGTTTATCCGTACACCGGCATTCATTGAGTACACTCGGAACTTTTAGTACATAAATATACTACCTATAACACTATAAACTACATAAGATTTTGAAAAAAGTATTTACAAAAGTCGTGCTAGTTATATTATTAACAAGTCGAGAACGCCTGTACGGGTATGGGTGAAGATTGGTGGAGAGAGAGATTAGAACATAGAAAGGACATAGGATACTTTACATACGATTGTAAAAAATAATAATAATGAAATCCAAAATATTATCTACTGTCTTTAAGGAAGAATATAGTTCGCCCGGTCAGCTATACATTTATAATCCTGAAACTAACGCAGACGAAGTCGCATTCAAAAACTAGTGATGTATATAAACAAAATGTCTACAATCACACAGCACGTTGACAGTCATATATGATCGTCAAATATCACGTCCTCAAGTATCGATAGTAATTCACCACTCACCCTGTATAATATATTCCTTATATTTTATTTCCAGGCTCGTTTCCCTCCCCGCTATGAAGCCGCTCGTCTTATGGAGTCTAGCGTCGCCGCTAGTCCCGTCCGTAGTCTACATCTGGGTTCAGTGAGTATATACACACACTATATTTAGGCAGACCCTGGCTAAAGCTGGGAAATTGCCAGGAAGGAGAAGAAACTATATCAGTGGTTCCGTACATTAAAAAAATCTACTACTCATATAATCGTTCATACAGACGAATATCATATATTGGATGTAGTAAGAATTAGTTTTTTAAAATGGCGTCAGCATTGATGACGTCACTAACGACACTTCTTTCAGTACGCTAAATGATAATTCAAAATGAAACTTTTATTCTTCTAAATATCCTTATATTTGATTTAGGTTCTTTATCCTTCAATGGTTCTAACTCACTGAATTTATACCAAAATTCGGAAATATTAATTCTGTTCTCCTATTAAGCAATGCTTGATTTAGTTTTACTTCTAACAATAATTATGAATACCAAATAGTTTTTATAATAATTGATGACAACCACAAGTTATTATGTTACATTCATCATTGGTGCTGATAGCGCCGATATATTTGCATTTTAATCGATTTTCCTTCATCATAAATATAATATACATTATATAATATTAATAATATCTTCATACAGCCCACAGCTGGTCCCAGTAGCCCTCCAGGTCCGGCACCTTCCAGGGCGTTAGCTGCATTATCTGCTGCACTGTGTTCACGATATAGACAGGTGAGAAACATATATATATATATATACTAGCTGCGCCCCGCGGTGTTTCCCAGGATTTCCGGGATGTATAGTAGCCTATGTGCTATTCCCGGACGTCAGCTTCATGTATACAAAATTTTATCAAAATAAGTTCAGCCGTTTGAGCGTGAAGAAGTAACAAACATACACACACACTTACAAACTTTCGCAATTATAATATTAGTAGGATAAAACATGTAAACAAAGTGGTATATTGAAAAATAATTCATGATTGGTAAATTTATAAATAAACTTAGGTAAAGAGTTAAGATAATTTCGAACGAGATAAAAATTGTAATTATATTGTTAATAATTCCTTGTAATGTTTTAGAATAACGTAGTTTCCTTTAAAAAAACGAATATTTTCATATTTTTAACTACATACTCAAACGTTTCTGTTACTTTGCAGCAATGTGATCATGCAGATGAGATATTTAACAATCTCAAGCCATATTTAGATTTATCTAATCAAAAATATCACCATTTTATTTCATATTATTTCCAGGTGCCGACTCAGTGCTGCGAAGTTGAGATGAGAGATATTACGATGCCTCAAACATCGGTCGCGTCTACTCCACAAGAGCGACCTTTGACCCTTCAACTAGGAAGATTTAGCTTCAACATACCAAGGTTTCGCAACGAAAGGCCAGACACTCCGGACATAACAGAAATAAATATAGAAGACCTAGAATTCATTAGGATGCCATCGAATGAAACTTACACCCTCAATGGCAGAACTATCAGGCTATTTGGTGGAAATTTCCAAAACTACCCTCTAATTAATCGACCTCCGCCCTACAATGAGGCGATGAGACATAAATTCGGCCCGCCACCCGAATATTTAAGCCACGAAGTTTTAAACAACGATAGTGATGAAGATAACAGTAATATAGAAATGCCGCCGTGCTACGAAGATCTGGCGAGCGGGCTCGGCACTAATTATCAGCCCGCCAATGAAAATGATAGCCATCTATTCGACACGACAAGCCTAGTTAATCAAGAAACAAATTCACATGAAACATGCTTAAATGAATTACCAGTTAATATAAATAATAATAGAGACGATACAGCTTCTTACATATCAGTTATAAACTCAAATGTTATAGAAAATAACAATAATTTACCTGTCATAGACAATATTGTCGATAATGTAGAATCTATAAGTACAGTCATAGACAATTTACCAGCCATAGACGATGTAAACGCAAACGATTCTATATATGGCGAGTGTTAATTAGTTTGAAACGATTTTTTATACGATACTCATATCATTATTATTAGAATTATGATTCTGATATAGTTCAATTTAATATTACCAGTTTTTTTTCTTATATATATAATGTAAATATTGTTATATATGTCTTCTACTTTATTTACTTATGGGATTAATATTATTACTATATAGGATTTGTTGTTAGTATGAATTATATATACAATAGTAAGAAAAAATACAATTAATTGTCAAATAAAATATGTAAAACATGAAGTGCCTTAACACATTGCTAGTCAACATTGCTTGAAATAAAATTCATTGTATGGTACAAAATGAAGAACGGTACAAAACTATTGGGACGCAATATTTTCTTTATAAACGCTAAATTTTCTATGATCTTTGTATATATATGGCCATGACGTTTTAGACCTGGTTCTTATAAAATATAGGGATTACCAGTTATTGGTTTTTAATACTAATAGTAAGAAGTTTTCCCAAAGAGGGTTGAGGTCAGGCAGGTGGCCGGTCGTAAAAACAATTAGCCGAAACTATTCACAACATGTCAAGCAGACCCTGGCTAAAGCTGGGAAATTGCCAGGTAGAAGGAGATAATTTTTTTTAATTATTTTTAAATGGATGGGTTATTTAGTGGTAATTGATGGCAAAGTGTTTTTAATCAACGTAAACGTCAAACTACTTTATTAGTTTATTTTGCCCAATCTAACTAATATCTCATGTTTTATAAGAACCGGGTATAAAAACTTATATAATAAAATTCGTATTATTTTAATAGAAATAATCTCTATTATATTTTGGGTATATAAAAATTTGCTATAATCTTGAACGTCATATATAGCCATTAATTAGTAAGTTTAAAATTTAATTTAAATGCATACAGTAGGCCAAAACGTTTTAATTTCCTACCTCAAACGAGAAATGACCAAATAATAATGGGTCTATACTTAATAAACTTAAATCGGAGTTAAATAATGTTATTTTAAAAATAAATCGTGGTTATTTTTTCTATTACCTGTCTGGTACTTAGTTGTAAATAGTCTCTGTATAGATAAGTATATAGTGGCTTGACTAACTTGTACATATTATATATATTTTGCTATATAATAAACACTTAAGTACAAATGTTAGTTGAAGTACTTAATGCCGGCCGTCTTTTAAATGTTTTTCTTTTGAAATACTCTTATATTTAAAGTATAATATGAGAATATATATTTATATAGATATCTTGTCAATACTTGCGATATAAGAGTATTGCAATTTGTTATCTGTTACAATAAAATTGTGATAATATGTTAAGTTTTTTCAGACGCGTATGTTTTGTAAATACAATTCTCTTGTTTTCTCTTTAAAGTTATATCAAAAGTCTGTTCGACATGAAACCTTCTTGGTTATTTTGTATATTTATCAATTTGTTTCTCAGTTATCAAATCTACGGGACAATAAATAACATATCACTGGGAACACTGCTTTTGATCGTATATTTTATGGCTAGTTGAATTTTTCCCGCTTCTTTCACTACAAGTGTCATCTGTCAAATGTCGCTCGCATACTAGTAGTGTTAATTGAATATTGAACAGTTTTATTATATTTTAAATGTATGTAAGTACTAATCCAGCCTTGCGATTGCCTTACATCTGTAATTATTATTAAATAAACATATGGTCTAAAACATGCTGTTTTACTTTACTCGCAAGTTTTTTTGGCGAATAGTTTCCTTGTCAATGGAAATAGGAACGAGTTAAGATTTTGTTCTTTAAAGAGTTGAAAAATGAGAAGAAATTAGTCTTTAAAAGTTGCTTTCTAAGCCAACCAGAAGTTAATGAAAAATTACCGTAACTTATGTTTAACTATATGCTTGGAACGTGGAGATGAGCGTTTAACGCGTTAAAAACTAAAATTTATATTCAGTTGTTAATTAAAATTATATTTTTAATATAAGTTTGCGAAAACATAACATGCATATTTTTTTTACCAAAAACGTTCAAAAACCTATCTCCAGAATAAAATTAGTCGTATATTTAGCAAGACGTATTTTCCTATAAGTGTATATTGTTATAAATTATGGAACTAATAAAGAAAATATCCGTATTAATTTTAATATTTATTGTATTTTCCTCCCTTTTTAGTATCTATCTATTTATCTATTGTTCTTGTTAGCTTGTCTCAATCATCTTTTTCAATTCTTCTCTCAAATATTTCGCTTCTGTCTCCATTTCTTCCAAACTCCTGGCTGGCTTCACCGGGTGACCTGATTTCATTCTGGAATAACAAATATATTTGTGATATAATACTAGTTTTCCGCCCGCAGCTTCGCCCGCGTGGAGTTCGGTTATATCGCGTTTCCAAGAGAACCATTCAAAAGTCTGGGATAAAAACTATCCTATGTTCTTTCTCAAGGTCAACTCTATGTCTGTACCAAATTTCATTAAAATCAGTTCAGTAGTTAAGGCGCGAAAGTGTAACAGACAGACAGAGTTACTTTCGCATTTATAATATTAGTAGGGATATTAATATTTGTATATTATAGCCCGATAGATACTGTTAATGTTCAAACTAGGATCGGATACTCAATAAGAAAACAATAAAAAATTTAAAAGATAGTTGTATGAATATAAATTATAAGTATAGAATACAAACACACGTCTTTTTCGGAAACTTCAAATATTATTTAAATGCAGAAACCTCAATCGTTTCCGTAATTGTTGAAATGAAAATAACAAGAGACCTTATTTAAGTAACAAAATAATTATTCTTACTGGTCGTGTTTCGCAAGTTCCAAGTATATCAAATCATTTTCAATGAAGTCTCCTTTCTTTCTCGGCATTATATGGCAATGTAGATGCTGCAAATAAAATGTAAGGACTATATTAAAATCGAAATAATATATTAAAATTTAATCAAGCGATACTCTTATGTACACTGTTGGTGTTGTGTACAAGAGTATTTATACAGGGTGACTGGTGAATTACTATCAATATTTAAGGAGAATACTCGGTACATGATTCTCATTCGAATTATGTAAAAAAAATAGGCACTTAATTTTTGACAAAATTTCCGTATAAATAAATAAAGTGTTGACACGTTCCAAGTGTTCCAAGTGTGGACGCGTGCGGCGGCGTGCTAATACAACACCACGCCGCCGCACGCGTATGTGTGAGTGTGTGTGTATACCTAATCTGTAGGGTATTCACACGATGCGTAATTAATTACACAACTTTTGGTTAACTTTACTTAGAAGTTTATTAATATTTATGTTATATTAATTTTTATTTTGTCATGTATGATCGTCAAATATCACGTCCTCAAGTATCGATAGTAATTCACCAGTCACCGTGTATATGTGTACAAATATTTGTACAAAGTAGTGTACCTTTACAGTTTGCCCCGCGTCTGGTCCGTCCTGTATAGTGACTGTACACGACTGTGTATTGTGAACTCGTTCCATTAACTGTGAATGTGTACAACTGTGTAAATCTACGCGTGTCCAAAAACAAGAATTGTACACAAAAGTGTACTAATAATACTTCATATGTATTTTTAAATGTATTTTCGTTACAAATTTCTGAATTTTCTGTTTGAATTATACTCATTAATACTACTAAAATTATATTAATAATAATATATTGCGTGTATAAACTCACGTTTTGTATTAATCTTACTGTTTTAAAGAAGTCACTAGCTTCTTCGTCTGTCAAATCTTTATTTCTTTCCGCTAACCTTATAGGAGCTACCAACACATGGCCCGGGGTCACACAACTAGTGAAAATATATTAATAATATTATATAAGTACGTTGTTCAATTAATTTGTCGATCACAGTATAATATTGAGTTCGAAGATGTAAAACAAATTTATAATAATTGATTTTTTTATATGTATAGTAATAAAATATTAAACATTTAATAAGAAATGAATTTAAATGAAGATAAAATCACTCACCGTAAGTTGACAAACGCATAAGTGAGTTCAGACTTGTGAAAGACGCATGTTTCCGGTACAGACACGTGACCGAACACGTTTCCGGTGGTCGCGAGGGGCGGAGTCCGGGGGGGAGAGGGCGGAGGCTCGTTAAATGGTTTGTTGCGAATACTTAAAGAATATAGTGAGTACACATCTGGCCTGGAATTAATTTAATATATTAATTATGAAAGCTTCATACATTGAGACAAAAATTAAGCATGATATGTAATAAATATTTTTAATAAACAGACACATAAATTCATTATATTGGACTTATAATCACTAATATATATTGATATACGAAATAACATTATTTCATAGATATGTAAAATTAATTTTATATTTATACATAATACAATCTAGGCTTCAACCCACCGTCTATGTTGAAACACAGGCATGTTTCTCCTTACTTCTTGTAATCTGTCAGTAATTTCGACCACCTTATAACAAGGGGCGGAGTCCCCGCAGTCGGCTAGGACTTCGCCCCAGGGGTCCACAACTAACGCATGGCCGAAAGACCTTCTTTTAGCACTGTGCTCTCCCATTTGAGCCGCTGCTACTACATAACATTGATTCTCTATTGCCCTCGCTCTAGAAATAATACATAGAAGCAAACATGATTAACAGTTCAATTTATATTTAAATAATGTTCTTAAGATAAAAAATAATATTCGTAAGCAGTGATAAAATATTTGTATAATACTATTTTCAAATTAATTTAAAGTCCCATATAAAAAAAACTATTAACCCTTAACTTATAAGTTTACTCAAAAAAATATACACAGTAAAAATGGTATATTACCTTAATAGTACATGCCAATGAGCCAAGCCAGTAGCGTAAGTAAAGGCAGAAGGATAAGTTAGTATTTCAGCTCTCATCATGCTTAAAGATGTACTGAGCTCGGGAAACCGAAGATCGTAACATATTGAGAGGCCTTAACGAAAAATAATGATTTTAATACTCAATTCAAACTCACTGTTAACAAATGGTACACTTATTTGTACAAATATTACACACTAACAAAAACTTGTACATTTTATATATAATGTGAAAAAATCTAGATTTATTAAAATATTACACAAAATAATAGACATGATATGATTTTCACTTTAAAAAGTTACAGAATTAAACATATATTCGTATTTAGTTCCTTTTAATTTATTATTTTATGTTTTAATTGAGAAATACTTTGGAGGAATATTTTTAATAAAAACCCTGTCATTTTAAAATTCATAATAAAAGGAAAAATTAAATTATAGGATCCAGTTAATTCAATTACAGAGAGAAATATATATAAATATCTTACAATAATATATTACTGATACTATTTATAAACATATAACATAATAACATATTTCAAAATACTTGCAATGGTTGCACATAATTGTAACAGACACATAAAAATGTAAAAAAAAATGTGAAAAGTAGCTGAAACGTCGACAGTATGTAATTTTTGACAAAAATAAAGTCACGTAGTATATATAAATATATGTAGTATATTTCAATATGTATAGTTATGGTTTATTTAAAATTTTAATATTATAAATGTATGCTAGGTATTTATTATAAAAGAATCAGTCCTACCTACCAAGCTTGCCAATCGGTGTGTCAATAGGAGCTACAATATGTGCCCCCGGTCTACAGAAGTCACTTTCCTTCAAACGTATTTTCCTCTCCGGTATATCAACATCGAACAAATGTAACTTTCTATATGTTTGTACTATCTCGCCTTTATCATTTATTATTATGTGTGTATTGAATATCTTATCTACACTTGCTTCATCCTGAACACAATACACTATTGTACACAAGAGATTTATTAACAATAAACTATTGTACACAAGTGGTGTATAAATAATACACCTTTGTGTACAGTCAACACACATTTGTTGAATTAAAACACAGATAGTTTTGCCATTACATTTCCAAATATTAGTATTAAAAGTATCAAAGTTAAAATTGATGAACTGAGTACCGTTAAATGATTCCAAATTCATGGTAAAGTAACTAGAAATTATTAAAATTAACCAAAGGGATGCTATTTTTTGTGTGACATGTAATTGTTTAATGTCCAAATTTTTTTTACACTATATATTTTAAAACAATATAGTAGTCTTAAATTACTTCTGCCAAAATTAAATGACATTTTCAATTTGAATCATAAACAATAATATATATCACACATTATTGTAAATTAATTGTATTTATACATATCGTTGGGGATAGTGCCAATCCTCGTAACTAGCATTGTTTAATTACGCGTATATACATTGAAAGCAGATTATCAGAAGAAAGTTTAGCTTGAAATATTTGCTAAATTAACAACATTTAAGGTATTTTTTTAACAAATAGTAATTAGGTATTTAGTGTTATATAAATTATCACCGACAATATATCTATATTGTAAATGTACTGCTTGATTTAAAATAAGACAAATTAAATTATTATTTTATAATAAAATGTACCTTTTCATGTAATCCACCCATCGACAACCATACATTGTGTGTAGCAGCCAATTCTCTATATTTCTTAACAGTTTCACCCGTCAAAAGATTTTCAGATAATTTTATTGTTTCCTGTTTGTTTTCACAGATATAATCACAGCATTCAGGGAAAAATAACATCTGGAAAGTTAATAAGGGTTTATTATTTACTTTGAATTAACTAATTTCATAATACCATTCCATAATCTCTTATTTAAGTATAAATAAATTATCAGAACAGTTGTGAGTGTTTAAGTAAAAAAAATCTATCATGGGATATAGTATATATGTATATATATAGACTGGAATTTTAATAACAGATAATAAGACAATTGCAAAAGTATTCCATATTTTTTTTCCTAGTAAATATTTAATGATGAACAATGATTTTAACGTTTGTAATTATATTAATCAATAATAAGTCATAACATTTGTTAAACTTATACATACATATATCGAATAATTATAAAGCTATTGGTCATGTATCTAGTATATATAAATACTAGTTTTTTAACTTGACTTTGTTCTCATTAATTTGGGAATTAGTAATATATGTTTAACTGACTGAGCAAAATCTATTGCACCCTAGAGGCCATAAATTACCATATATCGGAATTTATTAAGTTTTTTCTGTTTTGATGGAACAGATTTAAATATCCTATGTCTGTCTCCTGGTGCTAATCTATCTCTCCACCAATTCTTAACTATATTCCTACAGCCGTTCTTGAGTTATAAATAGTATAACTAACACAACTCTCTTTTATATATGGATATGCCAGATATATATCTATGTATGGTTTAATTTTTCTGAGTTATTCAAATAAACATAATCTCGTTTATATAACGTATATAGTGGTGTAGAATATTATTAAAGTTAACCAGATTTGGTTAATATTTTCATACCTCAAATAATTGGTGCAAAGATTCAAATTAACAAGTAGCCACAAGCCATAGTTATTGGAAAGTTATGAAAGAATAGTTCTAAACAAACCTTGACACCATCTTTTGCTGCATCGCGTATTAATTGACTAACAACATTTAAATTAGCCGATTTATCAGCTATCGAAGTCATTTGACACACAGCTATTTTTTTGCTCGCCATTGTACTGAACTGAGACGATTCCAAATGTAGAGTCTTTAATATTGATAATGTAATATTCTGGAAAGAAAAAAGATTAATTATTATGCTTGTATATTGCGTGTAAGTTTCACAATAAAATTTCTTATTACGAGATGTTAACAATGGATGTATAAGGTCAATATTTATCACGATTAAATTATCGCAGATAGCAATGTATTTCTGTTTCACTTTTGCATTATCATATGTGATATCAAAAGCAATAACATGCAAAATACGAATAATATTTATTATGCGACGAAATATTATGACGGCTTTATAACCTATGTCTTACCCGAATCATAATTTAAACAATATGAAAATATACCTGAAATAATAAAGAGGGTATACTTATGGATAGTTAGTTACATTTAGTGGAAAAATATTCTCTGTTTACACTTTACAATTACTACCTATCTTAAATATAAATAGTTCCCGACTGTCAATGTCATTGTAATGTTTTAAAAGAATTTATCAGTCACAATATTGGTACCTATTCTTAGATCTATTCCAATATTATGTAATATTTTCAGAACAGATTGATAAACTATAAAAATGATCAAAGCTATATATGAAAAAGAGTTTGAGAAAAAATCTATTTTTTTAAGTTCATTTACAAGAATAAAGGAATAAGAAAAAATACCTACATATTCTAAATATATTTATTTAGGAGACATTTAGACCAAGCATAGTTTTTTTTGTATCAGCTAAACTCAATTCAATTTAAGTACCATGTTTATTCCTATGAAACTGAAATAAGGAGCAGAAAAGTACTTGTAATTTTATGATAACATGATTTTTTGCATACCTTAAAGAGCAGCGAGTTGATGGTCTAAAACATGCCAATCGTCCCAAAAATAAAAGTGGGAATGTAAAAGTAACAAGTACCTCTAAATAAAGAATATTCCATAATTATAGCAAGAACAAGCAATCGAATCCTACAGTCGGAGGCTTATGAGTTCTAAAATCGTACCGGAAATGAACACACGTGTGCTTTATATTCAAAAAGCAAGTTTTTCGGTTCATATTTTTTGGTTTGCTTCTCACTAGCGTTGCCAAGTTTATTTACGTTCAATTTTATTTAGATGTGTTAGTTTACGATATACAATATTGTCTAATTAGCCGCGTTAGGAGTGTGTGGTATTTCATGTGGGAGAAGCGAGATTCCAGTACATACAATTCTAATAATCCTGGTCTATATGTACATCAATCAGTCTATTTCTATTATACTCAATCATCAAATTGAATGCTTGCATTCATATGATAATAATCTCGTTTGATTTAGATGTTTTACTCTCCTGTTAAAAGTTACGAAGTTATTTGCAAAGATAAATTTTGGACGGTAGAAATAAAAGCTGCCAAGTATTTCATACATTTTATTAGTCCCATATATACAGTATTGAAGTCCAAGGTGTGTGTGAGTGAGGCAGGTCACAGCAGCCGGCCGCGACACGTTGGGGCCCCGCAGTAACAGTAGAGGACCTTCCCGGGCACGGAACCCACGTCGTAGTTGTAGTTCCACGTGAGTTCGCCCCCGGCCCGCACCGCGCGGAGAGCGAAGAAAGACACCCACGGGAAGCGAGGGTCGTGCGTGTCCACGAACACGTTCTGAACGAACACATTCGGTACGCACGAGTGCTGGGCAGTGGGAACAGACCGGTTAGTGTTGAATGAAGGAGGTGTGGGGCAGTGGGAACAGACCGGTTAGTGTTGGAATGAACGAGGTGTGGGGCAGTGGGAACAGACCGGTTAGTGTTGGAATGAAGGAGGAGTGGGGCAGTGGGAACAGACCGGTTAGTGTTGGAATGAAGGAGGTGTGGGGCAGTGGGAACAGACCGGTTAGTGTTGGAATGAAGGAGGAGTGGGGCAGTGGGAACAGACCGGTTAGTGTTGGAATGAAGGAGGTGTGGGGCAGTGGGAACAGACCGGTTAGTGTTGGAATGAAGGAGGAGTGGGGCAGTGGGAACAGACCGGTTAGTGTTGGAATGAAGGAGGTGTGGGGCAGTGGGAACAGACCGGTTAGTGTTGGAATGAACGAGGTGTGGGGCAGTGGGAACAGACCGGTTAGTGTTGGAATGAAGGAGGAGTGGGGCAGTGGGAACAGACCGGTTAGTGTTGGAATGAAGGAGGAGTGGGGCAGTGGGAACAGACCGGTTAGTGTTGGAATGAAGGAGGTGTGGGGCAGTGGGAACAGACCGGTTAGTGTTGGAATGAAGGAGGTGTGGGGCAGTGGGAACAGACCGGTTAGTGTTGGAATGAAGGTGTGGGGCAGTGGGAACAGACCGGTTAGTGTTGGAATGAAGGAGGTGTGGGGCAGTGGGAACAGACCGGTTAGTGTTGGAATGAAGGAGGTGGGGGGCAGTGGGAACAGACCGGTTAGTGTTGGAATGAAGGAGGTGCTAGGTTGATACACTTGGACAAATGTTTGCACGAATAAGGACGTTGAAGACATTTGAACCTTTCTGCACAGTGTAATAGTAAGACTTCCATCAAGACAAGTGTTTGTAACCGACCCCTAGTCAGTTTATTCCTCATATTATATGTACAACACAAGTCACAGATCACGCTTAGTGTTACTAACGCTTGGTGCTATGTTCGCTTATATCATTGGTTGACTTGTTATCATATATTTGTTTATATCAGAAACCGTAACAGAGCACTTTACAGTTACTCTCATTGTGTTGTGATAACATATTAAATAGTGACGATGAATAATTCTACTGTCAATGTTTCATCTCTCTCGATGGCAACCTTACTCTACACACAGCTCACACCACAGTCGGTCCTACAAGACCCGTGTTATCGTACATTCCCTTACATTCAGATATCTGCCAATATTCCCTTGAACCTTGGCGTCCATGATGTAGCAGGCTTCATCCTCACCAAACAGACTACGGACAGACCTGGAAATATAACATTAATAATGATTTATCTAATCATATAACAGTTACTGTGATTAGACAAAAATAATATCTCAAAGTATACTCAAATTATGTCCAATATTTATATTAATATATATAATTTATTGTATCTTGTAAATATTTTTTTCTCACCTATATTTTGATTTAAACTTGTTTGTTCCCATCCCAGCAGATGCTGTGAAATTTGAAGGTTCTCGATCTGAAAATAATACAGATAAATATTAGTAGTAATATTTCATCAGAACAAATTGTATAACAATTTAATTACATCAAAACCAGGAAAAGTGCCTCATTCCATGTTAGTGGTTTATCCATAAGACAGAAATCGGAAGGATGTTTTTCCTTAACTTACTACTATTAGGTGAATACTAGGTTAAAAGCATATTTCAAATAAAATAATGTCTAAAATCATTTAATTAATTAATAATTAATAAATATTAATTAAAAAATGTTCGCCAAGAAAAATTGAGATATCAAATATTTTAGGAATTATTATCTTAAGTAATTAAGATAATACTGATTATAGTATACAATTTAGGCATTCAAAATATTTGTACTAACTTTTTTTAGTATATCATCCTCATATTTTAATAGTAATAGTGCATGTTACAAGTCCAATTCCCGACTATACAGTAAAAATTGTAACTAATATTTGAGAAGGACTTATAGGTAAAATTAACGTGAAAATTATATTCTTGGCCATATTAAACCATATTTTATTAGAAATCAACATTAAAATTTGTTATTATCTTAATGGCCATCTCAGGTTAAGTTGGGAAAATCTCATTTAACTCAAAAGTTACATAATAAGTCCTAACCTTCTTCTTCATTACTCGATGAAATATAATCTTCTTCGATTTCCTCCTCTATTTCAGAATTTTCTTCCTCTGTGGGCATAGATTTTTCTTCTTCTGTGACATCAGATATATGATCTTCTCTGTAAAGAATTTCATCTTCTTCTGTTTGCGCTAATTTCTCTGTAACTTTTAACACCGTATTCTCTACTTCTTCGTCTGTCTTTGAATCTCTCCGTGATTCTTTGCTGAAAAATAGAATGAAATATATTAACCCAAGTTCAAAAGAAGAGATTGTGTTTGTTTTGTTGGGACATTTTTTATTTAATATAAAATGTTATTGTCAATGTTATTATCAGTCAGTGGTGGCCTAGTGGTTAAAAGGCCCGCCTCTTATGCACGAGAGCGCGGTTTCGATCCTGGCCCGGGCAAGTACCAATGTGATTTTCCCGAGTCATATGTACAAGACTATTTAGACATCATGTTGATTAATGTTGATTCCCAAAAGAGGGTTGATGTCAGGCAAGGCGGCCGGTCGTAAAAACAAATAGCCAAAACTATTCACAACATGTAAGGCAGACCCTGGCTATAGCTGGGAAATTGTCAGGTAGAAGAAGATTGTCAATGGTTACTTGGAATCTGTGACACCTAAGACGACTTCTTCGTAGTCAAAGTCGTCATCTTCTTTATCGCTCTTCTTGCTGCTTTCTTCTGACGAAGATGAGTTTATTTCGTCGCTCGTCGCCGAAAGTTGTTTCTCTCTTTCATCCTATTATAAATATAAAAATATATGTATATAATATAATGTATTCTTAAATAATAATAAGAAATTTTAAATTTTATAAGACCAAATTGGTGATAAAATGCTAATTATCTTTAACTATTTTACACGAAACAAATTAAAAATGATGAAAGTGAATTAAAAACCTTGTTTTGAAGTTGGGTAACATATAACTACCAGATATTTAAAGTTAGAGCTCAAAAAGTTTTGATTATCGTTCTCACAGCGTGCAGTTAAACTTTTCAAAGCTTTAAAAAAATTAAACACTGCTTGAAAAATTTAAATGAGAAAAAAATTAGAAGGTAAGCATTTTACCTAGAATGAGTCCTGATGTATAAAATTCCTTCTCGCCTTCTATGCATAATTTTATGTATACTCCAATCTGACTAGTTTTTTATTGTTAAATATAGTAACTTACAAGTTTTTACATCTCTGGCAGTTAAAACTAAATCAATGATTTGAATGGTTCGCTCCAGAACTCACAACAACTTATTAAGTTCTAATCGTAGAAACTTAGAAGTGTCTAAAATATAGTCTCAGGCCCAAACTAAATAATAAGGATATGTCAAAAAAAAATGTACTACTATCTATTACCTAACTCTTATTCAGAAAAAATTGCAGTTATGTAGGTTATATCACATATATGTTCTGTAATTGAAACTGTAATTTATCTGCTTCTGTACATTTTCTGTACATTCAAAGAATCATAACTTAATTTAAGTAAATGAGACCATGAACTAAAATCTTCGAAGAACCTTTTAGTAAGAGACTGATTATAGAATTTGAGTTCTTAATATCAAAGGCCACTCCAATAAAAGACAATTTTTTGCTCCAATAGTGGTGAGAAACAAAGTTCCTTGTTGTAAGACCTAATTTATCTTCTTCTGTACCAAACCTTCTATATATTCCTCAGTACTCTACCCACCTCATCCATCTTCCTCATATTCTCCGGTATATCTTCTTCACAGCCCTCCTTCATATCTCCTTCTCTACCAAACCTTCTATATATTCCTCAGTACTCTACCCACCTCATCCATCTTCCTCATATTCTCCGGTATATCTTCTTCACAGCCCTCCTTCATATCTCCTTCTCTACCAAACCTTCTATATATTCCTCAGTACTCTACCCACCTCATCCATCTTCCTCATATTCTCCGGTATATCTTCTTCATAGCCCTCCTTCATACCTCCTTCTCTACCAAACCTTCTATATATTCCTCAGTACCCTACCCACCTCATCCATCTTCCTCATATTCTCCGGTATATCTTCTTCATAACCCTCCTTCATCTGCTCCACCACCTCGATGTAGTCCAACTCCGCCAGGTACTCGTCACCCTCGTTCAGACCGTCCTGTAACGATCATAACATAATATATAATTATATTAAATTACAATGTTTTTAAAAGCAAAATTTCAATGAAGTGGAGACCAAAAACATAGAATATTAATTCATGTACATTGTGGAAACCAAGTCAGTAGTGTGGTTAAAAAGCCCGCCTCTCATGCATGAGGGCGCGGGTTCGATCCTGGCCCGGGCAAGTACAAATGTGATTTTTCCGAGTCATATGTACTTTTTAAGAACATTTAGACATCACTGATTAATGAATTCCCAAAGAGGGTTGATGTCAGGCAGGCGGTCGTAATATAAATAGCCAAAACTATTCACAACATGCAAGACAGACCCTGGCTATAGCTGGAAAATTGAAAAGCAGAAGAAGACATTGTGAAAACCTTAATTTTACTATTTTTAGTTCTAAAATACAAACTAAGATGCATTAGATAGAAACTGATATAAAGCAAACACAAGAACGTAAATTTATAATATCCTACCAAGATTATAATTGCGAAAGTTTGTGAGTATGTGTGTGTATGTTTGTTACTTCTTCACGCTCAAACAGCTGAACCGATTTTGATAAATTTTGTATACAGAAAGCTGACGTCCAGGAATAACATATAGACTACTTTACATCCCGGAAACCTCGGACATCATGGAAATCCGCGGGTAACACCGCGGGGCGCAGCTAGTATAATTCTAAATCTACTTTAAAAGTCTACGTACGAGCGTTGCTGTGGCGTCTGTTAATAGATTTCCAGCGTAAATACAGATGAAGCATCCCTTGGGAATATCATTCAGGGTGCGAATGCCCCAACCGCGCTTCAGAGTCTTGAACACCTGAAACATATTCGACATATATATATATAAGTCGTGTTAGTTACACTATTTATAGCTTTTAATCAAGTTCAATTGAAAAAAATATTAGTTGATACAATTCAAAATTTGCTTATTTACTCAATCTGAGACAACACAGATTTGGCTTGGTCGGGAATACATTTCTTATTCTTAAACTGAAACAGACTAAGTCACTGGTAAAAACTAATATAAAAGCAAGATAATATTTTATTAAACTTTATTATCGTTGATAGATTTTGAGTGTACGCAAACAAAGCCTTACAAAAAAATTATTAATTTAATTTCTATTAAAATAACTATTTTCACTCACTTGTAACTTCAGTTGCAGCGGATGTTGAGCGACGCGGTTAAGACACGTGTCCTTACACTTACACCTGGAGGAAGAAATGCGACATATACATATAAGACCATAAATAACTTAAACTAGCTGTCAGTGTATTGTACCACAGATGTACTCTAACCTTGAGTTACACTCGTATATCCCGGTGGGCAGCGGCTCCGGCAGCCTCTTGTACACATAGCCGACGCCCTCCCCCTCCAGACCTATGGTCCGCGCGCCCTCCAGAGTGAGCTGCCAGCAGGCGCACTTGGTCTTGTCCTCGCAGTCGTCCTCACAGTCACAGCCACAGAGGAACTCCGGGTCGAGGTTAAGAGGCACGCCGGCGGTGGGGGTGCGCTGCGTGTTGTACGAACAGAACTCCGGCAGAGACTCGTCGTAGTAGTTCACGCACGGCACTGGAACGTTCTCTTTGCCATTCGACAAGTCCTAGAGAATAGTTATTATGTATTTAGTATGTTTTGATAATTAGGAGTTTTTTTTTTGCCAAAAGTATTGCATACTAGAAATAATATTTAGACATGTTTAGTCTTCATTCGCTAAACAAAATCCTTCACCGAAAATGTAAGATAGTTCAACAAAAAATCTTATTTAAAATGCAAAATTAAGAGAAGTCTTTGTAATTTTCAGCTACAATCATATAATATGCCTGTTGCAAAACGTACATATTATGGTCCTTTAACAAACATTGCGAAATTTAGTGAAAATACTCTTCAGAACTTTTGCCAAATATTATCAGTTCAGTTCATTTAAATATTTTTGGCAATAATATATATTAACCTTCTTAGTGACGCCGCATTTATTGAGCACAAACTCAGCCAGACAGTGTGTGGACGGAGTGAAGTCGAAGAGGTCCACCGGCAGTTCTGAACCGATTGTCCGCAGATAGTGATGTAGTTCACGAGGAGAGCGGACCCGGCGCCCGCACGGACACACGTATAATACTACTTTGGTGCCCTTGAAACGGACTATCTGTCTGGAAAATTAACATTTATGATTACTATTGGGACCTAAATGGCTTGTAATTTCAGATTGTCATGTAGATCGATACATTTATGTCTAAGAAATGAATCAAACTAGAACTAGACTTCCAATTAAACGGACTATCTGCCTGAAAAATGAGGTATTCTTATGACTAAAGGAACAAAATTTGGATTTTTTATGGTATGACACTGAAATCGATCGATCTTGAACTCATATTATACCAATTTAAAAGCAGTTGAAATTATCTTATCAATGGTATAGAGAAAAATTTTTAGTTCCCAATGTATTTGTAAATATCCGTAAAATAACTATATAATACGATTCAGTGAGAGTAAAATTAGCCTTATATTCAATTTTAAAAGACGTATATACGTATATAACTTTTAACTGAACACTAACTCTATTACAGTCTTGAAGATGATGATGATTTGCTTTTACTGTTATGCTACTATAACATTTTTATCTTTTACTTGGTTTTGATAAGTTTTCCAAGTGTTATCCTATTGCAAAACTATTTTTTACCTCTCCCAGCCGCTCAGCAGCGGCTTGGCCAATGGATTGTAAGGTTTTAAGTCTTTGAGTTCCAAAACATCCGTTCTCTTGCAGGCAGGCGAGCAAGTATGGGGCACCATCTTGTATGGCTTCACCTTTTTCTTTGGACTGTAGTACTGAAATTATGATAAATGAATATTATAAATTTTGTTTGTCTATTACAAATATATATCTAAATAATCTAGGTATCGTCGGACCTATCGTAGGATATTTATATCTTGTGCGTTAAGAACATGGGGCTAGAACATAAACATTTAACCGTCGCACTTATCGAACGGTATATCATTCTATGTAAATAAATAATAACTGAACGAATAAATATGTACCTCATGTACTCAAAAGATGACCAATATTACAATTAAAAATATGGCATATACATATAAAAAACCTATATGCCATGGAAGTTCCATTTAAATTCGTCAGTTATAAAGCTTTACCCGCGACTTTATCATCGTGGAATAGTTATTTTGGGCATCATATATATTATTTTGCAAATAAACTGATCAGCTTTATATAGAATACAGAATTCCCGTACTTTGGCTATCTCTAATTCTAGGATGTCTTTGTCTTTTGGGACCGATGTAATGACTAATGTCATCATGGGATTTCCCCAGTAATTGGAATGGAAATTTTTAATAATTATTATATTAGTACTAGAAGACCCGGCGAACTTCGTATCGCCCTATAATCAAGAAATATCTATTACTTTTTTTATATTTTTTTAGTTTACCTATTAAAGCCATAAATCTCCGTATTTTGAAGTGTGATAGAATGATTGACATATTAGTTAGTTGTCAAATCTAATGTAAAAAAAAAACGTTTGTATAAACAACTAATAATAAATTAAAAATTAATTAAAAAAACATTCTCCAGCTGACAAAATTTTGAATCTAAACCATTCCCAGATCCCTTTGAACACACACAAAAAATTTCATCAAAATCGGTCCAGTCGTTTGAGAGAAGTTCAGTGACATACACACTCACAGAAGAATTATATATATAAAGATATTTACCACTACACTGCTGGTAACGTCAATACTCTGTACTGTAGTGGGAGGTAGTTGGCGAGTCTTCGTGGTAGTCTTCTTGGCAACGGCGCGATGAACAGGAAACTCCTGATAATTGAAGTGAAGTGAAGTCAATATCATATTTGAAGTGAAGTCAATATCATATTTGAAGTGAAGTCAATATCATATTTAGAGTCTCCGACAAAATGATTTGGTGGTAATACTGACCCTACAATGCAGCAAAATATTTAGAGATCCTTGGAATATGAGAGCCATCGACATATAGTAATGGACATGCTTTAGAGATGAGAATTGTGGCACTCCGAAAGAAAGAGAGGAAACGAAGTTTCGGTCTATCTTTATCTCTCTCAAATTTAAGTCATTACTCCAATATACAAGAATCGTCTATGAGGAAAGAGATAGTGCTAGACCGAAAGCATAGGCCATCTCTCTCACTATTTTCAAACCAAAAAACTACTGCAGATTATACGCGTACGGCAAATTTATTAGTATATGTCGATGGTACGAGCCTCCACATACTATATTAAGGTTGACAGTAACCAATGTTAACTATCCAGAAAAATATTCGCTATTCGCTATTTTCGCAAATAACGATTTAATTATTTTTTTTGAGCATCCATACTATATCATTTCAATATAATTCTGAGGATATTTACTAATACTTAGCACACACTAGATTCAGAACACTACTTTAGGGATTACAAGACATTTCACTAATACTTAAATACATACACACATAAATAAAGCTTTTCTGTTTATATTCACCTCAGTCTGTTGGTGCGTCGTACCCTCTGCCCGTTCGTCGGCAAGCTCCTTTGGCCTCGTGTACTCCACGTAGGGCATGTTCGACTGTAAACATGAACATTTTAATTGTATACACTCCCAATAATAATATTTGAATCTATCCACGAGAAAACTGTAAATGCAATATACCCATAACTTAACAATAGTCGAGTGGTAGTAAACATATACCATACTATACATTATTTATCACCAGATAATCAAATATACATTGTTCTAATAGGTTGGGGAAAAAGTTTCTTAACATTTTAAGAAAATTCAAAACATTTTTTAATATAGTTTATTAAAATTTAATTAAAGTATGTATGTACCGTTTTGTTCGATAACCTTTTGCCATCTTGTAGGTAGGGACATGAGCTCATTGCTATAAAAATTTTGGGACTTCTCATCAAAATACCGCGACAAGTGGATTTGGCAGTCCTCTCGTGATGTTAACCTAACATTGCCTAAAGAATTCTGAAGTGACCGAAACAGGTGGATATCTGAAGGTGCAAGGTCAGGACTATACGGCGGATGCATTAACACCTCCCAGCCAAACTCTCTTAATTTTTGCTGAGTGGCTATAGATGTGTGAGGTCTAGCGTTATCATGATGAAACACCACACCCCTTCTGTTGATCAATTCCGTCCGCTTTCTCTCAACTTCTTGTTTTAATCTTATCAGTTGTTCGCAGTAGAGTTCAGAATCGATAGTCCTGCCTGGTGGTAATAGCCCATAATGAATAATGCCCTTCCAATCCCACCACACACACAACATCACCTTATTGCGAGTTAACCCGGGTTTCGCCACAGTCTGTGAAGGCTGACCGGCCATTGACCACGACCTTTTTCGCACGTTTTTGACGTACGTGGTCCACTTTTCATCACCAGTAATCACCTTCTTCAAAAATGATTGGGTTTCATTACGTCGTAATAAAGAATCCCAAATGAGTAAACGGTTCATTAGGTTTCTTTCAGTGAGCTCGTGAGGTACCCAAATATCGAGCTTTTTTTGTACCCAGCTTTTTTCAAATGCGCCACAACTGTTTTGTGATCAATTCCCAGTTCTTCAGCTACGTCGTAACTACTGATATGTCGATCTTGCTCCACTTTTTCAAAAATAGCACCCAAAATTTTAAAATGTATCGAATTTCTTCATTAGATTCACTCATATTGACAGTACGAAAAACAAATGAAGATCACACATTTGCCTAATTTGTATTTATGTTCTTTAAAATTTTAACTTTCAATGATACCAAAACCAGCCAGATACAAATACTACAGCCAAAGAGATTTTATTACAACTTCATACATACTATAATGCGAAAAGACTTTTTCCCCAACCTATTATTCACCTCAGCCTGTAGCTGGTGCGTCGTCCCCTCTGCTCGTCGGTCGGGCCGCTCCTCGGGCCTCGTGTACTCCACGTAGGGCATGTTCGTCTGTCAACAACACACGTCTCTTTACTCTCTTCTCCTCACTCCACTCGTCTATTCTCCTGTATATATCTCACCCTCGCGGTCAGTGCCCTCGGCAGGGCCCGCGGCCTGTGTCTCTCGGCGGCCTGCAGCTCCAGGTACAGCGGCGCGAGTCTCGTGGACCCTCGGTAGATCCACTCGCGCCTCTCGTGCTGTAGGAGCTGGACCTGCGCCAGCGACGCGTCCACCGACACCACCACCGACGACCACCACTTGTCTGTATATATATACTACTAATAATATACTCGCTGATACATTTATTACTACTAATATTATAATTGCGAAAGTTTGTGATTGTGTGTGTATGTTTGTTACTTCTTCACGCTCAAACGGCTGAACCGATTTTGATAAAATTTTGTATACAGGAAGCTGACGTCCAGGAATAACACATAGGCTACTTTACATCCCGGAAATCCACGGGTAACACCGCAGGGCGCAGCTATATATAAAATAATATATAACTTACTATCCCACTCAATCTTCACAGTCTGTCCAGTTTGTAACTTCACCATGGGTCTATCAGGATACTTCAAGAGATATTTTTTGACGAATTCCCTCGACTTGGGCTGTACTTCTTCCCACACATTTGACGCGCACTCACACACCAGGCGGATCTTGGAATGAGGCGCGTATTGAGCGTAGCCATCGTCGAAGAATATCAGGTAACTAGAAATAATATATCCCTACTAATATTATAAATGCGAAAGTAACTCTGTCTGTCTGTCTGTTACGCTTTCACGCCTAAACCACTGAACTAATTTTAATGAAATTTGGTACAGACAGAGTTGACCTTGATAAAGAACATAGGATAGTTTTTATCCCAGACTTTTGAAAGGTTCTCTTGGGAACGCGATATAACCGAACTCCACGCGGGCGAAGCTGCGGGCGGAAAGCTTGTGCATAATATATATGTAACAACAAATTTTCATTCACTAGCAAAAACTTTCTAATGCTTACCGGTAACTATTTTTTGGGTTGGGCGTTTCTGCGACAATACCAGCGTAAAAAGATCCACGCTTCGTGTTATCCTTGAACAATGCTATCACACGTGTACCTGGGTAAAAAAAGGATTTGTTTATTAATTGTACATATATGTATTGCAATTTGTATAGAAATTATGTTTTTATCACGGTCGCAAAAAAATTGTGAACAAGTTAGAAATATTCTTGATAGATTTAAAATTAGTGTCTATATAGTCAAAGACTTATTTATTGTAACACAATGTTAATTCTTGTCTTTTTATATTTCGTGTTTCGTCGGGCTCAGAAACCCCCAAAACTATTTTCATGTACTTCCATTAATTAAACTCAACTGTGCAATTTTAACTTATTGTATCGCCTACTGTATTGTAACCTTGTGAAGTACAATGGCTTTTAAAAATATAAGACTGAATTTAAATTATTTCTAAGTTTTATTTCTATCTCCCCTTAAATATATAATGTGTCCATTTGATGGATGTCTAAATAAATTAACTTCTAGATTAAGATTTAAAAAATTAAGTTAGTCGGTTATTAAGTATTTGTTCTTAGGGAGCTACTATTGAAAAAAATACGTGTTGAAATACATACATTTGAGTTCAACTTTAGCGAGCATCTGACGTCAAGACTAATAATATCCTTTATTTTTCTCTGAAGTATTGCGGAATTTCACTAAGATAAGTTCAGAAAACTACATAAATTAATATTTTTGCCTTGATATTGTTGGATTAATATCAAAATGAGACATGTAGCGCCATCTGTTATGTAGTATGTGAAATATAACTTTTGTAGTGAAGTCTTGTCAAATTAAATAAAGTCAGTTTAACTAGTAAAACTGGCGAACTCCGTTTCGCCACCAGAAGGCTTTTATATAACATTTCATTTGGTGATTAAAAGATGAAGAATTTTTTGTTTTATATTTGAAAAGGAAAATTTTTATTTCATTTCACAACAGTAATGAATTCATTTCGATTACAAAAATGAAGTGTTATTCAGTTGAACTTTTCTAAGTAAATGAAAGTGAATCCAAAGTAGATACCGAATCGAAGCGTTATACGTGTCCGCAAATTATCCGTTTCATTGAAGTGGTCCTTTGTAAACCACATTTTTTGTTTTTTGGCCTAACTTTAACACAAATATAGCGTATGGTTTCCAAACTCGTGAACACGCAAAATATAACTGGCCATGTGAAATACAATGATTTCCTAAATTTATCCCGCAAATACTAAATGGTTTTAAGAGTTCAAACTACAAACACATTACCTAAATATATTTATTTTTATATAGTAGATTTTTTACAAATATCTAATTGTCATCCATACGTCATTACATATCTGTCATTATACGTCAATTGCAGAGCTGTCAATTGTGTTATTCCACGTTTTATAATGACTGACGTTTCATGTCAAGTCCCACGGGAATGCTGTCGAACGGGATAAAAAGTATCCTATTGTAATTTCCTGGTTCTAAACTACCTCCCTGCCAATTTTCAGCTAAATCGGTTCAGCCGTTCTTGGGTTATAAGTGGAGTCACTAATACGACTTTCTTTTATATATATATGTAGATAGTTAATAAACTCACCAATAGTTATCCTGAAATGCGGTGCATTGAAGTATGCGATGAATCTAGCTGGCAATACTTTGGACTGCTTAGTCGTTCTGTGTTCATACTCAATATGACACAAAGTAAAAGAGTTTGCCTGAAATAGAGAAATTATTACTATCACAAATTTATTTAAGACCTTGTAAGTTCTATAGTGAATATATCAAAAAAATCTGATCTTCTTGTGTTGAGATGATAATTAAATATGATATTAAATCATTAATATTGTTGGATTCTGTCCGAAAAGAAAATGTTAGATGTAAAAAATTGTAACAGTTAAATAATGGTAGCAACTTATTTAGAAGATCTCACAAGTAGATCCGAGGAATCTTATGATGTTACTGGATTTTAAGTCCAAATACTTAAATTTTAAGGTTCAGTTTACCATGTAAACTTATGTATAAAATTCTTCATATTCTAACTCTACAAGAAGAATACATATAAGTACTTGTAATAGGTAAGTAGACACATTCTGGATAAAACTGGGAAATGGCTAGGTAGAAGGAAACTTCTACCTGGCCATTTCCCAGTTTTAGCCAGTAGTAGTCTTTATAATTAGACACATCATTATTTAATTCATGACTGAACTGTTTTTGTTCTTTTAATTAACATTTTTATTCCTCTCATCCAATTTAATGATTGCTATTTACCTATTATACATCATCATCAGCATATCCGAGCCCACCGCAGAGCAAAGGCATCTTTCTCACATAAAGAAAAATGGGTTGGTGATTTTAAACTTATAATTGTGAAATTATAAGTCCAGGTTTCCTCACAATGTTTTCCGTCACCGTATGTCAGTGGTGTCTAAATACTTTCAAACAGTACATATGACTCGGAAAAATCATATTGGTACTTGCCAGGATCGAACCCGCGCCCTCGGCAACGAAGGCCGGCCCCTTAACCACGCCCACCACTGACTTACCTATTATACCCTTATCTCTATCTCGGACTACCAATAAATGAATCAATAACAATATAAGACTTACATCTTCTGATTTTGGTGTTATCTCCAATATCCTGGCTTTAATCCAGGTTCTCAAAGGATTTTTAGAAGCATAAACTTTCATTCCCGCTGTTAACTGGGGATAAGACAATTTTCCCATCGGAGCAAGGTTGGAAGGATCGGTTTCCACAGATTGATGTACCTCAGCTACTTCAGCATCCTGAGGAATATACATTACTTAACAGCTAGGACTAAATTCCTGTTTTTGACTTTATTTTTGAGAACTTTAGTTGAATCTACATTTGATGCTCAAATTGATTGGCAGCTATCTATAGACTGTGTCAAATGACTTAATACGGCAATATACAATTATATCCTTATTGTCTCAGGGAGTGAAATGAATATTTTGATTGATTTATAGTGTATATATATTATTCTATATATATAGAAAAAGAGAAAAAGAAAGGGAGGGAAACAGTAACAAAAAATTAAAGGAACAAAATAACACTAACCTGATCTGTTGCAGATTTTCTTGCTAGAGACTCGCATGATGATTCCGGATTATTTAAGAGTCTACTTCCCTGACATGAAAACATTTTTTATATGTTAATTCCATGTAATCAATCATATATACAAGAATAGATTATTCTCACCTGTTCCGCCAGGTCGACAAAGGAATACTGAAATATATAACAATTAATATAAATTATATGAAAAGTTATTTATTAATACCTTTTTATCTCAATGAAGTTAATTTTTTAATTATGTACAGATGACTCGACAGACAATGGTCTGTCTTCTTAACTGTGATTATTGAATTCTAATTGGTATATTAATAAATCAAAAATATTCCAAAAACAAAGTGTTTATTATTCTTTATAATACAAAATATTCTTAATTTTTGTTATATTGACAATTACAGAAATCTAATAAACTACATTCCAACAATTTTTCACCATCACAGAAAATAAATATTAACATAAATTACCTTACATATCGGATTATATATATGTTCTTCAACAATTATTGAACCGAATGAAGTCATTTGAAAACAGCTATTGTATTTTTAAGTGTTCGCTAGAAAATGTCTTGATTCTGGTATTTCACCATAAAGTAAGGAATACAACATAATACAGGCTCTGGTGGCGGAGTCAATAATGGCAATTTAGCTTTACCGGACAAACCAGGCATTTCAGCGGCAAATTTCAATGCCACAATGCTGGAAAACAACGTCCATTTGACCAATGCTAACTAAACGATGCAAGCTGTAGTCGGTGGTGCAATCATATATAAACGTTGCTCAATTCAAATTAATACTTGAACCATTTCTTCTTACACTTCGTAGATTATACCTCTGTCGATTTGAACGATTAGCTCGACGACGTCTCATTTCTAACCTAGCCTTTTCTCGGTCTGCTTCACTTTCTACTTGTTTTTGAGACACGAATTAAGGCTCTTCTTCGCTCCATACTAACGCGACGCTCTTGTAAAATTTCTCGTTCTTGCTCAGATATTTGATTCGCGATGTTCCTTTGCCTAATTGCATTACGGCTTCGTTGGGAAAGATTAAATCTTTTGGGACGCGGCATTGTTATGACTTATGAGTAGTAAAACTGAATATGTACTCGTACAAAACCACACAAACAAATTTACTCTTTACAAACAAATTCAAAGAATAACTAAAATTTTAAGACAGATACAATAGTTTATCATAGACTAATAGTCACACAAATGCAAAGCTCAGCTTATCTCCGCGCACTATAATAAAAATCTAAAACTCGACAAACACATGCAAAGAATTGAACCCGAGTTCCCAGGATCGATCGAACTGGGATTAACCTGTTATTTGTCAAACATTTGTTATCCATTCTGTCAAATAAATTAAAGATTATTTTCTATCGAAAGAAATTGGAGTTTCATGTTATTAACTCACACAAAAATATAACAGATGGCGCTAGCAGTTTAATAAATGCAGGCGTCGATTTGAAATAATTAAAAATATAAATATTACATTTTAAAACTGTTTTTGAATATTATTAGTTGAGATCTGGAGAGATTATCTAAATACTAAAGACTTGTAATATTATAGTATTAATTTAAGCATATATTATGTAAAAATGTATGCCGAGTCAGCTGTACATAATTAAGAAATTAACTTCATTGAGATAAAAAGGTAACAGATATTTCTTGATTATAGGGTGGTACGAAGTCCGCCGGGTCATCTAGTATATAGATAATTAAGAACTATGTTCATGAAAAGTAATTTCTTACACTTATATCTCATTTTGACTTCCCTTATTCGGTAACCACTTATCACGGAAAAAATAATAATTTAATTATTAATTTAATTAATTTAAAAGAAATATCAGAATAAACAAATTGAATTAACTTTAGGTAGAAACGACTAATTTTTTGATACGTACCTATAAATTATAATAACGTATTCAAGATTTCCCTATATCGGATGAATTTCTGTTTCTGTACTATTAAATAAAAATCTTTTAATGTGTTATATTGAGGCGTATGCTGCAGGTATAAGAGCTTATAGAAAATTAATTCTTGTAGTTATTCAAGTTTGTACAAAAACATAAATTCCTAAAACTTAAAAAATCGTTTCACCATATAAAAAATTATGAAAAATATTTAAGGATTCGGTTTAACAAAATATAAGACCCAAAACTCAGAACATGTAACACAGAGAAATAAACTTACAGAGCAATCTGGCAGGTCGTATATAAATAGCGATGGAAGTTTCCTGATATCTGGCTTGAACGTAGAATAAAGCTCTGTGCGGAGCTTATCTGTGGACATCTGGCACTTGTCCAATAATTGGTCGATCTCCAAACTTTGCTCTGGTGGCGTAAAATATGACAAATTAATTAATAAAGTGCTGCTTTTTATGGCGAATTAAACAAAAAAAAAACTTTGAGTTCAATGACCCTTTTCGTGAAATCCAATAACATTTAAATCAATTGTCTGTATTCAAACTATACATCTCAACTGTCCATTGTATATTTCAAACTTACCATCATTGTCACTAAGTCACAAACAATTTTGAGCATTCTTAAAAATTATATTATTATCTCCTATAAATCACTAAAATAGATGGAAATAGAGGAGATAATACATTTTTATATTTATACATATTATGGTGGCGTTAACTATCCCTACTAATATTATAAATGCAAAAGTAACTCTGTCTGTCTGTCTGTCTGTTACGCTTTCACGCCTAAACCACTGAACTGATTTTAATGAAATTTGGTACAGAGATAGAGTTGACCTTGAGAAAGAACATAGGATAGTTTTTATCCCAGGCCTTTGAAAGGTTCTCTTGGAAACGCGATATAACCGAACTCCATGCGAGCGAAGCTGCAGGCAGAAAGCTAGTACCCAAATATACAAAAACGTGACGTGAGGTAACAAAAATATATTGAACCCTGGCTTCATAGCGTTTTCTCCAACACAATCCTTAACCAAATGTCTGTCTTATACCAAACAACTATGTCTAAACTATTAACCCTAACTACCATAGTTTTTTACAACTACCCTCATACTTCTATCTATACTATAATGTATATTCCAGGTGCTCACTCTGCAGCTGTTCCAGCTGTTGTTGCAGCTCGTCCTGCGCCTGCCGCAGCCGGTCATCCATGTTGTACCTCACCCAGGTCTCGTTCAGAACATCAGCCAAATTCTTCTCTATAAACCTACAGAAGTTGGTGTATGTTCTAATAAAGTTCATTTAGAGTTTATATGGACGATTTGTTAATATTTCATCACCTAGCCCCCTCTTCGCCTATGACTTCATCATTGTCTTGGTACTTCAAGTCTGATATCTCAACCAAATCATTCTCCTGCTGACGAGTTTCTAACTGTAGGAGTGGCGTCTGGGATTTAAATGCGCTGATCAATAACTGGGAATAAAAATAAAAACGCCTTTAACTTAAAAACTTATATCTGGAACTTTAGAGAATTCAGGAGAAAGTGGACACAGTTATCAGCCTCAAGGAGAGTGCATAGATATTTGTAGTAGGGTAGCCAGAATGTATGACCCTTAATTTAATCAACTAACTTATCTTAATTTATTAAATTGAACCCAAAAACATTGATGAAATTTACAGACACATACATATATTAATTGTAAACAACACAAGTTTTGACGCGACGTATCTCTGTATAGAATAAGCTTATAGTATTTAAATGAATAATATTTTTCAGATGTACTACGCGATTTTGAGAAAATCTTAGATCTCATTAAGCTTTTAGTAGTTCAGCTTACGGTAACATTTCTCAAAAGCCAGAGCTAGTGGCGAGAGGACGATAATATTTCTGTCTATTTTAGAAAGATGGCACTTTTTGCAAATTTACTGAATTATAAAATTATTAATAAACACTTTTATTGAGTTATTTGTGTTAGTAGTTAGTAATGATTATTGTGCTGTTTTATTTTAATGCTATGTATGCAGTGCTTATTTTGCATGTATAATATACACGTCACTGGCATATCAAAGAAACAACACTTACTAATAATAATTGTTTTAGTTTTAACCAATCCAATTGGTTTTTGATTGTTTTCTGAACCAAAATACCTTCTTTTAAAACTTTACCTGAGTTAGGAATTAGGACCGAGAACTAACCAAATAACCAGTTTATATTAAAAAAAGAAAAAAAAATACATATTTTAAATCTTACCAATGCCGGGTCTTCTTTCTTTTCAGATTCATGTTCATTAATTTCTTCTTTTATATTAATATTGACTATTTCATGATCAGTTTTCTTTGTGTCTTGAGCATCTGTGAAGTAGCAAATGAGATTTGTTGTAAATATAAAAATAAGTCATTTTTGTTATTATGCTTTAAAATCAAATCTAGGTACCAAAATTTATGACCTTGAAACTTAAAGTTATTGATCACTTAAAGTTCACTTAAAGATCACTTAGAGTACTGACCAGGGGCAAAAATTTGTTTAAGTGTATACTAATTTCAAGTTAGTTATAATAACCGCTCAAATGAATCGGATACTCAGTTCTAGAATTCAAAAGTTTAAAATGCAATAACAGCCATGATAAGTTTCAGAGTTAGAATACATATGCATATATACAGGGTGACTGGTGAATTACTATCGATACTTGAGGACGTGATATTTAACGATCATATATGACAAGATAAAAATTAATATAACATAAATATTAATAAACTTCTAAGTAAAGTTAACCAAAAGTTATGTAATTAATTACGCATCGTATGGACACCCTACAGATTAGGTATACACACACACACACACTCGCGTGCGGCGGCAAGGGTTTGTATCAGCACGCCGCCGCACGCGTCCACACTTGGAACACTTGGAACGTGTCAACACTTTATTTATACGGAAATTTTGTCAAATATTAAGTGCCTATTTTTTTTCATAATTCGAATGAGAATCATGTACCGAGTATTCTCCTTAAATATTGATAGTAATTCACCAGTCACCCTGTATAATAGAAATACCTTTTTGGGGACTTTCTTCTAAATCAACACAGTTCTTAGCTGCTTCTAATGTTCTAATATCAGTGACATCTTTTGGCTCATCTTTAGCGTTTAATATGCCATCTTCCGGTTCTGTAATTTAAATTATATAAAATATATTATCGGCATTTTGATATGGTTTTATATACTGTTATCAATATCACAATGTTGAAACGCACCTGGAAAGGTATAGTTGGAACATTCCCTGAAGCGATCCGCATCGTGATGCATAAGAGGAAAAATTTCTAGGGCTTCCTCATTCTGATCAGGGTGACATAATATTCTGTATGCCGCAATAATTTTATCAATATCCGAATTTCCTTCGAAATCTTCTTTGCTAGCTAAAATGAGTTGTTCATTTTCTTCATAGATTTGATTAAACCTCATATCAGCTAAAATATCCCTTTCTTCATTACGAAATGGGATAAACAAGGTGACCATTTCACGTTTGTAGTCTAGCATATGATTAGTCATATCGTAACGTCGATACCTTACGATTCTTGGAGTTTTGCGATTGTAAAATACTTTTTCACTTTGATGATTCACATTTTCTTCTGGTGTAACCTCCTTTTCAATGTCTTCTTCATCTTCTGAATCCCAGTATTGATTCCTAATTCGAGGTCCTGATAATTTTTTTGTAGCTCTAACCGTATACCAAGCAACAAACTGTATCAGTGATATATCTTCTAACTCTGCAGGTCTATTTTCGTAGTTTTCGAAAAGGTTTTCTTTCCAAACATTTTTATTTTCATCGGGAAGACGTTCTAATTCTTTTTCAGTTTTTATTATAGGTCTACGGTCCTGGGGCAACATTGTGGGTATAAATTTTACTTTAAGAGTCAACTTACAGATTGGTTCCCTGAGAAGAAACCATGCTGCTTCTTGGCTGGACATTTCCATTGTGTTCAGCATATTAACACTAATATGTTTTGTCATGTCAGCTAAATCTAAATTTGGGTTTTTCTCCAAGAGATCTAATAGCTCCCGTTGAAGATTACTGACGCTTCGATCCGATTTGTTTACACACGCCGCAATATAAGCAGCACAAAAATACTCGTCTGTAATGTATTGGATATCCATGCTCGATTTCAAATGATGAAAGATGAAGGGATTGAAAAAGTTGTGCCATTTTTCATTAGGGTGACGTTTAACGAAAACCATTGGTCTTAGAATTCCAGCTGACAAAATTTTATGATACTCTAAATCTGACTGTATACCATTCTTATGATAAAAATCATCAATATTATGATAGTCATGGTCTTTCAGTTTTTGGTGTATAATTTCATATCTCTTTTTATACTCGTTATAAATACATTTCTCCTCATCAGACGAGTTAGCCAAAGGTTTGAGCAGAACGGTTGTTCGACTAGGCATATATGGAGCATTAAATCTGCACTTTTGTTGGTTTTGTTTATTTTTATAACACGAATATGTATGATGATGTGTGACGAGTTCAATGTGCCCTGAAGATTCTTTCTTTGATACTGAAATTAAGCCATCGATAAGTTTAATAGCCGAAGTCATGTCAGCTCCAAAAGCATCTTGAGGCGCCTGATTTAGCCATAACAAAATATGTGCATGAAGACTTCCTTCGTGTGGAAATTCAATCCTCTTGAAATAATGTCGAACGTAATGTTTACCGAATGGGCTAACGGTTCTATTTTGAAGAGTTGTCATTATAACTTTGATGAGTTTATTAAAATAAATAGCGCATGTTACAGCATCTTCATTTATTAATTCTGCCTTGACTTTATAATGCATCTGTTCAACTTCTACATCAGTGATCTCCGTGCCGTGTTTCAGTTTATGCAAAGTTTTTAAAAGCCATTTCCATGACGTTTCATTAGCGCTCATTGACAGAAACATTGTTGGGGTTCCGAGTTGTCTTATCATCGCAAAAAGGTCTTTTTTTCTATTTTGCCAATATTGTACTGAATTTGGTATGAATTTGAGAAAACCTAGATTTTGTTCCACACAGTCATTAAGATAATCGGAAGATAATATTTGCTCTTTAGTTATTTTTATTCCTTCTCCAATACCGATGTTTTCTTGTATTCTAAATAGCATGACCTTCATGGCTAAGAAAAGCAAGTGGCGAGGAATGACCCCTCGTCGATCGGTGCGCCGAATTTCACTTGTTGCAATTGAGTGTGCTTTACAGTTAACGCCATCTTTGAATTTCCTAAATTGACCGTAATAAATAGTTGGGAATGATAATTCTTCTACATGATCATCAAACAGTAAACTCAAAAACCTTTTATTCCGTACAGGTGATGTTTGTAAATCATTATCCTCAGACCATAAAAGTGTATGCTGTTCAGCAATTAGACTATCATCAATCACAATTGGTTCAGCGAAGTCTTTTAAATCGATGTCTAGTATTTCAGTCTCGTTGTTCAAATCCTCTAAGAAATTCGGGTTGATTTTTATATTATAGTGCTTATAAAGCGGAGTATCTATAAGATAATCGAGCCAGTCTTTAATAACCCTCTTATTTAATAGTCCTTGCAAATAACTAGATGCGTACAGTGATTTGTTTTTTACGTGAAAATTTATACAGAAATCGTCGGCCACATTTCTAGGCAGAGTTTGGACCATGTTATCAATATGAACGGGCACGTTGATAACTTGACCAGTAATACTATGTTGACCCTCAACGTAACGCAAACGTCGAATTTGCATAAAGGGTAATCTCGGTGATATTAATCGCTCGGAAACCAAATCCAATTGAGGAAGATTTGGTTTAGGAGGATACTTAAAACCATTGTACACTGCCAAATTCGGAATTTTTCCAGCAACTAATGAGGTCCTACAGACCGCACATACAGCAATTTCTTCAAAGGGGACATTTGGACATATCTGCCTCAATATTCCACTCCAAGGCGAAGGAGGACTTTTCAAATCATTTTCGAACCATAGTCTATCACAAACAGTACAAGAATAACCGAATGGATTATTATCAAATAAGTTTTCGAATAGGTTATGAGCTCCATTGTGTTTGATATATAATGTATAAAATGATGAGGGATCTCTTTTTACTCGTTTCCTTCGCGCTTTCAGTTTCTTTCTGTACCGACGACAGTATAACCCAGCCGGAGTGCGGGAATTAGCGTCGTTTGTACTTTTAGCACCTGGTGCTGTAGATTCATCGTTGGAAGAACTAGCATCAAATTCCCCTGAACTTCGTTTAGTACTGATATTAGATTTCTTCAACTTTCGTTTTTCACGATACCTACGACATCTTTCTGTATTTAATTTCCTTTTATGCAATATCTTTTGAGCATCAACATCGTCGGCTGCGAGCGTCTCACTTGAAACGATTGCATTAGATCCAAAAGTTGACTCTGGCCCCCAACTTGTACTTGGCATTGAATCTGTTAGTCCACTGATTTCATCTGGCGGCTCAGTTTTTATTTCATCTGATAAAGATGACTGGAGTCCTAAGAAAATAATAAAATATATATTTAGACTAGAAGACCCGGAAAACTTCGTATCGCCCTATAATCAAGAAATATCTATTACGTTTTTTTATTTATATTTTTGTAGTTTACATGTAAGCCATAAATCTCCGTGTTTTGAAGTGCGACAAAATGATTGACATATTAGTTAGTTGTCAAATCTAATGTCAAAAAAAACGTTTGTATGGGAAATAGGAAAGAGCTGTTTTTAAGGTTTTCCCGGAAATGATTCAATTTTTTTCAGTTTTTATACCTTCCCTGAACCTCCACGAACATTTCAAGACTAAGATAAGATAAATCCGTTCAGCTGTTCTCGAGTTTTAGCGAGACTAAGGAACAGCAATCCATTTTTATATATATAGAAGATTTCCTAGTTAAGAAAAATAATAATCGCATTCTGCTAGCCTCCAGAGCGGTACACCAGAATATTTAAAAATCTTTGGCGGTAGATAACCAGACCAACTGACAGACATTCACATATCGTCTGTCCGTGATCACGGTTGCTGAAAAGTAACCGAAACGTCGGGAGTATGTAGTTTTTTTACAAAAATCAAGCACACGTAGTACATTTGATTTTTTTTTCTTTAATATTTATTCAAGTCACACTTTTAAAGCACAGTCATACCTAGTGTAATTGTGAATGTGTTTTATTTGTTATTATTTTTCTAATCAACATGCAGGTTTTTAAAGTATATAATTGATTTATATTAAGAAATTTTGTTTTTTTTTTTTGTATAATTCAATGGATGGCGTAATATGTATGTATAATCATATTTATAAAGAACTTTAATAATTTTATTTTGTAAAGTTTGTAATGTCTTTATGTTAATTCATGAACAGTTTAAAGAATATCTAAAATTGCCAATAAATAACTTGACCTCCTGGTTATTTAGGGTATTAAAATGCTGAAGCAATTATAAATCTTTTGTACATCGTTATTATATTTCAATACATAAAGTTTTTCTAGAGAATGTTTTGATTACTAAATGTTTTATAATGGTTTATTATATATAATTTTCAATAATAAACTGTTAAATTCAGTACAAATAACTTGAAATGTATAAATATATTTTAGTAAGTTTATTCTAAACAAATAATCTGGATCTTTAGCAAATTTAATAAAAAATATTTAACAGAGTTTTATAATGAGAAATAATACAACTAACTATACTATAATAATTACTTTAATAAGACAAAATGAAAAGAAAAACAATTTATTACAATAAAAACTTTTTATTCGGTTCCATTATATCACAAAAAAAAACATTATTGGTGACAGGTTTAAAAGCATGTTTGCTTAATACTGTATTTAGTTTAATGTAGCAACAGAATGAAACTAAAAGAATTATTGGAAAAATTAAATTATTATTGGTTAAAGAATATTTATAAATCTCAGCTCGGACTTAAAATGTATTCTTTCTTTTTAGTATTTATCAACTCAGACTTTATTTATTATTAAGCTTATTATATGAAAATAGCTAATTATAAAATATGTACATATGTATGTATATTGATGTGATAGTTTGTGAAAATATTAATTAACAAAGAGATACTTGTCTGTATATAACACATAATTCATTAGAATCTTTCACATGTTACTTTAAATAATAGTTTAATTCATCAAGACTATTTATTTATTAGATATTATTATATTATTACATATATTTACTAGAAAACTATTTACTATATCAGATCTAGTAACAATCATATGAAATATTTGAAGTTTTAATTTAAGTATTTATATGTCACTATAAAATCATTATGAATGTAACAAAATTCCTATCAAAGTTATTCATTTGAATATTTGTGAGTCTAGATCCTCTTATAATCGAATTTCAATATTAACTTATAAATGGAAAAAAAAGAATTAATGACAAGTTATCGAAATGTAAAATTTAATTTATATTTTCGCTTTAGAGTACGGTTGACAGATTAAATCCAATCCAGATTATGGAAGCGTGTTAAAAAGTAAACACAATACTTCTTTAAATCACTATTTGTAACACAAATGACGGGAATCATAAAAACTAAAAGTATAGGTATGTGTTATTCTACACAGCTGACGTGAAGGATTGCCGACGTCATATTGGCCTTGGCTGTGTGACCGACCCCTATCACTCTACTCATAATCTTCAGGATGTAATGCGACATGCGAAAGATAGACGAAAAAAATTGAGACTGTGTATTTAATCTATAAATATTATTGACTCACCGACAGCTTTTTTCTTTTCCCTGTGGGCACGTACTCTCGCTACATTCTGTTTTCTACGTAGTAAAATTAATTCAGCCTCAGATATTTTCGCACTGTCCTTAGTTTTTTCCTCCCCACTACTTGTATTGTCGTCCATAACGACCAGTAGAATAATAACATTAATAAATTGATTACATTTCAATTACCGGGAGCACATAAAAGCGAGAATGAAACTTACACGGTCAACTGATACGAGCCGATCCGAGTTTTGCCGAGCGCCTTTCATTTGAGCCCCGCTTCTTGTCCGGTTGCAATGTGACATGCGATAGATGAAGAAAAGTTTTGTCATAAGTTTTACTATATATTTATCCTAAACTGATGAATGAATACGAAATAAATTAACATAAAATGTAACATGACAATGTATTCTAGTAGGATTTTCAAGATAATGTACTTAGTTAAAACCACTTTTAATAAAAATTTAAATTTAGCCAAAAAAAATTCTTTAAAAATCAATAAACCAAACTAGAATTATCTGATAATAAAAAAATATTAGCACTATGCTTAAACTAAATACCTTTTTAAGTATAAAAATACTTTTTATTCAAATTTAAGGACAATCTATATTATTTATATCATATTTAATTACATTACAAATGCTTTTAGACTAAGTTTATTAGAATTATTATTATTTTAATATAATATTCTATTTTAATTATTATTTTATAACATCTTTGCTAGTAACAGATAAACAACTCGGCGATTTCTGAACGTAACTTTTGAAAGTCTAGAAAAGTCGTTTCAAGATGAATATTTTGATTACACAGTTGTCTGTCACGATTTACTATTCAGTAATCATTGTTATTTATCCCAGATTGTGTTCGTAGTGTTCATTTTTTATAATTAAAAATAGTTCGAACTGCTTTAATTGGAGTTTTATCGTAATAAAAAAATCATCTTATAATGGGTGAACCTAATGAGACACCGGCTCCCGAGGTAATATTTTTCTATTTATAAATAAAATAAAAAATAGCTTCTACCGCTTATGACCCAGAGAATTCGTTTTTATTTTTGTTATTGAAGTATTTGGTTTGTTACCAAAAGTAACAGTAATTAGTACTGTTAGTCTGATAATACTATTTGTAGAAAGAGTATTTATAAATATTTCGACATTCTGAAATATATTTTTTTCGTATTCTTTATTTTCCAGCTAGTGAAACCTAAAATTAAACATGACTGGTATCAAACTGACGCTCTAGTTGTGGTTACAATCCTTCTCAAAAATGCTCAGAGTGATAAAGTTAAAGTTGTTTATGGTGATCGTAGTGTAAGTAATTTTTACTATTTTTAGAGTAATTTTCTCATAAAATGTTATATATCAATGAAAAAATATTAAAAGTACAGTAACTATGATGGTTTAGGAATTCTTTCTTATTAGAATCACATATTAGTGTAGCTATAACCTACTTTTGTACATTTTCGTGTCTTAAAAGGCCACCTATTCAAATATTATTTATTTATTTGTATTATTTAACAACACTGACGAAGTATAAGTAATACACAACAAGGAAATACTCATTGACGGAACCTAATATAATACAGTGATCTACCTACATTATACTTGACATCATATTTTTATTTAACAACACCCACCAAATATCTTCTTTTTCCTGGCAATTTCCCAGCTTTAACCAGGATCTGCCTTACGTGTTGTGATTAGTTTTGGCTAATTATTTTTACGACCAGCCGCCTGCCTGACATCAATCCTTTTTGGGAATGCATTAATCAGTGATGTCTAAATACTCTTAAAAAGTACATATTACTCGGAAAAATCACATTTGTACTTGCCAGGGCCAGGATCGAACAAGCGCCCTTGTGCATGAGAGGCAGAGATTTTAACCACTAGGCCACCACTGACTTCAATATCCCTACCAAGTATAATGTAACAAAAATAATTATAAATTAATTATTTCACAGTTGTCCGTTTCAAGTCCAATACCAAACTCGGAATCTGAATACAGTCTAGAAATAGAATTGGCCCATGAAATAGTGCCGTCAATGTGTACACATATTGTATCACCATCGAAGATAGAAGTGAAGCTTCGGAAGAAGGAAGGACTCCGATGGAATCTTCTCGAAGGAGAGGGGAGGGAGGAAAAAATTAAAGCTATACCACAAGGTCAGAATTATAACATTATTATTGTTTTGTTAAGTTTTTGATGAAAAAATGTTTGCCATTTTTAGAAAGAAACTATTGGGTTATTGTAGGGAGCACTTTGATTAACCGCTCTTGAGTTGTATGGTTTGTTGCTACTGTACTGAATTGTTGTTTGAATTGAATTGTGTATTACATCTCATTTAAGTGAACATTGTTCTTTATGAGAAATAAAGTTCTTTAACCACATTATTATTATACCCTCTACCAAGGCATCCCTTATTCAATAAAGACAATACCTATTAGCACTCAATGTATTCACGGTGCGTGTGTCGGGTCCATCGTTGTAGTGAGAAGAGCTTTAACAGTGACTGTGTCTTGTGACCCAGGTGTAGGTTTAAGGGACCCTATCTAATGTTAAACAATCACCTCCACCATACAAGCTCCTCTCTATCTAACCAAATTTCAAATGAGGAGCTCCTTTTTACTTTTATTATGATCTATTTATAGAGTTTTCTAATTAAACTCATTTCAACTGAACTGGAAAAGCTTTTAAATTCCTAGTATTTTTTTTACATTCCTAGCAAAACTAGGTAATTTTATCTATATTTTTGTTTCAGCTGTCATAGATGCTTCTGGACCTCAGCAACCACCAAAATTATTTAAAAAAGACTGGGATCAGATTGAAAAAGCCATAAAGAAAGAGGTAAAAAACCTAAAATTATATATTATATACAGACGAATAATATATAGCAAAAGCAAATAAAAAACTTGTATATAATACTTCAATAATCAAAGGTTTTAATTAAAGAAAGTCTTAATATTAATGAAAAATAATAAATAAACACCTCTATTCCATTCAACAAACTTCGTGTTTCCTCCACACAGAAATACTTCTGTAATCTTACAAACAATACAAATATGTCCTGTTATTTTATTAGTTATTAAAAATAAAGTATGGAGTTATTAAAAACATAGTATTTCTTTAACTTTTATTATATACTAGCTGATCCGGCAAACATTTTTTTGCCATATAAAAGAATAGGGGTTGGTGATAAAACAGTATTAATTTTGGGATGTAAATATTTTTTAATACTACATTATAAAAAAGAAAAACATAAAAATTCGTCCGAAAATAAAAATAATAATAATTAGGGGTAAACAACTCTTATGAATTAGGGGTATGAAAAATAGATGTTGGCCGATTCTCAGACCTACTCAATATGCTCACAAAATTTGATCATAATCGGGCCATCCGTTTCGAAGGAGTTTCTGTCTAACACCGCGACAAGAGAATTTTATATATAAAATATATATAATAAAACTTATTGTACATGTTAAATTTTTGAATGTTGAATGTTGAATGTATTGATATAGGCAATATTGCAGCAAAATATTTTTTTGCAATTACTCTTCAAACTAAGGATTTTTGAACTGATTATAAGTATTTTTATATATTTTTGGTAATAAAATATTATTTTTTATCAGGAAGAAGAGGAAAAACCTCAAGGTGATGCAGCTCTTAATGCACTGTTCCAGAAAATATATGGAGAGGGTTCCGACGAAGTCCGGAGAGCCATGAATAAGAGCTTTGTAAGTTATTATATTATATCTTATTTATATATATATATGTGTGTGTCTGTGTGTGTGTGTGCTTGTGTGTGTGTGTACATAGGAAATACTTATTATAATAGATTTAACATAATAAGCTGAATACAAATTAATCTTCTAAATTGATAGTAACTAACATATGTATGTATTTAAATTTAAAAATAATTTGTTTCCTTTTGCTTAAAAGATTGACTTAAATCATACAGTTGTGAAATTATATGTATGGAAAACTAATTTTTCTAACCTTTCAAAATGATTTTTATATATTTTTAACACTTCTATATTAGCTTGGGCTGTATGTATGTATGTAACTGAATATTTGAGCACGATTTTTACCGGTTTCTAAACATCTGATTAACTTGAAACTTTGCATATATCTCAAGGACCAATGACAATGCAATAATTAAAAATATAAAATAAATATTAATTACAAGCGTGTGTTTTTTAGTTTTTTTATCATATATTTATTATACATAGTTGAGATTAAAATAGATATGTAAAATTTTCATGTCAATATAATTTGTAATTTTTTTGTATTCTTAAGAAAAACAGTATTATCAAAAAAATCTATATACATACATAAAGATTTCAATGTAGTTATTATTTACAATTACCAACTAGCTAAACTACACAACTCAGTGGCTCAGTAGATGGAATGGCGGCAATTTTATGGTCACAGGTTCGATTAATAATATAATTATTATTTTTAGGTTGAATCCGGCGGAACTGTTCTCAGTACAAATTGGAATCAAGTCGGTAAAGAGAAAGTTGAAGTAAAACCGCCCGATGGATTGGAATTCAAGAAATGGGATGAATAATTAAGATAGAAAATATCTTTATCTTTTCAATATATTTTCGTCGATAGTGCAAATCCGAGTAACTAGCATTGGATAATTCCGCGTATCTACATTGGAAGCAGATTATCAGAAGAAAGTTTGAACTGAAATATTTTCTATATTAACGACTTTTAAGGTAATTTTTTTTACAATTAGTAATTATTTATGACTAGTAATGAAAAAAATACCTTAAAAGTTGTTAATCTAGAAATATTTCAGCCTAAACTTACTTCTGATAATCTGCTTCCAATGTACATTGGCGGAATTATCAAATGGTAGTTACGCGGATTTGCACTATCCACGATTATATGAAGATATATTTGTCTTAACAAAATCTGCCAATGATTTGTAAGTCACTCGATATGCTATGTTCATATTATAATAATAAATAATTGTTAAAGTTATTAGCAGAACCGTAGTTTTCTTTTTAAGTAAGTAATAATTTTATATTTGCCTGAGATTTTATGAGTTCTCATAATATTATGTTCAATTAATTGTAATAATGTAATTGATTTATAATAAACCTGTTTTTTGGTGTTTCATTTCAATAACCTAATTGAATAAGTTGGAAAAGATAAAAATGGGAAATTAGTAGTTGGTTAAAAGATAAATAGTCTAGAAATGTTCTACATCCTGAGAAAGTAATTGGTAATCTATATAGGTATGATAGATAGTCAGTGGTGTCCTAGTGGTTAAAAGGTCCACTTCTCATGCACGAGGCGCGGGTTCGATCCTGGCCCAGGCAAGTACTAATGTGATTTTTCCGAATCATATGTACTTTCTAGGAGTATTTAGACATCACTGACTAATGCTGATTCCCAAAAGAGGGTTGGTGTCAGGCAGGCGGCCGGTCGTAAAAACTAATATCCAAAACTATTCACAACATATAAGGCAGATCCTGGCTATAGCTGGGAAATTGGCAGGTAGAAGAAGAGTCTATATAGGTATGAGTCTTTGAACATAATCAGTATACTTATGTTCAGTATAAAAATGATATGAAATGAACACTTATGTACATCAAATAATATAAATACCGGGTTCGCTAAAGAAAAAAATAACTTTGTTAAAATGGAATACAAATTCAAGAAACTAAACTCAAAAATACTACAGGGTGACTGGTGAATTACTATCGATATTTGAGGACGTGATATTTGACGATCATATATGACAAAATACAAATTAATATAACATAAATATTAATAAGCTTCAAAGTAAGGTTAACCAAAAGTTATGTAATTAATTACGCATCGTGTGAACACCCTACAGATTAGGTATACACTCACACTCACACATACGCGAGTGGGGCGTGGTGTTGTATCAGCACGCCGCCGCACGCGTCCACACTTGGAATACTTGGAACGTGTCAACACTTTATTTATTTATACGGAAATTTTGTCAAAAATTAAGTGCCTATTTTTTTTACATAATTCGAATGAGAATCATGTACCGAGTATTCTCCTAAAATATTGATAGTAATTCACCAGTCATCCTGTATATATTGTGATGGCGATAAGGTAATACATTTAGTATTTTAATAAGTATTTATTGCTACTCTTAAAATCCGATAGAGATTTTGATGATTAATGTTTCATTTTTTGTTGATACGCACGCATTTATACTATGTCACCATCCCTAAAAAAAGTGGCTTGAATGTTATTTTTTTGGCCTATGGTTTTCTTTCCTTTTTGGAAACCAATCTAAGTATGTAACTTAAAACCATGAGTTTTAAACGACTACGGCATATACAGGGGGACTGGTGAATTACTATAAATATTTAAGGAGAATACTCTGTACATGATTCTCATTCGAATTATCTAAGAAAAATAGGTACTTAATTTTTGACCAAATTTCCGTATAAATAAATAAAGTGTGGACACGTTCCAAGTGTTCCAAGTGTGGACGCGTGCGGCAGCGTGCTGATACAACACCACGCCGCCGCACGCGTTTGTGTGTGTGTGTATACCTAATCTGTAGGGTGTTCACACGATGCGTAATTAATTACATAACTTTTGGTTAACTTTACTTAGAAGTTTATTAATATTTATGTTATATTAATTTTTATTTTGTCATATATGATCGTCAAATATCACGTCTTCAAGTATCGATAGAAATTCATCAGTCACCCTGTATAAGGCCTCGGCCTCGAATTTTGCGGGCAGCGGAGCGGCGGCGGGAGCGGCAGGATCTTACGCGTATAATCAAATGGACCGACCCTCGAATACAGCGGTGCCCGATACCCGCTAGTTTGGAGAACAGTATGCGTTTCCGTGCCGCCGCCGCCGCCGCTCCGCTGCCCGCAAAATTCGAGGCCGAGGCCTAAGTCGTCAGTCTATTTCATATTTTATTAGCTGCGTCGATAATTTTTTGCTTTAAAATCTCAATCGATTGTTATTGTGTTCGGTTCTTTATACACCAAACTTTTCGTATGCCCCCATACATAATATTTTCCATTTATATAAATTTTAACCTATATACCCATTTTCTTTATATACCATTTTTACTAATGTACTAAATTTCCTTATATACTAATTTTCCTTATTCAAACTCAAACTCAAATAACTTTATTCAATATAGAAGCATTACACTTTCTTATTTATGGTCACTTGAGACACTACCACCGGTAACACCCTGACCTGCGAAGAACCGGCGAAAGAAACTCAGCGGTTTTTTTTAAATATATTTGTCTCATATTTATACACAATTTAATATGAGATGAAATAGCCAGGAGGCGATCGTTTTATTCCCAAGGTGTGCTATCGATCATAAACTCATTAATTGTGTAGTAACCTTTTGCACACAAGCGTTCCTTAATAATTTTTTTAAATTTAGCAACATAGGCATTTTAAACGCTTTCTGGGATCCTGTTGTAAAACTGTATACATTGCCCCACAAAGGAGTTACTGACTTAGTTAGGTATATCGTATATTACAACTATGGGGTCTTCAAGGCCAGTTACACACACTCCTATCAGTCTTTAGCACTTACTAGTTTCAGAAATGAATCGGAGTTAGTTATTTCGCAAGCAACAAAACATAATTTTTTATACTTTTATAGATTTAATTATTAAAAAATTTACCTTAATATAATTATGAGTTTTTCTTCTGAGTTAGTACAATATCGCTCAGCATTTTTATCCGCCCCAAACTCATTGTATGTAAGAGTTAGTAAGTCATCACATGATTTGATAACATCAGGGCCGCTTCGCCCTTGTGTGCAAAGTGTGCGGACACAGGGGCCAAGACAAAGGTCTAAAACTTACACAACAATGAACAACGTAATATTTCTTAACAGTAGAGTGTTAATAAATTAGTTGGTATAAATTATAATAGGGCAACAAATGACTCGTAAACAACGAAACATAATATCTTGGGTTTAATGTTGAAGTGTCCGAAAATATTTACGCTTTGGATATTGGTTTGGATACAGTAATTACAAGTTCAGCGTTAAAATCAAAAGTGTTGCCATGAGTTGTTTGAATTAGTTTAGGAATGTAATCCCACTGATTTTTTGTTTCCAATTGACTGTAGCTGTTAGCCCTAATGGCCTAAGACGGCGTTGGGGAACGCTGAACAGTCATTCAATCGAATGTGTGGGCAAGGTGCGTATTATTTTTTCATAATAAGGAGATATTCTAGCACTAAAACATTAAAATAGTTTGAGCGCTACTGATTATTTTAACCCGTTTCCACAATGAGTGATAAAATCAAGATAAAAAGAAGAAATTATCTGCTTACCAGAATTTAATATCAAAAAATAAACAAGAAGGAGAACGTGATAAAAATATAACTGAAACAAGTAAATATTTTACGAATCACTTCCAAAGAATCATTAGAGACAGAAACTAAATATTAAACCAAGTAATAATTGGCGACCGAAATGGAAGGGTTTTCGCTATTTAGGAAAATATATCTAATTATATAAAACTAGGGATAATTTTTTTTTAGAAAAAGATGTTTTGCACATATGACACAGGCGCTGTGGGGGTCGCCGCTACTCTGTATATATATATCTTATATATCTTTAAATGAGCAATTCTTGTATATATATGTATATAATTGGAATCAGTTCCAACGATTTTCATGAAATTTAGTATATAGGAGTGTCGGGGGCGATAAATCGATCTAGCTAGGAATAATTTATAGAAAATTTTATTTTATTAAAAAAATATCAAAAAGGAGTCGTTTAAAATATAACTCTCCTGACGTCTATTGGCGAATAGTAATACTACTTTTTGCTACTTGCTTTTACTAATCGCTTTAACGACAAAACAGCAGATGGCGTTGTTAATTAACAGGAAGTCAATGAGTGTTTGTTTTGAGGTTAGACTAAGAAATTAATTATTGTTTTATATTGTTTTGTGTCTTCTTAACATGTTCACTTAAATATGCCTAAACGAAATAAAAAAAACACAAAATAAATATACTAATAATTTCTAAATACCCAGTAAAGCTCGGTGACCAGATATTGTGTATACTATATGCCTATATTGTGTATGTAGCATTATCGATAGAGTATTAGGAATATTAAATACGCTCTTCAATATTAAACAATAGTTTTTAATGTCTACGTCACTAGGGACAGTAGATAATGGCGCTTAAGAAATACATTTTGGCGGGAATCAAATAAAACACATTTCACACAATACATCAAACATTTTATTGCTCTGACTAGAAAATATCACTCAATAATCAGATGACGAATTCCGCGACTTTTTTACGATACTATTTGGACACTATCGTGAAAAAACTCACGAGAATATTCTTTTAACTTACAGACTTTACACGTAGATTTAGGCTAAGTGTGCTTAATAAAAAGTAGATTTATATAAATTTATGATTAAAATTAAATATCATCATATAATATCTCGACAAGACAAAAAATATGACTAGAAAAGGATTAATTAATGATTTTCATTGATTAAAATATTACCATAAAACGTCTTTTTGCCAGTAGATGTTTATAAAAACACTTTGTATATACGAATTAAAACTTTTAAATTAACAGTACGTAGTTGCCAATATTAATACTAAGGATATATTATGTAATATTGATTTGACTAAACTGAAATGTCACATTAGGAGTAAGTACAAGAATGGTTACAAAATATGTAAAAGCGTTCAGAAACAAAAAATATTATAATAGATGAGTTGACATTTAATTAAAAAAATATGTATAATATTGTTTTTTTTTCGTGAATTTTTAAAAAAAATATATTAACAACACAGACGAGTTAAAATAATATATATGAAAATAAAAATTATTTTAAATAATTACCTTCCAGTTTCGAAGGAAATAAAAAATTGCCAGAACAAATATTTACAATTCACGAATTATTTAGTGAATAGTTGAGTATAAAAATGATTTCTTAATATTAAAATATAAAGAAATTATCCTAATTCTGTATACATATTAACTTCTTGTCGTAACAGTGAATATATCCGCGGGCGAGCGTATGTATGTTTTTTCCCTACCTTCATGTATGGTCCCCATTTCTGTTACACTTGTTTGTCCATTCCTTAAAACTTTCTTTCCATTTATTTGCAGCGGCGGAAGTTCGGAGTCTACTAAAACATAATGATATTTATACAAAAAAAAAGAAAATTTAATCGATATATTATTACGTAATTCTTAAACGTCAAAACTTTACCGCCATTTTGTGATGCATATATTGTAATTAGAATGAAATTAGATATGAAAGTAGTGTTGTAAAACTGAAATGTTCCAAAAATTTCGGTAATGTATGGCAAAAGTATACTTATTTATTATACAGGGTGACTGGTGAATTACTATCAATATTTAAGGAGAATACTCGGTACATGATTCTCATTCGAATTATGGAAAAAAAATAGGCACTTAATTTTTGACAAAATTTCCGTATAAATAAATAAAGTGTTGACACGTTCCAAGTGTTCCAAGTGTGGACGCGAACGGCGGCGTGCTGATACAACACTACGCCGCCGCACGCGAATGTGTGTGTGAGTGTATACCTAATCTGTAGGGTGTTCACACGATGCGTAATTAATTACATAACTTTTGGTTAACTTTACTTAGAAGTTTATTAATATTAATGTTATATTAATTTTTATTCTGTCATATATGATCGTCAAATATCACGTCCTCAAGTATCGATAGTAATTCACCAGTCACCCTGTATAATTACTATAAGTATTAATGTCAAACCTTCGTCTTCAATAGTTTTTATTTTCTTCAACTGCATAGCGACCACACACGGTCCCTTAGCTAACGACCAATCAGGTACATCCTTTTTGATAGGTTCCAAAATATTTCTTCTCAACCTAACAATGGGTAATTCAGTATTTTCTACCAATTCATTCGATAATTTTTCCTCTGGTAATATTGTTTCATTTTCGGCGTCCATTTTGTTTATTTGTCCATCAACTGTGTATATTTCTTTTATCGCCGGCTGTATGTCGTCTGATTTATTTGTTTCTGAACTGTTCTGTGTGACGAGACTTCCGGATCTTATTGACGCTAGACTTTTTGGCGCGTTAATTTTCGGTTGTTGATTTTCAATTGACAATGGCGGTGCGCTTGCCATGTACTGATTGTACATGTTACCTATTAGTTCTTCTGTGCGTCTAGAATTTTATAACACTATATATTAGATATATTTAATTATACAATAATGAAAACCAACCCATACCAATAAAAAAATATATATTTGTTTTTTTTTTATATATACACACATTTCAAATCATTCAGCCAATGTTGGTCAAGAAAGTTCTTATACATACAAAATATATACGTATAAATGCTATTAAAAATATATTTATTTTCAATATTTACCTTGTAAGAGGTATTATAACAGTTTGAGAAGTACCACCGCTTGGGTGGTAAGGCGTTGGTCCAAATCTATCCAAAGTATTTCCATTCACCTACAAATATTAACATATTTAATTAAACAACACATATTTACCTAATTTACTTGTTTTTTTATTATTATATATTTCACAATACTATAGATTTTATCTCGTTTTTGTGACATAATTAGAACAAAATAATCATCAGCCATGTGTTATGACAAATACATTTAAATTTAAATTATAAAACTAATTTATGATTGAAAAATACTGATAATATAATAGTCTAGGCTTCATTCGCACTGGAATCGTATATTTATTCAATGTCAACGTTTTATTTGTTGGACGAATTATCATCTTGAGTACTGTGTGGAGGAAATATTATATACAAACTAAGAACTATCATCATTATCTAAAAAAGAATTAATTGTAACTATTGATAATATTTTTAAAGTTATAAAGAATTTTGATATAGATTTTTATATAATACATAAAATTATCGTATTAATACATTGTAAATTTTTATTAAATATCATAGACACGGAAAATAAAAATATATATAATCTATGGTAACTCACCTCCATAACGCCTATTTGAGTGGTTCTCACATGGTATGGAAAATTTTTATTTGCGAAAACCGGTAGTGTTAACAGCTTGAAAAAAAGAATTAATATATGTATAGTTTTATTTGAGAAGTTTATACAGGGTGACTGGTGAATTACTATCAATATTGAAGGAGCATACTCGGTACATGATTCTCATTCGAATTATGTAAAAAAATAGGTACTTAATTTTTGACCAAATTTCCGTGTAAATATATAAAGTGTGGACACGTTCCAAGTGTTCCAAGTGTGGACGCGTGCGGCGGCGTGCTGATACAACAATCCGCCGCCGCACGCTTGTGTGTGTGTGTGTGTGTGTATACCTAATCTGTAGGGTGTTCACACGATGCGTAATTAATTACATAACTTTTGGTTAACATTAGTTAGAAGTTTATTAATATTTATGTTACATTAATTTTTATTTTGTCATATATGATTGTCAAATATCACGTCCTCAAGTATCGATAGTAATTCGCCAGTCACCCTGTATAATATTTATTAATAATTATTTTACCAAAAACATCGTGTGTCCGCAAAAAGTTATGAACAGTAATACGGCTGTTACAACACTCTCTCGAACCCATTTGTCTGAAAAATTAAAATAATATATTATTACTAAATACTATATCTATAATTAAAGCATAAATTATTATTAACAACATTTTTTTTACAATTATTTTATGATATCATTTAAAAATACAAAAATCTTAGCCGAACCGAAAAATTATTAGATTTGTGTTCAATTAATTAATGTAGTTTATTCAAAAAATACTAAAGAGATGAAAAAAAAGAATTTTTTGTATAGATTCAAAATATCAAGCATAATATATTATATTACAAGAAGACCTGGCGAACTTCGTATCGCCCTATAATCAAGAAATATCTATTACGTTTTTTTATTTATATTTTTGGACTTTACCTATCAAAGCCATAAATCTCCGAGTTTTGAAGTGCGACAGAATGATATTAGTTAGTTGTCAAATCTAATGTCAAAAAAAACGTTTGTATGGGAAATAGAAAAGGGCTGTTTTTATGGTTTTCCCAGTAATGATTCAATTTTTTTCAGCTTTTATACCTTCCCTGAACCTCCACGAACATTTCAAGACTAAGATAAGATAAATCCGTTCAGCTGTTCTCGAGTTTTAGTGAGACTAAGGAACAGCAATTCATTTTTATATATATAGATTATAGTTACCTACCTATATAAGAATTGGCGGTTAAAATGAAAAGTGGTCCCGCGAAAAACCATAGCGTGCCACATATAAAGAACGGACAGTAGAATAGATTCTGAAATATAAAAAAAAAAACTTAAAACTAACAAAATCACAATAAAATTAAAATCTAAGACTTGTATTCATTTAAATGAAACTAATATTTTCGTATTACTACTCGAGATTGTATTATATTAAACTACATACTAAATACGTTTTTATTACTTTGAAACGATCTAAATATTAACAACGTACATCGAAGGCAGCCCTAGTAGGTTCTTTTCAAATCTGGTTAGGTAGGGAGAGGAGCTTGGACAGTGGAGGTGAGCGTATAACGCGCGTTAGTTAAGGGGCCCCTTAAACCTACACTTGGGTCGCAAGTCCCAGGCACTGTTGGAGCTCCTCTCCCTGCAACGATGGACCCGACACACGCACCGTGAATCCATGGAATGCTTAGAAGTTTCGTCTTAATTAAAATGAAAAATATCGTATATTTAATTTTAATTTCAAAACTAGGTACCTTCTCTGGAAATTTTCTGACCGTGAAGAATGTTGCGTACGCGAATGCACACCACGCGCTTAGCCGTAATACTATGAGTCCGTAACCAGCGGGGCTCTCGTACAAATATAATACTTCACCCGGGTCGAAAGCCTGCGATATTATCATATCATTATCATATCATAAGTTCACACATCATAAAACAATGATATGTTTATATATAAAAAAGTAAAAAGTTATTTAGTTAAAGTTAAGTATAAAAGTTTAATTTTTCATTCGCAAAAACATAATGAATGCAGTTAATAAGATTTGAAAGAAATAGTGTTTTTCTACCAATATATGTAAGGATATATTGGTATATCTTTTTCTTTTATTTTATTAAATTTAAAATCCAAAGACAATAATATCATTGTCACTTATGAATGAATTAGAAAATAATATTTCTATAGCGGTACTTTTTAGACATATTATATTTTGCTATATGTATATTACGTAAGTCAATGGTGGCCTAGTGGTTAAAAGGCCCGCCTCTCATGCATGAGGGCAGGGCCGTTTTATCCATTAGGCATTATAGGCAACTGCCTAGGAGCCCTGGCACGTTCAGGGGCCCCTGTGCTACAAGGAAAAGAATGGGCAATGTTTCTTAAACAGTAAAAAATTAATTTGAAAATTTGCTCTGTACATTACATCGACGCTATTTTAGTACATTTCGGAACGCATTCCTTATTAGATATTATTATTATGATTATTATTATAGTTTAAAAGTTTATAACGCAGTAATATAATTGCAAGCAATTTTATCGCGGTAATTTAATTAAAAACGCTCAAAACTCTTTGTTGTGAATGCACACTTACTATACTGGTACCTACCAAGTATGTATATTCTATGGCCAAGCTACTTTCATAAGGTTAAATTCATTGGCTATAATGGTAATTGAAAATGACGTGTTGGAGAAGATTACCTTTCAGGATATCTTGAACGATTTTGTATCAAAAAAAGTTAGAAGAGTTAATATTTAAGCTATGTATGGTTTGTTTTAAATGCATAAATAAACATTCTGTTCATTTGATTCAACATTTTTATTGAATAATATGATGATATACCCAGGTTAGTAAAAAACGGTGTAATTTTGAATTTTGTTGTGTTAACGAAAAAATTAGAAGAGGGTAGGGGCCCTGGATGAGCATTGCCTAGGGGCCCCGACAGGCATAACCCGGCCCTGCATGAGGGTGCGAGTTTAAAGCCTGGCAAGTACCTATGTGATCTTTCCGAGTCATATGTACTTTCTAATAGTATTTAGACATCACTGATTAATGCATTCCTAAAGAGGGTTGATGTCGCAGGCGGCCGGTTGTAAAAACAATCAGCCAAAACTATTCAAAACATGTAAGGCTCTGGCTAAAGCTGGGTAATTGCCAGGTAGAAGTTATATATTACGTACCTTAGCCTGATACACAAACAGGACAACGTAAGTGATGACGTAGCAACACATGAATACTGTCAGTTTGACAGTAAATGCGACCTTTAGCCGACCGCGAGTAATAGTGTATCCTTTAGCCAGAAGAATTAGAAGCAGAAGATAGCAAGTCTCTGATACACCGCAGAGGAATTGACCTAAAGAAGATTAGAAAGCACATAATATTACTAAATAATATCATTATTATGAGTTAATTATTTTTGTAATGAAACTTCTAATTAATTCCAAGGTTGCGTTAAACTTTTAACGCTGAAAGATAATATAGAAAGTAAAAGTAAAAGAGAGTTGATATTACGAACATATATGCATGATAATTATTTATAATATTCCTTATTATTATTATTTTTTCACTATACGAAGTTTCACTTCTCTAAAGCGAATGCACGATTCATTTATATTTTTGAAATAAAAGTTTTGTCTATGACTCCAATGTCAGAAATAAAAGTATTGTCTATGCTCTACTTTTATTTACATTTTAAACTCACCTATAACTTTAGACGCGGGATTTCCAATACCATTATAAGCATATCTTATCCCAGCTAGACTTTGTAATATAACACCGAAGTGTTGTGCCACTATCGATATCAAAAACAATTTGTACGTTGAGTGCAATAAGTGTCGAGTCTTGAGTTCAACGCTGCACATCACTACGGCGACCATCACTATGACGTACGCGAAGGTATATGCAAGGAGTATTGGTAGGACATCTGGGAAATAAAAGCATATATATCTTTATACATATACATATATAATTCTTCTGTGAGTGTGTATGTCACTGAACTTCTCTCAAACGACAGGACCGATTGAGATGAAATTTTTTATGTGTGTTCAAGGGGATCTGGGAATTGTTTAGATTCACAATTTTGTTCGCTGGACAATGTTTTTTTTAATTAATTTTTAATTTATTAGTAGTTGTTGATACAGACGTTTTTTTTTGACATTAGATTTGACAACTAACTAACATGTCAATCATTCTGTCGCACTTCAAAACACGGAGATTTATGGCTTTAATAGGTAAACTTCAAAAATATAAATAAAAAAACGTAACAGATATTTCTTCATTATAGGGCGATACGAAGTTCGCCGGGTCTTCTAGTATATAATATATGTATATACTAGCTGACCCGGCAAACATTGCTTTGCCATATAAAAATAGGGATGTAAAAAAGTAAAAAAATAAGGTTAAACATATGATTTTTTTAATGTCACATTTAAAAAAAATAATATATGAAAAACGTCTTGAAATTTTGAAAATAAAATCAAGGGTAAACAACCCTCATCTCTTAAAGGTATGAAAAGTAGCTCATTCTCAGACCTACTGAATACATATAAAATTTAGTAAAAATCGATAAAGACGTTTCGGAGGAGTATAGTAACAAACATTTTGATATAGAAATTATATAATATTAGAAGAATATAATATGTAAATAATATATTTACTACAATGATTGAACTCACAGAATTCGTCAGCTGAGAAATGTTCATGCCAAAAATCCCCACTCGGACCATTAGTCATCAAAAATTTATATCTGACGTCCAAGCCCTAAAGAAAACAAGTAAAAATATGGTTATTTTTCATTCTATAAGTGTGATATATTTAAAAAATCTTAATAAAATTTGAGTTTTTAACTATTTCAAAAAACTTTATACCAAGGAATAAATTTTACGTATTTCTAACGTCACTGTCTCTTTCCAATTTATTTTTATATATGTATATTTTTACATATAGAAAAAACATCACAAAACTTATTTCTATTTAAGCTCTTTCTTTTTTTTTTAACTATAAAAAGTGATTCATTAAAACCTCTTTCGATTGCAGACTTTTTTTAAATATTTTTTTTTTAATTTGGAACAAAAATAAATATTAAGATCTTACCTTAGCACTGCCACAGTTACTTATAGCGATGAACCACCACCTCTCTCTAGCTGAACGAAATCTCCTCGAATTACGACAAGTCACTATGAATTTAACTGTTTCAGTGTTCGAACTGCTTTGTCCATTTTGATTTGATTCAGAATACAACCTCCTTTTACGGAACCTCTCGTATAATTCAAACGTAGAACGTTTTATTTTCAGCTGAAAAAATACCACATGTAAAGATTTTTTTTTGATATAAAATACAAATTAATATCGAAGTTACTTCACCGTTAGAAAGTTTTGTTTAAAAAAATACACGTAATTTAATATATTATGAGTTTTTTATGACTTACTTTATAAAAGCTCTTTCAAGAGTACGAAATTTTAATTCATTAAAATTCTGTTTTATCATAGAAATATAGTATTTTTAATTAGCTTAAAACAGACAAAATGTATTTTATATCTCAAGATTTTTTTTGTTTAGTCTAAAATTAGGTTTTTGGTTGGTAATATTAGAAGAATATATATTATTACCGAACTACTATTCGTATTATCAAATAACAATTCCACGTCTTTTAATTTCTCCATTTGAGTGTCGTTTTCTTGTGGACCGATATTCTCCCATTCATCTTCTGGCAACACTGTCGTCGATATATTCTCCGGTAACAATTCGTACCAAATGGTAGAATTTGCATCTATTATGGTAGTTTTTGGTTTTGATGTGGTAGTTTTTAAAAACTGGTCGTAGTACAATGGATCCTTCGGTAGGTCGTTTTTAGTTGAATTTGTTTTTTTCGTTGTTGTTACCGGAACTGTTGCAGTTGTACTAAAAATATAGTATATAAGTATTATTTTATTAATACAATATCTTAACTTCGACACAAATACTTAGATAAGAATTTTTCTGCAGAAGAAATTGGATAAGTAAAACAATTTAAGATTTTTAATACTTCCTTTTATATGTTTTATTATTAGATTGGAAAATTTTGTACATATTTTTTAGAACACTGCACACTTCTTTTCGTACATGAGTCTTTTTTTAATGATTGAAAGTTACATACAAAATAAGAGCTTTTGTATAACATTTATAACTTTTTTCAAGAATATCTAGTAAAGTTATGATTGCCAGTTGAAATAAATAAAATATAATACCTTTTCGAGGCTGGCAGCTCTTTGTTTGATTGTGTTAGAATGCATCCAGAATATTCTGTGTCGGGATACCAGTGGGACAATTTCACTATTTGATTTTGTCCTCCCTTGTTCAAAACCGATTCACGTTCTCTACACGTCTATTAATATATTATATTAATTAGAATTCAACTAAATAATGAGATGAAAAAGAATTAAATACTATAAAAAACCATGAAGTTTGATAATAAAAATCTTAAGAATATAAATTGGTGAAATACAAAATGTATCTACCTACAGAAAATCGTATTTATTTTTCCTAATAATTCTTTTGAGTCTTTGTATTAACTTCCAAAACAAAGAAAAATAAAAATTTTCAACGTCTTTAAGTCTCCAAAAAATTAAAACTCCAAGATATGCACTTACAACAGTTATTAGGTCCTTACGGCCTGAAATTTTTACCTTTTTACCCTTATAAAACTCATATTCTTTACCTTAATATTACCTATATTACCTTACCTTAACTCACTGCCCTAATATTACCTATATTCCTTACCTTACTGCTATGATATACGGCGGGCCATTGCGTCTCCTCATCATAATATAACAAAAGGTTAGGTGTTCCCAAATCTCTGTCATATTCTATAAGATACTCAAATTGACCCTCCAGTGATAAAAAACAGAAACGGGCCAAAAACGCCCAGTTCTAGAAAACAATAAAGAAATCTAAGACATTTGCTAGTATTCATTTAAATGAAACTGATATTTTTGGGATTTTATTACATATATGTAAAAAACTAAATCTACATCTCGTCTGCATTATTGTTGCTGCAAAGTAACCGAAATTCAGGAGTATGTAGTTAAAAATAAAACGCGTAGTATATGCTAAAAATATTAGTTTAATCTAGATAATAAATATGGAATAAATTTTCTTAGAGAATCTAATTATAATTATTTGAAATTTTATATTGGAGTCAATCATCAATTCCAGTGATGACCATAACTTAACTTTAGCCTTACAATAATTAAATTATCCCTACTAATATTATAAATGCGAAAGTAACCCTGTCTGTCTGTTACGCTTTCACTCCTAAACCACTGAACTGATTTTAATGAAATTTGGTACAGACATAGAGTTGACCTTGAGAAAGAACATAGGATAGTTTTTATCCCAGACTTTTGAAGGCTTCTCTTGGAAACGCGATATAACCGAACTCCACGCGGGCGAAGCTGCGGGCGGAAAGCTAGTCTTAAAATAAATATATATTATGGTTTCCTTATAATATTTTTTACTTTTTATTTTATATAACATCTTTTTTATCCTACCTCCTTCGTATTGACCCAGCCCTCCACCCACTTGGCATCCACTCCGGACATCAGAAATATATATATCAGGGAGAGCATATCGATTTAACATTACACCCTGGATACTAAACCTGGAATATATATATGTATATACATATTAGAGTTTTCTGCAAAACAAATCCCATCAAAATCGATCTATCCGTGAATTGATAACGTATTTTTCTTTTATAATATTCGTCATAACTTTTTGATGGATTAATTTATATTGACTATATTTTTATTTTTTTACAATTTCTTAAATCTATGTATTTCTAAAAAATATTTATATTTTAAAACACTAATCTTTACAGTACTATATCAAAATTCATTAATTAAAATTTCCACAATCGACTTACCGTGCTAATTTAACATTATGGTAATTGTTTAAACAGTGTTTTGTTGTGATATCGGTTGTCATGGCAACGCGTCTATGGGAACGCGCTTCGCCATGGTTTCCATAGAGAATATATAGTCTATGGATGTAAATATGAAGTAAGTGTTCAGCTATAGTCTATGGTTAAATTAGAATTTAATAAAATATAAAATATGGAATTAATTAAATCACTGACATTATAAGAACTTCAAATTCAGGGATATACAAATATGTATACATCGCGTTAACACTGCTTTACTTCTTCTACCTGGCAATTTCCCAGCTACGGCCAGGGTCTGCCTTACATAGATAGTGTGTGAATAGTTTTTACGACCAGCCGCCTGCCTAACATCAACCCTCTTTTGGGAATCAACATTAATCAGTGATGTCTAAATACTCTTAGAAAGTACATATGATTCGGAAAACTCACATTGATACTTGCCCGGGCCAGGATCGAACCCGCGCCCTCGGCGACGAGAGGCGGGCCCTTTAACCACTGAGCCACCACTGATACTAACACTGCTTTACTATTAGTTGCTAACCAAGCTATCAGAGTGAAGTTAATCGAGGAAATAAACATATTTAAAAAAAATGCGTGCAGAAGTAAAACTTCGAAATGATGGAATGAAAATTTGAAGGCGTAGAAATAGATTTTCAAGGAATTTTTGGTGTATCTTTAAGACAAACTTCACTAATATTACTTACAAGTCACATTCAATACCGATCTGTCAATTTTTGTCCCCCCTCGAGCGTTAAACTTTTAACGCAACAGATCTTTCATACCCCATCTCTGGTTGCGTTAAACGTTTAACGCAACCTTGTTGGAAGTAGCATAAGAAGTTTGACTTCAATAAAACGACAATATAATTAATATAATTATTATTTATGTAAAATATTCAACATTTATAACATACATACAGACATACAATTCATGGATTATATATAATTAAAACATAGCTTACACCTTACATTAATCTCTTGAAAACTAAATTTATTAAAAAAAACTAAGATTTTAAGTTTTTTTTTATATATATAACTGAATCACATAATTCTAATAAAAAATATATCATCAAATTTTTTTTTTACTATACAATATTGAGCTATATATATATTAAATGCTGATTAAATTCTAGAGAGAAAACAATGGAAATTATGTAAAGAACAAATTAAAAGGTCCCTTAATATGAATATATATATATATATACATATATATTTACTGACATTCCCTCAGTACTTGTAATGACTTCCTGAATAACTCCTGCTGGGCCCGAGCATGTTTGATCTCTAATTCCGCAAGATCTATTAAACTGTTGACAAAGAATTATATGTATTATAAACACCTTTATAATATTGGATATATGATATAACAGTCAATTATCAACCTTATTTTCAAATCAATAAGGCATATTTTATCATCATGAAAAACCCTATGGGCTATATTGGGCTTTATCCCATACATTTTAAGGTATATTTTATTTCTTTTACATTACAATATCCCATTTAAAATAAAACTGCAGTCAAAATTAATCTTTAACCTGTAGATTATAAGGCACATTTTCTCTATACATTGCATGTATACCCATCATTATATCTACAGGCAAAATTGTGCTTTATTCAACATCCTTATATATATAATTCTTCTGTGAGTGTGTATGTCACTGAACTTCTCTCAAACGACTGGACCGATTTTTATGCCATTTTTTGTGTGTGTTCAAGGGGATCTGGGAATGGTTTAGATTCACAATTCTGTCCTCTGGACAATATTTTTTAAATTAATTTTTAATTTATTAGTACTTGTTGATACAAACGTTTTTTTTGACATTAGATTTGACAACTAACTAATATGTCAATCATTCTGTCGCACTTCAAAACACGGACTATTATGGCTCTAATAGGTAAACTCCAAAAATATAAATAAAAAAACGTAATAGATATTTCTTGATTATAGGGCGATACGAAGTTCGCCGGGTCTTCTAGTATAAAATAAAACTGCAGTCAAATTTAATCTTTATCCCATACAATATAAGGCACATTTTCTCTATACATTATAATATACCAATTAAGTACCCTACAGTCAAAATTGTTCTTTATTCTACATATATATAAGGGTCACCTTTTCTTGAAGGCCGCTACTCTTCTTGTTCTGAAGTCTATCAACTCCTCCCTGGCTCGAGCTGATAGCTGTTCGAAACGAGCGCACGCGTCCGCTTGGGCTTGTTCAGCCTGAGAGAGAGAGAGAGAGAGAGAAATATAGGAGAGAGAGAGAGATAGAAATATCATTATAATTTACAAATACCCTCACTTATATATATGGCTATGCCTTTATATAGGTAATAGATCAAAAAAAATTATGATTTTATATATATAAATATATTCTTTAAATATGTGTTATTGTTGTTATTAACTTTATATGTAACATATATATCTGTAGTTAAGTAACTTGATATTATTTCATATATGTATTGAAATATAGACTTTTTATTTAAAAAATAGGACTGAATTTCCAATGAAGTGAAATAAGCCTTTGAAAATATTTATACAGGATTCATTTTCACTAATTTATCCACTAGATTTTCATTGAATGGTTTGAAGGCTTAATAAAATGGTTTTAAATGAAAATTGGACATACCATAAAATATACAAAGATAATAGGTATCAAACATATCTTATTATTAATATATAAATAAATAACTCATATTGCTCCAACAGGGAATCGAACCCGGGACTATTTGGGGGCATTCTAATTACTGAACCATCGGGTCATTGATAGAAATGAAGAAAATTATATGATAATTAAATCAATACGATCAAAAGCGTGCGTAGTACATTACCTCTTGTACTTCCATTGGCTGAGTGCACGAAAAGAAACCACAGTGTTACAAATATTATGAGTGCGGGTCATATATACGATAATAGTGGTGTGACATATCGATAAAATATAAATTCAAGATAATTTTCATAGGAATTGTAATGATTGATATAATAATTATGAAATTTAGAGAATTTTTTTATAAAAACAATGTTTTAATGATTAGTGTCAATAACATATATCGTCTTGGATACTGCAAATCCGCGTTACTAGCATTGGATAGTTCCTCGTATATAAATTGGAAGAAGATTATCAGAAGAAAGTTTAAGCTGAAATATTTTTTTAAATCAACGACTTTTAATGTAATTTTTTTCACAAGTAGTAATAAATTCAACAGTAAATAATTATTTACACATATATTATCCAACCATGTTGGAAATCGCATAGGAAGTTTCACTTCAATAAAACTACAATATAATTAATATAATTATTATTTATGTAAAATATTCAACATTTATAACATACATACAGACATACAATTCATGGATTATATATAATTAAAACATAGCTTACACCTTACATTAATCTCTTGATAACTAAATTTATTAAAAAAAAACTAAGATTTTAAGTTTTTTTTATATATAACTGAATCACATAATTCTAATAAAAAATATATCATCAAAATATTTTTTTTACTATACAATATTGAGCTATATATATATTAAATGCTGATTAAATTCTAGAGAGAAAACAAAGGAAATTATGTAAAGAACAAATTAAAAGGTCCCTTAATATGATAAACATATACATATACAGGGTGACTGGTGAATTACTATCAATATTTGAGGACGTGATATTTGACGATCATATATGACAAAATAAAAATTAATATAACATAAATATTAATAAACTTCTAAGTAAAGTTAACCAAAAGTTATGTAATTAATTACGCATCGTGTGAACACCCTACAGATTAGGTATACACTGACACTCACACATACGCGTGTCGTGACGTAGTGTTGTATCATCACGCCGCCGCACGCGTCCACACTTGAACACTTGGAACGTGTCAACACTTTATTTATTTATACGGAAATTTTGTCAAAAATTAAGTGCCTATTTTTTTTACATAATTCGAATGAGAATCATGTACCGAGTATGCTCCTCAAATATTGATAGTAATTCACCAGTCACCCTGTATATGTATATATATATGTATATGTATATTTACTGACATTCATGGCACTGGCAGACCCTGGCTAAAGCTGGGAAATTGCCAGGAAGAAAATTTACTGACATTCCCTCAATACTTGTAATGACTTCCTGAACAACTCCTGCTGGGCCCGAGCATGTTTGATCTCTAACTCCGCAAGATCTATTAAACTGTTGAAAAACAATTATATTATTAACAAAACTATATAATATTGGATATATGATATTACAGTCAATTATCAACCTTATTTTCAAATTAATAAGGCATATTTTATCATCATGAAAAACCCTATGGGCTATATTGGGCTTTATCCCATACATTTTAAGGTATATTTTATTTTTTTTACATTACAATATCCCATTTAAAATAAAACTGCAGTCAAAATTAATCTTTAACCTGTACATTATAAGGCACATTTTCTCTATACATTGCATGTATACCCATCATTATCTATACAGGCAAAATTGTGCTTTATTCTACATCTTTATATATATAATTCTTTTGTGAGTGTGTATGTCACTGAACTTCTCTCAAAGGACTGGATCGATTTTGATGACATTTTTTGTGTGTGTTCAAGGGGATCTAGGAATGGTTTAGATTCACAATTTCGTCCTCTGGACAATGTTTTTTTAATTAATTTTTAATTTATTAGCAGTTGTTGATACAAACGTTTTTTTTGACATTAGATTTGACAATTAACTGATATGTCAATCATTCTGTCGTATTTCAAAACACGGAGATTTATGGCTTTAATAGGTAACCCCAAAAATATAAATAATAGAACGTAACAGATATTTCTTGATTATAGGGCGATACGAAGTTCGCCAGGTCTTCTACTATAAAATAAAACTGCAGTCAAAATTAAGCTTTATCCCCTACAATATAAGGCACATTTTCTCTATACATTATAATATACCGATCATTAAGTAGCCTACAGGCAAAATTGTGCTTTATTCTATATATATATAAGGGTCACCTTTTCTTGAAGGCCGCTACTCTTCTTGTTCTGAAGTCTATTAACTCCTCCCTGGCTCGAGCTGATAGCTGTTCGAAACGAGCGCACGCGTCCGCTTGGGCTTGTTCAGCCTGAGAGAGAGAGAGACAGAAATATAGGAGAGAGAGAAAGAAATATCATTATAATTTACAAATAAGCTCAATTATATGTATGGCTATGCCTTTATATAGGTGATGGATGAAAGAATGTTATTTTTATGATTTTTGGTACATATATGTATAATTTATTTTTCTTTATATGTGTGTTGTTATTATAACATTTAACTTTATATGTAACTTAAGCAACTTGATATTATTTCATATATGTATTGAAATATAGACTTTTTATTTAAAAAAATAGGACTGAATTTCCAATGAAGTGAAATAAGCCTTTGAAAATATTTCTATATAGGATTCATTTTTATACATTCATTCATTTGAAGCCTTAATAAAATGGTTTTAAATGAAATTTAGACATACCATAAAAATATACAAAGATAAGGTATCAAACATATCTTATTATTAATATGTAAATAAATAACTCATATTTCTTCAACGGGGAATCGAACCCGGGACTATTTGGGGGCATTCTAATTACTGAACCATATGGTCATTGATAGAAATAAAGAAAATTATATGATAATTAAATCAATACGATCAAAAGCGTGCTTACATTACCTCTTGTACTTCCATTGGCTGAGTGCACGAAAAGAAACCACAGTGTTACAAATATTATGAGTGCGGGTCGTATACACGATAATAGTGGTGTGACATATCGATAAAATATAAATTCAAGATAATTTTCATAGGAATTGTAATGATTGATATAATAATTATGAAATTTAGGTAATTTTTTTATAAAAATAATGTTTTAAAACGAATTAATGATTAGTGTCATTAATTCGTGCAAATCCGCGTAACTACCATTGGATAATTCCGAGTATATACATTGGAAGCAGATTATCAGAAGAAAGTTTGAGCTGGAATATTTTTTAAATCAACGACTTTTAATGTAATTTTTTCACAAGTAGTAATAAATTCAACAGTAAATAATTATTTATACCTACATATATTATCCAATGCTAGTTACGCGGATTTGCACTATCCTGACTAATATGTATTAAATTATTTGTATCATTACTTACGGCGTGAACATCCTTATTCTTTGCTCTAGCCCTCTCTAAATTTCTATTAGCCGCTTCGTATGCAGCCAGACATCTGGAAAAAGACGATTTTTAGGTCCAGAATATAGTTTACTGTTTTAGGGCACAGAAGTTCCAGGTGTATTTTAGGGATAGGATAAATAGGATAAGTTCTTGTATTATTTCACAATAAATTGCACTTCTAACGTGAGCTATATAAAAATATTACTGGTAAATTCACTAAAACATGTGTTACTTACCTAAGATGTTAATAAAAAAATCGTTGGCTAATTATTACACAAGAAAATTTACATAAGACGATATAATTATCATTTATAATTGGTTTTGAATATCAAAAATTAATGTAGTGTTTATAGTCATACAAAAAGGAAGGTAGACTGATTGGGGAAAAGGTGGAGGAAAGGGTGGTAAAAAAAGAAAAGGGCAACCGGCTATATATATCCCTACAAATTTATTCATATTCATCAATGAACTTTAGTAGTAATATATTGTACCTTATGTGTATATATATGCAGGGTGACTGGTGAATTACTATCGATACTTGAGGACGTGATATTTGACGATCATATATGACAAAATAAAAATTAATATAACATAAATATTAATAAACTTCTAAGTAAAGTTAACCAAAAGTTGTGGAATTAATTACGCATCGTGTGAACACCCTACAGATTAGGTATACACACACACACACTCAAACTCGCGCGTGCGGCGTGGTGTTGTATCAGCACGCCGCCGCACGCGTCCACACTTGGAACGTGTCCACAATTTATTTATTCATACGGAAATTTGGTCAAAAATTAAGTACCTATTTTTTTACATAATTCGAATGAGAATCATGTACCGAGTATTCTCCTTAAATATTGATAGTAATTCACCAGTCACCCTGTAGAGTTGTTTTTACCTTAATCTCCTCACTAACACCGCCTTAGCCGCGTGCGTGTCCCTCATATAGTAACGTAGAGTATCCGCTAGCTTTAGATCCTGGTCTGATGCCATACGACCCTCGATTTTCTGATGAAGAGGAAAAAGTATATATATTATTTACAGAGAGAGAGAGAGAAATGTTAAATTTGCATGGTTTCTTCTTCATATCAAAGATTTATGTAAATAATTTGATTCATATAATTGCTGTATAAGTAAAATTAAGGAATATTTTGTAATCTATGTATGCTTTTTTAAAATTATTTTCTTTATTGGTCGAGTTGGTTGGCAGATTGTCTTTTATTTTAGTAGTTGATGAAAAAACTCAAACAATTCTACAATTTGCTTAATTAGATTTAGAATTAATTGTCACTAATGAGTGAATTATAAAATAATATTGTCTTTGTAAGATCTTTTAGGTAAAGTAAACAAATTATATTTTGCGACACTGATAATCTTTTTATATATGTATATGTTTGTCTGTTTAGTAAAATATACATTGAACTATGTATAAAATTATCTTCTTCTTCCTGGCAATTTTCCTAGCTTTAGTCAGGGTCTGCCTTACTATGTACATATAATATTATATAGCTTAATATTACATATGTATAATGACCAATTAGTACAAAGTAATAATGATTCTATTATTATTAATGTATTGCATAGTTAACAGATCACAACCAACAAATAAATTTAATAGTTCCATAAGAAAATGATTGTAGTCAGTGGTGGCCTAGTGGTTAAAAGGCCCGCCTCTCATGCACGAGGGCGCGGATTCGATCCTGGTAAGTACTAATGTGATTTTTCCGAGTCATATGTACTTTATAAGAGTATTTAGACACCACTGATTAATGCATTCCCAAAGAGGGTTGATGTCAGGCAGGCGACCGGTTGTAAAAAACAATTAGCCAAATCTATTCACACTGGTTAAAGCTGGGAAATTGCCAGGTAGAAGAAGATCAGATAAGGGTTGTCAGTTGTTACATTTTCAGTATGCATCTTGTTAAACACTCACCCTACACTTGTCGAAGGTGTCGGCAGCCCTGCTGAGGAACCGTTCAGTGTGTGGAGCTTCACGAGTCGCCAACTGAGTCACGCAGGATGATAGCTTGATGTGAGCATCTGCCACCTCTGGAACGACATACATACATATATAACATACATACATACATACACATATACATACATATATGCTGTCTAACATTAATTCAATATTTAGTATTTAATGTAAAAGCAAGTTTTATTTGATAGTAGATTAACTTTGTAATATTTTATTTATTTTTATTTTATTTTTATTTATAGGTTCGCTAGCGATTTTTACACAAATGAATAATTAAATAAAGTTACATATAAATTAATAACATGCATAAATTGTGTAAAATCAGTTAAAAACAAACACTGCATGCAAACTTAATTAGTTGAAAATACAAGGTGAAATCAATAAATAATAATTAAAAACATACAAAACGAGAATAATCAAAAATGCAGACTAAAACTTTGCGAAAAAATTAAACAATTCAAAGAACTCAACCAAATATTTCAACAACTATAGATTTTAAAACAGTACATAAACCATACTTAATATGTAAATAGTAAACTAACCCTTATGCTTGCTGGTCATACGGTCGACTTTAGCTACAGCCTCTTTGAGATGAGAATAATATTCTTGGAGGAACGCTGTCTCTTGCTCGAAGAAGTCATTAACATCTCTGACTGTAGCGCCGAGATAAATCTCATCTGTTGTAGTGGTCATTGACCTCATCTGGAAAATTAATTGATTATTATTATATACCTACTGATATACGGCATAGAGTTCAAAATTCATTGACAGGCTTGGAATATGGTACTTTTAGGACATTACTTTCAAGTCACTATTAATAAATCATTGCGTTCTGATTGGCATTAGGTAATTTAGACAATCCTTTCCTATAGTGGTTTAACAGAAGGGAATGCTAAAAAATAAATATTGTAAAAGTGGAAAATAGGCAAAATAAGTTTGGAAACCCATGATTTAGACCCTATTTTCTACTAGATTCTTGTTCCAAGTATTTAACTCAAGATTCCTTTGTTCATTTTTATATTGAAATACATCTCTCAAATATAATATAATACTTTTTGATACTCGGTTAACTAAAATTTAAATTCATTAACTAACCACTATCAAAATGTTTTTGAGAAAATATTATTTTGATGTAGAGACCGTATTTATTGTATGAACCATGAAGCATCTAGATGTAGACCAAAAAAAATACTCAAAATAATATTTTTCTTATATTTTTTTTTTGGTATCACGAAAAATTTTTTTTTTTTCGGTTTCAAAATCACTTTATTTCTCAAGATATAATCACTTCGAGGAGAAATAAACAAACTTAACAAATCAGTTATAATTAAAATACAGTGTGCGCAAACAAATAGAGAGTATTACAAAAAAAAGAAAAAAACTTGCTAAACAAAAAGAACATTTGTGAACATGGAGGTACATTTCAATAATTGTCTACTGAATTTATACATACTTTAACATTTACATTTGTTATTGAGTATAAGGCCAGCTTATACTTACTAAACCTCCAATAAGGTCCATTCTGCCGCGCGGCTTTGCACATAGATCCTGTTCATACTCCAGGAACACTCTCAAATGCGCATCTCCTCTGAATACAGGGTGTGATGCCAACCGCTGAAGGAAAACTTCGTGCATAGCAACCGTCTTCTTAAAAGTCGCTAAATATTCCCTGATGATAAATAATTGTATGATTAGTATAGATTTTAAGCTGTATCTGATATTATAAGAAAGGATTTGAGATATATCTAGTTTAAATTTAAAATATTTTCTAAGGAATTAAGTTAAATGACAAAAAATTACACCCTTAAACAGTTGATAGAACAACGGCTTTGGGATTTATAACTTTAATAAAAGGCGATAAAAAAAAATGGACGAAATTCAAATATAATCTGAAAATAATGGTTGAAATCATAAAAAACGGTTGTTAAATATATTTCTTGAAATCCATATAGGAACCCGATAGTAGGGACAACGAAACGAGATAAAATTGGTAAATTTTATTTATTATTGTATTGAAATGTTAAATTGTAATAATGTTATTAGTTTTGTCAATTTTAGTGACTATTATGTAAGGTTTTATTAATTTATTATTATTGTTTTTTAATTTAAATTTTGATTTACTACAATTATTATACATATGTATTTTTCATGATATGATAGCCTATAATTAAAAGGACATTTAAGTTATTATTGATAGTTTGTTAATGTAATGAATGTATTAATGTTTTCCTTTGTTGGCTATTCAAATAAAATAAAAATAAAATACTATTCAAGTTACTAACTCCTCGAGTTCCTCCTTCATTTTGAGGAATTCCTCTCGTGTTAGAGCTCCTTCTCCTTCCCCCAGTCGTTGTAACTTCTCCCTGGACGCGTCGAAATCGGGACGGGGAGGTGCGGGCGGAATCTATAATATATGGTAACAAATTATATATACTAACATCAAAATGTTTATATTGTCAATAAGTTAATTTGATGTTGAAACTTATATATAACTAGTTATATGGCCAGCTATTACACATGGTTTCGTCTGCATAAAAAAAAACAATAAAAATGAAAAGACTTTTAAGCAACATCTCTTTGCGTATTAATTTCAGATAGCTTTCAGTGAGAGGAGCTTCAACAGTGACTGTGACTTGTGACCCAGGTGTAGGTTTAAGGGACCCCTATCTAACGTTAAACGATCACCTCCACCGTACAAGCTCCTCTCTCTACCTAACCAAATAAAAGAGGAACATACTAGGACTGCCTATGAAATAAGTTCCAAAAATGAATGAATGTGAGTTCTGGACAGGCCCAAATCTTTTAGTAGGTTGTACAGAGATTTGGCTGTTATACTTCTTACCTATTTTTACTGCGTACAGATTTATAACAAATCTATAACACTTACAATATATCCAGCATATTCTTCATTTTCCTCATATCTATCGTGAAGCCACACAAACTCCTCATGTTGTCGGACAACAAAAAACTCAGATTTCTGAAATTCCGGCAACGTTGTCTTTGTGTGAACCGTGAATTTGACTTTTTCTTTCTCACTCAAAGCATCAGATATATCCACCTGTTGAAAATATTATTATATATTTAATAAACAATCAGTTTTAATTCATACAAAAAAAATATTTATATGATCTAAAGTCGTTACACATACATTCTTAATCAATAACAATTCATAATTAATAAAATAAAATACCTTACTTATTTGATCTGTTATCGAAAATTCAAGAATATAAAATTAGGAATTGTAACATATGTAAAATGTAATAAATACAGTAATACCCCGCTTAACGCGACCCCGTTGTGCGCAGTTTCACTATAACGCGATTTTCAAAAATTTATTCAGATTTGGACATATTGCAGAGTATAGACAATAATGAAGACCGCGCCTTGACCGTGTGTCAAACGATTAAAAACAGTGTTTGGTGTTATGAACTTATTTTACAAGAACGTAAACAAAACGCTACCCAAAAGACAATACATGTATTTTTTCTTGTTCTTAGAATTAAAGTGATTGATTAAAATGATTTTTATATTTGTGTATTAAATTTTGACTGTGTTTAATCATAAATCTCGATATACGCGAATTTCAGTTAACGCGATTTTCTTCGGAACGTATCCCTCGCGTAAAGCGGGGTATTACTGTATCTCAATTTATAACTAAATAATATATTTTATTGTTACAATAATTATTTATACATACCAGTAAACTATTATCCGTTAACGAGACATTCTCATTGGGTTTCTTTTTATCAACTTTAGTGTCTCCAGATGGGGATGAAACTTGAGCAGTCAGAGGATCATTGCTATTATCATCAATGCAATCCTAAAGACATAATAAAAACATTTTTTAAACCAAAATAATATTATACATAGAATTTTTACCTATACTAGGCTTTAAATAAGGAAGTTTTATTTAAATGAAATTAATATTTTTCGAATTATACTATGTTACTTTATTTTTGTTAAAAACTACGAGATGCACACGTCTCATCTGCCCCGTCACGGTTGCTGTAAAGTCGCCGAAACTTCGGGAGTATGTAGTTTTTTACGAAACTAAAGTGACATAGTATAATCAAAAAAATATTAATTTCATTTAAATGAATAAAACTCACAAAAATCTTAGTGATTTGTAATACATATTATGCTTTATGAATTCTGAATCACACACAAACTTTTTATTTTTTCACTAAATACATGAAATTTAAATGGCAAAAATAAAATTTTAATTTTTTCATCTATTACATTACGAGTATGTGCCAGTAAATGAATATTGTTTATTTATAAAAAAAAATCCTATAGCAATATATTATTATATTCAAATAGTATGGTGCTAATATTTGTTCTCCTTAGTAATCTCTACTAATATTATAAATGCGAAAGTAACTCTGTCTGTCTGTCTGTTACTCATTCACGCCTAAACTACTGAACTGATATTAATGAAATTTGGTACAGATATAGAGTTGACCTTGAGAAAGAACATAGAATAGTTTTTATCCCAGACTTTTGAAAGGTTCTCTTGGAAACGCGATTTTACCGAACTCTACGAGGGCGAAGCTGCGGGCTGAAAGCTAGTAATATATAAATAAAAGAGTTAATATGCTGGCAAAAAGATATGGAACCTATTATTTACTCATAAAAAGTCTATAATATAGCACTCAAATATGTATGAGTGACTAAAAAATTATAGTTTTGTCTCCTAAAACCAACTACAAATATTGTAAGTGTAAATTTAAATATTTTCTGAACAAAGAAAAATATTTACTCCATAGTAAATTAGGATTTCTTGTATACATGAGTGTTAGAATTATATAATGAATTATTTAAATTTTTGTACTTAGAAGATATTATTTTATCATATTTTCTTTACAAACTTTTTCTCAAAAATTTAGAAGCTTCTTCATAAACTTTCTTAAACATTGGTGTACCAGAATTTTCAGATTCTAATAACACACAAAGGCAATGCAAAAAATCTATTTTTTTTAATAGTATAAATAAGTTGAAAGATTTAAAATAATTTTATATATAGAAAATTACAATTATACAGAAAAATTACCTCCCACTTGCATTTAAATTTCGATGACTAATTTATTATCTACATATTTAAGCCGATGAAATTGATAGCAAAATATTTTGTTAATACAAAAAAATAAACACCCTCCACGTCACTACTTAATAATTCGCATAAGAAACTACTGCTTCGATTATAATTAACACCAAGGAGGGTATAACTCGAGTAATTAAGCAATAAAGTTTCGTTTTTTAGTTTCACTTCGTAAATGTTAATAAGAATCTAACAGGATACGCCCCCCGGTTATATTTCTATAAGTAGATATCTTTAAAAGCACTTACCATCATCTTTGAAGCTAATAATGTTATTACTTTACAAAGTTATACTATATTTTAAATATATTCTTAATTAACTTTGAATCTAAAACATGAAACACCAAAACAAAAAACCACCAAATAATATTTGTCAATTAGCAGAAATCGTAACGTCAGTCTGTCATCCTGCAATAGTGACGTGCTTACTTTTATACCTACAGGTAATTAAAATAACGTTAACAAAATCACATTTTAAGTTAAAGTAATTTAATGTAACTTAATATCTATATACAACGAATCTTCTTTTCTATAAAAAATTGTGTAATGTTTTGCAGTTAATTTTAAAAGTATTGAAAATACTATTGATAGTATATTTTAAACCAACATATTAAACATTACATATGATATAAATGAGGATTGCGACCTTAAATGAACAAAGAAGGAAATCTTATCTGTTCCTTCAATTGTCTTCATTTTTATGTTTGAATTATTCTTAAAATTTTCTTACTAAAAACCATATTTATATATATTTAAATTACATTTTAAATAAGAAAACCGTACTTCACGCTTATTCTAGCGTTGTCTATAACTCTTCTGTAACGACACTAAAGTATGTGACAGATCACAGAATTACATTCCTAGTCTGGAGCCAAGAGACTTAACCGAATGGTGACACATGATTTAAATCGTGCAAAGCTATTTATAAAGAAATGCAATTTTTCTTTTTAATATATAAAAATATAATACTAACACTGAATTGCTTTGCCACAACACCATTAAGTTTGTGTCAGAATATAAATCGTATAACACTTGAAATTTGAAGTTTATAGTGGAATAAAAATTTCGTGTTAGTAAACAAAATTTGTTAGCGTTTTAAAGAATGAATGTAAATAGCTTTTTATCACCCCGTCTTATGGTTGGAGCCGCTATCGTTGGGCTCGTCGGAGCGGCTGGAGTATTTATATACGAACAGGTTTATGCCGAGAAACGAAGAGCTATGCTTGGTAAGCATAAGTATTATGTTACGGTAATACATTATATAATATATATTAAATATCTATTAATACGAGTAAGACTATGTGTCTGTTACATATGGGAATGGAAAACTTTTAATTATAGCATTATATGAGAATCTTAAATCCTTACTTGTAATTTGTAAGTATTAAATATCACTATCAAATAATTTCAGTTGGTGAAGTAGCGAGGCTGGATAAGCAAGTAGCTGCTATAAGATCAGAAATAGAAGCTCTTAGAGAAATACAGAAGGAAACGTAAGTATATTAAAAAGTTATTTATGAGATGTAACCTCTCATCATTCCATGTATTCACGGTGCGTGTGTCGGGTCCATCGTTGTAGTGAGAGGAGCTTCAACAGTACCTGTGACTTGTGACCCAGGTGTAGGTTTAAGGGACCCTATCTAATGTGTTAAACGCTCACCTCCACCATCCAAGCTCCTCTTTCTACCTAACCTTGTAGTACTTGTTTTTTTATGTTTATTATTTATATTGTTTCTGAGAACTTTTTAATTTATAATATAATTCGAACTCACTATTGTATCTAATAAAATTATGATCTATCTATAATATATATGTAGTAATCCGAAAACATTACTTTCATTTAAAAATTCATCTAGCTAGCTTATTTTTTTTGTTATGTATTTATAATAGTAATTTGCATACAAGTAAGGTATCCAGTACTTTACTTGGTTCTAGAAGTCTCCGGAGAGCTCGTCCCAAGCCTCGGGTCAAACGAGAAGCTGCCCCCGCTGCAGGAGATGTGACCGACTCGGAATACTTTACAGATTGTCAGTCTTTAGTAGGTATGTAAAAGAATTCATCGATTATTATTAATATATACTCTAGTGCTTTAGTATGTAATTCATACTGCAATTCTTTTTTTTTGTATTAAAATTAATTATATATTTGAAAGTAGAGAAATTACTATTATTGATGATTGGTAGAGCTGTATGTATTTTAATTCTATAATAGATTAAAATTATAGTTAGAGTCTTTAAATGTAACATAATTTTCAGTGTTACCACATTTATATCGAATTTGATTTTATTTGTAAACAGTTTTTTTCAATGAAATAATATTGTATATATATTCCATTCTAGTTGAATTCATATAGTGTTAAAAAAACCTTATACCTCTATACTCTATAGGTAAAGATGGGCAATGTATTTTTTTTAATTTTTGCCACGCATTAGTCCATTATTTTAATTCCAATGATAATCCTACTAATATGATAATTGCGAAAGTTTGTGAGTGTGTGTATGTTTGTTACTTCTTCACTCTCAAACGGCTAAACCGATTTTGATAAAATGACATCCAGGAATAACGCATAGGCTACTTTACATCCCAGAAATCCGCGTGTATAATATATATATACATATGTTTTTTATGTGTGTATCATTTCCAGGCACAGATATAGAAATGGACAGCGAGGAATTCTACGACGTGCCTTCAGACGACGACACTTTGAGAGACACGCGCGACGAAAACGATGATGACGTACGTTGACAGTAATAATAATAATAATCTTCTTCTTCTTCTTCTATATATATAAAAATGGATTGCTGTTCCTTAGTCTAACTAAAACTCGAGAATAGCTGAACGGATTTATCTTATCTTAGTCTTGAAATGTTCGTGGAGGTTCAGGGAAGGTATAAAAGCTGAAAAAAATTGATTCATTACTGAGAAAACCATAAAAATAGCCCTTTTCTATTTCCCATGCAAACGTTTTTTTTTGACATTAGATTTGACAACTAACTTATATGTCAATCATTCTGTCGCACTTCAAAACAAATAGATTTATGGCTTTAATAGGTAAACTCCAAAAATATAAATAAAAAAACGCAACAGATATTTCTTGATTATGGGGCGATACGAAGTTCGCCGGGTCTTCTAGTAATAATAATAATAATTTTTTATTTCAAGTGACTATCACTCATTTTATTGTTAGTAATACATATTACTTATCTCCTATGTTAGTATAATAAATTAATTAACAAAAATAAAAAACTATCTCTAAATTGTAATCATGGTAGTAATTGCTGAACTAATCCGCTCGAAGTAGCACAGCAATGACTAACTTACTTACAGTCTGTCTTACAGACAGTGATAGTCACGTTTGGTCACCGATAAAATACTATATTTCATCATTATGTATATACTAGCTTTCCCCCCGCAGCTTCGCCCGCGTGGAGTTCGGTTGTATCGCGTTTCGAAGAGAACCTTTCAAAAGTCTGGGATAAAAACTTATCCTATGTTCTTTCTCAAGGTCAACTCTATGTCTGTACCAAATTTCATTAAGATCAGTTCAGTGGTTTAGGTGTGAAAGCGTAATAGACAGACAGACAGAGTCACTTTCGCATTTATAATATTAGTAGGGATGACTTTGAAGAATATACTGTGCAAGTATTTGCATGGTTGAAGGCCATATTTTAAACAACCAACCAACCTTTATTATATTATAGTTTAACTTGTTCATTCACAAATCCCAATTTAAATAGTTCAATATAATATCTGCATATGACATTAGCGAATTATATGAGGAAACGCCACTAAGTATAGAAGAAAAGAGATTTATTAAAAATAATATAATTATGTATGAATTTCTTCCTATATATGTATATATAAAACTACTGTATGTATGTATGTATGTTTGTCACTTGAACTCTTAAACAACTGAACCGATTTGAAGGATATTTTTGTATCCATTTGTATGTCGTCTCAGAATTCTTATATTCACAAATCATGCCAACAGATGTCTCTGTTTATAAGTAGTTTATTTAAAATGAATACACTATCACGTAGGTTTCTATATGTATTGTTTTACCACACTATATATTTAGTATATTATTATATACAGGGTGACTGGTGAATTACCATCGATACTTGAGGACGTGATATTTGACGATCATATATGACAAAATAAAAATTAATATAACATAAATATTAATAAACTTCTAAGTAAAGTTAACCAAAAGTTATGTAATTAATTACGCATCGTGTGAACACCCTACAGATTAGGTATACACACACGCACACACACACGTGTGGCGGCGTAGTGTTGTATCAGCACGCCGCCACACGCGTCCACGCTTGGAACACTTGGAACGTGTCCACACTTTATTTATTTATACGGAAATTTGGTCAAAAATTAAGTACCTATTTTTTTTACATAATTCCAATGAGAATCATGTACCGAGTATTCTCCTTAAATATTGGTAGTAATTCACCAGTCACCCTGTATATACATATAGTCCGGAGCAAGAACTAATATATAGATTTAAATGAAACTAATATTTTTGGGATGTACTATGTGATTTTTTTTTTTTTTTTTTTTTTTTTTTTTTATGGGAAAAGGGGGCAACTGAGCAGACGGCCTACTTGATGGTAGGTAGTTACCGTCGCCCATAGACATCCGCAACGTAGATTTGCGGATGTGTTGCCGCCCTTCATTGGGGCAAAGGAGGAGGAAAAGGTGGGAAAGGAAAGGGTGGGAAAAGGGAAAGGGCAACCGGCACTCTCACTCACCGGACGAAACGCAGCCTTTAAAGACTACTTTACGCCGATTTTCTGTGAGAGGGTGGTACTTCCCCGGTCGAGCCAGCCCATGTTCGAGCTGTAGTAAATTGACTACAGCTAGGCTCTGCCACCTCACAAAATCACTGTTTCGTGATCACTGTTTCGTGATCACGGTTGCTGTAAAGTAACTGAAAGATCGGAAGTATGTAGTTTTTAGTACATCAGAAATATATTAGTTTCATTTAAATGAATACTCGCGAAAATCTTAGATCTCATTAATATATATATTTTTTTTTTCAGAATTCCTTAATAGTCGATGACACAAAATCAAAAACCAGTTCGTAGCTGTGGGGTACTTATTTTAGGTAAGTAATTCAATACTCATTTAAAACTTAAGCTGTATACACACTATAACATAATACAATACATTAGAATATAATTATGTATCAATTACTTTTATAAGTGAGTAACTGGCTTCATTTTGATAAATATATAATATACATATTAATTAATTAATTCATATTATATTTCAGGTGCAGTCAAATTGGGTTTAGTAAGTTTAGACATAGAATTACCGTTTGGGATTCAGAATGGGTTTGGCATATTCAATAATAAAATACAAGAAATAGATTTGTCTCGAATTTTAAATGACAATAATATATATGTTGACATTATTTTTGTTTTAAATTAATTAATATTTCTGGTACTTGTTATCTGTAGTCTTAGTACGTGTTCCATCGTTACTACATACGATGCGTTCCAAGTTTTTCAATTCGTTTAAGTCTACAGAAGTTTCTTGTTAATAAAATTTTAATATTATTTTCTGTGGAATCGTTTGTATCGTGGTATGAATTTTTTATTGAGGAATGCGCTTATAACGAGTTTGCATTGCCAAACTAAATACTGTAAGTATCAACGTGTGCTTGAATGAAAAACTGTCAACGCTACGTATTCAGTATGTCAATGCGAACTCTTCCTAAGAGCCAAGTGACGTAATACGCTTAGCTATTATCACGTCATCATTCTTTAATTCAATCGACAAGTATAATTCCAAAAAAAATATATTTTTTTATTACGATTATTCCATTATTATTAAGTTAATTTAATTATTGAACGGTTTTTAAATTTTCGTGATATTTTTTTGATATTGACATATAAAAAATCTTGTTTACCAGTTTCGTCGAAATAAATCTTGTAGCATAATAACGGTGGGTGAAAAATATAGACTGAGGCAGTATAATGAAGTAAGGTCAACAATATTGTTAAACTTTGTTTGAAACTGTAGTTAGTAGGTATATTAAATTTAACCCTAGATTTCTAAACTATTTTGCAAATAACGTTTTTACTGAACATTCGTAATAAATACGACATTTAAGTAAAACAGAAATAATTATCGAATCATGAATTTCAATTGTTTAAGATATTAAAATTATTTGCTCTACACAATTTGGACATATTTGTTTTTCACAAAACTACCCAAAATATGTGATATTTCTAGAAGATGCTGAATTCTCAGTTTGGCTTTTTAGTCCATCTATGTATATTTATGCCTAGAATTAATTATTTTCTTATAGCAACCCTTAGATCAAAAAGCGTTCTGTTGTGACTGATCATCTTCAATAGATTTTCAGTGTGACGAATTAGATTCTATACAAAGTTTACCTTTGTTAAAACTCACTCATACTGATGCACTTTGTGTTTTTTGCCTACGATGGCCTACTGAGACTGGAACATAAGAATTGGAAATTTTCATAATGTTTTCCATAAATTTCCATGTTTTTCCACTTTCAAACTCACTCACTATCTCTTGTGAACTCTCATCATTATATTCAACCGTCTCCAATGACTTACAAATATCATCTCTTAAGGCTCGATACATCTAAAACAATATATGTTACGGGCCAAGTATGAATACTACCCAGCCATATTGGGCCAAGTCATTAATTACAATTTAAACTCACCTATTTATTACATTGCCCGGGCATTATGAGTAATGCCCAATTAATAAACATTGTGCTACCAATTCAAAATACATCCAAATAATTGATGAAAACAATAACATTTACCTTAATTTACAACTCAATCATACAGACGAACACAAAATTTCAGGAATCATGATTTTTTCATAATTTTTACCATAGTCTAGTGATCTAAGGTTAAAGAATTTGCATTTTATTATTCCTTGTCTGTTATAATCTGTATGTAATAATATATTATCTGTAATAATGGAAATAAGCATTTAAATTTGACATTTAGTCCATTCTAATGTAATATGCTTATGGACGCTCAAGTGTAAATAAAATATATAAATCTTCATTATTGTTTCTCTAAATAAATTGTGGGTTATGTTTGTTAATAAAATATTTTCAATTTATTTTGACTTTTAATTTAAAGCCTAATAAACATTTTTATTTTATTATAACATCTATTTATTTATTTAATTAATTGTTAATAATATTTATATATACTGACACTGCTTCTCAATAATGAAATGTTTAGTTGTGAATAAATGAAACATAAGTTGTAGACATAATAAAATATGTCTACAACTTATGTTTCATTAAACTATCTACTTAATATAAAAGTTGTTCTTATAAATAATAATACTGGATAACATAATAAAATATTGTGGACAGTTAACATAATATAGTCAAAATTAAATCTCATGATATTATATTTAAATATAAACTATTTAAATAATTCACAACATTAAAAATGTATAAAAAGTAGGCCCGAGTTATGAGGTATTTAAAAATTCACATGAAATAGGCACAAACAAACTTACAAAACATGTATCTGTATATAATTAAATTTCCTTTGAATTCAATATATTTTTCATGTATTTCATTGAACATAAAATATATAGATGGATATATCAATTGTTTTGTTATTTGTACTATGTTTGAGGTAAGCTTTTGTTTTACCTAAAAAAATATACAAATAATGATGATGAAAAAATATTTCAATAAAGCACCTTCATATTAAATATAGTAATAATATTTCTTATATATAAATAAATAATTTTTATATAAACTACTGACATTTAAGTTAAAGACATTACATTCACAAATTATGTTAAAATGACAAAGCGAGGTACATTTATTTGCTATGTGCTGTCTAAATCTAAGATGAAATTTAATATTTTTCTTATAGTAACAGTTATTTTTAAAAATATAGTGCCTTTATTTGTTTATACCTCATTTAGTACTTTGTGCTTTTTTGGTTTTGCTTGAGAAATTATTAATTTTAATTTCTTCAGAACTTCTTTTTCCGTCAAAGCCTGATATGTGAATCGAAGATTTATAATTAGGCAGCAATTTTTTTTTGATAAGACATACTATTGATAATAATTTTAAGTTATGTGGAACACAGAAAAAATAGTTTTTAATGTTTAATAGGTTGCATATGTTTTGATGTGCTTACAAATATGAACATAGACAATTTTTTCTCCATAGGCCTTACATGTGCAAAAAGTTTTACAAATTATCGGCAAAAAAATATGTTAAATTCTAGACATCTATACAAATATAAATATATTTTACATTTAATCAATATTCTATTTATATGAAAAAATAAATCGTGTTTTACAAAAAAATGCATAGTCCTTAATATTAAATTTCTGTTTCTTTTTGATCATACTAATAAAAAATAATACTCAGTATTTAAAATTATTTAAACTGTGAGATAATCAAAAAAAGACGAGATTTCATTTTATTTCAAATATTATATAAATATTAAGGTAAACAAAGATCTCTACCGTCATTATATTCAGGTGAATACGTCCGAATTGTCGGTGTTAACGTATCGTGACGTCATTAGTGTACAGCTGACAGCCATAAGACCCTGCCGCTATACATATACATTTCAAAGCTAGTTCGTCTATATTAGTACTAAATTTATTTGTGCAATCGTTGTAATCCGTTATGTACAGTTTTCATAATGTGTACAGTCGGTGTAATTTATACACCTTGTATAGTGTACACATGGTATAAAGTATACAGTGGGTATAGTTTATACTCCTGTATAGTGTACACATGGTACAAAGTATACAGTGGGTATAGTTTATACACCTGTATAGTGTACAAATGGTATAAAGCATACAGTGGGTATAGTTTATACTCCTGTATAGTGTACACATGGTATAAAGTATACAGCTTGTATAGCTTGTACAGGGTGTATAATGTATACATGTGGGTGTATATCTACTGTACGTTCCTGTGTCTCGGCGCGGGGTCCGGGTCGGGGGGCGGAGGCCTATCCCGGACTTCTCCCGGGAGGCAGGTCTCCACCATAGCCTCAAGACAATACACGAACAGCTCACTGTTCTCCGCTGTACATTGATTCTATGGACATTAAAACTATTGTTATAACATATATATATATATAATTGCGAAAGTTTGTGAGTGTGTGTGTATGTTTGTAACTTCTTCACTCTCAAACGGCTGAACCGATTTTGATAAAATTTTGTATACAGGAAGCTGACGTCCAGGAATAACACATAGGCTACTTTACCTCCCGGAAATCTCGGAAATCCGCGGGTAACACCGCGGGGCGCAGCTAGTATATACAGGGTGACTGGTGAATTACTATCGATACTTGAGGACGTGATATTTGACGATCATATATGACAAAATAAAAATTAATATAACATAAATATTAATAAACTTCTAAGTAAAGTTAACCAAAAGTTATGTAATTAATTACGCATCGTGTGAACACCCTACAGATTAGGTATACACACACACTCACACATACGCGTGAGGGGGCGTGGTGTTGTATCAACACGCCGCCGCACGCGTCCACACTTGGAACACTTGGAACGTGTCAACACTTTATTTATTTATACGGAAATTTTGTCAAAAATTAAGTGCCTATTTTTTTTACATAATTCGAATGAGTATCATGGACCCAGTATTCTCCTAAAATATTGATAGTAATTCACCAGTCACCCTGTATATATGTATATGTATATGTGATTTCTATTTATAATCATCAACTTCCTCTATATAGCAACATAAATTTATTTATATAAGTCAATATGAATATGTGTTACAATACCTTAGTGAACGGTCCAGCAAATCTCCAAAGGCCACCAAAACCGCAGGACTGCATATAGTGTAGCTGTTGTTGGCTAGCGTCTTCTGATGCTATCATGTTCTGTATAATATATAAGAAAACCCTTAATAATTACTTATTTAATAAATTAAATTTGATACTGTATTAAAAGACAAATCGCTCGCCCATTCTCTGACCAACCAAAGTACTATACTTGTATATATATAAGTATGTATGTATGTATAATATCTAAATTTTGTTTATATGCTTATTTATGTAATTAATTCTACCTATGGCAAATTCTTTTTCTTGTTTCCTCTATGAAAAGGCTTCCTAATAAAGATCCCTTAAACATACTCACATTTCTTTTATAGTTATGAATATTTCAACTGCTGGTACATATATAAAAAAATTAAAACTAGTTTACTTTAGACTATATTGCTGAAGTAAAATTTCTTTCGCTTCTTCAGAATGCATTGATCCATTCCATTCATTCATTAACTTATATCTACTTCACTTTCGTTCGCCTCAGCCGATCACACTTTTCGTAACGCTTTCATAATCTTACCCCCAAGCGTGCGGAAAGAAGTTTTACTTCAATGAATGTTACATACCTGTATTATACTCTGTACAGCGCTGAGTATGACTTGGTCGTGACAATGCATCAATACGTGGTTGATTTTCATGTCCAAGAGACTGTGACTGTGAACGAATAGGAATATATAATAAACTAGCTTACTAGCTGTCAGTGGTGGCCAAGTAGTTAAAAGGCCCGCCTCTCATGCACGAGTCCGCGGGTTCGATCCTGGCCCGGGCAAGTAGCAATGTGATTTTTCTGAGTAATTCGTACTTTCTAAGAGTATTTAGACATCACTGATTAATGCTGATTCCCAAAGGGGGTTGATGTCAGGCAGGCGGCTGGTTGTAAAAATAGTTCGACAAAACTATTCAAAACATGTAAGGCAGACCCTGACTAAAACTGGGAAATTGCCAGGTTAAAGAAGATATAATAAACTAGCTTATGCCGGCGATTTCACCCGTTTGGACTTTAGTATTAGGTTAAGATAAACAAATAATTTGTATTAGATAATTCAAATAGAAACTAATTCCATCTAGTATATTTCTTAAAACATTTTTATTTATTAAAAATTAGTGTAAATATTCATTGAGATGTCTGAATGAAAGGTTAATAATGTTATGTATGTATATAGAATAGTAAATATATTTTGTTTTTATACTTACATGACGGGGAATACTTTCGGGAACACTACGGAGCCTTCTGCGAGGTACTGATACAGAATCCTGATCTCATCCTCGTCTGAAACGATTAACGATAAGAGATCAACTATATGTAGCAGGATGAATTGAATTTAGTAGAATAAATGATTATAGTAGAATGATGGATTTAGTAGAACGACCGATTATTATTGTAGAATGAAAGATTATAATAGAATAAAAGATTAAGTAGAATTAACTATTTTAGCAGAATGGACAATTTTAGTATGAATACTAATTGATATTAAAATTGTAATTTAACAGCAAACCATACATCTTAATTTTCACAAAATTATCCCAAAAGTAATAGTTTACCCCAAAATTTGTATTTATCCCACGGTATAAAATATTCTAAATACCTGTGGTATATTTGACAAGTGTAGCGAGTACAGTCAGCACCAAAGCTTGTGTCGTGAAGTCACTCAAAACCGATGGATCCAGGAGTGAATTGCGGGATATATCCTTATCCGACTGGTGGATAATAACGATTTATATATAAAACATTTGTGTATGACAAACATATTTAATAGAAAACAATGAATGATTTAAGAAATGTATTGTATGAAAAATCATTCCTATTTCACATATGTAAATTTTCTTTTACCTTTTACTTATAAAACAACAAATTATTGATGCATGTGTTAGGACTATTATAGTTTGTTTGATATTTGTATACTTTTAGGATTCAAGTAGTTAGTAGGTGTTTATGATGAAAATTAATTATATACCTTAGAGGAATGTTCTGAATAGTCACAGTCTCCGGATCGAGCGGACGCCGGGCGCTCCGCATCATCTGCAGGGGTGCTTCGCCCCTCGGTCTCCGCCACCTTATGAAAATGTATACATTAAAATACCACTATATTCAACTTAGTGTAAAGATAATATTTCTTTGCCACATTTATTCTTGGTTATAAGAAAGTTTCTTGTATCTACAGCTTGCAAATAAAGAAAAATACTCAACATATCATCAGTGCGATTATAGTAGGACATTTTTAAGAAGTTTACAATATTTATCTTGTTTCGTTGGACGTTAAAACTATATGGAACATTAACTCACATCGAGCCCGCTGTCCGCGTCAGTGAGATCTCTTTCTGCGGAGCCGTGTTGAACACTATGAGCTCGACCTTCACCATCCTGTATATATATGTTTGTCTGTGTATTCATATATGATACATATAAAATTTAGTGCAGAGGTAGCGTGGTTAGGCGAGAGGTTGACAAGTGTAACCAATTGGGGAATAGGGGTGAAAGTTGGGAAAGGGAGGGAAAAGGGAAAAAAGGGAAAGGTCAGGAAAGGGATTGAAATATATGTATTATAAACTTTTATCATACATAACCGCGCTACCTCGTACAACTGATGCGTGCCCTATTGCTTTATTTACAGTGTGAAGTTACTGTGACTGGGTGCTGTTAATTGAAGTATTTTCTGTTTTAATTGCTTACGTTTTCAATCAAACGTGACTAATTTGTATAAATGCTGTTTGTATTTCTGTGGTTGAATGGATTGCTAAGAAATGTGTTATTTTATATTAAAAAATATCTATTATAATTAATACTAATTAAAAAATCTCTAGTTTTTCTAAATTTCTATACTATCGTTTGGACTATTTCTTGACTATTTCTAGAAAAAATATCAAATATGTGAAGAAGCCTTTTATGGGGTTTTTGGGTACCACTATTGGTTCTAAGGTGGACTTTCATGGACGCTAAGGTAAGACTGGGTTTAAGCGAAGCGACAAAAGACGAAAAAATTTTTTTTGCTATCAATAAAAATATGTATCGTTTCGGTACACAAAAATAATTCATTCTTAATGAGAAAAAATTAATACACTTATCATATAAAATAACTATTTCTTAAGGATTATTAATTGTGCAAGCATTTCCGGACATGGGAGGTAGTTAAGAGAAAATAATTGTAGGAAAAATTTAGATTTAGCATTTCCATTGTATGTACAAGTACATTTATACACAATCATATATACACCCAGAACACTTAGAATTCGTGCTGTTTTACCATAAATAAAGGATATATCCTTTTATACCACAATTGACTAGTTTTCGTGTTATTTAGGAACAAACAGACATATAGATTTTTTTATGAGCTATACGATATACCCTGGGTGGTCTTATAGTATCTTTGGATGTAGGCACTGAGAATGATCTCTGTGTTTTGAAACGCAGCCTGGCTGACTGTCATGCGGCAAGCGGTTAACATTCGGTTAAATAAAGCGGGTATTGTGTTTAACACGTTTAACATAACGAATACGAACGAATCCAGAACGTCGCATGAAATGTGACAAAATGATTAGTATTACTGGAAAGAAGAATAGTTATAGAGGCGCGAGGAAGACTGACGCGATGGCTCAGTTGTTAAAATGACGGCAAGTTATTTGCAGATTCGATATTTTGTCATAAATTAAAAATCTTCCTCGGACCATGGAAAGTAAGAATAGAATACCATAGTATAATAGAATACAAACATACAGTCATATCGGATTAATATAAATTTAATGCTTACTAATAGTAAAAAATATAGAAATTTGATTAATTTTTTATAACTTTTATACTAGTATTGCTTTCATATGAATAATATTTAAAATCTCCAGTATATTTTAATATATTAACAAAAAAATAAACACTTTTAGGTTTGACTGTATGTCTGTTAAAATTAACAACTAAATGAAAGTACACAAAAGCTTTAACCGGTTACCTTGAATACAAGTTTTATAACAAAAATATAATTTAAATAAATGTATGACTAAATAATGATAGTAATATTATTATAATATTTATATTAACGGTATATTCATTACCTGATTGGCTATAGATGGTAGGTGGGGACTGTGACTGCCGCTCGAGTGAGGAGATTTACCTGAAACATACAAAAAAGTATATAATTTATAAAGAATACTTGCTACATATACATATATATATATATATATATTGCTTGTGACAACCCTGTTTATGATATATAAACATTATAGATAAGTTGACCTTAAAAAGTTTAAAATATAAAAGTAAAAAAAAATTATTACATACAGAGACTAGTAGTAACACTTTTTTACACTTATATTAAGGAATATAAGAGTTATAGGAAAATAACAGATTGTACAGCGCAACGCGAACACTTCACCAACATGGCTATTTCATTTTGCGAAGACGCAAATAAAAGTTGTATTTTTACTCGATTTTCAAAACTATTTTCACTCCTTTTCGGCATTTTTTTAGAGAATTAGATGTTAATGTAATTACTTAAACAGAAACGAAGGGTTTTTAACTCTTTAGTAAAATGCTACTGACCAAATATTGACTGATAAGACCGCAAGAGAACACAAATTCTTTGTTTTCGATTACCAGGTGTTTTATGACCTTATGAATTATCACCTTTCCAGGTAATGGTTAATGATCCCGAAATATTATCCAAGAAACGAATTTAATTATTATTAGATAAGTTAACATTAAATATGCATTTTAAGGGGTGTCTAATACATTTGGCCAAGACTGTATATCTGCAATCTTTTTTTTATATCTATAATCTCATGTATCTCATTTTATCTGCATATATCTATATATATCTCACCAGTGCTGTGTTCTTCTGTTTTCCGTCTATAGGAGTGAGTCGTTGGTTGTATCAGCATAGATGACTGTAAACATACGGACATATATCACAACATATATATTGATATTATACATTTGATTAATAAATTAGCAGCACAGAAATCATTTGGTATCATGAGAGAATTTATACAATAATTATTACTATAGGGACTTATAGATAAAAAAAAAATGTAGTGAGACAACTGTATACATATTTGTACATAGATATTAGATTCATGTAGAAATATTTTGATTAAATTTTATCATATACATATATCATCATCCTATCAGAGCCCACTGCTGAGCTGCTTCTTTTCACATGGTGAAGGTTAGAGCATTAATCACCACGCTCGCTCAAGACGGGTTGGCGATTTCAATATATATTCTCCAACTCACCTGATGATGATCCGTTGAAGGACAATAATGATCACAATTGTCAGGAAGCCACTTGGGTAGAGAGTGTTTGACGTGACAACGAGAACGAACCTCTTCAGACACGCATACTAGAGCTGGGAACATAATATACACACACACACATATATATATATATATATATATATATATATATATATATAGTATAAGCAAGTATTCTATATAAAATTACATTAAAAGTCGTTGATTTAAAAAATATTTCAGCTTAAACTTTCTTCAAATAATCTGCTTCCAATGTATATACGCCGAATTATCCAATGCTAGTAACGCGGATTTGCTCTATCCCCGACGATATATGTTATTGACACTAATCATTAATTCGTTTTGAAACATTATTGTCATAAAAAAAATCTCTACATTTCATAATTATTATATCAATCATTACAATTCCTATGAAAATATTATATACATACAAAGTAATATTTATGGTCTATGAACGATGAATATGTACTAAACCTTTCCGAGTTCACAGAATAAAATTAAATGAATCAGAGACAATCATTCAGAAAGATAGTATTGTTATTAAATATTATATATATCAGGAAAAGGCGAAATATTTAATAATCCAAGTTTTTAGTACATAATAAATACATACAAACAGTTTAGTAATATTTATGGTTTATGAGCCATAGAATTTTTCTGAGTTCACAGAAACAAATTATATTTATCAAATTCAATCATTTAAGATACTGATATTATATAGAATCCAGAAAATATATACAAAACATAAATCAAATATGTATTTCAGGAAAAAGCAAAGAAATTTAATATCCCATGTTTTTATATATGTATATTTAAAATATTCATCATATTTCAATATATTATTTCATTATATTAAGGAAAGTTAAAATATAAGTATTCCAAGTTTTTAGTATATACTATATAGGACATACATACATACAGTTTGATCATCATCATTATAAGCCTATCAGAGCTAATTGCTGAGCAAAGGCTTCTTCTCACATGGAGAAGATTTTAGTAACATATAGTTTAGTATTTATTAATGTATTAATAATATTTAGTAACCATTAATGTAGTAACAGTCAGTGGTAGCCTAGTGGTTAAAAGGCCCGCCTCTCATGCATGAGGGCGCGGGTTCGATTCTGGCCCGGGCAAGTACCGATACCAATGTGATTTATCCAAGTCATATGTACTTTCTAAGATAATTTAGACATCACTGATTAATGCATTCCCAAAAGAGGATTGATGTCAGGCAGGCGGCCGGTAGTAAAAACAATTAGGCAAAACTATTCACAACATGTAAGGCAAACCCTGGCTATAGCTGGGAAATTGCCAGGTAATGTATACCTGTAAGGTAGGCGACAGTACGATGCGTCAGTTGAAACTTATCCCTGTTAGGTCTAGCTGCCAGCGCTAGTAAAGCTGTGAGAACTCTGCAAGTCCTGGAAACAGTTCCAGGTGCTGGGTGACGGAAACCCTTCAGAAGATGACCCACTAGAGCGAAGTGGAAGTTAGAACGGAAACTGGAATGATAAACATATATATATTAATAATTGTGTATATAAGAGAGTATATAATTGGTATTATATAATATGGTAATAAATTAGTTTATATATTAACTAAAGCTTCAATATATATTATTATGGCAAAACTATGAAGTCGGATTCTTGTAACAGTCACAAAATAGTCCATATGATGATTTACAATATTTATTTATTTATTTAGTAAATAAATAGTATATAATAATACCAATATGATATATATATATACAACCTGAGTCCAACAGCGTGGTCCAATTGTTTGAAATGCCACTCCAGAGGCTCTCTCGTTTCCATCATAACTTGCTCCAAAGTCTGTAAAATATTTTACCATAAATAATATTCTCAGATTTAATTGATATGTAACTAATTTAATCAAGTCACTCTAATTAGTAAGTGTTATAAAAGTGATTGGATATTACCAACGAAACAAGATAATTTTTGTAAACAATTAACTGTAACAGTATTTAATAATTATTCGTTTAGGTTGTATTATGTTCATTCCATAGTTCATAAACACAACTAAATTCTTTTAGGTTACATATTTGATTGGTCGTTGCCAACCAAACAAGATAATATATATAAACAATTAACTGTACTAGAATTTAATTATTTTTCCTATATTTCTATATTACCTTATTATCAAACGCTCCCTGTGAGTCAAGTGTGTGTAGGTTTTGTTCCATTAGTGCCAGCCCTGCTGCATATAGCGCGGTCTCGTCTAATTGTAGTACTGACAGTGACACCCAGAATAAAGCTGCGTGGATTGGTGACTCCTGGAATAGTGGGGATACATGTATATATATGTAATTATTTTCATCAGCCTATCAGAGCCCACTTTTAAGCTGCCTCTTCTCATATGGAGGATCATCTCTTTCAAGACGGGTTGATGATTTCCAACTAATAATTTGATATTATAAGTCCATGTTTCTTCACAATGTTTTCCTTCACCGTATGTTAGTGGTGTCCAAAAACTTTTTAGAAAGTAAATATAACTAGGACAAAGTCACATTAATTCTTGCGCAAATTTATCCCCACTTCGTCAAAAAACTTCCCAAGTTACGTGCGACAACTATACCATATAATTTAATATTTCTCATATATATTTTAGAGTATTATTATATATTTTTGTACCGGATGTAGCAACGGCTGTAGCCTGGTCAGACACATGATGAGAGCCTCCAATAACGCGAGGTCGTTGAATACCTCTAAAGCCTTCACTAATATCCTCAGTAACTGCTTCATGTCATCGTCTGTCACGTTTTTACCTAGAAAATTAGATGAGATGACATAGATAAATCTAGATAGAATGACATAGATCTATATCTAATGTCATTTTTTCTAGTATTCATTTGAAAAAAAGTAATATTCATAATTATAAAAAAGAAATGCAATTACGTTGAATCAAAATTTTGTGTAATTTTTTACAATCGTTTATGGACATGTGCAAATCAAAAGAATTTTATTATAAACCAAGACATTTTTCAAGTGTCTAAATATTAAAAGAGTGTTGTATAAACAATATTTAGTATATTTTGTATGCAGATGGCAACAAAAAATTTACTTACTAATACAACCGAATACAATGAGTGCTCGAGGTTGCAACGCAGGGTTGAAGCAGAATGCAAAACTCTTAGCGAGTGACGTCCTGGAACATATCATTCATATAAAATATATTACAATTATTTGTATGGGCATTAATTTGTCACAACATATCTCAAAAACTTCCAAACAGATTTTCAAGAATCAGTAGTAAATTTTTAGGATATTATTAATTAAGCCTTACAACAAATATACATATATGCCAAAAAATGAAATTTTAATTTTTCTATACATAATACAGGAGACATCTTATTGCTCTTTATTATGTCATTATGTTTAATGAAATTTAAACATTACTGCAAACATTTAAAGTTTTTATTTGCTTTATATTTTTCGTTTATACAAAAGAGACAAATTAATTCGCACTATTAGGTATATAGTCTAAATTAATTAACTGTTTGTATATAAAGAGGTATTCCCAAACGAGGGTTGATGTCAGGCAGTTAGCCAACAATTAGCCAAAACTATTCACAACATGTAAGGCAGACCCTGGCTAAATCTGGGTAATTGGAAGGTAGAAGAAGATATAAAGAGGTACCATGTATCGAGCCAGTCACAGTCGGGTATATCTCTCATACAAGCCTCCATAATCTCTAATAGGGCGTCGGCGATTGTCTCCAATGATTGTAGGGGCAAACGCTCCCGATCGGACTGCGGGCCCGACGCGCAGCCCGAAGACACCGTGCACTCAGAATATGAATGTTCAGAATACCTGCGAATGTATTATGATATATATCTTATTTATTTAAAAGGTACATATTTAGCAAACATAAACAAACAAAATAGAAATAAAAACTAGGACCTGATATGACAATTACAGATGTACACAACATTCACACAAAGAAATAAATAAAACTTATTGTCTACCTGTTGAATTTAAGTGATAATTAGATAACTATGTATCAAAGAAAAAATCTTATGATCCAATATACAAAAAAAATAATTATATAATGCATATATCTATAGGAGAATATTGTTAAAGTGATGATGAATCAAATCAAATTTAAAAATGGTGTTACAACGGGATCGAACTTATGTAAGACTTATTAAGATATTCTAGTGGCTTTTAGAACTAAGCAATCGTGCTGAGTCAGATTGCTAAATTATGTGTATATATATTATATATTCTAATAAAATCCTACTTCTATTCATTAAGCATAAATTTATTAACGAACTCAAAATTTTAAATAATTATTTAAGGATCGCACTGAAAAGGAAGCAATCTCAGCTAATATCTTTCTATTGCTCCTAATTATACAAGTGCCATTCAAAAGATAATATATCCTTAAGCATATATGATTATATAGGACGAAACCTCTCATCATTCTATATATGCACGGTACGTGTGTCGGGTCCATCGTTGTAGTGAGAGGAGCTTCAACAGTGACTGGGACTTGTGACCCAGGTGTAGGTTTAATATATATAGAGAGACGAAACCTCTCATCATTCCATGTATTCACGGTGCGTGTGTCGGGTCCATCGTTGTAGTGAGAGGAGCTTCAACAGTGACTAGGACTTGCGACCCAGGTGTAGGTTTAAGGGACCCCTATCTAACGCGTTAAACGCTCACCTCCACTGTCCAAGCTCCTCTCTCTACCTAACAATATATATATATATATATGTATATACTAACCAGTCTCCTATATGTCTGTGGGGGCTCCTAAAAGCCGTGACAGCCGCAGACTTCACCTTGGAGATGCCGAACATCTGGTAGAACTTGGGCAGCGCGAACTCATCCAACGAGAGCATCAACACGCGCTGGGTATCCTCTGGGAACATATATTAAACATATTATTATATATTATAATACTAGCTTTTGTATGCGACTTTGTCCACGTTAACTTCGGAATAGGTTAGAGATTTATATGCCCAAAATAAGAGATAAATTTGTTGATAGATTGAGACATTTGTCCGTGTCACGTGACTTCAGAATATAATTTTTCACGTCATCCCGTGGGAACTACAAGTTATTTCAGGATGAATCTTAACCTATATATTGTTGTAACCAAGCTAAATTAACTGTTAATATCATCAAACTCCACACATCCACATGTGTGTTGTGTCAATCGCCGGCTATGTGCGTGTATATATGTTCTGTGTGTGTGTGTGTGCGTGTGTGTGTGTGCGTGTGTGTGTGTGTGTGTGTTCGTATCACTCACCGGAGAAGCTCGGCGAGTTGCACGTGCATAGCGAGTGTATGATGTTGATGACTAGTCCGTGAGTCGCGGCCCTCATGGACACCGAGCCCGAGTACACCAGGAACGAGACCGTGTGGAACAAGTACGGCAGGTGGCGGATCACGTCCAGGCAGTTGTTGAACGAGAGCATCAGCTGGGGACAGACGGACATACACACACGTGACGTCACACAGAGTAGATAGAGACGGAGGCAACTAGTTACAGGTGACGTTACAGAGTAGATCGAGACAGAGACAACTAGCTTGAAGTGACGTCACATAGAGTAAGTCGAGACAGAGACAACTAGACACAGGTGACGTCACATAAATAGTCATTTAGGATTGAAAATTCGTTTTATCTCAACTTTGATAAACATCCGTAGTACAAGTAGAGATCAAACAATTGAGATCATTTTAATTTCTACTAAGATATTTATCTACTTAAACAAAAAATAATTTAATCTTATTCAAATAGATTATAACCGCTCAATTTAACTTATCTCTGTCAGAACATACTATACAAGTATTCTATAGTATTGATATTTTTATTCGTATTACCAAATATCTGGCGAGGATTGCTATGTCAGCCCACATCATATGCTGCTCTAGCATCGCTGTAGGTGAGTGACATGTCTTATCGACAACCTGGAAATGAGAAATCATCGTTACTTACAATTATATAACATTTCTAGAATATTCTATAAACGTTAAATAGATTCCATTGTTCGGTGACCTCTGTCGGTTTTTGTATTTCTATCAATAGGCATGATAATAGAGAAAATTATGAAATTTACCCAACTTTTGGCCACTCACATACATATACGTATATACAATTCTAATGTATTTGTTTCAACGCCCTAGTATCAGGAAAAATTGGTATTTTTTTAGTATATTTATGTTATTTAGGCTATCTAGACTAATGAATCTATAATCTAAATAGCTTTATTAGATAGCTGTAAATAAAAATAAGCAATATAATGTTTTATTAGTATAGTCCTGACGCCAATACTGGTCACTTCATGAGGCATGTGAGCGTCAGGATGACAGGTGAATGTCAGTCAATGTAACTAATTTAATCGTGAACCAATTGTTGGGAGCTATTTGTGTAATGCACAAGATATAAATATCTGAAGACAGATCCGAAGATAAATATTGATTTTCGCAGAACAAAAAAATTTTATGAACAATATGAAACACATACATGATATGGAACTAAATATGTAATGCAAATATTTTTCATAATAGATTATAATTTGTTTATCCCGAGATTTATTCGTCAATAAATATCTCTTGTGCGTCTCGTGTGTCACGAACAAGTCAATAGAATCCTCCGCTTCTCACTTCTCTCATATTGAAGAGACCAGAATTAGCGAAAGGATTTTAAAAAAACCGTCCATCTAGTATGGAATATAATACATAAATAACATTTTGTTACATAAAATAATTATAAATATAAAATAGCTTACATATAAAATAAAAAGTATAAAAAACTGATATATTATAACTCACGGTAGCCGGCGTTACTGGGCCCAGCGCGTTATTTGGGAGTTTCGAAAGGGCCTGGGGGAGATATGTCAATGATACAACACATTTTAACAATAAAAATGTATTTGAAACGAAATAAAACAAAAACTTTTATAGTATTACATAATATAAATATATACAACTACTGTATACATAATATGTAATATATAAAGATGATTATATAAAATATTTTGGGTCAAAAGGTCATTATCAATATGAATATTTTCTTATATAATGTAGTTTTACGAGTCAAAGGATAAAAAAGTTATGTTCTTTTGTGATATTAAAATGACTGTTGATACTATGTAAGTGATCGTTGAAAAAACTATCAATCCGTTTGTTCCGGCTAAACTCTGAAACGACTGCAGCGATTTTGATGGGAATTACACTGACGGATAGCTGATAGAGTCAGCAGGAATATAGACCAAATTAATTTCAGAAATCATATTCAGTTTTATATATAATAATATATGAAAAAATAACTCTTCCTCTATGACGCACACTAGCTAGTTCATTATGTAAATAACTATTTTTGTGTTTGAAAACTAATCAATGATAATAATTGAAGTTCATCCATTCTAAGAACGTAATACCTACAATATATCACGACTTCTATAGTATAGTATAGTATTTTCATAGTATAATATGCTCACCCGACACATCCTACCGATGACCTTTCGTGACACAAGCTGTACGTTGGCTGAGGCGAGTGCTACAGCTGTGTCCGCCATTATCTCGATCATAGGTGAACCAAGACCTGGAAAATACACCTGGAGTTAAGTGGACATATATATGGGGATCTTCTTCTACCTGGCAATTTTCCAGCTATAGCCAGGGTATGCCTTACATGTTATGAATAGTTTTGGCTATTTGTTTTTACGACCGGCCGCCTGCCTGACATCAACCCTCTTTGGGAATGCATTAATCAGTGATGTCTAAATACTCTTATAAAGTACATATGACTTGGAAAAATCACATTGGTACTTGGACGAATATATGGGGATATAAGGCTTAAACTACATTGTCGGGATAGTGCAAATCCGCGTTACTAGCGTTGGATAATTCCTCGTATATACATTGGAAGCAGATTATCAAAAGAAAGTTTAAGCTGAAATATTTTTTATATTAACAACTTTAAGGTAATATTTTCACAATTAGTAATTATTTCGTGTTAAATTTTTTATTAATTGTGAAAAAATTATCTTAAAATACCATTTTGAGCTAAAAAATGCAAAAAAAACATTCTCGATTATTTCCTTTTAGAAATGACTTTAAATTGCATATTTAATTTCAATATTAATTATTTTCGAGTGCCCAAAAGACTTCGCACTTATATAAGCATACCACTTTAACTTCACAAGATACCTTTATCTGTAATATAGGCCCAAATTTTCAAATATTTGAACAAAAATACTTCCACTGACCAGATTTAACACTTCTCTGTAGGAAGCTGTCTAGCACCATATCAATGAGTTCCGGGACCTGCCCTATGGAGCCCCAAATCTTGGCCTGCACTGAAGGGTACATCTGAGTTTCTTCTATAGTGAGGGTAACTAACTTCTCTAATATACCAGCCACTTGCTTCTGCCGACGAGATTCATCTGATGGCTTACAGAATCTGAAATAAGAATATTTTGGAATTAAAATTTGCATAATCTTTCCTTGTAATGAATGATAATGATAAATAAGTAGTATAATCTTGTTGAAATTTATATATTAATAAAATGATCATGTCTAAGGAAAATAAATTGAAAAGATATTGAAGTACTTCACGATTCAGAACAGATAATACTCAAAGAGTGCCAAAAATATGATTTTGTTATCATTAAATATATAAAGACGAATCTTCTCATCATTCCATGTATTCACGGTGCGTGTGTCGGGTCCATAGTTGTAGTGAGAGGAGCTTCAACAGTGACTGTGACTTGCGATCCAGGTGTAGGTTTAATACCTATCTAACCTACTATTCTTTACAAAAACATGTACGAATTTCTATTAAATGCTATCAAAATATATTTCTATAATATAATACACAATTTATATAAAAACTAGATTTAAATTAGTACAATAAGTTATCTTGAATTCACATACCTTACTAAATTAGCCAACCAAGGCGTCATGTATTCAAGACACAAATGCTTCAACTCTATTGTGGATTTACCGAAGCCCTGGAAATAAGTTCATAGTTAAAGAAATATATATATTAATACAAATTGATTAAATTTACTTTATAAAAGCTTTGTTTTTACAGTATATATTGTATTTTAAATTGGTTTTACATACCCAATATAAACATTTCTATGTAAAATATAACACAAATTATATATATTTAAATATTTACATGTCCAAGTCTACTAAAACAAATTTCCATACTTTGTTCAGTAGATTATGTATTAAGTTTCAGTGACAGACAAACTTACATACAATATTTGATTCTTGTAATACCTGTATACATTCTTCAAGAAACTCCAGCGTCAAATGAGGTTCGTTGTGGGCTAACTTCTCGCTTACAGACTTGATGAAAATTGTGTTATTTGAAGGTATGCAGAGACCTGTATAGATTATAATAGTTTTATTTTGGGTATATTTTGTGAGAATTAAAACTAAAATAAAATATTTTCAAAGCAAGTAGAATTAGTATTGTGGAATAATATATTCATTTAATAATTATTTTCTTTTTGTTTATTATAAAACCTTAAAACGATTTTTTCTTTGCTATTAAAAATTAAGAAGCTTGTACAGAATATACATCTATTATTTCTTGATAAATTGTCGTCTATATCATTTTTCTAATTTAATTTTAACATAATAGTTATTATGGATCTACAATAATTAATTCAAATTAACAATACACAAAATAAAATTCCCTATCAGAATTTGAACCAGTGACTTCTAAGATAACATTCTAGTCACTTTTACAAATGCACCATTGTGTCTTTGATAGTGTGAATTTTTCTTCTATAATTTAATTTCACTAATTTTTATATATACACTAGTTTTGCCCTTACTAATTACTTCGTCTGCGTTACTTTCTAAATTAGAAATGTATAACTGTCCGGGCGAACTCTATTTTTTCTTAAAGACAGTAGATAAGAAGATTTTAGATTTGATGAACTTATTTTTTTCTTTTTCAATCGGATGAAAAGTCATATGTGCTTTCCCATGTTCTAAGCTACCTCTCCAATTTTCAGCCATATTCCTACAGTCGTTCTTGAGTTATGAATAGTGTAACTAACACGACTCTCTTTTATATATAAAGACTTGCTGAGTGATAAAAAATTACGATTATTTGAATTTTTTAACACCACATTATAAAAAAAATTAAACAAAATTTCTTAAAAAAAATAAATATTAAGGGTGAACAACCCTTATAATTAGGGGTATGAAAAATAAATAATAGCCTATTCTCAGACTTAGTGAATATATATAAAAGATACAAATCAGTAAAGTCATTTCGGAAGAGTACGGTAACTAGTATTGTGACGAGAAAATTTTATATATATACTAGCTGCGCCCCGCGGTGTTATCCACGGATTTCCGGAATTTAAAGTAGCCTATGTATTATTCCTGGACGTCAGCTTCCTGTATCCAAAATTTTATCAAAATCCGTTCAGCCGTTTGAGCGTGAAGAAGTAACAAACATGCATACACTCACAAACTTTCGCAATTATGATATTAGTAGGATTTTATTGTCACCAGAGGTCTCCAATAGCTGTCCCTCAATCTTCAGATGGAAGGTGGCCGTCAGTGCACATAACTGATTGTAAGCGGCCGTTCGTAGCGTGGGGTCACACGAACCAAGGTTGAGTAGCGCCATATTGAGGAGGGTGCCGGGAACGTCCTTGGGGCGAATTTTCTGATGAACTGTGACCGAATCCTGCGAAATTAAATAAAACTAATATATTTGTTTCATTTATAATATGTTTGTATTATTTTATAGTACAAAAAAGTCTCGGTTACTTTGCAGCAACAGTAATCAAGAAGACGAGATGTTATTACAAGAATAAATCACGAGTCATATAATAGTTTTATTTATTATTTATCTTATTTATTTCACTATTTTTAAAAAGTGTTCGGAGTCATCGTAAGACCAGTTTATTAATAAATTTGTGGTTTTTATTTTTTTTACTTCTCTATATGACAGGTTTCTGAGGTCGCAAATCTTATTAATTTTATTATAAATATAAGGGAAGAGAAAAGGAGAAAAACGAGCTGCGAAAGCAGTTTTTACTGCAAATCTTGGAGCCTTATATCTGCGGTTTATAAGTTTAATAGTTTTATTTAAATGAACACTCGTTAAATCTTAGATATTATCAAGTGAAATTCAACCTTATGTGTATGATAATAAAGTCTCACCGGCTGGCTCAGTTCCCATCTGTTCCGTATGTGTATGATCGCCTGCACTATGTTGTCACAGTCGTTGTGTATGAAGCTGAGAGGAGTCGCCTCGTTGATGATTGACAGAGAGAATTGGTTGTCATCCACAAGACATACCTGGGTATAATAACAATATAATATATATAATTAAAAGTATGGTAGAGTATAAAAAAGTAACGAAGCAAGCGAAACTATTTTAGATACTAGCTTTCCTCCCGCAGCTTCGCCCGCGTGGAGTTCGGAGTTCGGTTATATCGAGTTTCCAAGAGAACCTTTCAAAAGTCTGTGATAAAAACTATCCATGTTCTTTCTCAAGGTCAACTCTATTTCTGTACCAATTTTCATTAAAATCAGTTCAGTGGTTTAGGCGTGAAAGCGTAACAGACAGACAGACCGAGTTACTTTCGCATTTATAATATTAGTAGGGAAGTAGGGATTTAATCGATTTATAATATTAGAAATACCGGTGTTAAATTTAATAAAAAAATATATAGCGTACATTATTATGGAAAATTGTAAGTAGGGAAATTAATGATATATATTTATTTCAGTTAATATAAGAGTTTTCAGATGATAGTCTACAACAGAATATTATTTATAAAGTGAGTCATACAGATAGTGTATAAACAGTCATCTCACCTCATCAACTTCTGACGCGTAATACACATCATTCAACATGACAGGCAGACCAAGAACCTTGGTCTTCTCAGTTGACGTGATCTGTAGAGCGGTGGGGCCAACCTATAATGGTCATCAAACATATATATATATTAAATAGACAATATGTACATGTATATAAATTCACATTTTAACACAGGGATATGTAATTTTTCATTATATAAAAAATCATTAAGAATTTAACAAAAAGTCTTTGATCATGTCACATTAATCCATAACCTAATAAACCCTTAATTCTGAAGTAAAATACTACGTAATAAACTATTTAAAAGAACTATAATATTTATTTCGTTACTATACTTGTTCAAACTGTCTTCATTATTGTAAATCAAAAACTAGTAAACTTTTATGTCTGTACACACTTGTCATCAGCCTATGAACGCCCACTGCTGAGCATAGCCTCAGCCTGTACACACTTAATATACCCTTAAGTCGTAATAAACTATTTAAAAGCAATTTCCTAAAAAAATAATTATAAAATTATGTAGCTATTTTCATATACAGGGTATAACTTCCTTTTTATTATCAATGATTGTTTGTTATCTTATTGTATTATATTATTGTTGTTTTTTGTTCTTAACTTTGTTTAAAATTTATTCTTACAGATTCTCTTAAATTTTTGAGTTTAGTGTTTAGTTATCTTTGTTAACGTGTAAGTTGTAAAATTTAAATACCTGTAATGGTGTATCACACTGTACAAGTTTTGTTTATTATATTTTTTTCCACATATGGTTTGTGTATATGCCGATGGTATTTCCAAAATAAATAAATAAATAAATACCGTATCCATAATATATGAATAACCTTGATGGAAACTTTTGTGTCTTTATGTGAGAGCTTCAAAGCGTTGTTGAAGACTTTGAGGTCTTCTTCTAAAGCCAGCGTTGCTCCGGGCAGCTTCTGTTGTTCAGGATCAACGTAGTCGCTCAATCTACTGTGGTTGTCTATGAAGATTATTTTCCTGTTACCCTGAAATGTTACATTATGTTAGCAATTTAATAAAATGATATTCTGGTGTCAAATTATTGATGTGAGGTCAAAAATAATAATAGAATTCTAAGCATTACCATTGGTAATTTTAGTTTTTGTGGTATTAGCACTTAAATTCTTAAGTTCTTCGATATTTTAACAATTAATAATTAATATTAACTTTAATTTAACACCAATATACTCTATTGATATTAGTAAAGGGAGTTAAGAAATTGGTGACCTAATTGGGGACACATACATTGACAAAAATTTTAGTACGATTGATCTTTTTAAGCATTAATGCCACGTAATCATGGAAACATGTACAATTCAATACAGTCTCTCATTTGTATGACCAAAGAATTGTATGTGGTGAAAGTTATATAAAATATATGTAAAAATTCTTATATATATCGGATTTAATACAAACTATTTAGATTTAAAGAGTGACGTCAGCATGGATGATATATACATGTGTGTGTGTGTGTGTGTTATGTTACCCTGAGCGGCGCCAGTATGAGTTCGTGGAACTTGGTGTACTCGCGGACCCAGCCGTTACAGTTATATATGTAGCACGCGTGGACACTGTTGTAGGCAACCTCGGGCAGAACCGTGAACCACTTCTGAAGGAAATCCGTCCTGGAATTATGTTTATAACCATCAGAAAACTATAATTACATATCTTTAGTTATCTATCAAGAAAAATCTTTAGTGATTGGGTTTTACAAGAGTTTAGATGGAGTATTTGAAAAAATATATGAACTATTACTATCTTCTTCTACCTAGCAATTTCCCAGTTTTAGCCAGGATCTGCCTTACATGCTGTGAATAGTTTTGCCTAATTGTTCTTACGACCAGCTGCGTACCTGACATTAACTCTCTTTGGGAATGCATTAATCAGTGATGTCTAAATACTCTTAGAAAGTACATATGACTCGGAAATATCACATTGGTACTTGCCCGGGCCAGGATCGAACCCGCGACCTCAAGCATGAGAGGCGGTCATTTTAACCACTAGGCCACCACTGAAATATATTATATATGTTTATTTATTATTTCTATAGTACCTGAAGCGATTGTCTGAGTTAGTATGTGTGAAGTCAACTATCAGCTCGAAGGGTTGCTGGCAGAAAGGTTTCAACGTGAGGATGACGTGGTAGATCAGAAGATCCGCATTCACCTCACCTATCCTGAACACAAACCAATAAAAAACATATATAATTTTAGGTACAGTTTTAGTCTTAATGTTCATTACTTCCATTTGTATTACAAAATGACTGAAGACAGTATTTATAGTTTACAAATACAAAGATACTTATATATTGCCATTACAAAATTATAATGGTTCAGTATTATGATTAATTATAATTACTTATAAAAATAATTCTAAGGATTATAGTATATTATAACTAGCTTTCCGCCTGCAGCTTCGCCCGCATGGAGTTCGGTTGAATCGCGTTTCCAAGAGAACCTTTCAAAAGTCTGGAATAAAAACTATCCTATGTTTTTTCTCAAGCTCAACTCCATCTCTGTACCAAATTTCATTAAAATCAATTCAGTGGTTTAGGCGTGAAAGCGTATTTTCCATTGTTTACCCCCCGCAACCAGCATTGTAGGTGGAATTTAATAAAATCCGTTCTTAGCTGCCCTCTACTCAGCGAAAGGAATAATAATAATTATGGTTCTAGAGATATCGTGATAAGTCAATATATAGGTGGAAATCTCTTATATTATATGTATATAGATTAGTACGATATAGATGGCGCAATTTGTAACACATACTTGTATCTCCTCGATATGAAGTAGAACACCGGGTTGCCCAGCTTGCTGGTCCCCGCCTGGTAGAACGTGTGTGTGTGTGTGTTATACATACTTGTATCTCCTCGATATGAAGTAGAACACCGGGTTCCCCAGCTTGCTGGTCCCCGCCTGGTAGAAGATGTTCAGACTCTTGATGCTCTTGAACTCCTCCTTCTGGTGCATGTTGTGCTTCACGATGAACTCCTCGAAGTTGGTCGACGACATGTCTATGGACGACCAGCGGGCGTACGACGAGAACAGCAGCCCGGATGTACTGGAATATATACACGTACATATATACAGGGACCAAGACTTGGTGTAAGGAAAAAATACTACACTGTAAAGTATTTTTGATATTTCAAAGTGACAGGTAAGTTGAGAAGTAATAGATTAGCTAGATAAAGGATGAGTATATAACAAGAAGAAATGTGGGTCGAGGTAGACCTAAAGAAGGATGGATGGATTGGATGAACACATGAATGAAGGAGTGACTGGTGAAATGATGACTGATAGGTGATAATAGAAGAAAGATTGTAAAGCCTATTGTTCTTTTTATTTTTGCAGATTGCCCACTAGTCTATTCTTACTTTGGGTGGTGGGTAATATTTTTCTTGGCTAAATAAACTCAACTTCATGAACTGAACTAACCTGAAGGTTGTATTATAATTTTTATAGAGGAAGGTTTTCTTAAAGTATTACAGTCCTTGAAATTAATCGATTTCACTGTTTTGATTTCTCCAAATTTTGTTAAAGACATGTACATAAAATATTTCAATATACAAAATTATAATTTAAAAAATCTGATATATAACTCATTCAACAAATTATTTTAGTTAGCATGGGAACCAGAGAATCAAAGATCCCTTTAGTATATCGTTTTTTTCAATAACTTTGTGTACAAATTCATGTTGTATAATTAAATGTGTTCTCCATATAATAAAATCGACGAAAATATATTAAATATGTATTAAACTTACGATTCCACAGGCTTATGTTCGGGCGGGCCCAAGTAAGCGAGAAGCGTTGCCATCTGAGAAAAAACTTATTAATTATAGTATTGGTAAATTAATATTTCGATCTTTAATAAATTAAATAATACGATTAATAATAATTAATAATAATACAAATTTTGATTAGAATTCCTCTAAGAATTTTCAATAATGAATTCCATAAAAAATCTTATCTATGTATATTGTAATAGATGAATTACAAATCAAACACCTACATACTTAGTACGAAAAACATTGCAAAAATGTTAAGTATTAAGGAATTAAAACAATACTCTAAACAAAAAAATATATATGTATGTGTGTGTGTTTATATAAAGTTATATAGGACCTTATCGAAGGGTCTTCTGCCCACAGCCTTATGGTCCCGTGAACAAGACAGATAGTCTCCAATTTTCTCCTGATGGTTCCACAGAAGTCGGTGTAAAGCTAACACGTTTGCGTCGCTGATGAAGGACAGGTTGTGGGCCGTTTGGTCTACGGTTTCGCAGTCCGACGCTATCTCTATGAAGAATCTGTTCAGATATAAGAAACGCGATTATATATTATGTTATATGTATTAGAAATATTTTGAAGTAATTCGTTCTTATTTGACAACAAAATTCTAAAGAAATTAATTTGTATGCGTTACATCCCTACTAATATTATAAATGCGAAAGTAACTCTGTCTGTCTGTCTCTTACGCTTTCACACTAAAACACTGAACTGATTTTAACGAAATTTGGAACAGAGATAGAGTTGACCTTGAGAAAGAACAGGATAGTTTTTATCCCAGACTTTTGAAAGGTTCTGTTGGAAACGCGATTTAACTGAACGCCACGCGGGCGAAGCTGCGGGCGGAAAGCTAGTGATCTATAAAAGAGACTCAAAGGTCATATATTGGATTAAGAATATATGTATGTATACTTCTTCAAGTTTTTTTTTCTCATTTAACACAAAATTTTGAATGAATAATTTTTTTTGCTTTAAATGGTCTATAAAATAGTATATTTCAGAACCATCAGTAATTTTTACTTTTTTTCCTTGATTAGCACAAAATTTTGAAATAAATTAATTATTTTACCCTACATAGTCTTATAATGAAGTATACAGGGTGACTGGTGAATTACTATCAATATTTAAGGAGAATACTCGGTACATCATTCTCATTCGAATTATGTAAAAAAAAATAGGTACTTAATTTTTGACAAAATTTCCGTATAATTAAATAAAGCGTGGACACGTTCCAAGTGTTCCAAGTGTGGACGCGTGCGGCGGCGTGCTGATACGCTGATACGCCGCCACATGCGTGTGTGTGTGTGTGTGTGTATACCTAATCTGTAGGGTGTTCACACGATGCGAAATTAATTACATAACTTTTGGTTAACTTTACTTAGAAGTTTATTAATATTTATGTTATATTAAGTTTTATTTTGTCATATATGATAGTCAAATATCACGTCCTCAAGTATCGATAGTAATTCACCAGTGACCCTGTATTTACGAATTAACAGTATTATTTTACTACTGAAAAACTGAAATATACTCATTTATTAGTTACTAAGTGATATATACTTTCTGCCGGCTTCAAAATGTTCTCTGAGGAAGTCGTTGAAGGGCAGCATGTGTTGTTCCTTTGAGAATTCCACGTGGTTGGCGATGTTTTGAAGGATCTTGGACATTAGCATGAGGCCGCGTTTAATGTGAGATGGGATGGGGCGGGACACTATACCCATCTCCTGGGGAGAAACTGGAAATAGAACATAGTTTATATTATATATATATATTTGAAAGAAAGAAAAGACATTTATTGACATTCACACAAATAAAAATCAAAATTATTCAAAAAAGGATATAAAAATAAAGAAAATAAATATAATTAATATGAAACTTGTGTGCAGTCAAAAGGAGACAACTCAAGTTATGAGGGTTTTTTATCCCTATGCTGATTTTCAGCTGTCTCCCTTGTTGCCACGCAATGACAGTATCAACCAAAGGTATCTAAAATATATATGTACAGCATAGCGCGGAAATATTATAATGATTGATATATTTTCTTGATTTAATGAAAAAATAAATAGCGAGATTTTTTATTATAAAAAGATAGATAACTATATGGAAATCATATATTTATTATTATTATTGGACATGTGACTGTAGTCATGTAGTAACAATGTATGTTATCCGCGTTTTGAACGTTTTGTTTATTATTTTAATTTAAATATACAATCCAAATTCTTTGATGTAGGATATAATTATTAGTTATATGTCAAAAAAATGATTTTCTTTTACAATGCTTTCTTTAGATAAAAGCCACATTTACAAAATACTTATTCATATAAACTTTTTTGATAATTTTGAATATTTCACAAATACATATTAACCAATTATTGTTGGTATACATAGTGATTATATTATGATATATTTAAATATAAACCTATAGCTGGGTTGATGTATCTCAGGAACAAAACGGTGCCGACTGCGCCGACGCTGGTCTGTGGGAATTGGACGAACCTCTTACTGAGCACCTGGAAATAGAATATGTTATATTACACCTGGAACAAAACAGACAAATCCAGGTCAAAATTGAGCCTGGATTACTATTTACTAGCTTGTGTATAAAAATGCAGCATTTTATTATGTACTGTTGAATATAAGTAAATGTTATAATCTATTTCAACGCGTGATATATTTTTAATATGTGTATGAATAGTCGTATCATAGTTTTGTCGGTTGAAGGTTGATTAAATATATGGAGATCATTAGAAAAGGGTTTTTATTTCATCTAAGTATTTTAACAAAAACAATATTAGAATGTTCTTTGATGGTTTTGGTTCATGCAGATGTCATTGAATAAATATATTAATTATTTTTTATACCAATTTCCAATGACCTATATACTCAGATAGTCTTAAGAAATTGCAATAACTTTATGATTAGAAACTAAATAAAATTATAATTGTATGACATTAAAAGATTCATCATTTTATTAAGAGAAACACACTGAACGAAATATAAACACAAAGATTAAATATTGACATATAGATTAAATACCTTACAGAAATGCAAGAGTTAATTTACATATCATTGCCTTAATATTTCTTAGATGATTTTTTAAACTGCCAACATTTTGTATTTATCTACCTTCCCTTAAAGTCTAGCACTTTCATACATTCAGAATGATATATATACAGGGTGACTGGTGAATTACTATCGATATTTGAGGACGTGATATTTGACGATCATATATGACAAAATAAAAAATAATATAACATAAATATTAATAAACTTCTAAGTAAAGTTAACCAAAAGTTATCTAATTAATTACGCATCGTATGAACACCCTACAGATTAGGTATACACTGACACTCACACATACGCGTGTCGTGACGTAGTGTTGTATCAGCACGTCGCCGCACGCGTCCACACTTGAACACTTGGAACGTGTCAACACTTTACTTATTTATACGGAAATTTTGTCAAAAATTAAGTGCCTATTTTTTTATATAATTCGAATGAGAATCATGTACCGAGTATTCTCCTTAAATATTGATAGTAATTCACCAGTCACCCTGTATATATATATACTAGACGACCCGGCGAACTTCGTATCGCCCTATAATAATGAAATATCTGTTACGTTTTTTATTTATATTTTTGGAGTTTACCTATTAAAGCCATAAATCTCCGTGTTTTGAAGTGCGACAGAATGATTGACATATTAGTTAGTTGTCAAATCTGATGTCAAAAAAAAACATTTGTGTCAACAACTACTAATAAATTAAAAATTAATTTAAAAAACATTGTCCAGCGGACAAAATTGTGAATCTAAACCATTCCCAGATCGCCTTAAGAACACACAAAAAAATGTCATCAAAAAAGGTCAAGCTTTCTTTCTTTCTTTCTTTACATACACACTCACAAAAGAGTTATATATATATAAAGATTTTAATATTCACCTGATACAAACAATGACACATGCTCCGTAGCTGTGAGGGGAACTTGTCAGCCGAGCCCACGATCCTCTCAAACACCTCGCGGGTCAGATCCCGCAGATTGTTCCTATTGATTTCTATATCTTGACTGGGATCCAATCTGAAATAAACATTTATGGTCACATATATTACTTGTACTTTATAGAAATGGTATATATATAATATTCTATTACACAAAAAAAAACAATTGTTTATTGACTGAATACAATTGAAGATCTTTTAAAGTGAAATTTTTCGCGACTTCCAATAAGGTTGCGTTAAACGTTCAACGCTCCTGAAAAAAAAAGAGACGGAAAGAGAGTAAATGAGTGTGTCAATAGTGTATTGTAAGCAATGTTTATAAAGTTAGTCTTAAAAAATATATGAGTTTATTAAAAATCAGTTTCTCATTTTCTTATTTTCATTTCCACATTACGAAATTTCACTTCTTGCGAAGATACAAAACACACTAATTTCTTTATAGTCTTATTTCTGTACACGTCTCATCATCAGCCTATTAGAAGCCCACTGCTGTAAGGTCTCTTTCTCACATGGAGAAGGTGAGAGCATTAATCACCACGCTTGCTCAAGACGGGTTGGTGATTTCAAACTTGGACCGTGGAATTATAAGTCAAGGTTTGGTCACAATGTTATCATTCATCAATCAGTGATGTCTAAATACTCTTAGAAAGTACATATGACTCGGAATAGTAAGGAAATTTTTATAATAAGATGAAATCTTTCCACAAACTTAAATCTATCCAACAGTGACCTCTACTTGACGTGTCTATATAAAAGTATTATGTATTTATTATATCCAGGTGTATATATTTATTATATTTCACCTGGCTGGGTCCACCTCGAAGCTAAGACTGGGGCTGCAGTCCGCCTGGTCCAGTAGGGCTCCAATGAGCGGCTCCAACAGCCCCTGGAGGTAGCCGTAGCCGTAAATCTTGAAGCAGAACGCCATGATCTTACTGCCGAGGGAGTTCCCGCGAAATAACGTCTGCATACAGTCCGATACCTGCTTACAAAAATACAGGGTGACTGGTGAATTACTATCAATTTTTAAGGAGCATACTCGGTACATGATTCTCATTCGAATTATGTAAAAAAAATAGGTACTTAATTTTTTACCAAATTTCCGTATAAATAAATAAAGTGTGTACACGTTCCAAGTGTTCCAAGTGTGGACGCGTGCGGCGGCGTGCTGATACAACAACACGCCGCCGCGCGCGTATGTGTGAGTGTGTAGTGTAGAATAATCTGTAGGGTGTTCATACGATGCGTAATTAATTACACAACTTTTGGTTAACTTTACTTAGAAGTTTATTAATATTTATGTTATATTAATTTTTATTTCGTCATATATGATCGTCAAATATCACGTCCTCAAATATCGATAGTAATTCACCAGTCACCCTGTATACATATACATATATATACATTTATTTAGTGTCTTCCCAAGATTGATTTTTACTAAAATTTTTAATCATTAAGTACAAACCAAAATTACTGTTTATACATTCCTAAGATTTTTGAGCTGTAATTATTGATTTTTTTTTAATAAATCCTTCTTAATTCTTAAAGGGATTCAAGACTTTCAAATTAAATACATAGCATTGAAAAAAAAGTATTTCAAAATGTCCAACACATTTAATACCAAAATAATAATAGGTGGATAGGAATGTCAAGCGTCTTAATCAATACAATTCTTATTGATTCAAAACTCTATCACTACAATGTATTCACTATACAAATTCTTCATGAAATCAACTGAAAATCATATTTTGAGTTATATATCGCCCGGCGACAGACAGTCAGTCATAGCTAAACAATAGGGTTTTTTACGCTTTTAGTACAGAACTCTGGTAATAATGACAGGCACAGACAAACAATTATCAACAAACATCGATAGATAGGGTCCCTTAAACCTACACCTGGGTCACAAGTCACAGTCACTGTTGAAGCTCCTCTCACTACAAGGACACACGCATGGTGTATACATGGAATGATGAGAAGTATCGTCTCATATATATATTAGTAATGATAACGTGACTCACCGCGCACACCTCCACCTCCCGGTAGAAAATGTTCCACAGCAGCGGCGCCAGCAGATGTTTAGCGTCGAACAGAGAGACGAGCACGCGAGCCAACTCGTCCATCTGAGCGGAGCCCACCACGCTCGCTAGAGCCATCGCGATGGGCAACTCACCCTGGGACAAACAATATATAATATATATAGAACCTGCATGAACATTCATAGTGTTGGGACTCGGTTACTTCAGATAGTTGAATAGATAGTTGAACTTTTATGATCACAAGTATATTGTTCTGTTATCATTATATACTAAATATGATTGACATTTTACAATAAATTAGTTACAATAATAATGAGTCTCGGAGCTAGTTGGAAATGTTGTAGCTCTTGCATGTCTTATAAAAGAGTAGGATAACGGATTTGGAGCCAGAACAGACAATTTATTGTAATTCAATTAAAATTATTCCATTGACACGAAGAAAAATGTTTAAAAACTTCAAACAATGATGTTAAATGCCATAGTTACAACTTGAAAAATTCGTACAAAAAGCAGACAGAACTTAATATTTATATTTGTCATGTATATAGTGCTAATAGTCTCCATACATTAAAAAACTCATAGTTCCTCACAGTTCATGGTCTCAATACATAAAAAAACTCATAGTTTCTCATCGTTCATAGTCTCCATACATAAAAAAAACTCATAGTTTCTCATAGTTCACCTTATCGGAGATCATAGTGACCAGTTGTACGAGTTGTTCGAACCGGTCAGCCAGTACAGTCTCAGCCAGGGTGTCGAACTCCGTACCCTGCTGGAGGATCTTGGTCAACACCTCCATGAAGGCCGTCCGAGTCTGGAGGTCGCGGTGGTAGCCAAGATCTGAACATAAATGATAAAATACTATAAAATAGCTGTTTATGTGTCTACTAGCTGCGCCCCGCGGTGTTACCCGCGATTTCCGGGATTGGGATGTAAAGTAGCCTATGTGTTATTCCTAAACGTCAGCTTCCTGTATACAAAATTTTATCAAAATCGGTTCAGCCGTTTGATCGTGAAGAAGTAACAAACATACACACACACTCACAAACTTTCGCAATCATAATATTAGTAGGATAAAAGAGTACTGTTTTTTTTTTTCAAATTATTAAGGGTAGTAGAGACAAAAAAAAAATCATTATGCACAATATTAGGGTTTTTTGATAATTTTGTGGTCTTTGGTAATTTATCTTAGGCACAATTTTTTTGTGAAGAATTGGTGTTTTTGGGCTCTCCAGTAATTTATCTTATAAACAGATCATTTATTTGTACTTATTTATTATTTTGGTCGTCTTTGGGGTCTTATAAATTTATCTTATGACCAAATATGACCAACATTTGAATTTTTTGTTCTTTTTTGAGGTCTTTGGTAATTATCTTATGAATAGATTTTTTGGGCACTTATAGATTTTTGTTCTTCTACCGTAATATATCTTATAGCCACTCACCAATACTATGCATGAGTCCTGAGTCTATATTAGCTGATAGTAGGTTCGACATGGCTTGTATGGTTGCGTTCCGTAGTGTTTCTAGACGACCCGGTCCTTCTGTGACTTCCACCTCATTGCAGTCGTTCAGAAGATTCATGAATAAGGAGAAGTATCTGAAAAATAACTTATCGTCTGACCAGGAATCTTCTTTACCAACTTCTTTGTTATCTACTTTGAGAGTTGTTCTTATTAATCTAAACTTAATTTAGTATTGCAGTGTTATTCAAAACAATTCATTTGAATTTCTACAGTGCATATATAAAAATATATTTTTGTACAATTTACGTTTCTGTATGTTCTAACAAATTTAACGAACGGCTCTACTGTTGTTGATACTATTTTCATAAGCACATAGCTGATTAATTATTAATTTAGGCCACTTTTTCTGACTTTTTCGATTATTACTCAGAATAATAATATATTCAGAATAATAATTCACAATATATTCAGAATTAGGGTGCACAGCGTATATAAGGCTGAAATATTTCAATTTTAGTGTATTTTATTCGTCAAATTAGTATGATACAAGTATCTCACTTAAGGAACAATTGACTCTTAGCCTCCATGAGATCTCCTCTGTCAGATTCTTCGGGTTGTAGCGGCAGACCCTTCAGCAGCGCGGCAACTGCCTCCATACACGCTTGATCCAACTCCCTAAATAAAGATATCAAATTCAATATTATATATAAGCATCTGATTTATCCCTAATAATATTATAAATGCGAAAGTAACTCTGTCTGTCTGTTACGCTCTCACGTCTAAACCACTGAACTGATTTTAATGACATTTGGTACAGAGATAGAGTTGACCTTGAGAAAGAACATAGGATAGTTTTTATCCCAGCCTTTTCAAAGGTTCTTTAGAAAACGCGATATAACTGAACTCCACGCGGGAGAAGCTGCGGGCGGAAAGCTAGTATTTACATATAATTAAAATTGTAGTGTCTTTTTGGTATTTTGAAATAACCGTTTTTCTATGTATATATGAATATATTATGTAAATACACTTAGTCACTTGCATATATATAAAATAAAACTTGTACTTCAATATCTTACAGGAAAATTGTAAGAAAACTTAATAGCTCAACCTCAAGAGACGTGACAGACGTATATTATCTATCTCTATCACTCATTCTTTCTCTTTCTCATATTTGTACTAGTTAGTCATAGAATGTATATTACTGTATATAGTATATCCCCAAATCGAAGGTTGTCTGGCAGAAATAGCTGCTTAGCGATAAGACCCCCTATTTGTACATTCCAATTTATACATTTTTTTCTTCCGTGTAAAATTTACTGTTTGTGGTGTACAATAAATTATATTCCATTATATTCTATTATTATATGTTCTTATCACCTCGTGATGGATGAAGCGTCCGCTCTCAAAGGCGGCGCTATTTGGTGTGAAGTTCCTAAGACCCAGTCGGTTACATATTCCACCATTTTGTTACGGAATTTCATTTCCTGTTGATAATAATAATAATAAACGTTAATTATTTAATAGATTACACCACTACAAAACAAACAACAAACAACTACTACAACAGTACAAATATTAAGTTAAAAATCAATAACAATTATAATAAGTGTGCAGCAGTGTAATTTAACTAAAAGGAGAACCAATCAGTGAAAAATAGAAGCAATGTTGCTTCTACACTGATTTTCAGTGATCTCCTAAGGTTGCGGCACTGACAGTGGTAACATATACATTAAATTAACATTGTTAAATTTAAACATAACAATACAAATAAAATAATATATAATATTAAAATAAACACGACATTAAACATATAATATAGGAAGGTGATATCTATCGCGCTTGCTACGCAGGTGTGCCGGGACGCGCGGGCGCAGGATAGACATATGAATATAAAAGACTAATACGTATTAACTAAGTGGTAAAATAAAAGGACTATTTTTCACATATTTGCAAAATTTTTTACATACTTTACTTTGTTATAAATGTAAATCTATTTTTTGTAGTTTAATAATATTTTAATAGTGTTAAGAATGAATCTATTATTATGACAAGTATTTACGTCAATGTACATTAGTTTAGTTAACAAAGCTGCTAAAAAACGGTAATCGGCAGGTAATAGGTATGAGTCCTGCTGTACGTATTATTTTCTATATTTTCTAGTCGAATATTTTCACGACTGATTATAATAAAACATAATACTGATCATTTGTAATGTTGAGATGGCACCATTTAAGTATCTTTGTATTTGTAAACTATAAATACTATCTTCAATCATTTGTAACACATTACTGGAAGTAACGATGAACTTTACACATCAAGACTAGAATTGAACCTCGAACGTACACGCGAAAGTCCTAAACAGTCGTGTATAGTGCAAATCCGAGTAACTAGAATTGGATAATTCCACGTATCTCCATTAGAAGCAGATTATCAGAAAAAAAATACAATTATTTTGTGTCTAATTTATTAATAATTGTGATAAAATAACCTTAAAAATCGTGAATATTCAGCTTCAACTTCTGATAATCTGCTTCCAATGTATATACGTGGAATTATCCAATGCTAGTTACTCGGATTTGCACTATCCCCGACGTTATGTATTCCTACCCCGCTGGTACCAGGTTCGATTCCCGTGCAGTACATGTATATGTATGTATGTGTACCTGTCTGAACGCCAGGTCGTCTCTCCTCCTCATCATAGCGTCAACCACTTGACACAGCTTCGTCTTTATATGTACTGATAACACCGTCATGTCCAAGTGACGCACGTATCTATAATAATAAGAGATATATTAGTATGGATACCTGGATAATGGATATACGTATATATGAAATAAAAAATAAAATAAAAAATCTTTTTAATTTCCAATACTTAAAAGGTTATACTTCTTAACAATCTATTTAAGTGTTAGTTTATTTAGTTAGTATAATTTCTCTTTCTTTATTTAATTCCTTAATGTCAAAATTTATATATTTTCATAATACCTTATTGGGAAGTGACTTATGTAGGTTTATATAATTTTAATTAAAATACTAAAATATTAACATAACATTTTTTCTTATTAAAAACATAACTAAAACACAAACCCTCACTTTTCCAAGTCGGTTATATCTATTCTCACCTCACAATAGCTAGCATGAGGCCTTCTATAGAAGTAGTACTGAGATGTTCGCAAGGCTGGTCGCTCTTCTTATTGTCTAATATACTCTTCATTATAAATATCGTGTGTTCCACGAATTGAGTATTAATATCAGTAAGCATCACCTTGAAATATTAAGGTAATATTATTAATATCAAATACTAGTTTTTGTCACCAGTGTTGCTCACATAAATGTTTAACCATTTCTAGCAAAGCCAATAAGGCAACATTATTGTTTAATAATTACAATATAGGTCCTTGATAAAATTCTATGAGATTAGAGATAAATAATAAATTAAAAATAAATAAATTTTAATGTAACTTAGTAATATGGGTATTGAATCTAATGAATAAAACTCTTCAATGTGAGTATACATGATATAGTGCGTTTGATTTAAGCTGAGCTTTGCATCTGTGTGAGTGCACACGGATAGTCTAGGTGTGATGTAAAATTTTTGAATGCCACGTTCTTTTCTAGTTTTTAACCTGTTTATTCTGCTTTTACTCCGCCCCACACCTTTCGCACTTCACCCTTTGTACTGGTAGCAAAATCAAATGTTGAAAACGGAATGTCAAGTGAAGAAGAATTTGTATAGTTTTTTTAGTAAGTAATATTTTTTTTCCATAATATTCAAGATATTTCCATTTTTCCTTTTACAAAATGCGCTTATTTTATAGCACTTATGTTATGTATATATTTAAATTATAATAAAATTTAATTCTAAAAGGGTTTTTGTCCAACTCTACTTCTACTTTCATTCACACAAATGCAAAGCTCAGCTTAAGTCTAACGGACTATACCTATATATATTTGTGTGTGTGTGTGTGTGAGAGAGAGAGAGAGAGTGCGTGCGTGTGTGTTTGTTTGTGTACGCGTGTAGTACATGCGCATATTTCAACAACTACTAAATATAACCACTAAAATGACTTTTTATCATATATTCTCACTTATTACGCTATTTCCATATACCTGTTGTTGCTGATCAAAGAACTTATCAACAATCGCCTTGATTTGATCAAACAGTATCGGGTATAGGGCGGGAGACATCTCATTGCCGACCAACTGCTTCACGTGACATTGTATTTGGGAACCGAAACGTTCGTTGCTGCAGAGAAGGAGACGAAGTAGTTGACCGATGAACCTGGGAAATAATCATACATTATTAATCTTCTTCTACCTGGCAATTTCCCAGCTATAGCCAGGGTCTGCCTTACATGTTGTAAATAGTTTTGGCTAATTGTCTGGCTACTTGCCTGACATCAACCCTCTTTGGGAATCAATCATACATTACTATTATATATATATAGTTATAAAAGGTAACTGCTTTATTGAGTGAAAATTATTATATAGATGTTAATGGCACGTATTGTGTTAGATTATGCTATACATCAACTATGAGCATTAAATTCTTATTAATAATAAAAGTAAGAACTAATAAGAACTTAGAAGTAATATTCGTTTTCAGATAACTACAAAAGTGAAAACAATATTGATACATATTAGAAGCATAATATTCAATACATATTACATTTTTACTTTATTTATATGATATATTTAAATGACTATTATAAGGGAAAAATTCAATAAGAACATAACAGAAAGTTTTTCATTTAAAACACATTAATATTTTGGTTCATTGCATAATAAATTTAGTTTTTTTCTTTTTTTTTTTCCTGCCCTGATCCACTTTATGTAGGGTCGGCACAACATGTTCTTCTCTTCCGCAGAACATGTTGTGAATAGTTTTGGCTAATTGTTTTAATGACTGGCCGCCTGCCTGACATCAACCCTCTTTGGGAATGCATTAATCAGTGATGTCTAAATACTCTTAGAAAGTACATATGACTCGGAAAAACCATATTGGAACTTGCCCCGGCCAGGATCGAACCCGCGACCTCATGCATGAGAGGCGGGCCACTAGGCCATCACTGACAATATACATAGTTAAATTCAAATATATAATAACTATTGATAGTTTATATACTCACTGTGTGACTGGACAGTATTGTACTTCCTGGGAACTGTTTGCGAGGACGTTATATTTTCTTGAATCTGAAAAAGAATATTATTAAAGTAGGATTAATATATGTACACGTGTGTGTGTGTGTGTGTGCATACCGTGTGAGTGTACAGTGGTCCACAGCATAGAGGGTCGCCTCTGTAGACACACTCCGCCCAGCGCGCATAAGAACGATGTTATATTAGCCCACTCCTGGATCTGCATCTGTTTATATATAAATAGTTAAATTAACATGTTAACTTAATATGGACCTTATACACATAGAGATAGAGACAAATTTATGTCTGCAGATACATATAGTATATTCTCTTAGAAACAAATTGTAAGTTGTATGAAAACTTAATTCACAATCCTTTCATCACTTAGTTATGTTCTTGAAGTCTTTGTATATATAATTAGTCGACATGTCAACTTAATATCGACCTTATCTACTTAGATATAGAGACGAATTTATGTCTGCGGGAACATATAGTACATAGCTCTTAGACAAATATTATAGGTGGTAAAAAATTTTAATTCATAATCATTTTATTATGTATGCTTGAAGTCGGTTTAAATGCTGAACCGATTTTGATGCAATTCAAACTTTTATAGTAATACTAGAAGACCCGACGAAATTCGTATCGCCCTATAATCAACAAATATCTGTTACGTTTTTTATTTATATTTTTGTAGTTTATCTATTAAAGCCATTAATCTCCGTGTTTTGAAGTGAGACAGAATGATTGACATGTTAGTTAGTTGTCAAATCAAATGTCAAAAAAACAACATTTGTATAAATAATAATAACTACTAATAAATTAAAAATTTGTGAAAAAAACTTTGTCTAGCGGACAAAATTGTGAATCTAAACCATTCCCAGATCCCCTTGAACGCACACAAAAAATTTCATCAAAATCGGTGCAGTCGTTTGAGAGAAGTTCAGTGACATACACACTCACAGAAGAATTATATATATAAAGATAATGTGTCGTACATCTATATCGTGTTCCGTGCTAGTGTGGTGTGACACTCGTCTCTTGGCGGCTGCTCGGTGGAGAGGCTCTATAGCTTCGTCGCCCGCGCCGAAACCTTTGGGGTACTTCTGAAGCAACTTGCATACGGAATCCCTGGAACACGATACATATATAAACTACCTTTCCGACGGCAGCTTCGCCCGCGTGGAGTTAATTTATATCGCGTTTCCAAGAGAACCTTTCAAAAGTCTGGGATAAAAACTATCCTATGTTCTTTCTCAAGGTCAACTCTATCTCTGTACCAGAATTCATTAAAATCAGTTCAGTGGTTTAGACGTGAAAGCGTAACAGACAGAGTTACTTGCGCATTTATAATATTAGTAGGGATATCTAATCTAATGATGAATATGTGTGGACCAGGTAAAATATTAAACAATACAAGCTGTGCTCGATTTCGTCTGGAGTAGTGATTATTTTATCAATTATTTTATCACTCACATTAACAATATTTCTAAAAACTAAAAATCTAATTTATTTTCTGTTATTATTTTTAAATTGTTTTATTGTTATACATATAAATTTTTTATTTTGCATTAATTCATGTGGCATTGATGATTGAACCATTGATGATTGAACCACATCTACGAGTATACTATTTATTCAAATCATTCAACTCTTCTCAGATTGACGAATCAAATACCATATGGACTACAGCTAGTATTTTTATACTATTTATTATATACTAGTTTTTGCCCGTGACTTCGTCCGCGTTAATTTCGTCATTAGTAATATATGTATAGCTGACCGGGCGAACTCTTTACCGTCTTAGAGGCCATAAATAACCAGGTTTTTCCTGTTTCAATCGAACAGAATGATTGACATATTAGTTAGTTGTCTAATCTAATGTCAAAGAAAACGTTTGTAAAATAGAAAAGGGCTGTTTTTATGGTTTTCCCGGAAATGAATATTTTTTTTTCAGCTTTTTAACCTTCCCTGAACCTCCACGAACAATTCAAGACTATGATAAGATAAATCCGTTCAGCCGTTCTCGAGTTTTAGTGATACTAACGAACAGCAATCCATTTTTATATATATAGATATTTTTACACATATATATGTACCAGCATCGAAATGTCTCCTCCCAAACGGGTTGCACGCCGTTAGCACAATGCTCAATCTTCCTCAACAGCGCCATTATTCGTTTCTGAAGCGCGGCGGAGCCTGTCGCACATAAATCTATTATCACTTAGTATGTCCGTCTCTCAACAATATATTAACCAAGAAAGTAAGTAAAAAAGTTTTTTGCCGCAGACAAAATAAAATAAATATTTAAAATAATGACTTTTTCTCATAAAAAAATATCTACACCTATATTCTTCTTCTTCTACCTGGCAATTTCCTAGCTATAGCCAGGGTCTGCCTTAATCTCTATATAAAATTTATCACAGTTTAAGCTAAATAAATACATTTATACGGCGAACCCCGCATGTAACGCTATGTATGTGTATATACTCACTGTGTATGTTCTTGTTATAGCATCCCCTCGACATATCCTGACTCGCTGCTTGTACAAGTATTATTATCATTAAAATATCATATTAACTATGTATATATCGGATTGGGTATATTAGTAACATTACTTGTACGCACGTATGTCTGTGTGTGTGTGTGATCGTATGAGCGTGCACGTGTGTGTGTGTGTGTTCAGTATAATATCTATATCTGGTTCTACGTGCGTGAGTGCATATATTCGTTAAAATATCTTTATTTGGCTGTGTGTGTGCATATTCAGTATAATATGTGAGTGTGTGTGTATATGGGTCGTTACACAAATGTTGATCTACTTTATAACTCAAAGAAACAAGTATTAACTATTAAATAGTATTTTTCCAATTGGAGCAGTTAAAACCGGTTAGTTATAGCTCGACGTCGTTTAATTCAACCTTTTCGACCCTTGTAGAATTTTGTTGTTGTATTTAAATTTTATTTTATGTTTTATTTAATTATCTATGGATTATTTTTAGTAAAGATATAATTAGGTTAGTATAGTCTTATCTTAAGGTCAATGTTGTTTACACCTGTAATGATTTATTCACCTAGATTTAATACCCTGTATCTACTGCTAAGTGAATGTGTTAGTGATAAGTCGATGTTGTAACTATTTCCAATAAATAAATAAATATATGTATATAGCGTTGTGTGTATGTGTGTGTTCAGTATAATATACAGGGTGACTGGTGAATTACTATCAATATTTAAGGAGCATACTCGGTACATGATTCTCATTCGAATTATGTAAAAAAAATAGGTACTTAATTTTTGACCAAATTTCCGTATAAATAAATAAGGTTTGGACACGTACTCAGCCTTGCCGGCGCCAGTGTGTCGCTACTCCCCAACCCCCGCCCCGTGGCTAGCGGGCCATTAGTCGGCTATTAGTCGCGCGAGCGCCGCCGTAAGGTCCGTACGTTCGTCTTCCCGCGCGCGCGCCTAGCGATCGATCTTACGCGTATACCTAATAATAATCTGTCGTGTGTGCGTGTGACCCGTTTTTACTTATTAGTAATTAAATATGGCTTTTCAATACACAAATGCAGAATACTTGGACATGGTTCATGCGTATGCGCGTGCAAATGAAAGCTTGCCGGGCGCAATCAATTTGTACCGGGAGATGTTCCCTAATCGTCGAGTACCTACGGCCAGCGTCATCTTAAACGCTAATCAAAGATTACGAGACTTCGGACAGTTCCGTGTTCCAACACATGCCCAAGGAAACGTCTTGTGTATGCTACAGAGTATGTAAACAGAGAGGAGTTGAAATTAAAAATCAAAAGTGATTTCAAAACTATTAAAAGTGACCCATTCGTATTAAATCGTGTGAAAGACAATATGTGTAAACGTGCCGAACTGTGTATCACACGAGAAGGAGCTCGCTTTGAACATTTGTTAAGGTTAGTGTAGTTATGTAGGTAAATAGGTAGTTTAATGATTGACAATTGTTGTAAATAAGTATGATTCCATTTTTAAATACGCCGGAAATACCAAGATAGGTAAACAGTTCATATTATTTTTTGTGTCAAGGTCACACCATTTACCTAGTCAATAAATTGGTTGCTTAAACGAAAGAAATATCTTGGTATTTTTGCCTGTCCTAAGCCAGGATTAAAGTATGAAGGGAAATGGATCATTTTTGTTTATCTAAGGTCTAACGCCGCGGCGGCGGCCGGCGTTTGGATGTAGGTAAACTACCGCGCGATAACTACATATACCTACGTACATAACTGTTTTGTGTCGATAACGCAGCTAGGGTATCCACGCGATCCGTAATTAATTACATAACTTTTGGTTAACTTTACTTAGAAGTTTATTAATATTTATGTTATATTAATTTTTATTTTGTCATATATGATCGTCAACTACCACGTCCTTAAATATTGATAGTAATTCACCAGTCACCCTGTATATATATATATCTCTTTCTATATGCGTGACTTTGTGTCTGTATATATGTATATGGCATTACGCGTGAGTGTGTGTGTGATCGTATGAGCGTGTACGTGTGCATGTCCAGTATAATATATATTTTTGGTTCCATGTGTGTGTGTGTGTGTGTGTGTGTGTGTGTGTGTGTGTTTCAACCAACCACTAGTGAGGCTGGTGGATGTGAGAGCTATCTCCTGGTACACGGCGTAGTTGGGCAGCAGCGTGTGGACAGTCATGTCGTCAGATCCGCAGCGGATGTCCGCCTCTTGGCAGAGAAGCGCGAAGCACGACATGGCGACTAACACAGCCTCCGTGTCGATGGACCACAGGCACATGAAGAATACCACCTGGGATGATAAATAATATGTTAATCATCATCATCATCATCAGCCTATCAGTTATGTTAATTTTTATTCTACAATCCACAGACAAAATCTGAAGAAGTATTCAATTTAGAAGATGATGAAGATAGATGAAGATGATGTTAGTGAAAAGAATAAAACGGACGCTTGTGAGTCAAATCAATTATTTTTTTATGGTAAAATGAGGGTATTTATTTATAATCTGTGTATTATTGTTTGTTTTACAATTACAAAATTAAATCTGTAATATTTTTATCGTCATCATCAGCCTAACCGAGCCTAACTGTTGAGCAAAGGCCTCTTCTCACATGGAGAATGTTAAAGGCATTAATCACCACGCTTACTCAAGACGGGTTGGTGATTTAAAACTTATAATTTAAAATTATAAATCCATGTTTCTTCAAATGTTTTCCTTCATCGTCTGTTAGGGGCATCTAAATATTCTTAGAAAGTTCGTACGGCTCGAAAAAATCACATTGACAGCTGCCAAGTTTCGAACCCGCACCCTCATATATAAGAGGCGGACCTTTAACCATTAGGCCACCACGACGGATGTACAAGAACTATGACCATTAAATACTTATTAATAATAATACTAAGGAACTAATATCACTATTAATTTCCATTAAAGTACCAATACTAGCAACAATATTGATTGATTGTAGAAACATAATATTAAACAAGTACATATATATCTTTCTTTATTATATATGAATATTTTAAGGAGATGACACGTATATGTTTATTCCTAACCAGCTTTCCGCCCGCAGCTTCGCTCGCGTGGAGTTCGTTTATATCGCGTTTCCAAGAGAACCTTTCAAAAGTCTGGGATAAAAACTATCCTATGTTCTATCTCAAGGTCAACTCTAACTCTATACCAAATTTCATTAAAATCAGTTCAGTGGTTTAGGCGTGAAAGCGTAACAGACGGAGTTACTTTCTCATTTATAATATTAGTAGGGATTATTATAACAATTAATTTTATTCTCCATATTAACTCAATTCTCCAAACTATTCTTCTCCATCTACATATTTCTCTACAATGTTCTAGACCAATCCCACTTACTTCCAACTTGATATGCGCCTGTTTACATATAGGTATCTGCGACCCAATGTTCGCGTACTCCTTATGTTTAGCGAGGAACTCATTCCTACATATCAGCACGTCTCTTAACCACCTCAACACCTCCCGGTAGTTGGATATCTGCCTTTGGATCAGTTTCTGGCAGATGTTGTACAAAACTTGGGAGCTGGAACGATATATTACTTGTTAATATTACTCAGATATTTTATATGGTGAATTTTTTAAAATCTGGGGCCTATGATTGTGAAATAGATCAATTTTGATTTTATTCTGATATTTTATTCTGATTATTCTGATTGAAACATTTATTGATGTAACATTATTTTGGGAATATCTATCTATATTTTTTTTTTTTTGGGAATTCTTAATTATCTGGCGTACCGCTCTGGATGCCAGCAAAATGCCGTGAGATCGTAATGGAGGCAAAGCGAGCGCATTCTGCTGGCATCTAGGGCGGTACGCCAGAAAATTAAGAAATCGATAACAGTAGGTGATAAAATAACCAGACCAAATGACAGACACTTACATCTCGTCTTAATGATCACGGTTGCTGAAAAGTAACCGAAACGTCGGGAGTATGTAATTTTATCAAAAATAAAGTCGCGTAGTATATCCGCAAAATATTTGTTTCATTTAAATATATGTATATATATACTATTTATAACATTCCTGCGTTTATATAATATATAGTGCATAGAAATACGTGCATTAAATTAAATTTTCATATGTATGCTATTTATAAGAACTTTGTGTCAAATATATACTATGATAAATTTTCAACTGTTATCCTACACTCCAAGGCCAGTTCCATATTCAAGCTCAAATTCCTACCCTATTTTTCGAATTATACTACGAGTACTATAAACCGAATAATATTCATCATCAGCCTATCAGACCTCACTGCTGAGCTACCTCTTCTCACGTGGAGAAGGTTTGAGCATTAAGGTTTGAGTCAAGAAATATCTGTTACGTCTTTTTATTTATATTTTTGGAGTTCACCTATTAAAGCCATAAATCTCCGTGTTTTGAAGTGCGACAGAATGATTGACATATTAGTTAGTTGTCAAATCTAGTGCAAAAAAAAACGTTTGTATCAATAACTACTAATAAATTAAAAATTAATCAAAAAAAAAACATTTTACAGCTGACAAAATTGTGAATCTAAACCATTCCCAGATCCCGTTGAACGCATACAAAAAAATTCATCAAAATTCGTCCAGTGATTTGATAGAAGTTCAGTGATATACACTCACAGAAGAATTATATATATAAAGATAATAATAATAATAAATTATTTGATGTCTTATCCTACCTGATGTCCCAAAATGTATTGAAGGGTGCTTCAGGGTTCCACATATGCACCCGTTCAGGTTTATGAAGCGCCAGCAGAGCGTCCATAGCAGCCCTTGATATATCGCCCATACCAGTGTGATGAACCAGCGACACTAACCCATTGATTAACTCCGTGGTTGAAGATTGGATCTCAACACCAGAACGACCGGGATTCTGTCATTGTATGTCAAGTATTTTTTAATCTATAGTTAAAGTGTGGCTATCATTTTGTTTATTTAATTACAAACTTATTATAGAAGATCAAAAGATATTATATTTAAAGAAATTAAGTTTTTGTAAACTTGTTTACTGGATATATAAGTTAGTTATAGTAAAATAAATGTTATATATTAAATGACTATCAAACTAAAGATATCTCCAGATTTTTTCTTCATAGTCATATAGATCTTTTATCCTCAAGTTTCTCTATTGAAAATAGTAAATCTTCTATAATACATTCAGTGATGTGTTATAAATTTTTCAATTCTGTTTGTAATATACACTATAACAAATCAAAAAATAAATAAAATTGCAATCAAAAAGACTTGACAAGAGTTTTACTTAAAATAATATCACACACACACACCCACACACACACCCACACACCCACACACAGACACTATAATAACAGTTAACTCACACTCAACATCAACATAGGGTCAGCGTGAATGAGTTTCACGAGCAACAGCAGTAGATTGCGGTAGGCGGGCATTTCTTCTGGCTTATTGAACTTGGATTGGACTTCCTTTGACTTGAGAGACAAGGATATCATGCGGAGAGGAGTGTGGACTATGTAGCCCTGAAACAAATATATATAATACTAGCTGTTACGTGTTACGCGGATTTCCGGGATGTAAAGTAGCCTATGTGTTATTCCTGGACGTGAGCTTCCTGTATACAAAATATTATCAAAATCGGTTCAGCCGTTTGAGCGTGAACAAGTAACAAACATACACACACACTCACAAACTTTCGCAATTATAATATTAGTAGGATAACATATTATATATCTTCTTCTTCTTCCTGGCAATTTCCCAGCTATAGCCAGGGTCTGCCTTACATGTTGTGCATAGTTTTGGCTAATTGTTTTTACGACCGGCCGCCTGCCTGACATCAACCCTCTTTGGAAATGCATGAATCAGTGATGTCTAAATACTCTTAGAAAGTACATATGATTCGGAAAAATCGCATTGGTACTTGGCCGGGCCAGGATCGAACCCGCACACTTTTAAACCACTAGGCCATCACTGACTCTGACTATTATATAACATATTATATATATAGTATATATACTATGATAGAGTGAAGCGAGATATATACTGTCGACTCAGGTAATCCATCCGCGGAGATTTACTTTATTTAATTTATTTTATGTATGATATATGTAGTAATTTATATCAACAAAAAATTAAAATTGGATCACCAATTACAATTTTAGGCCTAGAAATGGAACGTATGTCCAAAAAATTGTTGAGGCGAAACGAGAAAAACGTGCGAAAGTGCATGAGCTAGGTAATAATTATGTTATCAAGATTAAAGCAATGTAGAGTTAAATACTGTATGTTAACTACAAATAAACATTTAAAGATTAAGAAAAATCAATGACACGAACTGGAATCGAACCTGCGACTTACTAACGTTCTATTAATCAACTAGCTATTCCATTTGTATACTGGAGCACCATGTATATTCCATTTATATATACAAATATATATTTATTTATTTATCATAATATACCAGTACACTGATTAATTATTTTTACATCTTACCTATATTTGAGATTTCAGTTTGACAAACTCTGAATACTCCTTATATAGTGTGAACTAGTCTAAACTAGCCTTAACTTTATTATAATCTAAAGGTCCATTCTCACCTGCGTCGCTTTATTGAGTGTGTCAGTGAACATGGCCCTTAGCTCCGCCGCTCTGGGGTACAGCAATTCTATCTGCGGCCACCACGGCAATAATTGGGGCTGCTGTTTTATCCTGAATAATAAACATATATATATATATAAATACAAATAAAAAGGCACTATTTCTCTGAATTTATGATTCAAAATTAATTATCATATATTAACAATAGGTTTACATAATATTTCTATGGGAACTAATTGTCTATAATCTATTTACGTTGATGTTTGTGGTATCTATACTAGAGAAATAAAAAACTGTTACAATACTTTGAATACAAGAATATGTGTTATATTCAGATTTCAAAATAACTAAACTCGATATAGTTCAAACTCATTCCTCTTCTACCTGGCAATTTTCCAGCTATAGCCAGTGTCTGCCTTACATGTTGTGAATTATTTTTGGCTAATTGTTTTTACAACCGGCCGCCTGCCTGACATCAACCCTCTTTGGGAATGCATTAATCAGTGATGTCTAAATATTCTTAGAAAGAAAATATGACTCGGAAAAATCACATTGATACTTGGCCGGACCAGGATCGAACCCGCGCCCTATTAAACCACTAGGCCACCACTGACTCTATAGTTCAAACTCATTAATTTAACATTATGTTCAGTTTTATGTTCTAATAAATCAATATTAATAGTTTTCTAATACATACGTACCTCAATAGAGAGTTGACAATCACGTAATGATACGACATATTAGTGTTCAGGTTGAGGCAGACTTTGAGGGCGTCGTTCGAGTGAGGCATTATACGGAACAGAGACACGAAACAATCTGACAGTAGCTCGAGTTCGTACCCGCCGGGGGGCGAGCGGCTGTACGGCTTGCTGGGGTTGAATAACAGCCACTGGGGAAGGTCAAAGGTTAAAGGTCACAGGTCAAATACTTCATATAAAAACCGAGAAGGAGAACAAATATATATTCCATTTTATACCAAATTAACATTATATATGTTTTAACAAGATTTCTTGTACCTTTAGGTCATTGATGACAGATTTCACTAACACGAACGTGACGTTACCACTGTCAGCTATATTGAGATATGTTGAAGCCTTGCAAAGCTTCACACATGTCACGACGGCCGCTTCGGTCATCTGCTTTGAGTTGTTTTGAGGACCTGGGGGTAGATTCAGATTTAATATTTATATTGAGTTAGGTAGAGAGGAGACAGGCAGACCCTGGCTAAAGTTGGAAAATTGCCAGGAAGAAGAAGAAGATTGAGTTACGTAGAGAGATAAGCTTGGACAGTGGAGGTGAGCGTTTAACGCGTTCGATAGGGTCCCCTTAAACCTACACCTGGGCCGCAAGTCACTGGCACTGTTGAAGCTCCTCTCACTACAACGATGAACCCGACACACGCACCGTGAATATATGGAATGATGAGAAAATTCATCGCATACTAGACAATTCATCTCTAATATTAAATGAATATAAAATAAAAACTATATTTATCTATTTCATGAGCTCTGTTTGTTTGTATGTCATCTTTTAACTCAATTTTAAAGCAGTTATTATCAACCTATTGAGCAAATATGTTTTATATGAAACCAAGATTACAAAAGTATTGATTAATATACCATAAACATCATATTTACTGCTATATTTTGTATATTATATATGATTTGTTCATACTTAGTCCTCTTTTGACGGAATCTATGAAATGTTTCTTCTTAGTGTGTCGAGGGCTGCAGGGGGCGCCACTGTCCGCATTAACTATCTCCTCCAGAACTTCCTGTAACATGAAACATATTTACTAAGATATTATATTAATTTGATATAAACAAAACAAGCTAAATGTAGTAAAAATGTATTTATACAAAAGTTTATGTGAATACTAGAAAACCCGGCAAACTTCGTATCGCCCTATAATCAAGAAATATCTGTTACGTTTTTATATTTATATTTTTGGGGTTTACCTATTAAAGCCATAAATATCCGTGTTTTGAAGTGCGACAGAATGATTGACATATTAGTTAGTTGTCAAATCTTATGTCAAAAAAAAAACGTTTGTATCAACAACTACTAATAAATTAAAATTAATTAAAAAACTTTGTACAGCGGACAAAATCGTGAATCATCTAAACCATTCCCAGATCTCCTTGAACACACACAAAAAATTTCTTCAAAATCGGTCCAGTCGTTTGAGAGAAGTTCAGTGACATACACACTCACGGAAGAATTATATATATATTAAGATTACCGGGTTGAGTAACAACAGCATGATCTGTGCCGGCCACACAGCGGAGCGAGACTTCTTGTTGTCGCTGAAGCTGTCTTGGAGCTGATCAAACAATGAATCACAACAGTTGCCCAACTCCTCGTGTGGACGACGTTGGATCTCAGAGAATTCCTGAAAAATATTTACATTTAAAACTATAGCGAGTATTCATTTAAATGAAACTAATATTTTTTGGATTATTATGTGTTATTTGATTGTTTATACTACATACTGCCGATGTTTCGTTACTTTTGCTATGATCACGAACAGAAGAGATGAATGATATGAATGATCTACTCGGTTTTCAAATAATAGACGATGGATTACTTCGATATGATTGGATTTAATATTCACTCTTTGATATCGACCGTTCAGTTTCACAAGCTAACTACCTACTCGTTTAAATTAGTCATTTGAGTATGACAAATGTCACACTGATATTTGACGTTACAAAATATATTGTGATTGACAATCTATGGAATCGATTTACACAATAAATTATTATTCTTACAGATATATGACAGCAGTTCAAAGCGACTAGAACACTGTATTCAATAAAACTGTATTAAATTCGTCATATATATTGGTGAGATATTAAATATGTTACTACCCTCTTTAAAATTTCATTGGGATTGCAAATGAATTTAAGGCCTTTGTGACAATAATAAATTGGTTCATGGTTCTTGGACGAAAATATATTTTTTAGTGTTTTTCAGAGCACATAAGAGCTTGAATGAATTTTGATGAACTTCAAAACTATTCAACGTGAATGTAGGAAGAAAAGTCAAGATGATGTAAGGTACAGTAAGTACTAAGAGATCAATAGAAGTGATAAACAATTATAAATTGGAGTATTAATCATAATATTAACATCACTTTTTTACGTAACTTTGCCTATAACTTTCGTTTCGATTAATATAAATTAAAAAAACAAAACAATGATCACCTTTGAAGATGCAAAACTGTACAATAAAATACCCACAGATATAAAAAATGTTAACTCATTTAACGTATTTTAAAAGAACTTGCTGAGTATATTTTAAATAATTAATAATAATTAAAACTAATAAGATACGGTAAATTAGTACTTAATATAGGAAAATGTCTTCTAATTAAGCGTTATTTCATTTCATTTCTGTTACAAGTGCGTTTTTGTTGTAAGAATAATTCTCATGTAAGTGATAATAATGTCTTAATTGAAAAAAATATCTTAAACCATAAACCCATAACTTTGCTAGGTCCATCTCACCAAGATTTTATATAAAATACATGTTTTTTATCTGAAGTTGTCATAAATTCCTTGTCTAGCCCTTGTTAGCCCAATCCAAGTTACTAAAACTGTTTTCATTAAGTTACTTAATTATTTTCATTTATTACCTTTGAATGTGTGTCCATCCAATTCCAAATGGCCTTCTCCAAGGATATTATTAACACAATTTGCGCCGACTTTCTCAATAACTTGAATTTCTGTATGGATTCTGTAACAATCAATGAAACATAAAACATACAAATTATTATATTTATTATAATAAATTGATTCTAGTGATAGTCAGTCGTGGCCTTGGGTTTACAAGGCCCGCCTCTCATGCGCGAGGGCGCGGGTTCGATCCTGGCCCTGGCAAGTACCAATGTGATTGTTCCGAGTCATATGTACTTTCTAAGAATATTTAGACATCACTGATTAATGCATTTCCAAAGAGGGTTGATGTCAAACAGACGGCCGGTCGTAAAAACAAATAGCCAAAACTATTCATAACATGTAAAGCAGACCCTGGCTAAAGCTGGGAAAATGGTAGGTAGAAGGATAAATTAATTCTAGTAAGAAATAAAAAAAATCTGTTGGAGTATGAAGTCTTTAAACACCTGAACTAACATCAACAACTATTTTCTAAGTCATTGGTATGGTATTATTTAAACAAACATATAACTTTACATACATTTTTTGACAAAGTATGCGACAACATCCCCTTATTGGTACTGCAGGCTTTAAGAAGAATTTTAAGCAAGATTTTCTACAAGATCCATGAGAATTTACTAGATATATCTCAAATGTGCACTTTGGGATTTAATATGTATTCCAAGCAAAACCCACATAGAAAAGATGTAAAGAAAAACCAGTACTAACCATTTAGCAGCCGGATAAGTCTTAATATATCAACATTAACATGTTGTATGAGCTCTATATCTGTAAAATCTGGAGTCTCCTCAGAACTTGAGGCTAGTTCCTGTAAAAAAAATATAAATTAAATCATATTTAAAATATTAAAACATATAATCAAGAAGACAACTAATAGCACTTTATATTAATTGCATAAAAAAATATTTAAAATCTATTTTGTTCTAATTAATCTACAACTTCCATTAAGACAAAAGAAATTTAATGAGTAATTTATATTTAAAATATTATTAATCAAATCTACCGACCTGCAATCTAGCGCTGATTCTGTTGAAGACGGCATTAAAAAAGTTAGGACTTAAAGCAAAAAGGACTTTACTGGCCAATTGTCTTAATATTGTGTTGTGGGCACTTGTCTCACTGGGGATATCTGAAACAAAACAAAATAGAATATAATAATAAGTATTACGACGGTCAAACTGAAAGTTCTTAGAAAATCAAAAACTGATTACATTAGCCAGTTATTAGTTTTATTATATATTTTCAAAATATTGTCCATTCACGTCAATACACCGCTGCATGCGATGGAACCACTGGGAAAAGCACTTTGCCCACTCGTCCTTAGGGGTCTCTTCAATGGCATCGCAATACGCAGCCACCGCTCCTTCAGCATTCATAAACCGCTTTCCTTTAAGTTTATCTTTAATTTTTGGAAATAAATAAAAATCACAAGGCGCGAGGTCGGGGCTATACGGCGGGTGACCCAGTAATTCAACGTTTGATGTCGCCAAATAGTCGATCGTTCGCTTGGCGGTGTGCGACGAGGCGTTGTCGTGGTGAAGGAGGATCCTACTGCGAGGTCGTTTCTCTCGAACTTTTTCCAAGACAAGTGGCAAACAATTGGTAGTGTACCATTCTGCAGAAACTGTTTTTTGATCCTCTAACACAATTGTTGCGAAATGACCTGTCCTTCCAAAGAACGAGGCCACCATTTTTTTTCCCGCAATTCGATCTCTCTTCGCTTTAGTTGGCAACTCCTCGAAAGGACACACCCACTGAGCAGATTGTCTTTTGGTTTCAGGATCATATCAGTAAATCCAGCTTTCGTCACCTGTTAGTATGTCGAACACAGCATTTGAGTCACCTCCATTAAATTTTTCAATGATTTTACGGGACTAATCCACACGATAGTTTTTGAGCCTCAGTCAAATTATGAGGTATCCAGCGGGCGCAAAGCTTCCTGACCGCTAAATGTTCGTGGAGGATTTTGTGCACTTGACTCATACCGATGCCTAAGCTTGTCCGAATCTGCTGATAGGTCACTCTTTTGACAGTCTCTATCATACGCCGCACAACACAGATGTTATCTTCAGTCGTCGCCGTAGAAGGGCGTCCCTCACGTAAATCATCATTGAGATTAGTGCGACCACGTTTAAACTCATTAAACCAGTTGTAAACAGTCGCACGAGATGGGGCCTCATCGTGAAAGGCCAATCGTAGTCTATCATAACTTTCTTGTTGACTTAAATGACATCTAAAGTCATAAAAAATCATTGCAAGAAAATTTTCTCGTGTTAAATTCATGTTGACGTGACATAGACAATTTTCAATTTGCCGCCAAATCGTAAAACAAATGACAAATAGGTATATAAAATATATACTCAGTTATATTGGCAAAGAGTTCTATTTTAAAATTTTAGAATTATTTATGTTTATTATATTGTTTATAAGTGGTCAGTTCTAAGAACTTTCAGTTTGACCCTCGTATGAAGAAAAGGAAATTTTTCCAAGTAACCCAACAGTTAAAGGTGTTTCTAGTATATACTCGTATATATATTTTTGTTGCCACACTAAAAAGACCACCGTTGTGTTAGACTACATTGTTTTTTATTATTATTTTAATAATACACAGAAAACTACTGTATATATATTATTAACGTTTTTCTTAAATTTATTTCAGATGCTCTTGTTTAGGGTAGTTTATAAAGGTACTTGGTACCTATTTAGATATTAAAGGTTTAAGAAGAAAAATGTTTATAAGAGTTCTCTTGTAAATAACAAAATTACGAAAATATCAAATAATGTGGATTAAGAAGAGACAGAAATAGTATATGAAACTTAAACTCATCATAAAAAAATCGCAGAACAGCATTTTAGCTTAATTTTTTCAGCTTTATCTTTGGGTATTTTATAGAAGATAAGATAAAATTATTGATTTCAACAAGTCAGAAACATTACAGATCACAATCATATAAACTTAGAATAAACCTTCTATATTTATATATCAAATACCTATTCTTTGATTGACAAATTGAAATTATAAACAATCAAAAAGAGAGCAAGACCACAAAGAAGTGTTTAAAATTGTACATATCATGTAATAAATTAATAATTATGAATATTTTATATCTTCTATAACTCACCAATGAACTGACAGACTTCTCGTAACAGAATCTTAACATTCATAGCTTCATCATATTTAGCGGTGTCCTTCGGTTGAGATCGGAGACAGATTTCCAATGTATCTAGAACTATCACGAGACTATCGTGGTATCCTTTCTCGAGTTCTGTTTGAGGACGATTTAAGCATGATGTTATTGTCGGTTGATACTGAAACACACATATAGCTATTAAATTCTCCTTTCTATTAAACATTAATTCTGTAAATAACTTACTTACATGTAACTGTTAACTACAATTTAATATTTAATAAAAATATATGTTAATAATAGGCAAATAATAAAATATAAAAAAATATAAATATATTTGTAAATTATTGCTCATGTTGAGGGACCAAGAAGTTTTATTATATGAATATAGAAAAGATGGATTTCTAATTTGAGTACTGGAAAATCTATGATTGCATCAATATTAACTGTTGTTAGGTTTAAATATAAATCATAATTTTAACAATATTATGAATAAAAAATGTATACCTTTGACTCATTTGTCAATAAAAAATATATATCTAAAACACTTTATTTCAATTTAATATTTTAATAATAAATTATTCATGTTAAAGTTGAAACAAAAAATATTTTTGACTATTAAGTATTGCTTATAATTGTTTTATATTTATACTTACGAGTTCGTTGACCCTTTGCAAAATTTTTGTCAGTCCAGCAATGACTAGAGAAAATCTGTGCTGGCTTATTTTGACCAAACATGCCTTGCATTGTTCTTCATTGATTCGGGAATGTAAATTTTGCGCACCGGTTTTGTAAGGAAGCTAAAATATATTTAAATATTGTTTACTAATGTAAATTAGTAGTGAGATTTTCAATTTACAAAACCTTGAATCGAAATAATATATATTTTTTAAATGTATATATTTTAAAAGAGCGATAAAAAAATATTATAAATGCGTAGGCGTAATTCGTATTTATTAAGCCTTTCCTGAATTATACGTGCCAATATTAAGCTGATAGTTTTTAAGTGAGGTAGTAATTTATAATCAAATTATTATTTTAACATCATTTATTTGTAACTATTTATAAATAATAGTAAACATAAAACAAATTTAATAGGGTGGGTCTTAGGATAAATTACAAGGAATACTCAACATACTTGTTCCTCAAATCTGGCTATAAGGGAATTTGCCCATTCTCCAGGCTTCTGTGTACCCATTTTGCAAACTTCGAGTGTATTTTTAAAATAAATAATTTATTATTAAACAACTTTTATTAGCGATTCCATCTTCGTAAACCTTTAAGTTTAGTTACTGTTGTTGCCAGTGATAAAAATTTATATGTTAATTAATAAAAAAAACATTTAATTATTATGTTTGTAGTAGGTATATGTACAATATACTTAAACATTACAATTATATTTAACTTTATTTACAATTTTAAGGGGTTTAGATAGATGCTTAAAAACGAATAAAAAGTTATTATGGCCGTCTAAGCAATGAATGACAACTTTGTTTTGTTTTCATTGATTTGTAATTGTTCAATTGATACTATTAAAATCTTATTTATTTTACAATACATTCCCTTCATAAATCAATAGCAGGTGTTTGATGAATAATTTTATTTTCACTTAACATATATTTAAATATTATAACAGTGGCCTTAATAATGTGTTAATACTATTTATTGTTGATAAAATATTCTTAATACTTTAAATTATGTCAATAATCTTATTAACGAAATATATTTTTTTCACTATCGCTGGGTATGTCAAAAACCAATATTATTCTACAGTGGGATCTCAGCTGTCATTATTATTTTATTAAGATTTAGTTACTACTTATTGGCTGTTGGTACTGTCTTTCAGTCTTTAAATTTGACATTTTTAGAAACAATAAGATGAACAGTTGGAGAACTAGTAATAAAATAGTGAATTAATACATTACTGACTATTATGTTTACAAACAACATACATGTTAAATAAATTTCGCGGCAATAGATAAAAATCGCCAACTACTACTTTGTGGCGCAATGGCATCAAAACAAAACATGGAAGATGAAGAAGATCTCGTCGAAAATATAAAGCCTGATGATACGAGGAATGCTGATGATCAAAAAGACGGAGAGGTGTACGACAGCGTTGATGATGATATGGAATTAAAGTGGGAAGACGATGATATTGATGATGTATCGATCACAAATGAAGACGCGCTTCTTGAAGATGCCATGGATAATGATGATAAATTATTATCTTCTGACACTGTTATACCGCAAGCTAGTCAAGAAAGTATCAAATATGAGGACAATCCTAATGAATTTATAAATAAATCGAATTCAGATGAATCATTTGAACCGGCGAAAGCGCACGGTTTAAATAAACCCGACATGATGCTGGAGATACTAACTCATAATCTGAGTGATTTAAGTGATGATGACGATCTTACAAATCTTAAAATGTCTCCCGACGTTGACTTAGAACAGTGCAGTCCTAACAAAGATTTATTGATTGAAAATAAAGCTGACTTAATAGAAACTGATTTGAATGAAGATTATGACCGAATTTCATCACCGGTTCATGAAAATATTGATGATGATTTAGATAAAGGTGAGGAAATTGCAATTTGTGATGAAATCAAGCCAGAGGCGTCACTTTCAAGGCAACTTGGTGTAAATGATGACTCGATGGATGAAGATATTTTGCTTGGAGGTGATGATAAAGATGAACAGGGTGAAAGTGGAACCGAAGAACTGTTGGATGATAAAATTGATTTAGATACTGTTGATTTATCAGAGATTAACTCTGAAGAAAAATTGGAGTTAGGAAACGATAAATATAAGTTATTACAAATTATTCCTGATGCGGATGATTCAAAACGTAATAATGAAGACATGTCAGGAATTAAACTACAAAGTGAAGATAAATGTAGTGAAAAAGATGAACAAATGATCATCCCAACCCAAAAACCACAAACATCAGATGCACTTATACCTAAAGTTATAAATGAAGTAGAAGTAGACAAATCAAGTTCTACAACAATTTCAGAAAGAGAAGTTCAGGTATTAGAAACCTGTACAAAAAGAAAAAAATTATCTTTGAGACTTAAATCAGATGAAACAAACACCTCAAAATCTGATGGAACGGAGCTTGCTTTAAGAGACTCGGATAATGTTCAAAGTGATTCTAATAATGCTCAATTGACCTCTGAAGATGTAGACAATCAACCCGACATTGCTAACATCGAGTTAGTTACTGTAAAAGACTTGGAATCTGAAAATACTAAGAAAAATAAAGTTTCCGAGGACACTCATTCACAACTACCAGATATTACTGAGTCATTAAAACCTAATAAAGACTTGAAATGTAAAGAGAAGAAAATTTCTCCTGATATAGAACCTCAACCATCAACAAGTGGTATCAGAAACACTAAAATTAATATTGAATCAGCTTCAAAGAATGATCAACTGACTCAGATCTCTAAAGTAAGTTCACCGGTCGAAGATGTTTCCGGAACAACTGATAATCTTGATCTCTTAGCTGAATCGTCCCGAGTGACACATGACGATGAAGTAGAAGATGAATATATGGATGACGAGGAGGGAGAGGATTTTGAACATTTTGATGGTGAGATTATATTTATAAAGCACTGTTCCTGTACTATTTATTATTAAATATTATTCATACACTACATTCCATCTAATTAGACTTTTCTACAGATATACAAGTTTCAGGCTAACTAGAGAAGCCATTAAGATAGATGTAGTCTAAATCCGAGGTTCCCAAATTATCTACTATGTTTATACTGTGCACTTTGACAAAAAATTGTTTTTTAGAGCTCCAATTTCTTCACTATTGATAAACCACTATAACTAATCCTAGCTGAATGAAATTACAAATCACACCTCCACGCCTCTATGGGACATATTTATTATTTTCAGGGTTTCTTATCACATTTTTCTTATGTCAATCAAAAAACTAAGGGAACATTATAGAAATGGAATTTCTATTCGAATTTGTACCACTGTAAAGAGAACCAAAACATAATTTTTTATTGTTTTAATTTTTGTTTAATATTACTGAAATGTATGTTATATACAAAGTAATAGTTTTTAGGATATTTATTATATTTTTTGGTGGTTTTTATTTAATTTGTTATCATAACAGAAAGCAGCAACCAGATGGCAGCGGAACAGTCGGAGGATTCAGAACAGCATCACTCGGATAATGTTACAGAGACAACACATAGTAATGATAAGGAGTTTAACTTTACAATCACTGATGTCGTCACTGAAAATGTAGTTAAGGTATGAAAATATAATAATGATACTTTTTTTCACAATTAGTAATTACTAGCTCTCCGCCCGCAGCTTTTCCCATGTGGAGTTTGGTTATATTGCGTTTCCAAGAGAACCTTTCAAAAGTCTGGGATAATAACTATCCTAGGTTCTTTCTCAAGGTCAACTTTATATCTGTACCAAATTTCATTAAAATCAATTCAGTGGTTTAGGTTTGAAAGCGTAACAGACAGACAGAGTTACTTTCGCATTTATAATATTAGTAGGGATGTATGGACTACAACATTTTGAAGACTATAATATAAAAATTCTATATTAAAACACCAGGGCCAATGAATTCATTAAATAACATGTAAAGAATTCTATGTCTTGTATAGTTTTATAGCAAATTAATAATAAGTTTATTTTGATTTCAGACGGACATTGAGAGACACGACAGTAATAAGTCAGATGATTTGGAATCAATGCAGGTGAGTAAATTCCATATCTAAGATTTTCATATATACATTTAAATGTAACTAAGTTTTTCTGATACTACGCATTTTTTCATATTTTTTTTCATTTTCATTTCATTTACAGCAACCGTGGCAATGGGCAAAGGAAATAAAAGTGTCTATGTAGTTAAAATAGTATATAAAAACAAAGTTTTTGATGATTTTTTTTATAATTACTCATTTAGAATATTTCCCAATATGAAGGAAAAATACATTAAAAAGTTTCACGTAATGCTATTTATTGAAAGAATTTTAATTATCATAATTATTTCAGATAGAAAATGTGTCGCAGAATATGGATAACTCTGAGGTTGAAGAAGTTGAAAATGATTGTGGAAGTGTGAAAGAAAAATTGACATCAGAAGGTTATATATAATTATGTTATATACATATTATCTTAGATTTAGTTATACTAAAATACATTTAATAGTTATATATAAGAGTATTTAGACATCACTGATTAATGCATTTCCCAAAGAGGGTTGTGTCGCAGGCGGCTGGTCGTAAAAACAATTAGCCAAAACTATTCACAACATGTTCTGTGGAAGAGAAGAACATGTTGTGTTTGAAAAAGTTATATATAAATATTTGAGTTAAAATAACTTTGAATTAATTCTGTTTCAGACTAGTTTAAACAGACATTACATATATAGAATACTTTGTTTTAATGAATTATAAGAATTTTTATTTTTAATATTATTTATTTTATTACAGGAAATAAAAATCTAGATCATCAAGATGAGTCAAAAGATCGTACTGATGTGAGAAATGTGGACACAATGAGTTGTGTTGATTTGGAGGAGAGCTCGGAAGAAGGTATAGATAAGATATATAATTAATATTATAAAAGAAAAGATATTGTGAGGATGTATGTTTGTTACCTATCACAGAAAAACTACTGAATTCATTTTGAAGTAACTTTCTTATAAAGTATGTATGTTAGATATTAAAATGAGTTATAGGCTATAACTTTTCCCGAAATTCACTCCAGTATTATATATAAAAAATTATATGACCTTATATATTATGTATTTATATAACAATGTATAGTTTTCTTCATTTATTTGAAGAAATTTACTGAAACCCATCCATTTCTTTTCTGTATGAAGTATTTAAATCAATGTCTGTAGGAACAGATCAACAACCAAATTGTAATCTGAATTTGTATATACATATATAATGTTTATACTATCTTTGATCTTAACTATTTGTTAAAATTTGATTGATATATATTTTAATTATTTTTATATTCTTATTACAAACAAATTTTATTAAATGTATCTTAAAATAACTAGCACTCGGCTTAATATGATATATTTATATAAACATATATTTTAAATTTTTAAAGAAGTATTTGAAATAAACAAAAATTCTGTAAATAAACTATATAAATAATTTTATATACTAATATTCTTATCTATCTATGATCTTTTGCAGGTTCCTTTGAATCAATAATACTACATAATAAAATTTAATTTTCTCTTTTAGTTCCAGAGATCTCTGAAGATAGTACTAAAAGGAATGAACGAAACTGTAAAAAATATCGTTCACAAAAACAATCTACAAAACAAGGGGTAGTGAAAAATAAAAATAACTTAGAAAATTGTCGCCAGTATAGACAAAGGAAAAGCTTGCTTGAACAACAATTACAATCTAAGAACGAAGTTGTTCATACTCCAACAACTTCAAGCTTGCAAATGACATTTGAACCTCAGCTTAATACAGGTAAAAATTATAATAATTGGAATATAACAGTTATAATTATGAATGATGAGATTCTTATTTTACCTGGCAATTTCCCAGCTATAGCCAGGGCTTGCCTTACATGTTGTGAATAGTTTTGGCTATTTGTTTTTACGACCGGCCGCCTGCCTGACATCAACCCTCTTTGGGAATGTATTAATCGGTGATGTCTAAATACTCTTATTAAGTACATATGACTTGTAAAAATCACATTGGTACTTGCCAGGGCCAGGATCGAACCCGCGCCCCCGTACATGAGAGGCGGGCCTTTTAACCACTAGGGCACCACTGACTTCATTATAAATAATGAGATTATATAGTTTTTTTAATTATTTAATTCAAATTAAATTATTTATTTTAATTATTATTAACTATGAAATAAATCAAGTTTATTTATTAAAATTTATTTTGTTTGATAATTTCAACTATTTCATTACTGATTTCTTTTTTATTTATTCTTATATTTATCGTTAATAACTAGAACATTTAAGTTTTTCTTTTTCTATACGCGTAAGAAGTATATGACTTTTAATGTATATAAGTACACACACTACATTTTTATTATTATGTTACTTCACAGATGCTCAAGATAATATAAATACCACAGAAGAAATTAATGAGGATGAATCATCAAAGAAAGAAGATGCATTATTGGTAAGTTTTATAATCTGTGACATATATGTACACCATTAAAAAAATATGGTTTAACATAGCGTATAATACATAACTAACATATATATATATATGTGTATTTTTATTGTCTTCATTTCCACTGGAATCATGGAATATTTTTATTTATTGGACGAAATATAATCTTGAGTACTGTGTGGAAACAGGAATTAGTTTGTTGAATGGAATAAAGGAGTTTATATAATAATAATAATTTATTATATGTATATATACATAATATGTACTATAAAAAAGGTGAAAGTGTATATAGAAAAGTATTAAGTTTATTTTAAATCTAAAATTGGTGCCTCATAAGGAGTTTTAATGAGTATGTTTGTTTCGTTTTGTTACCAGGATGAAAACAAGACGTCGGTTATGGAAACGGAACAGAAAGATATAAATATATTGGATAAAGAAGACAAGGTACTTCATACAAATAAATTTTTAGCTTGTAAAGACTCTACAGTTATAAAATTATTGATTGAGATCAAATTACATTAATTATTATATATTCAAAATTGATTTAGTTATTCAAATGTAATGTAATGTAATGATAAAACAGTAACTTTTAATTAACATTGATTTATAAAGCCCACTAAACCATATCAAAGTAGCCTATTGTGCAAAGCTAAGGATGTCTTAGAATTATCATAAAAACCTATACACTTTATTTATGTTAATTTTTATTGTACAATCCCCAGACAAAATCTGAAGGAGAAGTATTTAATTTAGACTCGGATGAAGAGGATGTTGGTGAAAAGAATAAAACGGACACTTGTGAGTCAAATCAATTACTTTTTTTTATAGTAAAAAGAGGGTATTTATTTATAATCTGTGTATAATATTATTGCTTGTTTTACAATTACAAAATCAAATCTGTAATATTTTTATCGTCATCATCAGTCTATCAGAGCCCACTGCTGAGCAAAGGCCTCTTCTCACATGGAGAAGGTTTGAGCATTAATCACCAAGCTTGCTCAAGACGGGTTGGCGATTTCAAACTTATAATTTTAAGTCCATGTTTCCTCAATATGTTTTTCTTCATCAGTCAATGTTGTCTAAATACTTTTAGATAGTACATATGACTCGGAAATATCACATTGGTGTCATCAGGTTTCGAACCCGCACCCACTAGGCCACCACAGACTCACTATATTTCTATACAATTATATAATTGAACATATTTCTAAAGCCCTTCAAGATACTCATGAGAATAAAAAGCCCCAAACCCAACTGGTGAAGTGCATCAACAAGTCTTGTGCGAACACATCATCAGATTACTACACCGCGGACGGTATAACAGTCAACTTCTATGACCCGGAGCGAAAGAAAAGAGGTTACGTTTGTCAAACATGCCTCAATTTGGTCGAAGATAGGAATCAGGTATTTAATATGTAATCTCTTAGCTTATAAGTCTTTCACAACTATGTGCAATTTTATGAGTTCTAGAATATGATGAAATCTAAGTATTCTTTTTAATAAAACTAATTTTTACGGATTTACTATGGAATTATAATATTTTTAACTACATACTCCCATTTCGGTTACTTTGCAGTGACCATGATTGTATAGAAAATAGGTACATATTTGAAAAGCTTGAAGTCATAACAATTATGTTCTAGAAGATCTCATCAATGTTCTAATAAACATTTCCAGATGTAAATATTAGTTTAACTCCTATTTCCAGATGTTAATGATAGTGTAATTCCCATTTCCAATTGTCAATGTCATTGTAATTCCTATTTCTAGATGTTAATGTCATTGTAATTCCCATTTCCAGATGGTAATGTCACTGTAATTCCTATTTCCAGCTGTTGATCAGCGGCATCAAGTCCCTGGCGCCGCTACTGAAGCTGGAGCCTGGCCGGCCGGAGGAGGACCTGGTCGAGATATCAGACTCGGAGTCCGAGGACGAGGCGGAACCGGAAGACGACGATGACGTCATAGGAGTGGAGGGGGCTAGGTGATAATATATAACACTCTCACGAGCATTTATTTAAATGAAACTAATATTTTTCGGATTCTATTATGGTATAACCTACATAATACTCAAGTTTCGATTACTTTGCAGCAACCGTGATCACGGGCAGATGTGTTAGTGATTGTGTTATTAAGAATAGTATTTTTTTTTTCCTTTTTTATTTCAAAACAAGGATTGTTATGGTGATCATGTTCCGCTTTTAATGTAAAAGATCTTAACGTTGTATGTAGTTTAAAATAATATAAAAACCGTATGTAGTAGATCGGAAAATATTGTATTTATTAAGACTTGGGTCATTAATTCAAAATCTTAAATATAAATCAACTTGTTTAGGTATATAGAGGAGAATTTGGCTGATGTTCTGAACGAGACCTGGGTGAGGTACAACATGGATGACCGGCTGCGGGAGGCGCAGGACGAGCTGCAGCAACAGCTGGAACAGCTGCAGAGTGAGCACCTGGAATATAGATTATAGTATAGAGTTTGATTAATGCTTGTAGTAAATGCTATATATCCACAGGGTATATTTATATACGTGAACATGTATTTTGTTGGAAATAAAATTGATAAGAATTGGCAATATTTTATAATACATCAAAGTTTTCTTGGGATTCATCTGCTCTAGGGAAAAAATCTTTTAAGTTTGTATACAGTTGGAATTTATTTTAACCGTTATGCTATTTTCATTACCAATTTTCAATGGAAGTACAACTACTTTTTACTACATTATAATTGTAATAAGCATTAATTTTTGTATTTTATATATTCAGAGGACAGTTTGGACATCAAACAACTGTTAGACGAGTGCCAGCTATCCACAGACAAGCTACGGTCAGAGCTGTACTCTAGCTTCGACCGCGACATTAAAGAACTTCCACCACTTCTGATATACGACATGCCTAATTGCTCTGTGAGTTTATTACTCTATAAAACACTTTGAAGTGTGCTTTTTTCATTGTCATTCAGTTTATTTTCAATTGTATTTATACTTAAACTAGCATTACTTTATTTCTATAGACATATTACAAAAATGTTTTCATAGAGGCCATTTTGTTTCCTTGAATCTTTTAAGACACTAAAATTTCCAAAATAAAAAGTACCAGGCATTCATTTTCGTAAATTATTTTATAAAGTATATTACACAGTATAGTAAAATCTATTGAGATTTTACAATAATCATGTTTTTATAGTATAATAATTTACACGTTTAGACATGAGAAATGTTACTTTAAATGCCAACATAGTACATTGTGTCACCAAATAAAGTATATTGCAAAGTATGAAATTTATTCATAAAAAATATTCTATTTAAATACAGTAGAATTAAGTATGATAATGTGTAATATATATAATGTTTTTATTTCAGTACACCTGTGTCGACCCATCTGGAGTGGTGAGCCTTATTTAGTATTAATATATATATATATATATATATATATATATATATATATATATATATATATATATATATGGAACAAGTGGCGCCAACTGTGCCGTACTAATTATAATATACTATAATCCTTAGAATTATTTCTACGACTGATTATAATTAATGATAATACTGAACCATTCTAATTTTGTATGCAACATTTAAGTATCTTTGTATTTCTAAACTATAAATACTGTCTTCAGTCATTTTGTAACACATTACTGGAAGTAACGATGAACATTGAACAAGACTGAAACTGTACGTAAAATCATATATTAATGATTTCTAATTGAATATATTATATTTATTTCAGGGAACTAGACTTTTAAAGCGTCGAAAATCATCTCTATCAGAGTCCCCAGCAAAGAAATCTGCATTAGCAATAAGTGATCAAGTAAGTGATCTTATACTTTATAAACTCTATAATACAAACATTAAAATAGTCTATGGTAGTTTTATCTACATTATAAATAAACTATTTCATAAATAATACTATTCTGAACTAGTTTCTTTATAATTTAGTTAAAAAAAATTATGCTTTTATTTAACATGCTAATATATACAAAAAAAAATTATTACCATACTAAGTGTTGTTTTCAGGGCCATGCTTATAATACAATTTCGTCGCATAGCCAAATTAAGTTAGGATAATCTTAAGAACGTAATAAATAATATTAATCCATTACAGGACACAAACTCCCAAGATATGACAAACGAGAAAACAGAAGACGAAGTGAGTGAATAATGAAATATTAGTTTTTTATACATTTAAAATAATAATAAGAATTTTTATAACATTGTAAATTCAGTTTACAATACAAACACTTATCTTACATATATTGAGATAATGACTATCTTAAGAGGTAGGACATTACATAAGTAAGTTTATACTAATTAAAGAGCCAAAATCACCAATAGATATTTATTCCATAGGGTAAACATTTGTTCCAATATAATCATCTCCATAAGTGAAATGATGTCATTGCATTAGAATATTAATATTATAGCTTTTAATAATTAATTCTAATGGATATAGAATATTTTATAGATTAAACAAAACCTCTAACTTAGCTGACATTGTTTGTTTTTTTCATATTTTTGTTACCAGCATTATGTTTGTCTTCAGCCAATGATTTCCTTTAAATATCTTTTTTATATAAATGTTGGATCCGGTTCAAAGATTATATTAAACCAAGTAATGATTACTTGATTTCATCATCGTCAGCCTATCAGAGCCCACTGCTGAGCGAAGACTTGTTCTCACATGGAGAAGATTAATACAATCATTTTTGAATTCAGTATTTGCCTGCATACTTTTCTACTCTAATATAATGTCTCTAACCTTCAGAATCCCGATGTATCTGTGGTCCATTTATCCGTGGAGTCCGCGCCCCCCGACCTGCCACCCGCGGGGGAGGTCTCCTACCCCCCCTTAAGGGTGGGGATGACCGTCTACGCGTCCAAAAACGCTTTGGGCTCCTGGATGAAAGCCAAAATTGTAGAGATCACTCCGAAATCATCAGTTGTAAGTTGTATTTTTATTATAGATTTATTTTAAGGTAGGCTTTTATAGTAAATTTATATGGGTTTGAAAGAAATAATTGTAATTGTCCTACGAAGTAAATATGTATATAATGTATCAGGCAAATGGCCTTGAATATATGTGGTATCTTGAAATCATAATGAAGAATAATGTACTTATGTTTTTATTAGGAGTATGTTTAACATAAGTTTTGTCAAATGATGCAATTAAAGATGGTTGTAAATTAGAACTACGGTCAGCCAACGTTAAAAACCATAAAATCTAATATTGTATCACATTTATAACTAAATTATAATATTTACCAAGTGAATGCTACAACAATAGTTTGTATTTTGATCATGACTCATTTAACTTTCCAAATTCATACATTGATTAGTTCCCGATTAACTTCTGTTCATACATAATAAATTTAATATGGTATCTTTCAGCCAAACTGTTTCACATTATGTCGTGTGAAGTACGAATACAAACAGTCTAAGCCAACAAAGATATTACCTGCGCGACGCTTAGCTTACGTCGACCCTCCAGACGTTAGAATGACTATAGGTAAGATTATTTATAAATAAAATACATACTAATATTATAATAGAGAAAAGCTGAGCAGATTATGATAAAATTTAGTATGAAAATAGATCAACTACTTTGGTCGTCTCTGTATATATATATATCGTTAAAATAAATTAATTAATGAAAAACTATCTAGCAGAACTATAGATAATCACTTTATGCTATAATGAAGTCCTAAGATATGTTGGTTTTTATTTTTTTGGGAGAGAAGTTTATAGTTTAGAAAAATTTGCTTTTTATACGAAAAGAGATAGATTTCGGGTACCCTTGTATACACGTAGGTCGGAGCAATGTACCTACTGTTATAGAAAAAGTCAAATAAAAATTATATTTTTGAAGATTAGACCTCATGTGCATGAGAATAAGCTTCATAATGGAAGTGACAAAAAAGATTCTTCTTGTTTTCACCTCATCTAATGTTCGTCAACTATATCTCTTATTCCAGGTACTCGCGTGATAGCGTTGTTCAAAGACATAACCCTGAAAGAATCCTTCTACCCGGGGATCGTTGCTGAAATACCCAACCCAGTCAACAATTACCGGTATAAACTTACTCTTGCTTCTAATTAAATTGCCCTGTTCCCATTCTTTCTTACCCCTTCCCTTTTCCCTCCCTTTCCCACTTTTTTCCTCCCCCTCTTCCCTAATCAAGTGTGGCGACACATCCACAACATAAGAGATGTTGAAGATGTCCATGGGCGATGGTACTACCTCCATCAAGTAGGCCGGTTTCTCGGTTACCCCTTTTGCATAAAAAAATAATAATAATCGAAACTCACATTTATTGTATTGTGTCCATATTTTTTCAGTTACCTGATATTCTTCGACGATGGCTACGCTCAATACGCGCCTCATTCCAAGGTCCGCCTGGTGTGTGAGTGTGCGTCCCACGTGTGGGAAGAAGTACAGCCCAAGTCGAGGGAATTCGTTCGTAAATATCTGCTGGCTTACCCTGAGAGACCCATGGTGAGGTTGCATCCTGGACAGAGTTTGAAGACCGAATGGAAAGGTCAGTTTTATATTGTATTATATAAAAATGTAGTAATAAATGTATCAGCGAGTATATTACTAGTAGTATATATATACAGACAAGTGGTGGTCGTCGGTGGTGGTGTCGGTGGACGCGTCGCTGGCTGAGGTCCAGCTCCTACAGCACGAGAGGCGCGAGTGGATCTACCGAGGGTCCACGAGACTCGCGCCGCTGTACCTGGAGCTGCAGGCCGCCGAGAGACACAGGCCGCGGGCCCTGCCGCGAGCACTGACCGCGAGGGTGAGATATATACAGGGGAATAGACGAGTGGAGTGAGAGGAAGAGAGTAAAGAGACGTGTGCTGTTGACAGACGAACATGCCCTACGTGGAGTACACGAGGCCCGAGGAGCGGCCCGACCGACGAGCAGAGGGGACGACGCAACAGCTACAGGCTGAGGTGAATAGAACTATGCGTATGTGATTATCTGGAGATAAATAATGTATAGTAGGTAGGTAGGTAATGTATAGTAGGGTATACCACTCGAGTATTTTTAGGTTATGGGTATATTGCATTTATACAGTTTTCTCGTGGATAGATTCAAATATTATTATTGGGAATGTATACAATTTCATTTGCAATGTTCAAGATTTCAAGAAGAATTTGGAAGATTCAAATAGCACCATTGGTAGTGTAGAAAAACGTTTTGTCTCTCATATATTGTTAATCTACTACAATTCCATCTCCTAGCGAGATCAGTCCTCCTGTTTTTGTTCTACGTCATCTTTTTAGATCAAAATCTAGATCTTCGCACAACAGTTTTTCTGCCCTGCAGAACTCTTCATTTGTCAGCATTACCGTAACTAGTACTGGCGTAGATTTTGATATATCTCTACAAGCATTTGTTTATGCCTTAACAGTCATACAAGGAGTCGTCCAACTTGTGCTGGCCGTAGGTTTGGTGTAAATAGCTTTTGTGGCGTTGTGCCGATTCTTTCCATCAATTTTCTCCAAAAACTCACCAAATCGCGTCTTTTCTGATAAGCATATATGGCAATCTGTGGGTAATGTTGATTTTCCTCCCAAACCATGCTTTCGATATTAGACAGAATGCTATCAAAGGAGCTATTAATTAAAATTAGGTTTATAAGCTGTTAGCAGCATTCCGTCTCATCATTCCAGACGATTTAACCTAGATGACGCTTCGACGCGGAATAAATAAACGCAAAAGATGGCCTTCCTTCCAATACAATCGCTAATGCAAACAAAGTAATTTTGTTAGTCCCATACAAATCTTATATCAATTGGTTACTGCAGTGGAGCGTGCAGTTATTCTATATGAATAATAATCATATCTATTGAAGTTGCCACACGTAGGTTCTAAAACAAGTGCAGTTCCTGTCAGAATACTTGGACATTAAACCTAGTTATCTATAATACCAAAGGAAAGACGACTTAATTATATTAAGCATTCATAGTATAAATCGTAAGTACATATATGATATAATATATCGTCGGGGGTGGTGCAAATCAGTGAAAATATTTCAGTTTAAACTTTCTTCTAATAATCTTCTCCCAATGTGGAATTATCCAATGCTAGCTACGCGGATTTGCACTATCCCCGACGATACATATCTAATGTTATAAGTATCATGTTTTTCTCCTATCATTATAATAATAGGAGTTCCGTCGTCAACGCGCCGTCGCCAAGAAGTCCACAACAGAGAGCCGACCACCTCCCCCCACCACCGGGCAGAACCTAGACAACGTGACTAGCAGAGTGGTGGTAAATATACAATGACATAAACTTAGGACAAGTTAAATATATTAGTTTTCATAATGACATCTAAGATTTTCGCGAGTATTATTCATATAAATGAAACGAATATTTTTCGGATTATACTACTCGACTTTACTCTTGTAAAAAACTACATACCCTCAACGTTTCGGCTACTTTACAGCAATCGGTCGGCTTCTTTACGGTGGCGTAGTATAATCCAAAAATATTCGTTTCATTAAAATTATTCTTATTATACTGATATGGTATTGAAGTAAATAGTCATGGACAGACCCTGGCAAGAAGTTTTAATAGTAATTATGTTGGTTTTAAACATATTGACGTCACCAACGCCTTGTTTCTTAGAGAGGTCCGATCCCTGCGACAGCCCGAATGAGAACGTTAGTTCTGTACCCTCACCTCTATTTATACTAATCGTCACTCATTGTCGTGATTACGCTTGTACAAGTGGCTACGCAGGTAGTTATGCAAGTGACCCTATAGATAATTCAATATTAATCAATAATATTGTTTATTTCCAGTACTACACCCCAAAGAAACAGGTGAAGCCATACAAGATGGTGCCCCATACTTGCTCGCCGGCCTGCAAGAGGACAGATGTTTTAGCACTTAAGGATTTGAGAACTTATAATCCATTAGCCAAGCCACTGTTGAGCGGCTGGGAGAGGTATTAACATGTTGTAAAGATATTTATCTAAGGAATAATATAAAATATTTCACAAAATTGTGTTAAAGTTAATAAGACTAAAAGTTTTTGTATTGTTAGTCTCATTTATTCGAGAACAAGTTTTCGATGATTTCAATCAAAGAAAGTCCAATTAAATGTATGAATTGCGTCTTAGAAATATTAAAATTTAATATTTATACTCCCACATTTCTAGAAACTCACAAAAGCATTATAGAAGTATCTTGACACATACTTCTGGAAGTTGTGTATTTTTGGGAGTCTAGTAGATGATTGATTAATTTCTTAGCCATCATATATATAATCTATATGTCCAAACACTAATATGCAAGCCAATTAGGTCCTAATACTCATCAAAAATCTTAATTTTCCTGGCAGATAGTCCATTTGAATGGAAGTCTAGTTATAGATTGATTCATTTCTTAGGGCATCATAAATGTATCAATCTACATGACAATCTGAAATTACAAGCCATTTAGGTCCCAATAGTAATCAGAAATGTTAATTTTCCAGACAGATAGTCCGTTTCAAGGGCAACAAAGTAGTATTATACGTGTGTCCGTGCGGGCGCCGGGTCCGCTCTCCTCGTGAACTACATCACTATCTGCGGACCGTCGGTTCAGAACTGCCGGTAGACCTCTTCGACTTCACTCCGTCCACACACTGCCTGGCTGAGTTTGTACTCAATAAATGCTATGTTGGCAAAAAGGTTGGTCATAATGATAAAGGATTTCAAGGAGTTGAACGTATATACATTTGTACGTCACTCTAAGACCATATAATATGTCAATGTATTTACAATTTAAAGTCAATGTATTTACAATTTAAAGTCTATGAGCGATAATTTGTAACTTGTTCATAAAGAACACAAAGACTTTCTTTTCAAGATTACATAGAATTTCTCTTAATTATATTTAAAGGCCGAAGTCTAAAAACAAAAAAGTATCGATTGTACCAAATTAGCTTGTGATGACTCAAAATTTAAATGTTCCTATTAACTAATATAAATAACTAATTATAAACATTCATATAATAAATATTTTGTAGGACTTGTCCCATGGCAAAGAGAACGTGCCAGTGCCGTGCGTGAACTACTACGACGAGTCTCTGCCGGAGTTCTGTTCGTACAACACGCAGCGCACCCCCACCGCCGGCGTGCCTCTCAACCTCGACCCGGAGTTCCTGTGTGGCTGTGACTGTGAGGACGACTGCGAGGACAAGACCAAGTGCGCCTGCTGGCAGCTCACTCTGGAGGGCGCGCGGACCATAGGTCTGGAGGGGGAGGGCGTCGGCTATGTGTACAAGAGGCTGCCGGAGCCGCTGCCCACTGGCATATACGAGTGTAACTCGAGGTTAGAGTACATCTGTGTTACGATACACTGACAGCTAGTTTAAGTTATTTATGGTCTTATATATGTCGCATTTCTTCCTCCAGGTGTAAGTGTAAGGACACGTGTCTTAACCGCGTCGCTCAACATCCGCTGCAACTGAAGTTACAAGTGAGTGAAAATAGTTTTCGATTTTTCTATATAGGATAGGATGTAATTATTTTTGAAAGATTTCACGAATATTAGAATAAGGAAAAAGGATTTTTTTTTTACATCAACTCTTATATTTCTATTAAAATACACTCAAAATATATTCCTATTAATTGCAGTTTTATCATATAGCTTATACCAAGAAACGTTTTATTTTTTATATGTATATGAATAATTGTTAGACGAGAATTTCCAAATCATTTCTATCACCCGACAGGTGTTCAAGACGCTCAACCGCGGCTGGGGGATTCGCGCTCTCAACGACATTCCAAAAGGAACCTTCCTTTGTGTGTACGCTGGGAACTTACTCACAGACGCCACAGCAAATCTTGTACGTACACAAACACACACATACACACACGCACACACACATACACACACACACATACATACACGCACGCACATATACTATATAGAGAGGAGCTTGTAAGGTGGAGGTGAGCGTTTAACGCGTTAGATAAGGGTCCCTTAAACCTACACCTGGGTCACAAGTCCCAGTCACTGTTGAAGCTCCTCTACCTATAACGATGGACCCGGCATTGATAGACTTCCTATCGTTAATACAGGGGTTCATATACTTCATTTTTTATAACCCACTTTAAGAATAAATTAATTTTTTACGCCTCCATTTATCCAGCTACTAACCAAACCACCACAACTTATCCTATCTCAATGAAATTGCAAATCACACCCACGTGTCTACATAACGCCGCCATTTTTTTCTATATCTCTTACCGCTCTCTTTAGGATGCAGGGTCCACAAAAGAGCGTTATCGCCCACTTTAGGAAAGGTTTTTGTAATACTTCCTTTCAAAGTTTCCAGTTAAAGAACCACCTGTAGGTTTAATTAAACTGAAGATAGGACTTTTAAAGTATGGATTCTGTAACCTAATATTATTCCATTGTTCCACTCCATTTTATTCCAAAATTTGAATATTTCCTTGACCGATATGAGTGAAAAGAGTCTAATAAGACATAACTTCTGGCATTCACTAACAACTAACTTAATATTGGCGCAATTGCTATATTTCACGATATTTTTTGACAAATAAGATTATAAATTTTCAATATCTTATATTATGTTATGATCGTTACAGGACGGTCTGAACGAGGGTGACGAGTACCTGGCGGAGTTGGACTACATCGAGGTGGTGGAGCAGATGAAGGAGGGTTATGAAGAAGATATACCGGAGAATATGAGGAAGATGGATGAGGTGGGTAGGGTACTGAGGAATATATAGAAGGTTTGGTAGAGAAGGAGATATGAAGGAGGGTTGTGAAAAAGATATACCGGAGAATATGAGGAAGATGGATGAGGTGGGTAGAGTACTGAGGAATATATAGAAGGTTTGGTAGAGAAGGAGATATGAAGGAGGGTTATGAAGAAGATATACCGGAGAACATGAGGAAGATGGATGAGGTGGGTAGAGTACTGAGGAATATATAAAAGTTTTAGTACAGAAGAAGATAAATTAGGTCTTACCACAAGGAACTTTGTTTTTCACCACTATTGGAGCAAAAAGTTGTCTTTTATTGGAGCGGCCTTTGATATTAAGAACTCAAATTCTATAATCAGTCTCTTACCAAAAGGTCCCTCGAAGATTTTAGCTCATGGTGCCATTTACTTAAATTAGGTAATGATTCAAAACTTCAGGTTTGTTTTGATCTAGGAATTTAAATGGGACTTCTAAAGCTTTGACTTACATTAGTTAACAAGACCTTCTTTGGATACTTTAGAATATCTGTTAGAAAATTGTACCAACTAAATCAAGATTTCTTAACAACCACTGTTATCATGAATAGAGAAGATATTAGTAACACCAATATATTATAACAAAATTGTTAATTAATAGTTAGTCTTACTCTCTATCTATCTATCTCCCTCATATATATACACTGTTAACAATTCCAAAATGTTTGGCCCACTGGGAAGGCATACATATATATATTTATATAACATTTGTACAGGCGGAAATAGCGAAACAACAGTTGGCACCGGACGAGGAGATGGAGTCATCATCATCAGACGAAGGTAGCAGCACCAAGAACGGTGAAGAAGATGATGACTTTACTCCGGGGTACATCGGCCTGGGACTGACTGAGTTTAAGTATGTATCAACACTAATATATATACATTAGCTGCGCCCCGCGGTGTTGCCTGCTGATTTCCGGGATGTAAAGTAGCCTATGTGTTATTGCTGGACGTCAGCTTCCTGTATACAAAATTTTATCAGAATCGGTTCAGCCGTTTGAGCGTGAAGAAGTAACAAACATACACGCCCACTGACAAACTTGCGCAATTATAATATTAGTAGGATTGAAAATCTTCTCGTCTATTAATTTCATTGAATATTTACAGCAAACGATTGCGGCGAAGGGATTCGAAGGTAGACAAAGAAAAATCAGTGGCCAAAGACAAAGATAAACCTGAAACGAAGAAGGACAACGAAGAGGACTGCATCACCATCAGTGACGATGAAGAAGGTGACACATAACACACGACCCGTGAAGTTAACACAACACACGGCCAATTAAATGTAGCAAACATGAACCATTTGAATTACAAACCATCACTGCTGAAATAACTTTTGATGTGTTGACAATCCCTCAAAAGTTTCTCCTTTTCAAAGTTAATAAAACGTTTACATGGAAAATAATTTCAGGGCTTGACTGTTAAAAATTATACAACGTGTAACATAATTAACGCACACCCTGAAAGTAGTTTGATCAGAATCGGATACTGGATCGATTTTGATAGTTTTTTATGTAGGTCATTTTTTTTCTCAAATTTAGATAGAACTAAGTAAATTATAGTCACCCTACACTCAGTTATCTAAACACTTCATAGAAACGAAAATTAATGGAAACGAAAATGGATCGTAAGTCAGGGTATTAAGATTTTTAAAATGAAATATTTAATTAGTAATCATCATTCAATTAAAGAAAACTGATACTTATTTCAAGGCTAAAATAGTATTTAATAATAACTACGCACGCAACACCATAGCGACAACCGGCACACAGCAAGGTCACTGCAGTGCATAAAAGAAAGCCGCGTAATACAAAAATTATTACTTTCTCCTTCTTTCTTTGGCTTAATAACATTACAATAGAGCGAGACGGCAGGCTAATTCCAGGAATCAGAGTAATAATAACTAAACATAGAAGTCAACAAAATGTGTTTTGGGTAAGTTAGTCACGCCGCGTCCACCTTATCGAAAAGAAGTCAAGTGTAAAGTGCAAATAAAATCTTAGTCGCGCATTTCGCTGTGTCGTTTCGGTACACTAACATTTAATACATCAAGTACCTACGCACGTGTCCATTGACCTCCTAGATCAGCTGATTTGACGCGACTCGACTTTTTTTTGTGGGGGCGAATTAAATCGCTAGTTTATAACAGAGATAACAAGTGCCGAGGAAGTAAAAAATAAGATAATAACCGCCTTTGTAAAAGTGAAAAGTGACATTGCAGTATTATCTAAAATAAAACCACAATTGCGAAAACGGTCATTAAAGTGCATTGAACAAGGCGGTGGACATTTTGAAAATGTTTTAAAACGACAACGCCGTGCGAGTGCAAATTAAACTGTAAGTTTGTTTATGATCTTTAAATTATTGTAAATATTTTGATACACACCATTTAAACAGGCCGACTGTGTTTAACTTTGTCGTAGGTATTGTGGTGTCTAATCAAATCACGCGTTATCAGCTGTTTAATAATTCTTATTTACAAATTTAATTTAACAAATCAGTAATTATAAAATATTGGCTTCACATTAAAAAGAAAATTCAATGTCAACAATCTAAAGCTTGAAAAGTGTGATGGAAAGAAGAATCATAAATCATAATGTAGTTATTTCGTGTACTTATTATTACCTACTTCTTATTATTGTCGGACGGCACTCGGAGAGCGGGGCGCGGGCGCGGCGAATACAGAGTGTCGCTGAATAGCTGACCATATTATTTGCACGAAATTGGGATAACTAATTTCACAAATAAAAAATGCAAACGCACATATAAATAATATTTGGTGTATTCATTGCGTTTATATTATTATATTCGCATTGGGGTATTTGAGGGTGTGCGTTAATTACGTTACACGTTGTATAGATTTTTTTTGTACTTAAAATTAAAATTGTAGATGTTTTTATTTCATAATAATTGGAATAATTGATAGTTCTATTTAATGTAAGCTTGTAATTCCATGTGTTTTAATGTGAGTATATAAACTTGCTTCAAATGTCCCCATTAGAAATTATTTGTTTGCAAGAAAATTGATCGGTATGGATCTGTCAAGTTATCTTTTCTGATTTCAACCAAAAATATCTTCTATGTGTATAGACAAATTAGGTCATAGTCTCCAAGTCTTGTATACAGTTTTGTTTATGGAGCCATCTATTGTGTAATATATCAATATTATTTTCACTGCTTCATAGCCTGCAGTTTTTCCAATATGTGTAAGATAATATGTGAAATTCTGCTGTCTCTACTATTACTATTGTATCTTATGTGAATAGAATATTATATACTATATAGTAAATTATTAAAATTAATAATTTAATCTAATTGCAGTTCGAGAACCTTCAAATTTCACAGCCGCTGCTGGGATGGGAGCAAATGAATTTAAATCAAAATATAGGTGAGGAAAATGTCATGGCAATAGATTGCTAAAATGTTGTAGTGCAGTTCACATTTAAATTAAACCTTATATAGGTCATACATTTATAGTCAAACATTTAAGGTTTTAAATTTCTGCGAGATTACTTTTCACTAGTCATTTTCATAGGGAGCCAATAAGTACACTTCATATAGACTTTATATATAAAGGCGATTGTCCACTTAGTATGGGGACTTTGGCCTGATGTGAACAGACATTTTATCATATTTTTTGTAATCAGTTTAAAAGCACTAACTAGTAATAATGAGAATATGAACTTAATTTTGTATCAAAATGTTTAAAAAGAGATTTTTATCATGTGAGGAAAAACAGGTTAAAGCGAAATAAAATAACATTTTTTATGATTTAATTTTATTCTGAGACATCATATGTTATTAATATGTGTTCAAGAAATTGGACCGGTAGTGAAATGTGTTCCTGATACCTTGCTCAACTAAAAACCATAAAATAGTCATTATATGAGTGCAGCAGCCCACTGTCCTTCGACAACCATGCAATTACAATAATATTCTTTTATAGCTTCCTTATCATTGCGATTATTTTCATATAATATATATATATATAAAAAATATATTTTTCGACTTACATGCCTGCTTTGTATTTTTCCACACACTAATCTGCAGTTGGCCAAAGGAATCGGGTAGTCAACCAATAGGTCGCTGGCTATATTTCTACATATTTCTATAGTATAGGAACCATCGCCTCTTATGTGCTGCCCATAATATGAAAAAGTTTGTTTTAGTTGGTATGTTCCACATGCAATTTTTATAATATAATTATATTCTATTCTTGGAAATATGAAACTGTCCATGTTTACATTTATAGGTTGAAAATCTGCCTGCCTTCTATTTAAATTATTTTCGATAACAAAGTCAGCTAATGTGTTAGGAGTAAACATCTTTTCATTTATTATAATACAACAGTATATAAGGATTATAATTATATACAACAATAAAACCTCATATTGCATTATAGGAATAGCATATACAATACATATCTATTAGAAAACGAGTGACTTAAATAATTAATTGAATTGACACTTACTCGTCGAGGAGCTATCCACTGTCTTATAATAGACTGAACCTGATTAAGATCTAGACTATGTCGCCTTCGCTCTATCAAATCAGTTCCACAGTTTATGTATCTCAAGAGATACGGATTGGTAGGAAGTCACTTCTTCTGTGTGCAGACTATCATGAGACACGCTTTGGTTTTGTTCAATGTTCATATTAAAGCCGTGGTTAGCGATGGAGTTAGTTTCGGGGCCCATATTACGTGAGTGTTGGTCATCGGAGTCCATAATACAAAAGCCAGGGTCATCGTTTGAGCGAAACTCGGGGTCCGTAGATGTGCCGGGGTCATTGGAAAAAGATAGGTCGGAGTCCATAATGAATAAACAATCGTTGAAAGAAAATCCACATTAAAACAACACTCTCAATGAAGGTAAACAAAGTGAATGTAAACAATCAGTCTGTGACATATCAATGTCAATTTGTATTTTTTTGTTTTATTAGTGTTGCAATAGAAAAAAATCATTAAAAATTCGATCGAAAACAGATATGATTACTTTAACATTCTTCATATTTCAGTTTATAAAACGTTTTAAATGACGAAACTAATTAAAAACAAGTATATATTTTTTATTAAATACTTATACTTGTATTAAGTACTGCAAGATGATTCGATTAGACGCAATCGTTAATTGATTTTGCTGGTAACACAAAACGTGGCTCAATAAAGCAAATCAATGAAGATACTTTAAAAATATTTTTTCATAAACTTGTTTTTTTGATAGCAGCTTGTTCACGCTAGGCCAAAAATGGACATTGCCCTTTATTATCAATTGAGTCAGAATATCATGGGTAATATGAAGTTAATACATTATTAAATAATGGTAGAGATAGGAGGTTGGACAGTGCAGGTGAGCGTTTAACGCGCGTTAGATAGGGCCCCTTAAACCTACACCTGGGTCACAAGTCACAGTCACTGTTGAAGCTCCTCTCACTACAACGATGGACCCGACACACGCACCGTGAATACATTGAATAATGATTTGAATTGTTAATGTTATATTTCCAGGTCTGTCCGTAGTCTGTTCGGTGAGGATGAAGCCTGCTACATCATGGACGCCAAGGTTCAAGGGAATATTGGAAGATATCTAAATGTAAGGGAATGTACGATAAGTACGAGTAAGGCTGCCATCGAGAAAGATGAAACATTGACAATAGAATTATTCATCTTCAGTATTTAAAATGTTATCACAACACAATGCGAGTAATCGTAAGGTACTTTCTTACAGTTTCTGATATAATCAAATATATGATAACAAGTCAACCAATGATATAAGTGAACATAGCACCAAGCGTTAGTAACACTAAGGGTGATCTGTGACTTGTGTTGTATAGTGTGAGGAATAAAGTGACTAGGGGTCGGTTGCAAACACTTGTCTTGATGGAAGTCTTACTATTACACTGTGCAGAAAGGTTCAAATGTCTTCAACGTCCTTATTCGTGCAAATATTCGTCCAAGTGTATCAACCCAGCACCTCCTTCATTCCAACACTAACCGGTCTGTTCCCACTGCCCCACACCTCCTTCGTTCCAACACTAACCGGTCTGTTCCCACTGCCCCACACCTCCTTCGTTCCAACACTAACCGGTCTGTTCGCACTGCCCCAGCACTCGTGCATGCCGAACGTGTTCGTTCAGAACGTGTTCGTGGACACGCACGACCCTCGCTTCCCGTGGGTGTCTTTCTTCGCTCTCCGCGCGGTGCGGGCCGGGGCCGAGCTCACGTGGAACTACAACTACGACGTGGGTTCCGTGCCCGGGAAGGTCCTCTACTGTTACTGCGGGGCCCCAACGTGTCGCGGCCGGCTGCTGTGACCTGGCCCACTCACACACACCTTGGACTTCATTACTGTATATATGGGACTAATAAAATGTATGAAATATTTGGCAGCTTTATTCCACCCCCAATTTTTTTTATAATTAGCCATATAGGCCGATTGAGTATAAAAATGCTGGCATTATTTAGTTAGCACTTGAGTAAGTATTAAGTAAGTATTTTATTATTGTTATTAGTGTATATAGAAAAACTTTATAAATTGTAAAGAATAGACCCGCGGTAATACATTATATTGGTTAAAAGGGAAAATCTACTTTTATGTTTTTCGCAGCAGAAGTTTTTGAATTTATGGGGGTATGTGGTATGATTCAAACCGGTTTTTCCGTCTGGCTGGCCAAAGTGTATTATTTTTCGAGTATTTTCGGTTCGCTTTCACTATGTGAAGTGTAAAGTTTAGTACTGGTTTTATTCCATCATTCATAACATAAAAGTCTGTCGAAGATTTTGGAGGGAGCTCCAACCACAGTTCCTTTCCAATTCCCGTTTAAACTTTAAATTTTTCGTTATTACCATTAGAGCTTTCTTCTTCTACCTGGCAATTTCCCGGCTATAGCCAGGGTCTGCCTTACATGTAGTGAATAGTTTTGGCTAATTCTTTTTTACGACCGGCCGCCTGCCTGACATCAACCCTCTTTTGGGAATCAGCATTAATCAGTGATGTCTTAATATTCTTAGAAAGTACATATGACTCTGAAAAATCACATTGGTGCTTGCCCGGGCCAGGATCAAACCCGCGCCCTCGGCAACGAGAGGCGGGCCCTCTAACCATTAGGCCACCACTGACTGACACTGACATTACCATTAGAGCTTTATCTATATTAATAAAGAGGAAAGATTTGTTTGTTTATTTGTTATGAATAGGCTCCGAAACTACTGAACCGATTTCAAAAATTCTTTCACCTTTGGAAAGCTTCATTATTCCCGAGTAATATAAGCTATATTATATTTAAATAAAAATTAGGGATCCTTACTAAAACTCCAATAATGTAACCCAAGGTGTAAAAAAATGATCTGAAAAATTCCTTACGTCGCGTGCGCTGCGAAAACTATTGATGATAGAACCAAATCATTTACTACGACATTGCAGAACTCATCATCATCTACAAAAAGTGTCGCAACAGCATAATATGTCTAAATATTATAGTTATGTCACAGTAAGCGGTTTTTTATTCTAAAAATTTTATTTATATGCCGCCACTTGAAAAGGCTCTTTATTTGTACCTGGGTATTAATCCTTATCAAATTAAATTACTTTATATTCTAGACGGCTTCAATACCTTTTTATAACTTTTTGAATTATTCAGTTCGGACATTTCATTCGGAAGATATCACGAGTTTAAAAATGCAAATATGTATTAGAAAAAAGTCGCGTGGTTGAAGCTCATCGCGCTCAGCTAGCCAGCATGCGATGTAGGCTCCATGTAAGCGTCACTGGGGTACGAGAGGGGAGTCAATCACAACTAATATTATAGATGCGAAAGTAAGTCTGTCTGTCTGTCTGTTACGCTTTCCCGCTTTAACCTCTCAACCGATTTTGATGAAATTTGGCACAGACAATCTTTAGGCCCTAGAAAAATCATAGGCTACCTTTTATTGCGAAAAAGGGGATGAAGAGGTTGAAATTGCTTATTTTAAAAGATAAAACCATGAAACTTTATATTAAGGCATTAGATAAGATATATTTAAATATTTGTTCTAGCGTTTTTGAAATTTCGACCAGTGAGGAGGTGAAATAAGGGTTGAAAGTTTGTATGGAATTTCTTAATTTTAAAAGATATAACCATGAAAATTTATATTTAAGCACTTGATAAGACATATTTAAACATTTGTTCTAGCGTTTTTGAAATTTAAATAGTTTGTTATTTTTACCACCGTGGGGGTGAAATTCTACACACGGAATTCCCGAAATTCGAACAGAACGGAACAGGAACTACGAAGCTAAACTTTTTGTATACAAAATTTTAACCACTGAACCTAGGAACATCATATTAAGAAGTTTTAGGTGTATCAAGTTAAAAAAAAATTGGCTTTTGAAACTAAAGTTCCTTTAAACGAATAGGTAATCTGCATCGCCGCCGCTGCCGTCGGTCGTCGGTCACCGCACAGTGGGAAAGCCCCATACAAGGCCGTCTCAAAACCCCTTCACATGAAAGTCGTTGTTATGGAGTAAAACTAATTAATTAATATAGTCTTATAAATAAGCTTTCTTTTCTTTATTTTTTAAGTTATTTTTTGCAAACCATAATATATATTAAAAGGCATCAAAGTTGACTCATTTTCAATGGTGTTATTTTGGCCCAGTACATTACTTCAATTCAACGCCACATTACTTGAAAGTATTACTAATATTATAAATGCGAAAGTAACTTTGTCTGTCTGTCTGTCTATTACGCTTTCACGCCTAAGCCACTGAACTGATTTTAATGAAATTTGGTACAAAGATACAGTTGACCGTGAAAAAGAACATAGAATAGTTTTTATCGCAAACTTTTGAAAAGGTTCTCTTGGAAACACGATATAACCGAACTCCACGCGGGCGAAGCCGCGGGCGGAAAGCTAGTATAAGATAAAATCATATTGAAAGACTTTATGTACAATTTTGATACGTATCATTGTTGAAGAATTTCATTCATTGTACTCTCTTGATATAAAAATTAAAAATTATATTACATAGAAACAATGAGCTTAATGTAAATAAAACTCCTATTACATATTTCTTGCTTCTATTCTCCTTATTTCATAATTCCGTGACTTTTTCCTTACAGCTGTATGTTTACCTTCTTATTTATCTTTGTTCAAAATTTATGTTCGTTCCTTAGACCGCTAGCGGGGGCCGGCGGGGCTAGAGGTGCGCGGGCCCGGACGACGCGAACTATAGACGCAGCGCGCAACCTCGATATATGTATACAATGTAATAAGAAGTTTGTCCGTCGCAAGAAATAATAATATTAAATAAATTTTAAACAATTAATATACAAATATAGAAATGAATATAAATTTAAAATTACAATATAAAAGTAATATAGTGTATTATCTATGGAAAATAGTGTCAAAGTTGTTGTACCTTGTACACTTAGATGGCAGCATTATCTATATATTATTTTCTTACACGATAATTATGTATATGACGGTTTCATCCCCATTCCCCATGATTCTTAGTGTGGCCAACCTGACGGCTCGTTTATTGTTAGTTTGTAATTTTATTAATTTACATTTTATGATTTTACTATTAATAGCTTTCAAAATTCATTTCTCATGTCTCTCCAGTCCTTCCGGCTCCCTCTGGTGCCTCTGGTGGCAGTCGGCCGCGGCCTTCCTTATCATGCATGTGTTTTACGTCGGTTATCTTCATGGTAAGTGTTTTTTTTGCACATAGGTACTAATAAATGTTACTTTTTATATTATTGACATATCGCTCAAATTCAAATGTTTATTAAGTAACACTTTTAGTTTTGTTTAATATTAGTGTTTATTATCTGTAGCAATAAGAGTATTAGTTTATTTTAATAGTATATTTTGAATTATTCTCTAAGCGTAACATTGACCGCAAGGTTTTTCAACGTTATATCGTTTCAATGGCCTTCTTTATTATTATGTTTTTCACACTCTAAAATGCGACTTCTTGTAAGTCGAATATTTAAGTAAGAAATCTATTGTCATAATAAAATCTAGAATCATTCGTTACGTTACAGGACTCGTAAGAATATATAATTCAAGATGAGGGTCGAAGCTGTTGGTGGAGCGTCTGTATGGACGTGGTCTGCGGACGAGAGGAACCCTTCTATGAAGAGAAGTGTATGTAGCTGATGTACGATAGTAGTGTGACGGTATGTACTATTAATTTCTGCATAATGTATCTCTTATATTGAGTAAACCGTTATCAACACATTCATTTTAGAATTCCTCATGTGCTGTTGATATTATATAATACAGGGTGACTGGTGAGTTACTATCAATATTTAAGGAGCATACTCGGTACATGATTCTCATTCGAATTATGTAAAAAAAATAGGTACTTAATTTTTGACCAAATTTCCGTATAAATAAATAAAGTTTGGACACGTGCCTTGCCGGCGCCAGTGTGTCGCTACTCCCCAACCCCCGCCCCGTGGCTAGCGGGCCATTAGTGGGCTATTAGTCGCGCCAGCGCCGCCGTAAGGTCCGTACGTTCGTCTTCCCGCGCGCGCGCCTTGCGATCGATCTTACGCGTATACCTAATAATAATCTGTCGTGTGTGCGTGTGACCCGTTATTACTTATTAGTAATTAAATATGGCTTTTCAATGCACAAATGCAGAATACTTGGACATGGTTCATGCGTATGCGCGTGCAAATGAAAGCTTGCGGGGCGCAATCAATTTGTACCGGGAGATGTTCCCCAATCGTCGAGTACCTACGGCCAGCGTCATCTTAAACGCTAATCAAAGATTACGAGACTTCGGACAGTTCAGTGTTCCAACACATGCCCAAGGAAACGTCTTGTGTATGCTACAATGTATGTAAACAGAGAGGAGTTGAAATTAAAAATCAATAGTGATTTCAAAACTATTAAAAGTGACCCATTCGTATTAAATCGTGTGAAAGACAATATGTGTAAACGTGCCGAACTGTGTATCACACGAGAAGGAGCTCACTTTGAACATTTGTTAAGGTTAGTGTAGTTATGTAGGTAAATAGGTAGTTTAATGATTGACAATTGTTGTAAATAAGTATGATTCCATTTTTAAATACGCCGGAAATACCAAGATAGGTAAACAGTTCATATTTTTTTTGTGTCAAGGTCACACCATTTACCTAGTCAATAAATTGGTTGCTTAAACGAAAGAAATATCTTGGTATTTTTGCCTGTCCTAAGCCAGGATTAAAGTATGAAGGGAAATGGATCATTTTTGTTTATCTAAGGTCTAACACGCGGCGGCGCGCGGCGTTTGGATGTAGGTAAACTACCGCGCGATAACTACATATACCTACGTACATAA